TAAATTCAAAGAGAGATCATATTTTAATATGATTAATTAGTTCATTATTTCATTTCTTAAGAAAAAAATGAGGCTAAGGTAGAGAGCCATAAAGATAAAATATTTCAATAATGTACTTAGATTTTGAATATAATTACTATTATTATTTACAAAATAAGACTTTCATAATCTCAAAATCTTTAATAAATTGTTCCTTAAAAAAAATTATTTTCATCTTTTATAAGGAAATCTATTTATTTATTGATTAAAATAATATTATTTTTAAGGAAGTTAAAACTAAAAATCATGAATTTTATATTAATTTATGTTGAATCAATTTAATTATTAACATTAAATAAATAATATTTTTTTAAATCTTTAAGATATTGAATAAAACCTTAACAAAATTATTTAAAGTATAGCTAATCCTGGTATTGAAAAATTTAATACTATAAATAATCTTCTTGGTTTATTTATTTTTATTTATCATAATTTATCATATTTATCTGTGCTTTTATTAAAAACAAAAGTCTTTTAATGTTTTATGAAACAATTCTAAATTTTATAAAATTTCAATACTTTTTACTTGGGGTCTAAATAAATTAGAGTGAATGGTTTTTCCATATTTCAAACTCATTTATTTTTTTAATTGATTTTTATTTTTTTGAAAAAAATTAATAGAAGAAAATATATAAAATCATACAATTTATGTAAATTAATTATTTTAAATAAATATATTGTTAAATTTAATATTTTATATTATTGTTATTAAAGAAAACAGAAACAATTTTATTGATATTTTTAATTAAAAGATATTAAAATATAAATATTGCTTTAAACTAGAAATTAATGCAAAATATTATAAAATAAATAAAAAATTATGTAAAAAAAATAATAAAATATAATAAATAATAATAGAAGTTGATTTGTTTAGAGATTAATCTTTTATTTTAATAAAATGATAAAAAACTTAAAATTTTATTAAATTTTAATATTTAGTATTTTTAGTTATTTAAATTATATTAGTAAGTAAGTAATATTAATTTTTGTTTTAAATTGATTTTTTATAAATCTATCTGTTGATTATATTTATTTTCTCTAAAGTGATCAATTTTATAACTTTGAGTGTTTTTTTAAGATTAGAGACTTTATTATTTTGTGAGAATTCTTTGCTGATATTTATAAAAAATGACAGAAAATTAATTTTATTCTAATAATTAATATTAAATATATAATGGTTAAAGTTTGACTTAGATTTATGGCATTATTTAAGATGATTATCCTTTTAATCTTGAAACTTAATAACTTAACTAAGCATAATCTTGCAATTGCATGGAAGTAGATGATTAATAAATAAATATAACTTTCATTAAATCAACCCAATAAAAATCTAAATGCAAACAAAACAAACGCAGGTTTTTGTTTAAAGAAGTATCTCAAAAAAATAGGAGTTTAGATTCAAAACATTTGCATTCTGATAGAAAAAAAAAAACTGAAATACTATAAGAAAATGTATTTCTTTCTTAGTTTGAAGTAGGGATAATAGAAAATGAAAAGGATTGTACTAAAAAATATGTTTCTAGTTAGCCTAAGAATTAAAAGAAAAGAACTAAACATAAAGGATTGTACAAAAAACGTATTCAAGAGAATAGTACAGTTAATTCAAATATATTGCATTCAAATAGAATAAAAAGTCAAGAAAAAAAAGATAATGAATAAGTAGTATTTATAACAGATGGTATAATAAATAACTACTGAATGCTAGCTTATGATGAAAATTAATAACACAACAAAGATAAATTCTTTTGAAACTTAAAATATCTAAAGTCAATCTTTTTTGATTTATCTTAGCATTTTTACGAGTTTGATTCTACAAATCCTTAATAACAAAAAATATTTAGAATTTTTGATTTTTTTTTTCTTTAAACCTTATAATTACCAAAGTAATTAAAACTCTACTAAAAATAGTTAGAAATAAATAATATTAAAAACGACTAGCTGTGATAGTTTAGTAAATAACTTTAAAATATCCTTTAAATCATATCTCCTTAGACAATTAATAACTATTATCAATCCTCCTTCTAAACAGTTTTACCTTTTAAATTTTGATTTCTTTAATAATATTTTAATTAAATTAAATAAAATAGATTATTTATTCACTTCAATAAAAATAAAATTTTATACTACTCCTAACCACCTAATTTATAAAATAATTTAATATACTATAATTTAACAATTTTAATAAGTATTATATAAATTCTATTTACATATGTGACCAAAATTTTAAAATTTTAAAGCTATTTTTAAAAAAATTATCAAACTAACACCTAAAAGTAAATTTATTAAGGTATTGCATAAATTAGTGTAAACTAAAAATTATTTTTTTCTTTTAAAATAAATTTTGTAAGAAGTGATTAGAATTTAAAATTAAAATAGATAATTCTTAACACTATAAAGAATTGCTAGTGTTTACTGATTATTTTTATAAATTATATTAAAAGTAAAACAAAGATTCACACACTCAAAACTACAGGGTAACCAGTGAGAGCTTTCTTTAAGTGAAACAATTAAAAATATTTAAATAAATTGATGTCTTGTAATTTTTATTAATTAATATAAAAAAAAATTGTTTTCAAAAATTATTTTTACCTTTAATTTTCAGTTAATGAACTTCTATTTTTTATTAAAAATAGGAATGAATAGATAATAAAAATCATATTTTTAATAGTTAAGATGAAATCACAATAACACAAGATAAACATGAATTAACTAAAGCATTGAATTGCAACAATATTTAAGCAAATAAAATAATTGATATATTAAAGTTATCAAAAAATAAAATGAAGAAATATCCAGTATATTTGGTTTTGCTTAAGATTTTTGAAGGTAAATTTAAATAAACAAATAAAATTTATTAAATTTGTTAAATGAAATATGATAATACCATAAAACAAAATATAAAATATACAAATTAATTTATTAAAATATATGAAATCATTTTTAAAAGTATAATTAACCTTTTTAGAATTTAAATTCATATTATCAATATATATATGTCCATCTATTTATCAATCAATCAATCATCTTCTGATTCTGTTTCATAAACTTAATGATCTTTCTTATCATAAACATCTCCTCCAAACTCACTTTTAATTTGATTCCATTGATTAACAGTAAGATGGACTGATGTAACATTTTTGGTTTTTTCAGCTCTAAGTCTTCTAAGATCTTCTTTCAAAAATAAGCATAGAATTAATGCCAATCCAAAAAGTCCTGAAAAAGTGTAAATAGCAGCATCACTTGATTCTTAAGTTTCTCCTTTGCAATATATAGATACAATAGAACCTATTGCTGTTCCCCATAATTATCCACCTGCAAACAAGAGACCAACTCCAATGGCCTCACTAACTGGAAAACTTAATTCAATACCTAATTCAAGCATCAATGGAACTGCTGGTACAACAAAGACACCATTTAGCAGACTTGAGCCAATAGCTGCACCATAGCCATATTTAATAATTTGAGGCATTATAGTTATAGAAATAACGCATCCAATTATAAAAATAATCAAAGTAAGTTTGAACTTATAATATTTTTTAAGTATAATGCTTACAAATATCACACTAATAAAGCCACTTGCAACTGGAACTGAACCAATAACACTATTTTCTGAAGGAGACTTAATATTATAGGTATCCATAATTGATGCTTGGACTATACCAACAGCATTAAAGCTTCCAAAGTAAATTCCATAAATTATCCATAGTAGAATAAAGTTTGTGTTTTTAAGGATACTCTTTAAGCCTTCTAATGGTGATTAACGTTGAACAGTACATGTGTAAGAAGGTGGGTGAGGAGGTTTCTCACGCTATAAGAAAATATTAGGTAATAAACAGAAAGTACAGATACAAGCTTCAATTAATACCAATCTAGTCATAAGGCTTTTTCCTTTATCAGGATCATCTTTTGCATCTTATTATTCGTAGCTATTAAATACAAAGCCAGGGAAGAGCAAACCTATTACTGTGAATGAAGTAAGAATAAATGATAGAAGAGAAGTAATTAAAGAGCGATCTTTAGGGAAAAACCAATTTGCAACAATTTTTCCTTAGCAATTTAAGATAAAAGGACGTCCTATACCACATAAAATACTTCCCGCTATCATGATATAAAAGCTTTAATTTACTAACATACGCAACCAAGCACCAGCCATACATACAACACACCCAATAGTTATTGAAATTTTTACTCCATATTGATCAATTATGAAATTTGCTGGAAATGTGAATAAAGGATGCATGAGTAAGAAGAGAAGACTATTTAAGTTAACTATACTTGTATCAACATTATAAAGTTGCTTAACAACATTAACTATGGGATTGCATAAGGGGAAAAGTAGTGAAATAATAGCTAGTGCCATTCCATATAAAATGACAACAACGTGTCTATATTTACATACCTAAAATTCTTTCACTGAAGGTTTGTAAGCTGTTTCTTTGATTGTTTTCTTTAAATCATCTATATTATTGTTATTGATCAAAGATGAGACTATACTCTCACCTGAATTAGGATGAAATTCGGACATTAACAAAGGTAATGGATCGATCAAACACTTATCTTATTTTTCAATATTTTACTCTTGCCGCTAGTAAAATGCTTTGAATTCTCTTTAATTCTAAGTTGAAGGTTATTGAGATTTGGCTATATATGGTTGACTAAGGTTTTGGCTTTATTAAAACTATTAATTTGAAAATGTCTACTAATTATTTGTAGGGGTTCTAACAGGCTCTGAGTAGGTTTTAAATAAATTTTTAGGGCTATCTACTTTTAATGATATGCAGTGCTACGGAGGTTATGACTTTTATTTCTATTTAAGTCTAACAAATACGTATTTATATTTCTTTACTTCTTTAGAGGAGCTTTATGGTTTCAGACTTATTGGCTATAAGAAGGCTGATTAGAATTAGTCTGCTGAATCCTTAATTTTATTTATATTTATTAATTATGATTTTTTAATTTACATAAAAAAACTTTTAAATTATATATTGTAATAAGAGGTAAATGAAAAAAATTATTGAATAAAGCATTTTGTTGATATTCAATTTGATTTTTATCTGCAAAATTAACAATTTATAGCTTTTTCTTTTAATAATTAAATCAATAAATTAATTAACAAGAAAATAATGTAACAAGGTAAATTACAAGCATTATGATGCCTTCAGATAGTTTCTTTCTAATTGCTTATCCTAATTTCTTTTATAATCCTCAAATTATATCTAACCACAAGAATGAAGTTCAAAATCTTTTTTGTTTTTAATTCTATTTAATATTTGAAGTCTATTGAAATCCTTTAACTGGATACTTGAGTCTTTTGTGTACAAACTTTATATTTTTAAAAAAATAAATTAGAAAAACTTTATAATAATTATTTTTAGCATTTAAAAATTATAGTAAATAAATTTTGAATTAGTTTTTTTAAAAAAATTAAAGCTCTTCAAAATTTGAAAAGCTTAAAAATCAAATAAAGTTAGATGTATAAGAAGATTATCAAACTCCTGATAACTCTTTTGAATTTAATGCAAAAATGAATAATTCTTTTTATTTTGTAAATAAAAATGTAAATGACGTAATTTGTATTCTGCTTAGCTTAATTTATTAACACAAAATGAAATGTAAAGTTTATATGAAGCAGAATAAAGTTTAAATATTTGATTGAGTAACAAAATAAATCCTAAAATTTTTTGTAGCGTTTTTTTTTCTAAAAAAGATTGATGGATTTGCATAAAATCAAAGGATCATGTAAAAAAAATTAGATTATTTTTATTTGTTATATTTAATAATATCTGAAAAAAATAGATAAATATCTAAATGGTTGAATATTTGATTTAAATCTTGTGTAAATATAATTCTTACATTATTTTTAAGTATTGTATTATTTTAAGAATTTGTCAAATCTCTTGTTTTTTTATGTATTACTTTTCTAATTTTATCTCTTCTAGTACTTGGCAAATCTAGTCACTTTCCTTTTATTTCATAAAATAGTCATTTTATTAAACTAAATTAAATTATATAAAATTTGATTTCTTTTTTATTAAATCTAGTCAATTAAACTAAACATAATTTCACTTAATCCTACTCACAATTATCTATTTAATTTTGATTAACTTTGCAAGCACTAAAGAATTATTTCTTGTTTTTATCAGAAATATTACATAATTCTAATATTTTTCTTTTGTAGATTTTAGCTCTATGTATTATAAGATTTCAAAGCTAAAATAAACTAATTGTTTAAAGTTGCGTAACTAGATAAGTAGTTAAGATTTTACATAAAATGTAATTGATTTCAATTTTTTTAGATTATCATTTTTACAATTAAATAATACTAAATCAATTTTTTCACTATTTTAAAAAATACTATGATAATAGAAATAGTAAATTTTAAAATATAAAAATAAATTTAATTTTTAATTTTTGAGTTTTTAATCTAAAACTAGATTAAAAAAAAATAGTGAAATAAATTTAAGAGTAAATTAATATCAAATAGAATTAAATTGAAATATTTATATTTTGATTATGCTTGATTTAAGAAGATATCACTAAATTCTTTATATAAAAGGATAGTAAATACATTTTATAATAACTAATATCTTTTATTAGTATTTAAATATTTATTTAATTATTTCTTGCTCTATAAGATTATATGCAAAATAAACCAACCAATAAAATTTAAGATTAAATGATCAATTAAAATAAATGATTGATAAAAAATCTTATCTTCTAACTATCTTTTTTTGAAAGCTGATTGCAAATAAAATTTGTTTAGATGCAAATAAATTTTTGATATTATGAATGCATAAACATGCTAAATGCTAAGGATTAGTGTTTTTTATTAACTAAAATTTCTTTTAATGTTAACTAAATTATAAAATTACTATAAAAAGCAAACACTCCTCTAAATAAATATACTTTTGAATATACTATTAATTAATTTCTAACTATACAATAATAATCAGATTAGTAATAATATAATTTATAAAAAAGCAAATCATAGCTATCACAAATTGTTTTAAATCAGTATTTTTATAATAAAATAGACTTATCTGACAATCAAAAATTCTTTTATTAGCATAGCATAAACTTTAATAATAAACAGATGTACGACTGGTAGAGAAGAGAAGATACAAAGAATCTCCTGAGACATGATATAAGCGAAAAAAACAAAAATGATAAAAGCCATAGCAATAATATTAAATAGAATGGAAATAGTGCTACTCCTTCAAAATAAAAATAGAACTACCCTATTCATCATTTAAATATTAGCTCCAATATATTTAATACGGATTCTAAAAATGTAGATATTAGTGCAGAAAAGAAAATTAGGTCTCGTAGTAATAAAAATTATGAACACTCACCTATTTTTGGTTATGAAAGAAACAAAACAGAAATGAATGATAATTCATCTGCTAAAAAAGACAATAAAGTAGGAAAGACTCGCACAAATAACACATTTACCTCTTAAATATTCAAACAGGAAGAAAATTAATTTGAAAATCAAAGCGAAATGCAATAGAATAATGAAAAATATCAAAACTAACAAAAATTCAAAAATAGAAATGCAAGTAATAAAAGCTAAATAGTACTTAGCCATAAGGAGAATAACGATGATCAAACTTATAAAGTTTTTTAGTAAAAGAAGCGCATTACTTAAAATGATAGCAACATATTCAAACCTCTTACTCCAACATCAGCGAGGTAAAATTAATATAAAATTAAAGATCATTCAACTGCTGAAATTTTTGGAGAAGAACCTCAAGAATGTATAAGAAAACCACATCCAAAGCCATTTGAACCAACATACAGCCATCGTCAAGAAAGTCCTGCTTAAAAAAAAATAATGCACTTTTATGCAAGCAGGGATAATAATGGAGATGTAATTCCAATATCATCTCGCGTAGAACGTTGCCATACATCTCATGAAACTAGAGAATCAGGCTAAAATAGCTTTTTATCAAATAACTAGAAATAAGGTATAAGTGGTAGTACAAGTGAAGCAGTAATAAGGAATTATACACCTTAAATGAAAAAGCAAATGCAAATTTTAGGTAGTTTTAGTAAGTACAATGAACCTTAAATGATCAATAAAAACTTAAAGGAAGTAGAAAAATACAAAAATGAAATACGTAGCGGCAACGATGAATGGTGGAAAAAAGTAGAGAAGGCTAAAAATAATGTTGACTGTTTTCTTAGCAATAAATAAATAGCAGAACAATAAAAATATAAATAATTAAAGAGTGATTTCTTTGATGAAATCAACAATTAGATTTTTGGAGGAACTAAAGATATAAATGATCCTAATAGTATTACAGCTGAAGAAATAGGAGTACGTCCTTAAGTACCTTAATAGCATTAATTGCAATAAAAGTAGTAAAAATGGTAGTTAGATAATACTAATGAAGAGCAAAGACGTAAAGACCAACAATACAGTGACCTATTTGGCTATGGTTAAACATAAGCACCCCAGAAAAATTAGAAATAAGATGCAATCTTCCCAGCTAATTTCAAAAGCAGCCAATACGACTCTATTAAATTCAAAACAGATTATCCCAGTGCAAATATATAATATTAGAAGAAAAATGAGTAATCATTTTAAGAAAAGCATATATAAAGTAAAGAATAAATAAACAAAGTGGAAGAAAATAGCCAGCAAGAAGATTCTGAAAAAATAGGTTTAAGTTAGCATTCAGATTAAAGATTCTATGCAAATTTAAGTAGTTGCTTAGATTAAAGTGGATACAGGAATAACTACAGTAAAAATAATACATGGAAAGAGGAAAAGAATCTTAAATTTGATAAATATCAAGTTAATTAAAAATGCTAAGAGGATTAACATAATGTATCAATTAATTTTGGCTGTCCTAAAAATGATGAAGGAAAAAATCAAAGAATTATAGAAATAGATTTCAAAAATCTTTCTGATAAATTTGACTAGAGTGAATTTAAGCGTTATTGCTCAAGAAAAGGCATACACTTAGTAGATTTCTAATATGATTTCAACAAACTTAATAATAAAATAGCTGGAACAGGCTAACTTAAAATAAGAGATATGCATTAGGATACAAATAACATTGAAAATGTAAAGGATCATCTTCGTCAATAAGGATTAGTTATAAAAAGCAGTAGAGTATCTTTATCAACTCAATCATTTAACTATAACAGTGGAACTCATAACCCCCATAAAAATTAAATGCTGCAACCAGTGGAGTCTCCAAATTCTTCATTCAATCCTAACATTACTCCATAGCAAAGTTTACAATTGAAAGGAAAGGTAAATAAAAAAAATTAAGAAAGCAAAGGATTTAAGCTTTTAGTCACGAAGAAGAAATAACAAAATATTGAAAGTGAAACTTAAAAGAACTAAATTAACTAAGGAAATATTTAACAGAACTCGAAATTATATGATACTGCAAGAAGTGAAATAGATACTGCTAAAAAAGTTGTAGAAAATCACAACTGGAAGAAAGCTATAGATGGTGTTTCAAAGGAAAATAAAAAAAATCAAGAAATAAGGGCTAAATCAGCACTCATCAATAGAAAAACTCCAAATAAGGAATGAAATATTTAAAATATTCTAAATTAATTTTTCTCTCTTAAAAATTTGATACTAACATACCAACAAATTTATTTGCTTGTTCGTTGATTCTAAGAAAAAATAAATTAATTTTATCTAAATAATTCATTAATCAATATGAAGTAAGTAAAATAAATTTTAAAATAAAAATTATCAAAATATGTATGTATATAGGTAGATAGGTATGCATAGGAGCATACAACTAAATTTCCATACTGTAAATATTTTAGCCACTTTTATTTGTATTCTATTATCTATTTTGAGAGCAGATATTATTTTATCTACTTATTTTTATTTCACTCTGTATTACTGTTATAAGTATTGTCAACAATTATCTAATTAAGATCTGCAATTCTTTTTATTTTCATTTAATTATCTTGGTATTTAAAGTATTAAATATTCTTTTTGCTAGTATTTTCATCTTATTCGCTCAATCCCATAAATACAATAATTTCTTCTATCAGTGGAGAAATCAAAGCACAGAGAGGCTCAATATTATAGAATTGGTCTTAGTTAGTTATATCTTAGTTTTTCTCAATAAATTCCTTAATAAACAATTTCTTTTCATAACTTTAGTTAAGTTATTAAACTTTATCTTCTAAGCTCAAGAGTATTTCGACTAATTCATAATAATTTTAATTAGAAAACTTTTATTAGAATTAATAATTTTACCAAACTTCTCATAATTGGTGTTCATGTATTCTCTGACATAATTTTCTTTGCTTTCAGTTTTCCTATATTCTTAAATTTCAGGTCCGTCTAACATAAAAAAGAAAAGTTCGTATTACTATAGTACTAATTAATCCAAACATTCTTTTTCAACCATTTCTCCAATAAAGTTAACATCTATCAATTGAAGTCCTTCCTTTGTATTTTAACTTATTTTAAATTTATCTGAAAAATTTCCCTATTTTTTAAAGCAATATATTTCTATTAAATGATAATATTATTAAATATTTAATTACACTGTCAGGATATTTTTCATTAAATTCATCAACAATTTTTTGAAGATCAATTTAGGTAAAAATTAAAGTTTCATCAATTTCTTCATTGAATTGCTAATTATCTTTACAGAATTTTTTAATTTGATCTGCTGTTATTTTACCTTCAAAAAACTAATTAATCATAGTTTTAAAAGCATTTTAGTCAAACTCTTATTGTATCTCTTGCTTAGATGGCCTTTATTCTACTTCTCCTTATACCTGTATGTTTTTTTAATTATCAGTATCAGTTTAAACATGATGATTAGCAATATCGTCCAATAAATTCTCATCTTCTTCATGTTTACTGATATCTTTTTCAGAAATAATAACTTATTTTTCTTAGTTTGCATTTTAATTCATGTTTTATGAATTGACTTTTATTTCATTGTCATTTTATTATGCTGCTGTTTGAATTTTTTCTATTTCTTATTTCAGTTCAGGCTATTTCTCTTCTATTTGTTCAACTTTTACTTCATTATTTTCTTTTACAATTTTTTTGGGTATAATTTTAGGTTGATTTGAATCTTATGGCAAAGATTAAGATTCATTTTTTTTATTTGCATTTTGTTTTGTTTTAGTTTATGGAATAGCTTTATCAGACTTTAAAGATTTAGGATCTACAGAATTAAATTGTGAAACACTTGCACTATTTTTTAATGATTTATCTTTATTTTTGCTATCAGAACCAGCTTTTTCGTGGCTAGCTCCTACCTTTGGTATAGCAGGCTTTCTTTCTGTTTTTGGTTTTTCTTCATCTTCATTTTGTTTAGGTTTTTCATCTTTTTTACCCTATAAACTTTTTCTCGAGTTATCTGAAGTTGTAGGTCCAGTTTTATTGGGAAGATCTTTATTATCTGAAAACTTACTCTTTTCTTATTTGGTATTATTCTCCTCTTATTTTAACTAAACCATACTTTTATTTTTATTTAAATTCCTTAATGTTTTTAAATCTTATATTTTAGGAATTTTTGAATTATCTACTATATGAGTTGAAGCTGTTGATTTATGGCTAGGTGTATTATTTGAAACACCTTCTTCTATAGGTTTTAATTATTCTTTATGCGTTTCTTTTTTATCAGTTGCTGGTTTAACTTTCTAAGACTCTTCTTCATGATTTTCTTTAGTTTGTGTTTTTAATCCTTTACTTTTTACATCCAAAGTAGCAGCACCTTTAGCAATTTTTGATAAGTTAGCTTGTGCAGGCAGTTGGTTTACAGATGCAGATAATCTTTAAGATAAAGGTACTGCTTCATTTATAACAGGTAAGCCAGAACTTATACCCATAAGAGAGCTTTACAGTAAGTTTGATCCTATTTTTTTGCCTAAAGTACTATTTGTTGGAGCAGCATTTTAATTATTTTTAGGAGCTGCCGCAGCTTATTTTTACTCATTTTATTTCTCTAAGTTGGATAATATTTTTTCTGCAGTATTTAATAAAGACTTTAGCATATCTTATTATTAATCAATGCTTTACTACTAATTTTCATATCTATCAGTAATTAATTTCAACTTGCTTCCAATCTACTCATCTACTATCGAAAAAATTTTATCTTTAAGATGTATCTATCTATCATTATTATCTGCCTGTTGATTATAAAAATTACTTTAATCAAGAGGACTCTCCATATTTGCAAAATTTTGCTAACTCATGCCTTTATGTATTAGGAAAACGAATAATCTAAAATTTAGTTGTAATTGCTGTTTTTTTTATATAAGTGAGTTATAGTAGATGCAATAAATAAAATTATTAGAATTGATTTTTATTAATTGTTAAATTATGCAAATTCTGCCTAAAACAATATTTAAAAATTTAATTCCCCAAAATAATTATGTTTATTTTATCAAAATAAAAAGTTTTGTTGGTGTTTTTTTGATGAATTAAAAATATTTACTCCAAACAAAAATTTTGATTCTTCCTTTAATAAAGTTGAATGATTAAACATAAAAATAATAGTTTAAATAAAATGACTACTTCAAACTGTGAATTGCTAAAATAATTCACTTTAAACTTAAGAATAATGAATGGCATACAAAATATAATTTATATAGATGACGAAATCAAGATAACTAAATTACGCAATATACATAAATCAAAATTTGTTTAATTTTTAAATACTTAAACGTATAGTAATTAAACTAATTAATATAGATAATTAGATACTAATTATTATTATGTGGTTAAGCACCTTTTTGAGTAAAAGAAATTTTTGGTGTGAAATATATGTAAAAATTAATAAAAAAGTTAATAATATTTTGCATATTCATATAGAAATCTGAAAATTTTAAACAATTTTAAATAATTAATTTTTCAAAGCAAATATGATTGCTGCTAAGGATTTAGCCCAAATGCTTGTATTTGGAACAATAGATGAAGGTATCAACTTTTCACTCTCTCTACTAAACAAATTATAGTCTAAGACCTCTTTTCTTTTCCCAGAGAAGAGAGATACTAATGCCAATTTGCTGAGATAATTTTCTCTTCAATGGATTATTCATAATGTACCTTTGAAGGATGGCATTTAAATGAGCTATGAAGAATTTAGAAGTGCAATAAAAAGATTTAGCCGTTATTATAATGAAAATTCTCTAGAATAACAATTAAAAGATTTTTATGATACAGCAGTAAATGTTTGGTAAAAATTTAAATAACCACCCTCAACTGAAGAAATAAAGCATGCTTTGCTTGAAATTGCAGCAAAAACTTTAGACAAAGATCTTCAAAAAAAAGATATTCTTAAAAGTGATGTAGGCTTTGGTGAAGGTTTATTTAAGATAGCGAAAGAATTATATGAAGAAAAGAAATAAATGAGCGAAAATTCTTTAATAAAAAATGTATTTGAAAGCTTTGAAGGAATATTAGAAAAAGAAAAGCATTATGTTGAAGTTTGCAAAGATTATTATAGTTTCTTAAAAGATTTTATCAACGTACACTTTCCTACAAAATAGGACAAAAAGAATGAGCGCTTTTATAAAAAAGTATACAAATTTACAATTGAAAACTATTTGAAACTAGTAAGTTTTCCTCTCTATACATTGGAAGACGTTATAGATCTTTTCCTTTCAGATTCAACTTAAAATATAGTGGCAAATAATTTCCGTGAAAAAAGAAATCAAGTTTAGAATAACTAAGTGCAACAACTCCAATTATAAGTAAAAAATAATTCTTAAACAAAAAATTTATTTTTCATTGAATTTTGTTTTAAAAAATTTTTTAATTCATGTTATATGAAATGAATTATTCAAACAATTAAGAGTACAAATTAAAGGTCATTTATGATTATATAATTATTCAAGTCAGTAAAAATCAAGGAGAATAAACAGATTGATTTATATTAATTCAAAAATAGCTATTGCTGGTTAATAATTACGAAATTTTTGCTATTCAAATAAGAAAAATTTCATAATATGATTTAGAAAAAACTTATTAAAATTCCAAATTAAGTTTTTTTTATAATGTTTAAAATTTTGAATAAACATAGATGTATGTATTTATAAAGCTAATTGAACCTTTATTATATGATTAATAAATTTTAAAATAAAATGAATAATTATTAATAAATGTTATTAAAAAATAGATCCAAATACTAGGTATAAAGGGCTTTTTAATATGGAAAAGATTTTATAACTCTTATAAGGTTTATAGAGGCTTTTCTTTATAAGAGAGGGTGTAGTTGCTGGGTCTTTATGGGTTGCTTAATGAAGTCAAGCTTTTAATTCCTATTTTTAATCAAGATTCAATAAGAATCAAGAAAATCAAAGAATTTTATGAAGTAAAAGTGAAAAAAACATTAATTCAACATTACAAATAGGTCATTTATTATCATGGAATAATTAAAAAAGAATGGGTCATTTTTAAAATAAAAACTCTTAACTAAATAAAAGACTTGATAAAATCTTTACAAATAAAAGTAGAACAAGTAAATCATAGAGCCAATAAGCTTTATTAAGAAGCACTTGATTATGTACAAAATAAGAGGAGATAAATCTTACTATAAAATTATGAAGAAACCAAAACATAAGAAAATAGATATTATGAATAGGAAATATAAGACGATAGACTAGTAATAGATAATGAAGATTAAATCGATTAAGGGGTAGCAAGTCCTGTAGTGAATGAAAACTCTAGCAACGATAACTCATACAATGAAGAGGAAGAAAAAAATAATGATAACCATTAACAAGTAGAATCTTGTGTGATGGAAAAAGTAGCTGAAAGTGCATAAGAATTAGAAGGATCTTATGAAGATAGCTAAATAAAGAGTGGAAATCAAAGCTAAATTAAAAAAAACGACTCTGTTGATCTCTTTAATTAGAATTAATAACAAGTAATTTCAAGCGAAGAAGATAATCCTGCTGTTACTGTAAGTAGTTTTGATTACACTTCTTAAAATTAAAATCCTATTAGATCTAAAAACCCTTTAAACAGTAAAAGAATGAATAATGAAGGAGAGCAGGAAGATGAAGAGATAGAAGAAGAAGAAGAAAAACACCAAAATTCAGACGAAAAACGCTAAACTGAACACAAGTTTTACTCTATTTCTAATAAATAAAATAAAGGAGTAGAAGAAGAAAGTGATGAGTGTTCTGCTGTAGAGCATGCAACTCCTGTCTAATGAAATAATTAATAATATAATTTATACAAATGCAATTAATCCTTCTTTATTTAGTTAAATTAATTAATTTACAATCCAAAACATTGTTAAATTTTAATTCATCATATTAGATTATATTTCATTTCATTTCTCAATAAAATATTGCTTTTTTTAGCAATTTCAAAATTAAAAAATTATTTAAATAATATTTTATTCTCTTAACAATGTATGTTTAAATGGTCAGTCAGTCAAATAACTTAATAAAATAAATATTTTCTCATTTCTTTATTTATATAATTTTGAAATATAAGAAAGTCTAAGAAAAATAGATAGGTAGATGTATGAATGATGCAATTAATAAAAATTAGTGATATCATATATGTTTTTATTATTGATAGTTACACCAATATTATAATATAAAATCAATAAGAAATTTTTTTTTAAAAACTGAAAAATTTAAATGACGAAATTTTCCTCCTTAATATTAAATTAAAAGTTGAAAAAGTTAAGCTTCTTATATTATTTAGTATTTAGTATTAACCTCAATATTTAATGATACTAGGTATTTATTTTGAAATAATATTCGAATTCAAAATACAAAAATGAAGTTTTTAGTGTTTATAATACTTCTGTTTGAGATTTTATTTTTGATCAGGTATTTAAATATTTCATTTAAAAATAATCAAAAATATATGCAGATATACAAATGCTTTAAAATTAATTGTTTTAATTACTATTTTTTTCTTTATATCTGAATCAAAATATCAATTATAATATATCTATATATATCTTTTAATATATTTTTATAAGCAATTACGCAATAATTTTCTCAGTTAGGTTCACTCTATTTTAGTAAGAAACAAAGTAATCTCCTCTTTATTTCAAAATAAAAAAAGAAGTAGAATTACATTATAAATGCAGGAAAGTAAGCCACTAAAAAAATAAAATCATTTCTACTTGGAGAAAAATTTTATTAAAATATACACAGGTAGAAGATAGAAGTTATCAACATAAGCTCATAAATAACTAGTAGAATAAACGGTATAATACTTCTTTAATAAATAATTGGGAATGTAATTATGCAAGTAGCACCAACTGCTATGTATCCTATGTAATACTCTTATATTTCTTTCAGGTTAATAAAGATCTAAACTACTAATAATATAATTATAGATATAAGAGCTATTGAGAGTCCCTTGACCGCTTTTATCTACATTTAAAGTAAAGTATCTATCATCCAAAGATACCTAGAAGTATCAATGATAGACTTAATTACATCAGGATTAGCTTGAAATAATTCATTTTTCACTTATTCCATAATTTTGTTTCTTCTTAGAATTCTTAAATCAATATTTTGTAGAGAATCTGGTAGAGAAAATTGTAACCCGTCAATAATATATTCAAAGAATAAACCACAATGCCTAGGATTACTATGAATGTAGTATTACTCGGGATTATCTTCGAATCCTAATAATTAACTGTGGTCTTTTGGGGTATTAGCCATAGAAGAAATTGCTTGCGATCTAGAATTAAAGCTTTTTTAGCTTTTTTTACTTTTTTCCATTAATTATATCTATGTTAATGATTTATTTTCTTGTTGCTTAATTTTTTTAGTTTAAATAATAATATTTTTTATAAGAAACTTTAGTTGAATTTTATAAACTAAGTTAAAAAAGAATTTATATATTTACTTTGCCAAACAAAAAATTAAATAGAAAACTTAACAGAGTAACCAATAATGAAAAATAACAATAAACCACACATACAAATTTTCAATTTTTATTGATTTTTTATGTATAATAACACAAGGAAATATTTATACTTTTAATTGTGTAATTCCAATTCAAATATTTCGCTTTACAATTAATTCAATGTAATTTTTTATCTAAAATATGAGAAAGCTGTCACTTTTTTAAATACATTTTATTTCCAAATTAATAATATTATTAATAGCATTAAGGGTAAATAATAAAATTTTTTCTTTATTTTTGATTTATTATATTAAATATTGATAGTTTTAAATAAATTATATATGAAATAATAAATTGTTTATTAAAATTTTCTTTTGATTATAATATAAAAGCAAATATTTATTTTATTCTATCCAATCATCTTTTAAAATATGTATTATTATTATTTATTTTAATCTTTTATACTTATAATTTTGAAAGATTTAAAATTTATTAAACTCATACAAAAAATATCAAAAAACCTTGAAATAGTCATTACATTAAAATAATTGCATAATTAAAACTATGAATTTTTATTTTCTACAAAAATTATTAAATGCATAATTTTTTAGCTAAATTAGCTAAAATTTATTTTTGATGAATGCGACTAATTTAAATTGCCTGAATTAATTGTAATCTTATTCAAATACTTTAAATTAACTTAATTTCACTTAAATTCAATATTCATATTAGAATTGAAATATACTATTGATGGTAAATAAGACTTTATTTTAAGATACCTTCAACACTCTGATTTAATATGTATATAAAAAATAAATCTTAAATTATATTTTTTTAATTTATACCTCATATCCAAATTAAAAAATATATCTTAAATATTAAGATTTCAATTAGAGTATTTAAGGTAATAAAGTTGAAATTAAGCAAGAAAATCAGTATCAGTTCCCTACCTTTCTGTTTTTATCAATGCATTCTAATATTTCTAAGATGGAATATTCTCCTATTTGGATATAAATTTTAAATTATCATTAAAAATTATTAATATATTAATATATTTTAAACATTAAATTAAAATTAATGATATTAAAGACTAGATATACATTTTAAATAATTTCTTTTAAGCAATTATTTTTTACACTTTATGTAAAAATATTTTTTTAGTTTAAAAGACAAATAAAAAAAATATTTTTAATTAAAAATTACAACCAAAAAGCAATAATTAAATATCTACTTTATTTTTATTACTTTTTAAAAAACTAAAGAAAATATCATGATAGAATTTGTTTTGACAAATTTTATTAGTAAAATGGTTAAATAAAAAACTTTTTGATTAATATATTTATTATTAATTAAAGATTTATAAAAAATTGATATCATACATATAAACCCTTGAAAGAATATAAACATCTTTTATAATTTTAGTTTAATTTTTAAATAAGAATAACATAAATTTATATAAAATAAATTTAATTTAACAAAATAATAAAAAGATTATTTTAATTTAAAGATACTAAGATAAATTTCACAAAAAATTATAAAAATGTGGGAGTTATTTATAAATTACATTAAAAAATATTAAATTATTATTAAATGAATATTATTTAAATGCTCAAAGATCTGTTTTTTTTTATTAAGTTTATTACTCTTCCTTAGTTAATTCACTTTCAAACACTTTCCATTATTCAGTTAATTCATTTACTGCTCTATCCAAATCTGATTAATCATATTCTGTTTCAATTAATAACTCTTCAACATTTTCTGTCATAATAAGATAATCCTCCCATATGAATCCATATAATTCAGGATCTTCTACCATTCTTTCAAAATCAGCTTCAGTAATATCATCTTCAATGTCTAAAAATTGTTTAAATTTGTTTTTTTGTTGAAATTAAAAATAATAATTTAATTAATTAATATTTACCATATAACTAAACTAAATGTTTATACATATTCATAGCAAAATCATTAATGAAGGTTTCAAATTTTTCTTTTATAACCATTTGTCTTAAATTATCTTTTGTAAGCTAATCACAAAAACAAAAGTTAGTATTTTAATCTTTGCTAAATTATTTAAATTACCATTAATTCTTCTGTTTAGTTAAAATATTTTCTAGATATCGCAGACATTAATTCTCTATCATGTCTTTCCTAATTATTTAATTGTAATAAATTAAAAAAAATAATCTTTGATTAAACATTTTTGATTGCTAAAATTTTTGGAAGAGTTAAAATTTGCTGAGATTAGAAAGTAAATCTATTTATAAGTTATTATTGCATATTTTTACCACTGTCCCTCTGAGAATAGGAGAAACAAATTTTATCACATCATTTTTAGAAATACTATCTGATTTGTATTTTGATAAAAATGTATCGAATTCTGTTTAGAAATTAGCAGGAAGCTTATAATTTTTAATGGAGTAAGTAATACTAATAAGTATAAATAGTATTAAAATTGAATTTGCTATTTTCATCATTATTTATTCAAGTTATTCTACTATTATAGCAGCTATTAATTTATTTTTTATTTATTTTTTTAGTAAAGATATAGAATTGTAAAAATTTTATACAAATTAATTATTCTTTTTATAAAAAAGCAATTTATTAAATTACTTTTTAAAGTAATAAATTTTATTACGAAAAAAAATGGAATAAACATCTCTATTAATTAATTATTATAATAATTTGTTTCAGTGTTCACTCTATTTATTTAAAATAATTTTTAAACTTATTATAAGAATTTTATGATTTGTTTATGTTCTTATTACACATTTTAAATAATTTTATTTGATTAAAACGTATTTTATATGTTTGTTACCTTATAATAAAAAACTTATTTTTATATCTTTGCTATTTTAGTTTGTATTACTTATTAAATATTTAAAATAAAATAGTGTCTTTTTATTATTAAATCAACTAGTACTTACTTTTCAAATTTATAAAATTGTCTTATTCAACATGTTTATATTTAATTTTTGATTTAAAATGTTGGATAATAATATTTTTATTTGTTTTTTAAATATCGTGAATTGTATTTCAAATATGATTTTTGTATTTTAATAATAAAATTGAATAGTTTATCAATAATAATATAAAAATTTGTAATAGGAATTGAGGGAAATTAAATTTTGAGAAATTATTTTATGAAAAAATATTAAATTTAAGCTATAAAAATAATTATATATATATATATATTATTATTATGTAAAAAATTACAAAGTTAAATTAAATAACTTTTTTTTATTTAAATTTTAGATACATTTAACTCTTCAAATACAACCTTTAAGTGTTTGTTGAGCTTTTAAGCATCTATCATTGTAAAGATCGCACCAATTTTGCTTTTGAATAAACTCTTTGAGACCATTGAAATCAGATTTCTTGACTATCTCAGTTATTTCTTTTGAAAAACTACAATTTTAGCGATTAGAGAATAAAATATCTGCTAAGACATTAACCATACATAGAGGAGTTGAGTCAGTAATACCATAACATTGCTTAGTATTTTTAATAGTATCTTAGATGTAATCATTGTATATGGATTCAGCTTCTATCTTAGTTATAGATAAACCATTAGCCTTCATTACATCAGGATCAATGTTGTATTTATTTAAAATATACTTTATTTCGAAAGCATTAATAGTCTAAGTTAAAAGCTTATTCTAAGGAGTTATTACAGTGATGAATTGATTTCCTTAATTTTCATTAGCAAATATATAATCTTTTGTTTCATCACAAGAGCATTTAGTAGGAGTAATAACTTAAACATTTGCCTTATCAGTGTATTATTAAAACATTAGCTCTGATGTGTCTATGTTCTTATCTTATTCTGAAACTTGGATAACTCTTACTTTCTAAACTAAATATGATGTTAGGGAATTTGTCAAAGAAGAATCACACTTCTTTAAGTAAGAGTTTTATTCAGCTGAAGCACCGTACAGACTTATCTTTTCTACTTAAGATGAGACTGGGTTATTTACATTTAATACCTAGTTAATATTTAAAATATCATTAATTAAAAATTTTTCATTTTCTTATTAATATATGTTACCTCAAAGAAAGCATTTCCTAAATATTTTTGCACTAAAACAGTTCTTTAGACAGTATTGTCCTAGGAATCTTTTCCGCATAAATATAAAATAAAATAATTTTTGGAAGAGGTATTAAGAGTGTATTATGAATTGTTGACTAATTGTTCTATTTCTTCAACACTATTTTGATTCACAAATTACCCATCTTAAAAGCAACTTAAAGGTGTTTGCTTTGTTGTAGTAAGGACAATATCTTTTAATTTCTTAATAGATATTTCTTTTTAGTTGTTGGGTGAAGCAAAGCCATTAAGATAACTATCTAATTATGAAACACACTGAAGTTGATTGCAATTAAAAGAAAGAGTAGGGTTGAAAGCATATGCAGAGCTAAAGAAATTTTAGGTAATAGCAAATTCTACTAATGATTAAGGGTTTACAGCTTAACCAGAATATTAAGCATTTGATTGTGATAGTAGCATAGAGTAGATTGTAACTAAATCACCATTTTTTCCAATTGTAGATTGAGATATTTGAGAGTCATCACAATTTTAATTGTTCTTCTTGAAATATCTATAACGGTTTTAGAATTATTAGAATGTGCATGGCTTATCAGAAGACATCATTTTAACATTTTACCATTGTTGGTCATTGCTTGAATATACTTTTGAAAACTATACAGAATAATTTTGTTATTAATCAGAAGGTAAGAATGATTTGCAAACTTATAAATTCTCGTAAATTTAATTTTGAGTGAGGATATTTGACAATGGTAAAGAAGTAGTAATTGTAGTATCACATACACCATTAACATCTGGGAATAGTTTATTAGCTGAAGGGCAAGATAAACAGTCTTTGTAGAGGGGGCCAGTACACTTTTTGCACGAAGGGTGGCATGGGGAGCATGTTTTACGGTTATCATTCCAGAAGTATTTTGGCTCACATTCAATACAGGAAGAGTCATCATTACATGAAATACAGTTATTAGTACATTTGTAGCATTGCTTAGTTTAAATATCCCTATTTTTAATTAAAGTAATTTGAATTAAAAAAAACAAAAATTTAAATTACCAATATTGTTATTTAGGGCACTTGCTTTTGGCTTCATCTCTCAATTAATCTGCAGCTTAGAGATCAGATGTATAGCTATCACTTTTAACACACTCAAAGTAAACATCAGAAGGATTAGAAGGATCTTAGATCGGAGATGTAGCTTAGTAGTAAATAGGGCATCTGTTATAGCATTTAAATCTATCACCACTTTTTTTGTGAATTAATATGAAATGTTAATTTATGTAAGATTAGTAAAGTAAATTTTTACTCTTTTACAAAATAGTTAAGTTCAGGATTACATTTAGTGCAAAGATCTGAGGAGTCTATACATTCTTCGCATGAAAAATTACATTCTATTGTTAATGAAAATAGTAATTAAAAAATAATTTAATAAAAATAATTAATCAAATACCTTTCTCTGTTTATGTTCTAGGATCTTTAAATTTCTTAGCCTTGAATGATGGATTTAAGCAAAAACCATTCTAATTGGCATAGTTGTTCTTGCAAGTTAAGCAATCATTTTATAGAGGGCCTTTACACGTATCACAATTTTAGAAGCATTCTGCGCAAGTGTAAGGGTATTGTAGCATTCTATACTAACTTTAAGTACATCTATTTTTTCCACACTATTATCCAGTAGGACAGACGGAACATCCTTTTCCGTACCTTTTAATAAAAAATTTAATTGTAATAAAAACTATCAAATAGACAGACATTTTTAGAATTTTAAATATAATTCTTTATATGACTAGCTTAATGACTGTAAAAATTAAAATAGATTTGAATAAAAAGTAATATTATAATTAAGATATGTCTAAAAAAAGTTGCTATTACTCAAAAACAAAGCCATCAAAACATGATTTGCATTAATTTGGATTAGGACCTGTACACTCTAAGCAGTAATCAGAGCATTCAACACACTTTTCATCTTAAACATAAGTACCAGGTCTGCAATAAAGGCATTAAGTCTTTGTAGTTTTATACTCAGGGGGGCATTATTCAACACACTAGCCTTACAGCAAGTAGAGCCCTGATCTACATAGATTACAAGTAGTAGAACCTAATGCAGAATCTATTAATTAATTTGTGAAATTTAAATAATTATTTAATGGAATTAAAAGAATCAATTAATAAGGAAATAAAAAATTATATCTATTAATAGACATAATACTATTAATAATTATTCTCAGTATAGTTGTCAAGTATAATTAATAATTAGTAATATATATCCAATGATACTATTTTTAAAAGATTCATTTATTTACCATATGTGCACTTAGAACAATTGCTTTAAGTACAAGCAACACAAAGGCCATCTTTCATGTAAAATCCATCTTTACATTGCAAACATTAAGCATAGTTACTTGTGCAAACACCACAATTTTTTACCTAACATTTCATGCATATCTTATCAAATCCATTGACATCTGTCTTTAAAAGTCTTTCTTCTGTCGATTCATCGTAATATCCTATTAGTTATTAATTTATTAAGTAAGTGACTAAGTATAAATTTATTATTTGAAGTGATATAGAATTTTATATATGTTTATTTTCTTAAAATTTATATTACCAATATTTATTGTAATAAAATAAAAGTTGATATCAAATGTATAAGATAACACTTTGCAAAAGTTGATGAAATATCTAAAGTATTTTTTTGCAAAGATAAAATTTATTTGAGAATAGTATTATAAATTTTATGGTTTATCTTAGTTTAGATTTTTAATGAAAGTGGAATTATTTAAATTTGTGATATTTTACCTGTAACTATCATTTCATCATCAGGATTGTTACAGTTCCAAAGAAGTTAAAATGATTCGACAAGTATTTAATTGAGAGGCTGACTTTCATCTAGAGTGAAGATATTATTTTCTTACTATTTTAAAAATAAATTCAATTTACAATTTATAACATTATCACATGAATACTCAATTAAATATTAAAATGAATGAAATTTTCAATATCCATTTTTGAATGATGATAAGCTAGTTTATTGGATTGAGGAAATATTAAAAATAAAATTGATAAGAATGATAATAAACTTTCATATAAATAATTTACGTCATAATTAAAATGTTTGTTTTACTTCAGAGTATTTATTTAATCAGAATTTCTTGTGCTGAATGAATTTCCCATACAAAGTTTGCAATCATTATAATCATCTCCTATTCTTTTTAGAAGCTAAGAATCTCCACAAGATGGTTCTTTAGCAGCATATTTTTTGTATAAGAAGTATTCTGGTAAGCCGATAAAACCATACTCTAGAGAAAGCTTTTAAGAACCGCTTAAGAAAGTACTTTAAATTTCTAATGCAGTGTTCTTATCTAAAGCATTCAAGATACCAATTTAGTTGGAATATTCAAACTACACTATACTTTCAATATCTTAAAAATTGCAGGATTTCAATTTTTAAGCAAAAGTAAATAGTTAGATTGAAAGAGCAACAGCACGGTCAACACTGCAGTCTTTATTTTAGAGGGCATCATTTAGTGTTTCTGCGTTAGATACCTGTAAGCAGCAAATAAGAAGAATTACTAAGGTCAGTTTAAGAAAATTTCTTTCTATAAAAGGAATAGAAAGAGTGAAGGACTTCATTTTTGAGATTTTGAGAAGATAAATCTGCGTTTAAAGTTTTATTAGCAACGAAAATGGTTGATGAAGAAAAAGAATTTTATCTTTCCAATGCAGTTGTTTTTAATACTTAATTATTTTAAATTAAATTAATAATTTTAAGGGGCAAAATTTTGCAAGGACAACATTAAACTTAACAAAAATCAACGAATTTTCTGAATTAAGTAGAAGCAGTTTTTATTATCTGATTGATAATTATTTAAACAAATATAAATAAATAAATTAATTAGAGCCATTAAATTTTATGAATATTGATAATAGCTTGCATTACAATTAAATCAATAATTTCCGTCTAGTAGCGTTTACATTTTCTTTAAAGATAAGGGGTAAATATATCAATATCAATTTTATTAAAATTTTATTTTGATTAAAAGTTTTTTGGTCTATCTTTCGTTTTTACCATGCTTCAGTAAATTTGCAGCCTATCGTTTGCACTGATTATCGAACTAATTTATATATTTTGAAAGCACTTTTTGAGAAAATAGATTTATTTAATTTTCGCCTAGAATTAATTTTAAACCCATTAATTATCTTCTATTTCACCAATTACTGCTCTAGTATGATTAAAATATTTGAGTCTAATTTAATTGAAGACATAAAAATTGTTACTCTATAAAATTTTTTTAAAATACAAGACTAAATACCAAATTCTGAATCTAAAAAATTTTTCAAAATTTATTGAATTTTAAAAAGACGTACCTTAAATTACTGATAAATAAATGTAAACTAAAATTGTGTGAATGGATATTTTAAATTATTTTTAAGTATTTCTTACTAACGCTTAAATATTTAAATTTTACCCTACCCTTTCAATTTTATTTTTGTATTTATAAGCAAAAAAAATTTAATTAAGAAGTAAATCAATTGCTTTTAATTGTGTGGTTTCAAAAGAAAGTAAAAGAAATAGAGATGATTTGATTCTTAATTATTAAAATCTATCCCACACTTATTTGATTCACTGCATTTTCCTTCTCTTTATTGATTTGAAATCAATAAAATAATGCGAAAGTGAAGAAAATAAAGTTTGAATTTAACAAATTGATTGATTTTATTTGATCATTGACTTATAATCATTAAATTGCGAAAAATATAGTAATAAATCAATCAATTAATCCTACTTAAACGAAGCATATAAATAAATGGATTAAAATATCAGCAAATTTATTGATAGAAAACCTCTAAAAGATAATCCAATAAGCATACTTGGGTAACCTGTAGCCCCTAGTATGAATTTGGACAATGAAAATATGGATGATGATGATAATTAGTTTAATCAAAACTAACCCAAATCAAAGTCTAACATTCGAAGCCTAGATGGTAATTATCTTTTTTGAAATATATACATTTATTTATATTCAATACATAAAATAAATTTTATTTTTTTAAGTTTATTTTCAATATTTATAAGATAAAATATTATCTAAGATAAAATACTTGATTTATAATAAATTAATCTCATCTTTATTTTTCTATTTATTTTGAATAAATAAAAAATTTAATTGATTAAGTATTTTTTATATTTAAAGTATTTATTAATTAAAAATTATTTTATGAAAAGCCCTAAGTTAAGATAGTAGTCCTAATAAATTAAACTCTGGAAAAGTAGTATCCGACCTAGTCCCTTAATAATAAAATCCTTAAATGGTTTCAGTCAAGATAAGCTCCTCTAAAAAGAAATGGATTATTGGTCTCACAGCTCTTGTTATTATCGGTGTAATTCTTGGAGGTGTCTTAGCCTATAAACTTAAAACTGACAATCGCAGTGATGAATATAAAGAGGTGATAAAAATACCTGCTAATTATAATTAATACAAAGAGTCCATCTTGTCAGGTTAAAATAATAATTTAGTTAAAATTATTCAAGTACCAAAAAGTTAGAAGATTTATGAATACAAGCTCTATAATAATCAAACTACTGTCTAAGGTGATGGGCAGAAAAAAATAACTAATTCATTAATTGTTCACTAATTTGGTCTTGTTTGTTCTAATGTTACTGAAGATGAATTTTAGATGTTCATTTATATTATTGACACAAAGATGTATGAGAACAACAATTTGAATAATTAATTAACTGGATTCCCAGGAATACTTGAAAAGGAGTAAGCCGCAGCAAAGAGAAATTTGAAATAATCTTAAAGTAAATTTTTTGATCAAATTATCAAATATTACCTAATTTTAAAAATTAAAAGAACCTGAAGATGTTGCTAATGATAGCAGTGAATTTAGAAACAAGTAATCAGATAATGCCCTTCAAAACGAATACGCTCCATTAAATGATGAAGAAATTAAAATGTTGGCTTAGAAAGGTATTACTCCTGAATAATTCTACTAATCTAGATACCCAATTATTTATTTCACTTTGGATAAGAACAGTAAAGTGAAGGAAATATAATAACCTATCAACTTGCGTTTAGATATCTTTTAGATCTATTTGAATATAATTGAGCAAGTCACTCCTATAGTTAAAAGTGATTTTTACTAGATTACTGATTAAAATGGTAATAAGAAGAGAATGCTTTCAATGTATACACAAAGAATCCTAAGTGGTGAAGAAGTAAACCCTAAGCTTACAGCTTCTATTGATGAACACGGTTAGGCAAATCTTAGCAAATAATTCGAATAAAATAAGGTTAATAGTAATGATTCTTCATAATCTTAAGATTACAGCTAAAACTCAGTTATCTAAAATGGTTCACTGCTTGAAAGTAGTGCTAAGTCCAATTTTAAGATGGATGACCACAAGGTAGATGAAAATGGAGATATGCCTTTATTCAAGGGTATAGAAATGAATTCTGAATGTAAAATAGCTTTTATACGTCAAGATGATAAGATTGATGACAACTTATTTAATTTAATTCATACGACTTTTAACTATATGAGTGTCCTTCCTTAAACTCTAGACGAAGCTTTAGATACTTACAACTCTGTATTTAACACATCTACTTAAAATGGTAATTCTCACACTGATTTAGATGGTGAAAAAATTAATGGTAGAATTCTTGAAAATAAGGGCGCTTCTCTTTCTCCAGCTATATAAAAGCCTATATTCAGAAAAAATATAGCTGCCTTCGAATTTGGTGCAGATGTAAGGTCTGAGTGCAATGATTCTGGATTCATAGGTAAAGAAGATATTTGTACAGTTGGTCTTTACAGCTACTTTAATGGTGCTTCTATCAAAATCGTAGAGAAACAAAGTAAGTTTTTAATTAATTATATCGATAAATAACACTTTTTTAAACTTTTTGTATTTTTTTATTAGCAAGAGTAAATGTCTCTAAAATCCTTAAACTCTATCAATATATTTAGCACTTGCTAAAGGATAAGCTTGATTTAATCAAAGATAAAGTAAATGGAAGACTTACAACAATTAAAAATGATATAGATGGCCTTATGGATGAATTAGAAATAGTCATTTCTATTGATAAAAATCCTGTTTTGAAAGAAATATACGATGTTGTAAATAATGACGAGCTACAAATCTTCAATTTAATTGCTGATTTAGAATAGTTCCTCAAAGTTACTGTCTCTAACATCACCAAACTTATCAAAGATCCATTAGGTACTTTGAAAGAAAGAATGCTTGGATTTTTATCAAGTAATAATATAAGTATTGAAAATTAAATTAATCACATTCAAAGCTTCCTCATCGATAGACTTGCAAAGATGAAAAAGCTTATTGATTTAGCTTAAACTACAGGTATCCCTAGCAGCTCTTATTAATAGATTTATCTTACTCTTGAAAATCTTGAAGATGTTTTAATTTAAATTATTGATGAACCCTTAAAGTAATATCTAGATCAAGTTGAAGGTTTTATTTTAGAATAAACCAACACAATGTTTGCCTCAATTAATGAAGTTGATAAATCTATTTCCTCATTAAATCCTACTTAAACTGTAGCAAACAGATTAAAAAAGATCATAGGTACTTCTCAGATTGTTGACACATTGAAATCCTTTATTAGCAAAACAGTCAAAACAATCGGTTAATAATATGATTTATCAGATTTAATGGCAAAAGCCTTGAAATAATCCATCAATTCTATTAAACAAGAAATCTATCAAAAACTAGAAGATCTCTAACAAAAATTCCCAAGCTCTTCTCAAAATGCACTTTCAAATCCCGAAATAGATCAGCTTTTAAGCGATTTCTCCAATATTACTAACTTTGCTGTAGATCTCACTTCTGGTATTAAAGAATTGAAGGAGGATGTCATTCAATTAGTCTAAACTGTTAAGAAACTATAAGAAAAAAAGACTCTTTCTATAATTACTGATCTAATTTAACAACTTTCCCAATTCCCTACTGACTTATTACAGAAATTAACTGAATAAGGAAAGGAGACTATTTCTAAAGCTAAAGATGTTGGTTCTTAAATGAAAGAACACATCCTTAACTGGAAAGATAATCTTGTTGAAAAGTGCAAGAAACTTCTTTCAGATTTGTCAGATATCTATGCAGATGTTAAGAAATTTTTAAGAAATACTGATTTCCCTGAAGATGATCCAAATTATTATAAAGTAAAAATAGATTTATTTTCAATTTACAATTAAAAAACATTTTTAATAACATAAATAGGCAGCTATATTTGATGAAGTTTAGGATATAGTTGAATCTGTACAAAGTATTATTCACTATAATTATGATGCAATAGGATAAACTTTTAAAAGATTCTCTTAAATTCCAGACAAATTTATCAAGTTTGTTAATGATTTAAAGCTTTTAGGTTAACGTTGCATGAACTACTTTGGAGATATTAAAATTGCCTTTACTTAAATTTACATTGATGAAAAGGAAGCTTGGAGTGAATTAAGATCATTGTTTGAATAACCTAAGGAAGATATTAGACAATAAATTTAACTCACTATTGAAACTGAATACAATTAAAATCTTAACAAAAAAGCCATACCAGAAATAAATAATGATATTAACGGGTTAATGAATAAGGACTTAGCAGCTTATAAGGGAGATGTTTAACAAAACAATTTTGATGTCTAAACACTATATAAAGACCTAATCCATAATCTCATAGTTGAGGCTTAGTTTGAAAAAATAATTGAAACTCCTCGTAATTTATCATATATCACTTATTCATCAATATTTACTTAATTATTTTTAATATAGCACTCAGTATTCCTTTTGAGTACGTTTACATGTATCCTACTCCTATTGGCGTGACCCTCAAGCTCAGATTATATGCAAGTTGGGATAATAGCTTGAGATTCAAATTAGCTTTTTACAATGCTACCCTTGATGTAGCAGCTGGTCTTTCTACTAAAGTAACAATAGGAGGAGAAGTCGGAGCCACAGTTTTTGTTGCAGAAGTAGGTGGTTATGCCGAAGGTACTTTCTTAGATACCTCTCTTATGTTAGGCCTTACCTTTAAAGTATTAGAAAAGGTGAGTTTTATATTTTATTATTTATTTTCTTTATACTGTATACTCTCATTAACTAAGACCCCCAAGGAAACTTTTTCTCTAAAATTTTGGGTCTTAATTCAAAAATTTTTTTACATTTTCTAAAAATGGGGTCTTAATTAATGAGAGTATACAGTATATACAAATTCATTCTATTATAATATTAATTCATTTATGTTTTATTAAAACAAAGTTCAAAGGATCATTTTATATTGATGCTACTTTTAGTCCTTATTACATCAAAATGGGTTTATATTATAAGACTATTTTTAGTATTGAGGTATTTAAATGTGCAGCAGAAAGGAGAAGAAATTTAGGAATCCTATCTGCTATTGGAGGTTTTCTCAAAAGTACTGTAGGTGCAGTTTTAAAGAATTCGAAGAATCCTATTGCTAAATTAGTTAATAAAGCAATAAATTGTCTAGCTACTTTAGAAATTGGTACCAAAAGACATGATATTTTTGAACCTCTAAGCTTAAAGGGTGAAACTTACAAAAAACGTTTATATGAAGTTGAATTTGGCCCTCTATAAAAAAATATATGATGATCGATAATTAATATTATGTATAATATATATTTATAATGCAAGTTTAAAAGATAAATAATTTATTAAATCATTTTTTGTTAATTTATAATGAATACAGATTTTATTAAATTTTATAAAAGCTAATCAAGTATGTTCAATTTTATTCTTCTTTATAAATTATTAATTTAATAACAATTATATAAATTCGAATACTACAGTGATTAATATTTAATGTATTGGTGTTTCTAGATAATTTATAAAATTTCCTTTAATTAATTTAAAATAATTGTTGTTAAAAAATAAACTTTCTTTACCACACTTCCAAAAAACGAGGCATTAGTGAAAGAAAAAAAATTAAACTAAATATTATTTTTAAGTAATTTAATTTAATTTAATTTGTATATACCTGTTTTTTAAATTTATTATTGCATATTGCAAGCTTGCTTTTAGATTTAAATATGTGTGTACCATCAAAATTAAAAAAACATTTAAAATTTAATAAAAAAATAGAAATATTGATATATATTTAATACTAACCATATAAAGATAAAAAATTTTTAAATAAATTAACTCAAAGTAAAGAATATTTATTCAGTCTTGCTCTCTCTAAATGGCCTCATCTAAAAACATAAAATATTAAATTTTAGAGTATAAGTATGTAAATAGTTTAATAGAATGCATAGTAGAAGCAGAAACACAAGAAGGATCATTTTTATACAACATGCGTATAAATAAAGAGAGGCTTGAATAAGTGTTTATTAACTTTTTAAAGCATGAAGACCTTTAGATTTATAATAAAATCTTAATAGGAATAGATACAAGTGATGATCAAGTGATAGCATTTGTAGTTGGTGAAGACCTTTAAGATGTCATTAAAGAAACAAATTAAAAGTAGGAAGATAAGGTGATCGATCAATATTGTGGAATTTAAAAATTAGTTCTTTCTGAAATGAGTGAATAATTTAAACTCCCTGGAGAGATGATGATAGTTGATAGCTATGGAGTTAGAAGGAGATTCTAGGAATTGAAAATAGGTTAAATAATTTTAACTAAATATCTTGACCATATAGAAAGTTTAGGTTACTTATGTCTCTCAGGACTCTGTACAAGTCGAGCTTGCCTCCATATTTGCAAAAAACTTGGGGGGAAAGTAGCAAAAAGCCTTCATCCAAAGGAATTATTTTGTATTGATTCAAGTCTTTGCTCCATGTTTAAAGAAAATATAGAGATCCCTATTATTTATTGCAAAAAATATTAAATGTAACAATAATAACTAATAAATGACCAAAATTAATGAAAAAAATAATATATTTTATTTAATTAATATAAAATATAAAAAATTATTTTGTTAAAGAGACTTAGTATCAAAACTAGATAGTTTTTAGATTTAATTCTAACAAATTTTGAAGAAAAATAACAAAAAAACGATAAATAATCTCTTAACTTATATAAAATTTATAAATAGCATGTTTTCATTCATAATCTTTATGTGTTTATTTTTTATTTATTTTGGCCTTACTCTTTTTATTTATTTATTATTTCTTATTGTAAAAGTCATCAAAAATTTAAAATATAAATTATATTTAAATCTTTTTTAAAATATTTCAATTTTGTTTTTTAATTGCAATAATACACTTTTTTGAAGTTTAAAAATATAATAAGAAACAATAACAAAATGTATGGATGAATGCATGTATATATAAATAGATTATATTATTTACAGGCTCGTTGTTTCTTTAAAAAAATATTTTATTTAACTCAAATAGTTTATTTTTCAAAGGCAACTTTTAATAATTTGGATATTTTTAGCACATCTTTCAGAGTTTATTGAACACCATTGAGAAGATTATATACTTTAAATAACTCCTTAGTAATCTGACTTTAAAACATAAGCTTTGATTTCCTTTTCGTTTACACATTTTTGACGATTTGAGAAGGAAATATCGATAAGAGCGTTTTAAAGACATTAGTTAATTGATTTATCAAGTCCATAGCATGCAGAAGTGTCGCTAATAGATTATTCAACTACTTTAGTGAAAATCTTCTTTGCCATAGCTGAAGTTATACTTAAGTTATTAGCCTTCATTGAGTCTAAGTCAAGGTTGAATTAAGAAGTGATGTACTTAATACTGAATGCATCAATACTCTTGGCAAGGAATTGATTATCAGGAGTGATAATAGGGATAAGCTAGTTGTTATTACCTTCATTTGCAATAATATAATCAACAGTATTAGTAATACAGTTGCATTTGGATGGTATGTTGCTTTCCAACTTTGCATTTGCTACAGCTTGAGCATAAGATTGATCTACTTTATCTATTGAAGCATCAAGTTCTTCAACTTCGATGACTCTGACCTTTTATACCTTATAACTTTCAAAGTTATTTAAATACTTAGGATTACTCTTCTTAGCAAAGTCGTTTTAATTCTTATCAGCCCCTCCAATATAGAAAACTTAGGTTTGTTGACCTTCAGGTAGGTGAACTCCTACAGTTTCAAAGAAGCCATTACCAAAGTAATTGGAAACAAAGTATTATTTTTGAATTACAGATTAGCTTGTCTAATCTTTACCACAAACATCAAGGATGAAGTATTGCTTATGACTGGTTTTTAATGATTGGTTAGCGAATAATACAAGCATATCAACTGTTTAGATTTTATCATCATCTACTTAATAGTTATCAGAGAAGCAGTTAATACTGGCACCTTAAGAGGTAATTGGAACATCACGAGCTTACTTAATTGATACCTTAACATTATTGAAAGCAGTTAAATCAGAAAGATAGCTTTCAAGGCTAGATTCGCAAATAAGTTAATCACATGAGAATTCGTCATTAACATTGAAACCATAGAAAATATTATACTTTTAGTTAGCTATAGCATATTTAGCCAAGCTAGAGGGATTAGCAGATTTACCATCTAATTGGACACCTGAGAGAGAGAGAATCATAGCATAAATAGCAGTCATAGATCCCTTAGTAGACATGGTAGATCTCTTTATTTACGAGTCATTACATGAAATATTGGGATCATTTAAGGATGTGTAGTATTACTTAAAAGAGGCAAAAGTGCATTGATTAGAATCAACTAAAGATTCGTTCATCCAAATAGGATTTTGAGTGGTGAATTAACTGACACCAAGTCTGACATTATAAAGTTAAGAGTTAGTATCAAAAAGATTAGAACTCTTAAATTAATTAGCTTAGGGAGTGGTGATAGAAGATACAGGAGTAGATGCCATTGAATCACAAACACCATTGTTGGTATATAAGTTTTTAATATCTTTGCACTTAAGACATTCCTTATGAGAAGGACCAGAGCAAGAAGTACAAGAAGAGTGGCAAGGAGAGCAAGTGTTTGTATTTTAATTCCAGTACATACCTGAAGTGCATTGATCACAATTGTCACTATCAGAACAGCTTAAGCAATTAGTTGCACAAGAAACACACTACTTTTAATCAGTGTTAAAGTATTAAGAAGTAATACATCTTTGTTTAGCAGTTTCAATCAAGACTTGAGTTTGAATTTCGCTAACACTTAAATCAGATTTAACAACACATTTAACAAAATCAGTGCTTGAAAGTCCATTTTCTGGTTCATAATCAGTTGGACATTAAGTAAAACACTTGAATTTAGAGTCAATTTGTAAGAAATAGTTGAAATCAATCTTGCACTTAGTACACAAGCTAGAAGAATCAACACATTCTTCGCATGAGAAATGGCAGGCTGATTATAAAAAAAATTAAATCTTAAAAAATTTGAATTTTAACAGATATAATTAAGTCATTACGCTTATTTGTGTTAGTTTTAGTGTCAAGATAAGTGTTCAATTATTTAGAAGGGTTCATACAAAATCCACCATCTAAAACATATCCATTTATACATGATAAGCACTATTTGGCATCAGGACCAGTACAAGTAGCACAATTATTGCTACATTTTTGGCATTCATAAGGATAAACTGTTTGTCTATATTCATCATCTGCACATTTTGTAGATCCACAGCATTAACCAGTTGGGCATGTTTTGCAACCACCATTAGGACTATTAAAGTAAAAAAATAAAAAAATTATATAAATATAAGAATATTTAAATTTTACTCTTTTATGAATCCATCAAAACATGATTAGCAATCAGTAGCCTTTGGTCCTGTGCATACTTTGCAGTATTTATCGCAATCGATACATTAGTTTCCTGAGCCATATTATCCAACTTTACATTAAAGGCAATTAGTTTCAGTTTGAGTATATCCAGATGGACAAGTAGTTATGCAAGTTCCATCAAGTAAAACGAATCCTGCGCTGCATTTGTTACAAATATCATTACCTTTATCATCTAATTATTAAATAAATTGTTAATTTTATTAATAAATAATAAAATGTTTAGTTACCATGAGTGCAAGATAAACAGTTTTTATCTTAGCAATTAGTGCAAGTACCATCAGGGTTTAAAGTAAAACCACTTTTGCATTCCTTACAAGACTTGAAATCAGCTGTACATCTACCACAATTTTAGATATCGCATTTCATACAAATATCTTAGAAACCATCAACAGGGGCTAATTTCAATTTTTATTCAGTTTACATATCAAAGTTACCTAACATTTTTACGCAATTTATTAAATTAGATGATCAAAACTTTATTTTATTTTACCTGTAACTTGTAAATTATCATTGGGATTATTGCAGTTCCATTATAATTAGAAAGCTTCAACAAAAAGCTTCTTGAAATCAGGGTTATATGTATTAACAGTGATCAAATTATTCGACTAAATATTTGAAAAGTTAATTAATTTGATAGTAAATAGAAGTTATAACTCAAATAGTTAAGTTTGATGGTAATTATAATTAAAATTTGTAAAGTTATCTTTTATCCATTAAATTTGAAGTAAGATTAAAGAGATTGGGGTAATATTTTTGGATGGTGTAATGTGAGGTGTTTCTCAAAATTAATTACACTTTTATTCATAGAAATATTTCACCAAATTAAATATGTAATTAAAGTGATTAAAGATGTAATATTTAACCAGAAAACTTTTGAGATATATTGTGTAAGATGTTTTATTGAATTTAAAACCATTTTTAAAATCTTGGTTTACACTTTTATCAAAATATGTACGCATATTATTGATTACTTTCAAATTTAAACTGAAGTTTGTATTTCATATTAAAAATAAATAAATAATTAAATATCATACATCTATGTTGAAGACATTGAATTTATCATTGAATACTGAGAGTTAATCGGCACTTCTTGTATAGAAAGCATTACCAGAACACAACTTACAGCTAGAATAAGTGGTGGAGAGAAGATTGATAAACTCTTGAGGAGCGCAGGCAGAATTCTTCTTGAACAATTCATTGAAAATATAGAATTCGGGAAGTCCTACTAAACCATAAGTAAGAGAAAGCTTTTAGTTTTTGCTCTAAAGGGCTATTTCTATTTCGTTAGCAGTATTTCTTTCAATTATTTGAGCAATTTGAATAGGAGACTTGCCATCTAACTCAGCAACATTTGAAATGTCAGAGAAGTAACAAATTGATTTCTTCTAAGCAAGAGTCATTATTTGATTAGAGAGGCCAGATACAGCACTACCGTTATTGCAAGTACCTGCGTCAATAATATCTTATACAGTCTTCTAAGAATTAACAGTAACACTAGAGAGACATAGTATTACAAGCAAAAGAGAGCTGAATTGCACTCTTTTTAAGGATTAGTTTTGCATTTTTTATACTACCTTTAAGATTTATTCTTTCTTAGAAAATGGGTAAAGAAAGTTTAGTCTTTTTTATTATTTTTACTATTTTTTACTTTTGTAATTAATTATTTGGGAAAAAGTGACTTTTAACTAATAATGCTTTTATTATACGATAGATTATACAAGTCTTATTCTAAATATGACAGAATTCAAAAGTTAGTAGATGACTGTAAATTACTTCAATAGATCAGTATTAAATTAAATGAATTCGCTTCAACTTAGGTTATATTTAACCTATCATTTATAAAAAATCAATTCTTATATCTTATAGAACTATACAAAAGAAGTATAGATGGATAGCTAGTTACCTATCTATCATATTATTGAATGTTAAGGTAAAAAGAATAAAACAGCGGGTGGGAAACTTTGATAATTGTTTAATATATACTTGCTATAATTTATACACTATTACCAATTTATAAATTTTATTTTCGAATTAATGAAAAGTATTAAATCATTCACCTTCTCTGTAGAACTAATTTAAAATTAACTAGGTCACATTTATTGATTTGAGAGCATTTATTTTGAATTTTGTAATTCAAATAAAGTATGGGGTAAGATTTTGTTTCAAAAAATATAAAAGTTTTTGTGGTTTATATAATCTTTTTAAATAATTTGATGTTGGAAGTATTTGTTCCATTCGTTTTAGAAAAGTTAAGATTTTGTTATAGTCATTCAAAAATAGAAATAAAATGGATTAACTTTTACTTGGTTACATATATTTTATTTAACAAAATGGAGTTAGTGGCTAAATTAATATAAAGAATTAAGATAAAATAAAGGAATATTTTAATATGTGCATATATTGTTATAGTTATGCTTGAAAACTTCAACTATTCTATTTACTTCTTAATAGATAAAAAACTTGTGGAGAATTTGATCCTTTTAAAATTTTATTCATCAAATATGATTATTATTGCTTTATTAAGCAAATTTAAACTCAAATAAATACAAATCAAGAGCAATAGAACAATAAATTGAAAATAGCTTTATTAAATCTTTGATTTTTGCTCACTCATAATTTATTTAAATCTAAAAGATTAATAATTAAGTCAAAAAATAAAGACGAAAAATAAAATATCTGCGCCAATGGATACTAATTTATAATAGCTCTAAAATGATAGAACTTCATTGAATAACAGCAGAGTCAGTAACGCTGAAAGAAATCAAATCAAAATTGCTGATAATGATGAATAGAACAAGTCTCTCAACGTAAGAACTCATAAAAAGAGACTTGACATAACATCTCATAACTTAGAAACTGACAGTAAAAATTATTTTTTGGCTAAATCATTTTAAAATAAAACTTGTCTAAAAATAAAATAATTTAATTACCAACATTCTTTATGAATTAAACTTGTTTAAAAATATTTTTGGTAATTAAAAAAATTCCAGTAATTTAAATTTTTTTATTCTAAAAATAGACTTACAAGAAGATTAAATTTCTCCAAAGAAGCCTAGTGATTCAATTCCTTAGACAATAGTCAACACAGAAGCTCCATAGTTAGTTGCTGTGAAGGCAAGCTCAAACAAGAAAAAAATCTGGATCGGACTAGGTGTATTCTTTGTAATTGCCATACTTGTTGGTGGTATAGTAGCTTACACTCAAGTCAATAAATCAGGAAAAAGCGGTTCAGGTAGCACTCCTTTTGTACCTGTTATATAAGTCCCAGCTAACTACGCCAAGTTCTAGTCCTCTATTGATCAAGGATAAGAAAAAAACCTTGTAAAAATCATTCAAGTCCCAGAAACTCTGAAATATTATGACTACACATTAAATAATGAGTAAACAACTACTGGTGGTGATGGAAAAGCTAAAGTCTCTATCTCAACTATCATTCATAGAATTGGTCTTTTCTGTTCTTCAGTTGATGATCATGAATTCGATATGTACTTATTCTTTAAAGAAACTACTATGAAAGATGATGGTAAGATTACTAACACATATTAAGGATTCCCAGGAATGCTTAACTTGAACAGCAACAACTCTACAGGAAGATTCTTAAAGAGTAAATTTTAAAAAATTAAATATTTTTATTTTAAAATTTAATATTTTTAAAAATAGAAGATGAATAAGTAAGCTAATAAAACAGTGAATTCCTTGCCTCTTCATCTATTTAATCACTTGCCAACGAATATAACCCATTAACTCAAAATGAAATTGAATTGTTAAAGAAAAAGGGCATTTCTGTAGAATAATACTTAACTTCATCTTATCCCATCATTAGATTTAAGCTCGGAAAAGATGGTAGCATTCTCAGAATTTATCTCCCTATCAATATGAGATACGATTTACTCTAAGTCTACTTGAATGTCATGGAATAAATTGCTCCAATCGTTAATTCTGAAAATTACAAAATTAACTAAAAAGATTCCAATGGAAAGAGCAGAGTTTTGGAAGCTAAAAACTAATTCTTCTAAAGAATTCTTGACGAGGTCGTACCTGCTGATATGGAAGCTACAGTCGATGAAAACGGTTAAGGTTTATTAAAAAAATCTTTCAACTAAGACAAATAGAGCTCAGGTAGCGGTAAAGAATCTCTTTCTTATACTTAAAATTCTAAGATTCAAAACGGTGCTTTGCTTGAAAGTAATGTCAATTCTGGTTTTTCTATGTCTGATAACAAGAGCTCAACTAGCCAAGATGATATGTCAGTCATTAAAGGAATTGATCTTAAATCAGATTGCTCCATTAAATTCGCTGAAATGATTGAAAATGTTCCTTAAGAACAAATTAATTAAATTATCTCTACTCAAACCAAAATGTCTACTTGGGACTACACTTTATAATAAGCTTAAGATGCTCACGCTGCTATGTTCAAGAAATCTTAAGCATCAGGTATTCCTGAAGATAATGAAGATGACTAGCCTAAAGGTAGATTTTTGGCTGCTGATAAGGTTATTGGAGATACCATCTACAAACCTATTTACAGAAAGAATTTCGCTTCAATGGAATTTGGTGCTGATTTGAAATCTGAGTGTGTTGAATCTGGAATGATCGGTGAAGATGATATCTGTACTGTTGGTCTTTATAGTTTCTTCAATAATTCTACTTAAAAGCTAGTTGAAAAAAAGACAAGATTGAATGTTTCAAGAATTTTAAAATATTATCAATATATCTAACATATTCTTACTTTCAAGATGGATGAAGCTAAAACCATTGTATCTACAAAATTAAACAAAATCAACGATTCTCTTAATGGAGTTCTTGACTAATTAGAAATGTTGATTGATGTCCAACAAAACCCTGTTATCAAGGATATCTATAATGCTATTAACAATGATGAATTACAAATCATTTCAACTATTTAAAACTTTGAAAAATTGATCAACCTTTCTCTTAAGAATATTGGTGAATTGATCAAGGATCCTTTGAATACTTTAAAAGAACGTACTTTCTCTTTCCTGGCTGAGAAATAAATCAATATCGAAACTCAAATCAATTCAATTCAAAACTTCTACGTTAACAAGCTCCTCAAAATTAAGGACTTTGTTATGAAGGCCAAGAAGGATGGCATAGATGAAAAGACTTACAAAAAGATTAAAAATATTTTAGAAAACATTGACGGTGTTATTGTATAGCTTGTTGACAAACCAGCCAAATAGCTTCTTGAAAAAGCTGAAGTTATGATTAACGAATAAGCTAGTAAGATCTTTGCTCACAATAGCGAACTTGATAAGAAGGTTAATTCTCTTACTGACTCTGTCACTCAATAAGTCCCTGCTTAGTTGAAAAAAATGTTAGGTTCTGGTTTCTTAGCTGATTAACTTCAATCTTTTGTTCAAAAGGGTATTTAAGAAGTTGTTCAAAAGGTTAACATCACTGACATCCTTTCAACCTAATTTAAAAAAGTAGTTGGAGGAATCAAAAACGAAATCCTCAACCAAATGGATACTATTGCTAAAAAAAATGATGCTACTGTTGATGCTGATATCAGATAACTTCTTGATGAAGCTACTCAAGTATATACTTTCTCTGCTGACTTATATTCTGGTTTCCTCTAGCTTAAGGATGATGTTAAAACTATTGTTGAATAATTGAAGAAACTTCAGTCTGAAAATGTTTACAAGGTTCTTCTTGACTTAACTAAAAGTCTCACTGGTTTCCCTACTGATTTGGCATAAAAACTTCTTGACCAAGGAAAAAGTACTGCTGCTAAGGTTGTTGAAATTAGTAAGAATATGAAGGCTAATGTTATTAAATACCAACAAGACATCACATCAAAATCTCTCTAATTGCTCAATGATATGAAAGACATTTATAAAGAAGTTAAGGCTTTCCTTAACAAAAGAGATTTCCCTGAAGATACTGCTGAATATTATAGTACTCCTTTATTTGATGAAGTATCTACCATTATCTAGAATGCTACCCAAATCTTCAACATAAATTACTCTAACATCACAAACACTTATGAACGTTTCAAATAAGTTCCAAATAAGTTCTAAAAATTCATTACTGACTTGAAGAATCTTGGTGACCGCTCCATGGATTATTTCAATTAAGTTAAAATCTCTTTCCAAAATATCAAGACTGATAGTAAATTATTCTGGAATGAACTTGTTGCTAAATATGCTCAAGTTACTAATAAGAGAATGCTTTAAAAAGGTACTCCCTAGCTTCCAGGAATGGTTAATGATATTCGTTAAAAGATTGCTGATTCTGTTAAATCTTATACATCTAACCTCTCCACTCTTTTTGATGAAAACTTCAAAAATGATATATTGACTAAGGTTTAAGACACTGTAAGTAAATCTGTTAAAACCGTTGTAGAAGACAAGCTTAATCAAGCTAAGGAAGGTAATTTCTAAGGTCTTTTAGATGTTTAAAATCTCTACTAATCTTTGATTGCAGAATTGGTTAAGAACTTTGAATTTGAAAAGAATTTAGTATTCCCTCCTGTTAAACTTCCTGTTGAATACACTTATGTTTATCCCACTCCTATTGGTGTCACTCTTAAGCTAAAAATCTATGCTTCTTGGGATACTAACATCCGTTTTAATGCTCTTTTTAAAAATGCTATTTTAGATTTAGGTGCAAGTGTTTCCACTAAGGTTAATGTTGGTGGTGAAGTTTCTGCTTCTGTTGTTGTTGCTGAAGTTGGTGGATATTGTGAAGGTACTTTCTTAGATACTACTCTAACTGCAGGTATTAATGTCTAAGTCCTTAAAAACTTTGAAGGTAATCTCTTTGTTGACGCCTAATTTAGTCCATATGACATCAGATTAGGTCTTTACTATTCAACCATCTTCTCAAAATAAACTGTATAATGTGCAAAGGATGTTGTTAACGGTAAGAGAGTTTTAGGTGCTCTTGATAAAGTTACTGATTTTGTCAAGTCTAATGTTGGTGCTATTGCTAATAGCTCTGATAACCCTGTTGTTAAGAAGGTTACTGATACTGCTTCTTGTGTATAAGGTACTGTCTCTCAACCTTAAAGAAATAATATTTTTGAACCTTTAGCACTTAAGGGTGAAACTTACAAGAAACGTCTTGTTGATATCTCTATCAGACGTAGTTCAAACAATGATTAGAAAAAGAGAAGAGAACTTTGAAAATGTTTAGATATAAAAAATAATGATTAAATTAAATTAAAAGATTAGTAATATCTATCATTTATATATAAATATATTTTTTTTATCAACCATTTTAAATATTTTTAAAAATTTTATATTTTAATTTCCATTAAACTTTTTTCATTTTTTAAACTGATATTAATAGATTTATTTTTATTATAAATAATATCTAATAATATGATGAAAGTAATGAAACATTAAAGAGAAGCATTTAATGTAAGATTTTTTATAGTGAATCATTCAAAATATTTTATAATTTGAAAATATTAAAAATTCAAATAAAAATTTAAACTATTATGTAGCTATTTTCTGGATTCTTTTTAAAGAAGAGTAAAAAATTTTGTATTTTAACATATAAATTATTAAAAATATGAATAATTATTTATTTTTTTATGATTAATTTTTTTCATTTTAATTTAAAAAATATTTTATTTTTAAAAATTGATTATTTTCATTTATATTTAAATAATTAAATAAAATTTAAATTTATATAAAATATCATGATTAGCTATATTTAATTTGTAAGATCATACAGACAAAATTTTTAGTAAAAGTTGAATTCATTTATTAAAATAACAAGAGAAATTTATTCAATTTAAAGTCATTATTTTAATGTGATAAAATACGTTTTATTTAACTTTGATTTTTTATCTATTAAAAAAATTTTTTTTTTTAATTTAAAAATTGATTTGTGCTTTTTATAGTATCTAATATTATTTAAAAGCATCAATAAATTTGATAAAAATAAAAACTCTAAAGAGATGAAAATTTTAGCTATTTTCTTAGCGTTTTTAGTAATCGCTTTACCTAAAAGTAAGTTTATTTTACAAAAAACAAAGCATATATTTGATTTTTATATTAGGAATAGGTTATCCTACCCAAATAAGCACCCCTAAATAATTATATGCATGTTATAAGAGTAATGAAGATAATATAAATAGATATTTAAGTCATGAAATCTATCTTAAATGTGAACTCGTCTCAATGCGTTTTACAAACTGCACTTTAGTTGATTCAAAATTTGATTAAACTGTAGTCTCAAGTACTAGCTTTTAAGGATCTGACATGACTGGTTCTTCTTTTACTGATACTAGTTTTGAAAATTGCAACTTTGAAAATACTATCCTTAATGATATTAAGGGATTCTTTAATAATTTTAATAATGTAAACTTCTAGTAGGCTAGCTTAATAAATATGTAAAATACAAAGAGCGATTTCTCTAACGTTAATTTTCAAGACTCGGATTTATCTGAAAGCAGTATAATTGAATCTAACCTATAATAAAATAGCTTTTCTATGGTTAATCTTTTTGGAGTATATTTTAGAGGATCTAATCTCTCATAAGTCACTTTTTCAAGCACCAATTTATAAAATACAAACTTTGATAATGCGATTTTAAGCTATGTGACTTTTATTGAAGCATATATATCAGGATCTTAATTTTATAATACTGAGATGAAATTTCCATATTTTACAGATTCCAAATTATAAGACAGTCAATTTATTAATTCAAATTTCTACTTAGCTTTATTTTATCAATCCATATTATCTAATGTCAAGTTTTAAGATACAAATTTGTAAGATGCTTAGTTTGAAAATTGTGTTTTTATCAATTTAAATATAAATACATCTAATCTATCAAGGGCCAAATTTTCTAATGCTGACTTATAAGGTGCTAGTTTGTAAAATAGTATTTTTGATGAAGCTACCTTAATAGGTTCAAATTTTGAGGGAGCTGATTTATCAGGATCTAAATTTACCAACGCTAATTTGTAAGGTGCTAATTTTTAAAATGCAAACTTAGATAATGCTATTTTTAATGGGGCTAATTTAGATGGTGCTGTGTTTACAGGTGCATTTACTGACACTGCAGATTTTGAGGGTGCGAATTTTGGTAATGCTATTTTTTGATAACTTTATTATAAATAGATTACAAAAATTAAATAAAATGAAAATATATTTTATTTTAAAAATTAAATCACTCATTAATTATTAATTAAATAATTTTTGATTTGCTGTAATTTAAAGATTTATTATACTATTTATCAATTTGGTATTCTCAAAATATATGAAGGAATTATTTTTGAAATAATTTTATTAATTTTAATTAATGGTTTTTATCTGAGAGTAATTTTAAAAAATGAAATATCTAAAACAAAACCTTGATATTTCAAAAAATAAAAAACCTTTTTTTCCTATTTCTATCTATTTCTAGTAGAACTAAAAGATTATTTTATTTAATTATGAATACTTTGATTAAATCATAGTATCTTTTTAATTTCATTGCTTATTTTATATTATTAATTAAAAATAAAATTTTATATTATGTTTTAATTTTTAATCTGATAAAAATTTTTTGATTTTAAATTTATTTATTTTATAAATAATAGTTTTATAAATAAATAATTTTATTAAGTTATTTTAATATATATATTTTTTAATAATTAATGTAAATAAACTTTTCTTTTTTAAATTAAAATGGTTCAATCGTTTTAATTGTGTTAAATTTGAAAATTTCATCTTATCTTATTCAGAATTTTTTATTCATCTATTGATGGCTCATCAACAATTTATTCATTTAAACAAATTTCTACTAAATTTTATTCGTTTAGCAATATTTCCTCTTCATTATCAAATTTTTAGAAAATTATAGGATCTACATAAGGATACACATAACATTTTTTTGGTTTATTAATTATGGATAGTACTTGATTAGGAGCATCTATCATCACTCCATGCGAGGAATCATGTAAATATAAAACATATCCTGAGAGTATATTCTAATTGAATAGATTTTCACAGCCTTATGAATCCATAAAGTCGTTATCCCCATACAAAATGTAAAAATCTTTTTTCATATAATGAGGCCTGTTTATATACTCATTTGAAGAGAACAATTCTTCAAGAGATATTTAGGGATCTAAGCTTGGATAATCAACAAGATCATGTATATAAGAGTCATCACAGCTGGGTAGATTAAATATAGATTAAAAGTATTTAACAAACAATAGTTTGTTTTCATTACTTTCGTTTTTCAAAGACTTATTAACTACTGTTTTCAAAATATAATTTTTTGGAATGTACCATTTATCTAAAACTGATTAAGGTGTATATCTATTTTATTTAGCACTACTAGATAAGTAATTAGCTATGTAATTTAGTATACCATTATCTTATTCTTCTTCTTCTATTTCTTATTGCTCTTCTTCAGTCTTTTCCAAGAATTCTTTTGTTTATTCTACATTTTAATCATTTAATTGCTTTTTTGTACCTCCCATAGGTGAGAGTAAAAAAACCTAATTAATTCTTTCAGGATATTAAAAATAATAATGAGATGCTATATATCCACCAAAAGAATGAGCTACAACAGTAAAATTCTCTATACCACAAGCAATTCTCCATTTTTCTAAAATATCAACAAAAAATTCAATTACTTGAGTAGGATTATTCTACTCCAGTTAAAAGTTCCACCTATCAGATAAACCCATTCCAGGCCAGTCAAATGCAAATACTTTATAATTTTTACTTAGCTTTTTTATTATTTTATAGTATCCCATGCTACTTCCTCCATAACCATGCAGCAAAACAATAGATGGTTATTCATAATTACCACATTTTATCGTATGAATATTTACAAGTTATTAATTTGATACAATCTTTTATGAGAAGCTCATTATATCAACATTGTAAATAAAACCACAAACTTTTTCTAATATCTATGCTTCTACTTCTATCCCTTGTTCATAGTATTTGCTTTTTTAAGTTTAACTCTTTGCTTCCATTTTATATACTTATATATTTATGATATTTTTGATTTACTATTAAGATAAATTTTTTGCTAAGTGTTGTAATATAGATAGATATATCAAAAATTCAATTTCAAAGAGCAAAATTAATCAATCATGCATGCTAAAACTTTTTCATAAATTCTTTTTTAAAATTAATAAATTTAGAAATACATTTATAATTAAACTAAAAATTTGTTTTTCTCTAAGAAAATTTTAGCATATGGATACTTTTAAAATACATTTTAATGTCTTATAAGCAAATATAAAATTATAAAATTATTTTTATTAAGTATTTATTAAATATTTTTGTTTTTATCGCTTCTCACTTAAAAACAGATAATAATTTTTGATGTTTTTTGAATTAGCACTAAATACAAAAAAATATCTAAAAAATAAAATTTTATTATTTAATTTGAAAAAAAATTTGTAAATTTTCATAATAAGATTTTATTTTATATTATTAAAATTTATTTTAATGTAATTAAAATTTTCTTCTAAATTTAGTCCAGTAAAACGCACAGATTAAAAATAATACAGCCAGAATTAGTTTTTCTTTAAGTGGTAAACAAAGATAAAGCATAAATTATGTAATACAAAACCTGAACAAATAAATTAGATAGTTAGTTAGGTAATTATTTAAATAATCTCACCACAAATTGTCATAAAAATAGACAACATTAATTATCTAATAGTTGTTTAGTAGCATAAAAGAAAAAATTATTTAGATTAAAAGCCTTTGATATCTCTGCTTAATTCATAAATAATGTTTATGTTTTTGTTAAATAACAAATAGTTTAATTAGTTTATATATTTTTTATATGTATATATAGAGTAATGCTAGCTAGCAGTCGTTGAATTAAGCAGCACTTAATTTATTATATTATGATTATTCATCACTCATTTTATTTAAGGACTGTAAAATCTATTAATAAATTTAAGTGCTTCCACCTTTTATTGGTTTAAAATGTTTTGATATCTTTAAGTGTTATTTACATTTTATTAGATTTAAATTTGTTATTGTCTTAAAATTTTCTCTTGGTTGAGCATCATTTCAGTACTAATTAACTTTTCTGTAGTTGATACCTCAAACTAAGGAGGTTCAAAACACATTGCAGCTTCATCATCCTCTTTGAACATAAGAGTATTGTCTTCTGAACTAGAATTTTCATACTCTGACATACTTATAAACTTTTCCTAATTTTGGAATATCAAAGAATTAATTGCTCCTTAATGCTACTATTACAAAGGTCTTTCTAAATAATTTTAAGAAGCGTTTTTTATGTAGTCTTCATTATTTTTATTGAAACTTTAAGTGTTTCTATTCTTTAAAAAGTCAAAATCATAAGAAATAACAGATGATTAGTCTTCTTTAAAAGATCTCCTATCATTTATTACAGTATTAATAGTAGTATGAGAGAGATTAATATATTACTTTTCGCCATATTTGTCTTCTGTTAACATAGAATCTATCCCATGATCCTTCATTTTTTTTCTGATATCCTTCAACTTCTCTAAAAGTAAAGGATCGATTATAAACTGCTTTGCTAGTAGTATATTAAAATTTTGATCATCCAAAGGGACTGTATGAAGTCTAGATATACAAGGTAATATAAAACCATCTAGCGTATGTATATAAACGGAAATGTCTTTATTATCGCAATCTGGAAATTAATGTTTAGTAAAAATCTTCATGTCACCCCCGTAGTTGAATGATCCTAACTTCATCAAGCTACTAAGAAGTTAATTTCTTTTAGATAGTATTACATTTCCAAGCTCATACGTACCCCCAACTGCTATTTTTTTCATCTCCATTGATTCCATATCCATGCTGAGCACATTTATAAGGACTATTTTAGATCCATTCCTCACAATTTTCTTTGTTGCTTGTATTACTTTTTGGTAAAGCTTTTCTCTGTCGAAAGTATGATTGATACCCTTTGAATCTAATTTATCTGCTGTGCGTAGTAATTTCTAAAAATTGAGATAGTTTTTTTCTATCTATTTTGCCATATCATAAGCTTCTTATGAAGATAAAGACATCAATTATTTAATTATGTGGGAGGGGTCTCTTACTTACTGAAAAATACTATCAACTTCCAAAATACCTATTTTATCATTGATGTATTCTTTTATTCCTAAAATAGGTTTATATTTTCTCTAGTATTCTTCATCATAAAATACATGATTAGTAAAATATCTTATATCAAATGGAGCATCATAATATAGCATAAACTTTTCATATTAATTTATATTTTATATCAAAGGAATTTAAAACTAAGCAGTTTAGACTGGAATAATTTACTATTATTCATCATTTGATTCCCTATTAGCATCATTTTGTAAACTATTTTTTGCTTACCAATTACAATACCCAGTTTAAACTAATTTCATTTTAGACATTTATGTGCTATAGTTCTAAAATGCAGAAAAAGCGAGATTTGATTTTTTGTTACTGTTTTTAGTTTTAATTTACTAAAATTTGATTTGATTACTAATTGCGTGATCAAAAAGTATGATAATTAATTAATTGCTTTATATTTATTAATCATTATTTTATTACTTAATTAAAATTTTTTATTAGATATTTTAGGATAGACATTACCACAAAAAAAAATGTATTTATCATTCATTCATTTATCAATCTGTCTATCTATCTATTTGCCTATTAATCAATCTAGAATTTGGGAATTTTAATTTTATATTAAGTATTTAAAATTTTAGATTTTAATCTACCAATAAACCTTTATTTAGAAAACTTCAATTATAAAGCATTTTAGAATATATCATTTTATTAAATTTTAATTGATTTCTATTCAATAAATAATAAATAAAACTCATACTCATAAAATTTAAAGATATAATTATTTCATTCTAGAATACAAAGTTAAATAATTTATAGATTAATTTCAATAATTTAAAATATTAGTAATTTTCAAATATATTGTAACTCATAAAAATAATACTTTGATAGATAATTTAATATTTTGCTAATCTAAAATTATTATAATAATTTAATCATATAAATATCAAGAGCTGGTAAAAATGTTATATTGAAGGATTATTCAACAAAATAGCAATTACTAAAAATGTATAAATAACATATTTAATTTTTATTTTAATTTATTAAAATTTTACTTTGCTTATTAAAGATTAAAATTATTCTCTTTCTTTGATTCATTTTAAAATAAACTACAAAATAAATAATTTAGGATGATATTTTAATAATATAAAAAATATTTCTTGCTTTAATAAGTATCCAACAAAAATATTTTAATTTATTAATTTTTTCTAAATTTTCTAACAATAATTTTCATTCTTTATGATGATTTTTTTAAAAAGAAAAATAATCTTTTGAAAGATAATAAATTTACTAAAAAAATATCTTATAAAATATTTTTTATTAAAATTTGCTTATTTTTTAATAGTTTACTCAAATCTCATCCATATTTACTAACACTACATGCATATAATTATGATTTATTTATTTAAAATTTTTATGCAATTACGATTTAAAATATATTTATTTAAAATAATTTTCTATTTTTGAATATTTTACACACTTTTTTATCTAAAATAAATTTTAAAGTTTCAAATAAAACCAATTTAAAATTAAATTTTTTTAAATAAATCTAATATTTTTTAGCATTTTATTTTAGAATATTTATTCCATTTATTTGTATATAAAATATCTCTAGAAAAAAAATATCCATAAATCTTTATTTTTAATGGGATGATAGAATTTTTTTACTTTACATATCTAGTTTAATAAACTAAATCTATAAATACATGGTTTATAATCACAAGAGTAATTAAATTATATTTTGATACATATTGTACCAATCAATCTTTGAAATTATAATAAAAAACAAAAAAAGACTAATAAAAACAGTTTATTAATGTACTAAGAATCCATTGTCAAAAGTTAAAAACAGCTACAAGAATAACTCATAAAGAACAGTGAAAACTTGGCTTATGAATATTTAAAAAAGCGCAACTATGTTATCCTATAAAAAATAGGGCATGGATGCTATACTGAAACTTTTACTGCCTTTTAAGCTAATAACAATCAAATAGTAGTAATAAAAGTATTAATAGATATGAATAATAAGGAATATATAGACGCCTTTACTAAAGAAAAGAATTTATTAAAGACAATCAAAAACAATAAATATTCTCTATAGATAATTGATGATTTAGAAGACAAAAATTTAGATTTCGCAGCTATAGTTGTAGAACATTGTGATTGTAATTTTATTATATTAATATTTATTCAAACTTATCTTGAAATTTAGGTGATCTTGCTTAAGTTTTAGACTTAAATAATTTGACATTTGAGTAATTAGTTGCATTAACATTCTAACTTCTAAATGGATTACTAGTATTTTAATTAAATGGAATAATTAATGGAGGCTTAAAACCTTAAAATATTCTTTATAGCAAGCAAAAAAATCTTTTTATTTTAGGTTAATTTTTAATTAAAAAAAAAATTAAATAAATATCTTTTATTACATAAAAGCTGACTTTAGACAATCTTAAATATCTAGCTAAAATTAAAAGCAATCCTCTGGCAATGTATTTTCATATTTTTAATTAATATATTAACGAATATTTTAAAGGATTAATATTTTTATGGAGATTAATGCTATAGATCACCTGAAGTTTTGAATTAATAGAAGCCTCCTTATACTTTCAAAGTTAATTAAGATTATTTTTTTCTAAATTAAAAACTATTTTATAAGAAGATATATTTAATATAGATAAAAATAATTTTTTATTTATAGAAGGCTGATGTATTTTCTATTGGATAATTGCTAGTAGAAGTATTTCTTCAAAGAAAATTAAGTGTTAATGAGTCAATGAATCTTAAATAAAAGAGCTTATTTGAAGCTATCCCAGATCTGAAAAATTATTAAAATAATACATTTATAAACGATATTTTAATAAATATGGCTAATCCAAACTAAGACTAGAGATTAGAACCTTTTGAACTTTTATAAAATATGCAAAAGTTTACAGTTAATGAGAGTTCATTAAAAAATTTAAAACTAAACAAAAACGAAGGCGAAAATATACCTTATGAAACTAGCAAAGCAACAAATAAAAATAATGTTATTATTCCAATATCTGTAAATTTAAATAGAACTAATTTTGAGGAATCTTATAATTATTAAGATAATAGTTAATAGTAATAACAATTGTCATTAATATAAAATAATAATTAAATATAAAAGAATCCATAACCTAATAGTTTTTAGGTAGTAAGCAAAGAATTAAAAAGAAAATCTTTTGGTAAATTTCAAAAAATAACAGAAAAAAAGATCTTAAATGATTGCTAAGAAGTTGAGCTGAAATATCGGTAAAATATATTATTTATTTTAATATTAAATTTTGATATTTAATTAAATAAAAAGCTCTGTTTTTGATGAATATGACATATTTTGCTGCTGTTCTTATCCAGTAAAAATAAGTGATGTTACTAAAGCTCTTAAAATAATATCAAATAATCACAATATAATTTCATTGATCTTAAATTTATAGTAATTTTTATTCATTTGCTTTTTTATTTTAATTATCTTAAAATTGTTAAAAAAGATAGATAGATAAATTAAATTATTTGTGGTATTTCTTATTTTTTATTTTATTTTAATTATTATCAACTAATTAAGCGATAAATAGATAAATAAATAATTCATCATATTTTTGGCAAGTTCTACCTTTTAAATAAATTAATTGATTAATTAAAATGATGTTATTAATAGTTAATTTCAAATATTTTTAATTTATTGATTAGTTATCCAAACATTTTTTATTCTATTAATTTAAATAACTATTTAATTTTATCAAATTATATTATAAAAAAGTTTAATTGGAACAAAATAAAATCATTTGTCATATTCAATTATTCCTTCCTCAAATCTATTTATTAATCTAACATAAAAAATAAATCAAAATATTCTAATTAATAAAGATCAAATTAAATCAATGAAGAGGGTGCCAAGGCTATTGGAATTAGCTTAGAAGAATGCCATAATATTTCACTTTTAAACTTAATTCTTAAGTAAAATTTATTTATTAAATTTAAAATTGCTAAAAATAATTAAAAATTTTTTTCACGATGTATGCTAAATTATTTTAAATTTTAAATTCTTTTTTGGACTATTTATTTATTTAACTTGTTAATAATATATATCAAGAATTAATAATATTGGTGATCAGGGGCTTAAAAATATTTGCTTAAGTCTTCAGAACTGCAGAAATATTACAAGTTTAAATCTAGATTTAGCGTAATTATTTTTTTTTCTAATTTTTAAAATTATCCAACCTAATAATTTATGGTTTTATTGTTAAGAAATAAAATTATATTTTTTCTAAGTTATAATGGAATTCATGAAGATGGAATAAATTATTTTGGATAGAGCCTCTAAAATTTCTATAGCATTACAAATTTGAGCTTAAATCTTGAGTAAAATATTAAAATATTTTATATTTGATTGTATATCATTAATTAATTATTATTTTTCAATTATTACATTAAAATATCAGTTTTAATTCTTATTTAAACAACTAAATTTTTAGCAATAGTTAAATAAATAAATTATTATTTTATATAAAGGAATAACAATTTTAGTGCAGAGGGAGTTAAAATTCTTGGGACTCACTTAGAATAATAGCAAAACATTAGTTTTTTAGATCTTAATTTAGGGTAATTTTTATTTTTCTTTAGCATATATGTATATATAATAGATTTAATAAATAAATTTAAATATTAAAATTTCAATTAGTTATGAATTGAAAAAATAAAATTTAACTTTATTTTAAAAGTGGAATCAAAATAAATGATTTAGGAGCAACCTATTTAGGAAATAGCTTATAAAAGTGCCAAAATATTGTATCTTTAAGTCTTAACTTATTGTAAATTTATTTTTTTTTTACTCAATAAAAACTTCTAAATTCAAATACTTGCATTTATGAAGATATCAAAATATTTTTTACTAAATTTTTATAATATATATTTTTAACTATTTCAATTTTTTTTTTAATAATTATTATTTAGTAACAACAATATTGGTGAAAGAGGGGTTAAAGCTATTGGAACTAGCTTAGAACAATGCTAAAATATCTCTTCATTAAATCTTAAACTTGAGTAATTATAATAAACTAATTTATTCATATTTTTTAATTGTTTACTTATCCTTATTTTAAATATTCCAATTACAAAGCATTTTTTATTTTATTTATAAATTGATCATTTATTATGATATTTCAATTCAAAATATAACTCTTGATTTTAACATATTATTATTATTCTAATTTATAATTATTTAAACACAAACTATTTTCATAGTTGGAACAAAATTGGAGTAGAAGGAGTCACCTGTATTGGGACTAGCTTGGAAAAATGTCAAAATATTTAGTCTTTAAATCTTTCACTTAAGTATAATATTAGATAAAATTTATTATTTTTGAATAGCTCTCTTTCAGTATAAATTAAAAAATAATTTTTTAGTTAATTTTTTATATTTTTTAATTAATTTACAAAAGAAATTAGTTATTTTTTAGCTTATTTTACTAAAAATATATATTTACATTATTTTTTATAGCATGTGTACAATAGGAACAAATGGGGGTAACATCATAGCTACGAGCTTGTAAAAGTGTCAGTATATTACTTCTTTAACACTTTCTGTCAAGTAATTTTAACAAATTTTCTTCTTTAAAATCATAGCTTGATATAACTTAAAAAAAATTAAAAATTTAATAATATTTCTTAAATAATAATCTTTTTAGAAAAAAAATTATATTAAAAATTTTCAAATTCGATTGTTTAAATGAATATTATTATTCTTTTTAATTACTAGGGATAACTCTATTGACTTAATTGGAATGAATCAAATAAGATAAAAAATTACATAAAAATGTCTAAGATTAAAGAGTTTTTTATTGAGTAAGATTTAATAAATAAATTTTTTTTCACCTTTATGTTTTTGGTTTTTTTAAATAAGTAATTAAAAATATTCAAAAATAAATATTTATTTTTAACTATTAAACAGTTGGTGATGAGAATTGAAAAAATTATTTCTTTAAAAATAGTTTAGAAAGTTGAGAAACTGAATGAAATTAATATAAACTACATAAAAATACTAAAAAAAACTAATATTAATAGAGTGTTATAATTTATGTTATATGTTTTCAAGTAGTATTAAAATTTAGAATATTATTAGAAAGTTGTTTTTAAGTACAAAATGTCTTTAAAAACAAAAATAAAAATTAAAAAATAAGATATTTTATTTTATTTTAAGAATCAATTTATATTAGAAAAAAAGTAATTGAGATATTAATTATGATGTCCTAAACATTAGTATCATATCTTAATTTTGTAAATTTTAGATGTAGATTTTAATAATAATAATAAACACTTTTTTTATTGGATAAAAGAAGATCTTAAAAAATATCAATGAAAATTAAAATTTAATATATTTATACACAGATTACTATACCGTTTTTAATTTATTTAACTTCGCGAATTCAGTTTTAGTTAATCAAATAAATACTTAGAAATTTTGCTTTGTTATATAATTAAAAAGTATATTTTAATTACAAATATTCAGTTTTTAAAGATTAAACATACAAACAATTAATTATCGACTAATCGCTTGTAATTTAGAAAATAAACAAAAAAGAAGATTAGACAAAACATAATATTTAAGGAGTAAAATTTTAGTTTTAGTATTTCAGTATCTTTCATTTCAATAATAAAACAATTTATAAAATTTAGAATTTACTTATTGTTTTTATATTTTCAATAAACAATGTCAAAAAGACTGGGAAGCATGCTAGGACCCTCTGTAACAAAATGGTTTATTGATAATGATGAGTTTGTTGGTAAATATCTCGTCGTATGTCTAGTCGCTTTAGCCTAAGGTGTTTTAGCTCTCTCAGAAGTTCCTATTAACTTCTTATATAAAGATAATTATAATATGTCACCTGCAGAGGTCTCTTTTGTAGTAGGAATAATTGCTCTTCCATGGGTTTTCAAACCTATTTATGGAATTATGAGTGATTCAATTCCAATATGCGGTGAAAGAAGAAAGAGCTATATCATGATATTTTCTTTTTTAGCTTTTGTGAATTGGATGCTTCTAGCCTTTTATGTTCGTGAAAAAGCAGTTGGTCTAGTCATTTTGTTTAATATTTAATTCTGCACAGCTTTTTGCAATGTTGTTGGTGAAGCTATGTTAGTTGAAATTTCTCAACTCAAAAGTAAAAAATTTAACATGAATGATCAAGAGCAATAGGCTGAAGCTTCTTAAAATGTTTCACTGTTTTTTGGTGTGAAAAGCTTTGGTGTAAGCTATTTAAAATTTCAATAAATTATTTTTTAAAACTTTTGTATGAAATTATTTTAAATTCAATCAATCAATCAAGCCACTCATTTATTTATTCATTCATTCACTCTAGTTACTATTTTACTTATAATTAAAAGATATTTATATGTTTCTTTTCTATTAAACTTAAAGCTCCTTTTTAATTTTAAAATATTTTTTTATCTATTTAAGTTAATCTTTTTCAAAAATTTATAATATCTTAAACTTAAAATAGACTCTTGCAACTGCTTATTTAGGAGGCTTTCTATTAGAGGTTATGGATAAGTATTACATATTTGCAATTACTGGTATTTTTCCCTTTTTACTATTTGTCAGTACTTTTTATATGGTTGATCAATAGAGTACTGAAGACCTAACGGAGAGCTAACAGAATCGTAATCTTAGTCAAATATAGCTATTTTTTAGATTCCTTAAAAAACCCTAAATCTACTAACCTTTAATTTTTATTTTCCTCTTCGCTGCTACTCCAACTAGCTCAAGCAGTATGTTCTTTTTCTATACTAACTAACTTGGATTTGAACCTTAGTTTATGGGTTCTTTGAAATTTATCCATGCTGCAGGCACTCTTTTAGCAATATTTATATATAACAAATATCTTAAAACTGTAGAATTCTCGCTTTAGTTTATTGTTTCTACTTTATTTTGTGTTGTACTAGGACTCTCATAAATATTATTAGTAACTCGCTTAAATGTTCAGATGGGAATACCTGATAAATTATTTTGTTTAGGAGACTCTATCATCATATAAATTGTTGGAGAACTCAATATATTACCTTTATTGGTTTTAGCTTGCAGATTATGTCCTCGTACCATAGAAGCAACTATGTATGCGATGATTATGAGCACTCTAAATCTTGGAAGTCTTGTTTCTTCATAATTAGGAGGAGTTTTAATTTATCTTTTAGGTATAACTGAAGATAATTTTGATAATTTGTGGATACTTATTTTAATTGCTAACTTAACAAGTGCAGTTCCTCTTGTAGGTATAAGCTTGATAGATTAAAAAGGTAAAAAGTTAAGTGACAGCGATTTATCAAGCAAATCTAATTCTGAAATTCCTGATAATATCTCTCTTCCAGACAAAGAAGAAGTAAAAAGTGAGAGGTCTTCTCTTGTTGATCATGATTCAAACACTTCTACAGACTATAAAAATTATGGAGCTTTAGAATAGAACGAACCACTTTAGCATTAAGAAATGCTCCATATTTAAGAATAATAAAAGAAAATCGATGCCACAGGTATTTGAATAAAATATTACAACTAAAATTTATAAAATGACATAATTTCACTAATATTAAAGACTAAACTTGATAATTAAATTACTTCTTATATAATGTAATATTTAATAATACAAAATTTATTCTCAAATGTTTGTAAAAATCTACTCAAAGAATTAATTAAATACTGAATAACAATTAATTTATTTATTATCTTTTAATAAAACTTCTAAAATCATAACAAAAAAATATGAATTAATTTAATTAAACCAAAATTTCATTTAATTTTAAATAAATGAATCTTTATTTGAAATTAATTAAATAAGCAAGTAAAACATATTTTTTGAAAGATTTATTGAAACATTAAAATTATTAAAAATAAATAGCTTATATAATCATATTTTTAGAATAACTAAAGATAATTAAATTTCAAAGGTAATCAATCTAAGTAAGATCTTCGTTAATTAGATAAATGCATAAATAATCCAATCTTAATTTGAAATAGGGTAAATATAATCAATAGATTGTTGCAACTTGAAAATTTTTATTAATCTAACTTTATATATAAAAATTCCAAGCTTAGCTTGAAATAAAATATAAACATATTAATTTAAACATTAAAATGAATAAATATTTTAAAAAGATTGCTAAAAAATTAATTAATATTGAAAGATAATCAATCGAACATATCAATTAATTAAAATTCATTTTTGAATTATCAACTAATCATATTAATATTTTTATTTAATTGTAAAATTATTATAGCTTTTAAAACAGCAACCAGAGTAGAAACAAGGCACATAACCTTGATTATTTTCTAAATCTTTTTCTAAATAAACATTTTTTCCACTTATACTAAATTTATTCTTTCCAAAATCTAGAAGACAGTTAAAGCTCATAGCCAACTTCTCTTTTTAGAATGATTGAACCCTTCCTTTTAAGCCTCCTGCAATTTTTCCATTCGATGTTACTACAATGAGTCCAGTAGACTCAGAAAATTCTTTCAAATTTTTTCCTAGTTCTATTTCAGATTGTAATTCATCAAGCTTACATAAACCAAAACCAATACTGTGACACTAATCATTATTTTCAATTACAACTTCCCATTCATATTTTCCTGAAAAAAGCTCTTAATTGGCTAAGACTAATCCTATGTTAAGCTTCTATAAAAGTGCAGATATTTATACTAATTTTACGTTTTATATTTTTGGAATATCTAAATTTGATTATATACCCTACTTTTAAGTATCATCAAGCATAAGCATTGGCCAATCCTTATTTTCTTTTATAATAAATTTGTTTGTCTTTAACTAGCTTGTGAAATATAACTTGCAACCCTTACAATATGATTGATTTTAGCAAGAGATGCAATATAATCTTCTACATCCTTTGCAACTTCCAGGCTTTTATTTAGAAATCTTATCTATTTCTTGCTATAATTATTTTATTTCTTCTGTTTTACTGTTTAAAAGCTACTAACCTGATTTTGTATTTAACTGTTGAGATGATAATTTTGATTAGAAGCTTTACTATGAAAGTTATCCTTATTTTTTTGTGCTTTAAGGAGTACTTTGCAAATTATTTTAGTTTATAGTTTGTTTACTTAACTGACTAAGTTAATCTTATAGATCAATTAGTTTTTACTTCATTTTTTGTAAGTTACTATCATTCTAAATCTCCTTTGAGCATGAACTGCATATTGGGTATTAAGATATCACACTAGAATACCTTATATCTTTTTAGTCAATAAATTCGTTAAATACTTATTCAACCTTCTCTAAAAGTAATGCTTCTCCGTTGAATATTGGAGTATTATTCCCTTATTTTCTAAATTCTTCAAATACCTCTTCAAAATAAGCAAATGCTTAATTTGTCTATTCAACTGAGCTATTATTTAAGGTTTTTCTATAAACTTTTTCTAAATAATCATGGAACCTAATTTCTTGTAATCCTTTGTTTTCTTAAAATTTCTGATAAAGGTTAGCATAAGAAGGGACTATTAAATTATTTCATTAGGAAAAAAATTAATATTTTTATCATTAATATAAAAAATTATACCTTAATCAAGTATTTCAGAGAGTAATCCATTTTGGTCTAGGTAAGAGTTCAGAAATTACGAGTTATATTAATATGTTTTTGAAAATTAATCAATTTCATCAAATATTCTACTTTAAAGCTGATCGCATAGTCCTACTAAAGCTGATTTAATAACAGGAATAACTTTTTGTGCAACTCGATTCTTCTCTTTATTAATTGCCTGCAAAAACATCTATACATGAGACTGGTTTTCATTTTATAGCATTTCAATCTTTTCTTTTCTTTAAGTGTGAGGATTAGTTTATAATTCTTTTAGAAAATCATTGATAGACATGAATGGTCTGTGTTTAACGACATGCTCAGCGAATTCTTCAATACATTCTAAACAAAAAAGCATCTTTTCTTTACAATTTTTTTTTGAGCATACTTTAACAATCTATTGTCTGTGTATGTTACATGTCAATACGATTTCTTCATATTTATCCTAAATATTATTGACTTATTAATTAACACTTTTAGAAATACTTTATTTAGATTTTTATGAAAAAACAGATTCTCTATCGTCTTCATTTTAATCAGCTTGTTGATTATCTAAGTCATTTTAATAATATCCTGCCGTATTAAACGCATTGCTTAATTTCTTAGAAGATTACTTATTTTAAGATTTCTAACTTAAATTTTATGAGGAACTTAAATTTTGACTTCCATTTTAATCATTCTATTCTTATTACTGAATATAATTATAAGAACTGTAACTACCATCATCTTGATCATTATTTTAATACTATTGCTACTCAATAAACTGTTCTTCATTATCTGCCTTTTCATCTTATCTTTCCTATTTTATATTTTATTAACTCTTTTTTAAACTTTAGGAGCTACTAAGACTTTTAGTTTATGACATTTTTTTTTATTTAAAAATCGTTATTTAATATTTTTCAATTATCAAAACAAATAAATTTTTTATTAATTGATTTATTTTGATAAAATTTTTTATTTAAAAAGGATAAAGGCAACTTGATATAAATTATTTTAAGTCAGAATTTTTCTATAGAGTTCAATAAATATAGAAAAAATATTATTTTTAATTTTTAAATATTAACTTCGGCATTTTTATTTCTAAAAGTCTATAAGTAATAGAATTATTAATATTTTAAATATAGAATATTCATTTATCTCATTTTAATATAATATTTGTTGTAAAAAAGAAACAAACAATATTAACTATCATCTTAAATAGAAAATTATGGATTCATTGCTTTTGTTATTTTTCAAAATTTAATATTTTGATAAATTGTTTTTTTTATTAAAATTCAAACCAAAAAAACTAATCCAACAAATAATTAATTGCTGATTTTGAATAATTTATAAGGATAGTTAACACCAACATAGAAGATTGAATTTATTATAAAATTATATTATTAGGAAACTTAAAGCAAATAGTGATTTAAAATGGAAGTCTATGAGACTGTAAAATTGATTGGATCGGGTGCATTCGGTCAAGTCTATTTAGTGAAGCATAAGCGTGAAGACAAAATGTATGTCAATAAAAAGATTAAAACAAGAGATATGAGTCAAAAAGATAGGGAGAACACAGAGAATGAAGTACGCTTGTTGTAAAAATTAAGACATGCTAACATTGTAGCATATAAAGATAGTTATATGGATAGAGAGCAGTATTTAAATATTGTTATGATTCATTGTGAAGGAGGAGATATGCATAATAGAATTAAAAATTAAAAAGGAAAAAATTTTCCCGAAGATTAGATTTAGGATTGGTTAGCATAAATGGCATTAGCGCTTTTTTATTTGCATGAAAAGAAAATATTACATAGAGATCTTAAAACCCAAAATATTTTTTTAAAGAGCGGCAGAGTAAGACTAGGTGATTTTGGTATAGCAAAAGTACTTGATTCAACTAGAGACTTCGCAAATACATGCATTGGTAATGAGCGATAAACTTTTCTATATTATATACTTTTGAAATTTAAAACAAAAGAGTAGAATTTAAATTATAAAAATACCTAAAAATTAATTTTATTGCTTGTTTAAAAAAGATTAGCTATTTTTAATTCATTTATTATTTTTAAAAAGGTACTCCTTATTATATGTCTCCAGAGTTATTTAAGTACAAACCTTATAGTTACAAAAGTGATATTTGGGCATTTGGTTGTGTGCTTTATGAAATGTGTAATCTAAGACATGCATTTGATGCTTAAAGTTTAAATGGATTAGCAGTCAAGATTATGAATGGTACATACCCGCCTATAAATTCTACTTATTCCAAGTCTTTAAGAGATTTAATTGGCAAAATGCTTTAACTTAATCCTAAAAGTAGACCTTCTATTTTAGATATTATAAACACGTCCTTTGTTAAACGTAGGATCATATCTTACATCACAGATCTATTAAGTGGAAACTTGACAGATCCTAATATTATTAATGATGTAAAACTAGATTGATTCACATCTCTTTTTGCATTTTATTTGCTTATGCCCAAAATTGTATTGAATACATATTATTTTTGTAAATTAAAAGGTTGATGATCTCTATTTTGATAGTCTAAGGGATTAAGCTTAAAAACTTGGTATTCTTTAAATTATTAATTAAAATCTTTCTAAAAATGGCCCAGCTTTACCAATTAGTGATGAGTAGCTTAGACCTCCATAGAGGGTTGGTTAAAGATAGCAAGGGACTGATAGAAAAGTGATTGAACAAAAGCAAAAAGCTAAAAAGGAATTGTAGAAATAGATTAATGAAAAAAATAGAATTGAATAGGAAATTAAAAGGTTAGAAAAGAAAAAAATGGTTAGAAGCTCTAGCACAAATATCAAACAGCCATAGCAGTAAAGTCAATAAAGTGATTCCAGATAAAATATTAAAAAGACAGAAAATGATCGTCGTGACAAAAAAGAAAGGGATCGTAGCTATTCCTTGGAAAGGGAAAGCTCTGTCAAATAGCGTAAACCTTTATAAAATTAACAGCAGTAATCTGTAAATCAATCAAAATCTTCAGTTAATTCCATAAGAAATGAAGTGAAGAGAGTTAGATAATAGATAGATTCATCGTAAAATTATTATTTTCTTATGTATAATTTAAAAATTACCTTAAATATTTTATTTAGATCATCAACAAGTGCTGAATCTGATGTAGTCTCAACCAAAGTAACCCCTTCAGTTAGGCAGAGTGCTGAGTAAAGTTATAATGAATAAAAAAATGTGGATCGTAGAGAATAAATTAGACAAGAGTAGGAGAGAAAAAAGAAATAAGAACAGGAAGAAATGGAATAATAGAGGAAATAAATTATTTAAGAAAATATTTAAGCAAGGTAAAAAGCTGTTTAATTATAATAAGCCTAATACAGGCCATCTAAAGACAATATGGTTTTTATGAATGATGAGGAGGAAAAGCAATAGCAGCAGTAATAAAACTAAATGTAAGGATTTGTCAAAAGAGGTAGTCTTTAGTCATTTGAATATTCAAAAAAGTAAAATGGTAACCCTGTTGACGACTTCTCCATAGATATTAATGAGCGTGAAAGCTTCGATTATAAATCTAGTATAGATTAAAATTCAAATATTTATAACTCTGAGAGATATGCACCTCCAATGTAAAATAACAGCTAAGTAAATAACAATTATTAAGATGAGAGATATACTTAGCAACAACAGTAGCAAAGACCTTAATAATAGTATCCTTACAAAATTTAAGAAGAAGAGGATTAAATTATAGATATAAATGAAATCATAGGAGAAAATAATGAAGAAAATGATGATGATGTAAAAATAAAAACTCACCATATTATTTATTTAATATTTTCATATCTTCTAGGCATTATAATCAGTAATCCATGAAGAAGAAAATGAAGAATCAGATGATGAAGTAGAAGAGGACCCAAATAAAATAGAAGAAAAATTAGAATTAATGAAAACAAAGCTTAAGGAAAAAACGATTAAAATCAATACAATCACTAATTTCCTCAATTAATCTAGGAAGCAAGCAACTCTTTAAAAGAACCAAATCAGTCAGTAAATGCAAAATTAAGATTAAGAAGAAGGGCATATCATCCCAGAAGATCAATAAAGTGAAGAAGATGATAATAATTACTATGATGATGAGGATTTAGATGATGATGATAATTATGATGAAAACGAAGGAGAAGTTATTTAAGAGTTTTAACAAAACAATAACCCATAATATTTCAAAATTTAAGATAAAATAAAACTATTTAGACACAGATGTGAAGCCAGTTTAGGAATAGTAATGTTTGATAAAGCTTATGATTATCTCAAAGTAAATAGTAATAAATGTTCGACCGATGAATTAAGAAAGTAGCTAGTAGAAATTTTATCAGAGGAAAATATTGGCTTTTGGCATTTAATCGACTAAATATTATTTTTAGAAGAAGTTTTGTAGACTATCCCATCATAAATATAAAAATGATTGATCTATAGAACAACTAAAAATTTTACTAATTAATCATAAATATAACTATAAATAAGAAATTCTATAAATAGATAAATGGATAGACAAATTTATAAATAGATGAATGGTCTTGTAAATAAATACTTATCGTTCTATTAAATAATATTAAATTGTATTGTATTTCTAACCAATGAAAAAATAATCATGAAATGATTAGTAATAGTTTAAAAAATAGACTTTATAAATAAACATTTAACAAATTTTTGTTTACCTAATATTACTAAAAAAATAAAAATAATCTATTTTAAACAATTAGTGTAGTACTTCGTAAAAAGCCTTAATTACTCAAGGGGTAGGCATTAAAATTTATTGGATTATTAACAATTAGACAAAAATTTTTATTAAATACCATTTAACTAATAGATTAAATAATTACAGTATTAAATGTGACGACTAAAACCTTTTTTTTATTATATTGAAATTATTCAATTTGATTAAAACTCAGTAAAATTATATAGAAAAGATTTTGAAGAAAATAAAATTGGTTTATAAATGAATATTTCATTTATTAATAAATAGATACATGGATAAGTCAATTAATTGATTAAATTTTTAAAAATTTTATTATATGTTTTTTTTTTATTAAGGGGTTTGAATATTATTACTATTTTCAAAGTTTATTGGCTAATGATGCAGATTATCATGAATTTTAATTTTTTAAAATAATTTTATTTCTTAATATTTTTTTTGAGTTTTAATTATTTTAATCATAATATTTTGATATAAATGACTTGCTATTTTAGTAATACTCTGTATTTTTGTAGAATTCCTCTCCATAAAGATTACTTAGGTCTTTTCTCATGATAGATAATTAAAATAATTTATATGGAGTGACTGTAAATTTATACACTCTTAATTAATCTGAAAACCAAGTTCCTCCAGCTGAAAGAGATATTTTAGATAATTCATATGCCATTTCTTCCATGTCTAGTTCTATTTCAAGATCATCAACAGTAAAAAGTGTAAAGTTTTTATATTCTTTTTTTCCTTAAATTTTACCAGACTACCCAAAAATATAACTATAATTAACTGATTCATATCCTTCGAAATTGAATAACTCTAGCATCCCATAGCGTAACGTATCATTCCTGAAGTTATCTTCTGTTATATAAATCAACTTTTACATTGCCTTGCTCATACCTCCTTTATATAATGTCTAAGTTAGGTTATTGTGATTTGTTCTTCGATAAGAGTAGATTACATAATCGTTTTCTCCTGCATAATATTTTTATAAAATATCCTCAGCCATTTGCAAAGATTTTATAGTATTTTCAGCTAGTTTTTATTGAATAAGCTATGTGTTATACGAATATTCATCATATATTTTTTTTCTAGCCTTATCTAGATTATTAAGATACTATTTATAAGAAATAAGCCATTATGCTTATTGATGAGCATGTCCATGCTATTATTTGTCAAGCACGGAAATAACTCTATCAAAATCTTCTAACGCCCCTTATGTGTCATCAACTACAATTGAAAAATAACCTGCTTAGTTAACTTAAATGCATGTAACAGGTCTAATTTAATTCCAAATTGAAGACCTATCTCTCCTGTTCTTCTTAGCACCATCTAAGTACATATTAACATTTATAAATAGATCTCCTATCAAATAGTAATTTTCTCGATAGTTGAGTTATTGAGTTTCATATAAAACATCAGTAAAACTAAATTTGTTTTTTTTACATACTACTATTTACTGACTATTCTTATTCTATTCATTTTAATCTGTTGAGGTCTATTTAAAATTTTCGAAATTAGACTCATGTTCACAAGATTCTTCATCAATTTAGCTGTTTTCTATCCATAAGTGTTAGTTTTATGGAACAAATTATAACATTTGCTATTCTTGCTGTTACTATTAATAGAAGTTTTCTGATTCATTGGCAAAAGTGAGAGAACCACATATTTAACTTTGAGATAATTAATTTTATTCATTAATACATAAAAGGTGTGTTTGGCTATCTAATTGTTAGCAAAAATTTGTTTAACTTCCTTTTTAAATTGGTAATCCTTAATTTATTCTATAACTTTCATAAAATTATAATTATCCATCTTCATTCTGAATATTTTAACATTAAGGTTAAACATCTATTTTCTATTTAGGTTAAATATACTCATTATCTTATCTGTAAAATGAAGAAGCATAATTGTTTGTAGAAATATAATTTTCTTCACAATAAGACTAACCTGTGCATGAAATATTGTTTTAATTTTCATGAAGGTTTGTTTCACATTTATAAGAGAAACCTTAGAATTCCATTTACTTAAGCTAAATTTTTTTGTCTTTTTGGTTGAATTTTTATTAATATTATTTTTGATTATTTTAATTGATATATATATTTAAGCAAACTTATAATATAAGAAATAATAGTAAACACTGTTGTACTTAAAGAATTTATAAAAAAAATTTTTAATACAGCTACTTTAAATAAATTTCATTTACAGATAGATTCTATTTATAAAATATGCATGATTTTAATAATTAGTTTTTACAGACAAGTAAGAAAATTATTTATTAAAATAAAAATCATATTGTTATTTCTTTTAAGTTATGTTCAACTTTTTTATACTAAATTACTAGTAGAGCTTATTTTTTGTATTTTTAGCTCTAGTAAAATTTAAGAATACATATTTTAATTTTTATGCTTGATGGACCAATTAAAAAAAAATAATAAATTAAACTAATTTATAAATTTTTTGATTTTTCATTTTGTTTTAATTTTTAAAAATATCTAAAAATGATAACAAAATACTTAGGAAAACTCAATTATAAATACATCCAATAGTTAGTTAATAGTATTGGACTTTAGATTAAGTTAAGAGGAAAATCAAGACTTACTAAATGGTTACTCTTTGTGTTTTTATTTCTATTTAAACTTAGTAAGCGGAATCATAGGATTAAGAGGGTAAAATTTTTCGATTATTTTTAGTTAAGATTGTGGTTATATTAAAATTTACTCTTTTAACGAATTTCTAAGAGCATTTTCGCTGGGTAACTTTGCTGATTATTAAATTTCATGACATTCTTTACTTAGATTATTAACTGATTAGTATTCTTAATGTTTTTAGTTAGATTTATCGACCTAATATCTTGTTTATTTTAGTTATTGCTGGTCAAAATAGTTTAAAAGTTTATCCAAATTCGATTACATTTTTTAATTCCTTTCTAAACTATCATCTCTAATTGATTTTTAAATATCAGTAACGCTGATAGAATTAAAGACTACATCTTTGCTTCTATTTGTTCTTTTTTCCTTCATGGCTTTTTGCTTAATGATATCAAGTTATTTCATAATTAGCTGTGATCTCATTTTAATTTCTATTTTTTTTTCTACATCATAAGATACAAGCGGTATTTTTAAATTTTATGAAGAAATTTTTATATATTTATCTACTTAGTTTTTTTTTTAGTTCTAACTCTAATTATAGATTTACGAAGATAATTTCGAGCTTTATAATTCTTCTGTAACAGAACTAACTGGAGGAAAGTGATTTTTATCTCCATTATACTTTTAATTTATTTCAATAACATCAGTATTCATAGATTTCGTCCTGTATTATCTAGTATTCAGACCATCTATGCCACTATTTAGTTAGTGATGGGTTATATTATTGATTTATGCAGGTAATTAAGTTAAGTTTCTTTTAAATAAATGAAAAAAATTTATAAATTATAAGTTTAAAATTGATTATACCCTTCTGTCTACTGCTTGCTATAAATAGAGCTAGTATCATAAATTTAAGAAAGAATGTTTTTTATTTTTTTATTTCGCAGTAATGATTTTATGTCTAAATTAGAATTTGATTTATTAGGAGAAAATTTACTGTTTTTATTTCCACTAAAATCGTTTTTTGTCAAAGCAGAAGTAAAATCTTCATCACTCTCATCTATTTTTCTACAGCTTATTGAACCTCTTACAAGCTATTCAAACTATTAAAGATTTGTGCTGAATCGTTGATCTTCTTTTATTAAATCACTACAAAGTATATATTCTGTATTATGACTTTGACTTTTTCCCATATTAGATGAAGGTCTTTGTGCATGATTAGGAGATTTGTTAGTTGATAAATTTAATCTACCATTAAGAGAAGGAGTATATGCTCTTTCTTAATTTTTATACATTTAAATTAATGAATTATCATTATTTCTGCTGGTATTAGCATTTTAGCAATTTTAAGAAAACGAATTTTCTGTAATGTGCTATTAATCAAATTAAGAATAAAATTATTTCAAGGTTTTCATTCCACTATTTTTTATTTTGTTAGTTGGTGTCATTTTTTTTGGAGTGAGAGTGTGACTATTCTTAAAAGTCCCAGTTGATTAATACTTAGTTTACCTTCTTTGGTCATCGCGATCTTTATAGAACTTAACAGAGCTATTTACATAAAGATTAACTCTCAGCTCTTTTTCATTAGCATCTTTTCTTTTAACAATAAAATTATTTTGTAATTAATTTTCTAATAAAATTTTACTTTTTTTTAGTAAACAATTTTATTAACTTTTGATGGAGTTCTGAATTTTATTTAATAGAAACAGGTTTACTAAGTTCGTCATACTTCTTTTAAAGCCTTTTATCAGATTCACTTTCACTTTTTGCTCTTACTCTTTTGATTCTTTAATACATTTAAATCTCAGGTCTTACCAAAAAAAATATTTATTTATCATTTTCTTTCTTTTGCTTCTCAACTAAATGATTTTCAATATGAACAAGCTAAAGATCTCTATCTCCTTATTTTAGCTGTATCATGTATTATTTTTTTAGAGAATACACTTTTTGAAAATTCTTTACCAATTAGTTTATCCATATTTAATTTTCTTCGCTTCTTTTATAAAGTTCTTTTATTAAATTATTATTTTAAGCAAAAGTAAGAAAGAAATCTTTTTTTATTGACTTAAAAGTAGCAGAATCACTGCTAACAACAATGCTTAAATATCTGTTATGAATTATGTTTGGCTTTTCATTGTTATTATCTTCGCTGATACCTTCTAAATTTTATAAATTTTAGTTTTCATAGAACTATCTCTCTAAATCCATCTACTGAGAGTTAAAAATCTCATCAATACCTAAAATATCATAAGGATTCATTTCTGCTAACTCAATGTTTTTTTGCTGAAAAGCTCTACTTGCTAAAAGTTTTTGATTTTCTCTCCAAGGATCATCAAGCTCTAATTCATTCACTATTATATTTTTCTTTAACTTTAAAATATTTAATTATCAGCTATTTTATTTAATAAAATTACTGTAATTTATCCCTTTTAAAATAAATAAACATATTCTGAAGAATCACCTTCTAAATAAAGATGCTACTTTTTGACTAAACTGAATTTGCTTATATTTTTTAGCAATAATTTAAGCTAATCATTAAAACAGTCTTAGAATAACTTATATCTCCTTAATTTATTGCATTTCTTTATTAGTCTACGTTCTTGGTCTGTCTCCTGTGCCAATTTATAATCTTTCTGATTTGGCATTTACGTATACTAATCAAATATATTTGTAAATTTAATTAATAATTATTATAGCGTATATTTTAGAAAATATATAAATCATAAATCCTTTTGTAATACTTTATTTCTAACCATTCACTTAAAAAATAAAAAAATAAAAATTATTTCTAAAAGATTTTTATTTAATTTAAATTTTTTAATTCTCTTAAAACCATCTTGTTAAACTATCATTCCTTAATATTAACATAAAATATAAAAATTTTTTTTAAATAAATTAATTTAATTATTTTATTATAATTGCAAAATTAAAAATATCAAATAAAATCATAATTTTTTTAAAAAAATTTTAATAAAAACTTATTAAATAATTACTTGATAAATAATAAAATTAATTATTGGCTATTTAAAAATAAATATTAAAAGGTATTAATTATCTTATCGAATTTTATTAAAGATTAAAAACTATTAAAAGATAGTTTGTTTAAAAATTATTATTAATTGATAACATCCTAAATATTTGTTTGTAAAAATATTTGATAATAATTTTCTAAAATTTTAATTATTTTTAATTTACAAATTAAATTAAATATCAAATGAAATAACTTATTGCTAATAATATGATATGATTTTGTGAAGAATTCAAAATTTATTTCTTAATAAAATTAAGAAAATATAGTAAAAATTATAAAATAATTTAAAAAAATAAAATAGATTGGATCGTAGATCTTCTTTTAAATCTACTTTATAAAATATATAAATATGTTAAATTAAAAATGCATTTTGCAAAAGATTGATATAGATATAATTGTATATTTTCTTATATAGAGATTGCATAAAGACATAAATAATATATATTTAAAAGGATAAGCTAAAAAAGAAGATTAATAATTTATAAATCTTTAATATATGAATGAAAAGCAATAGAGTTAATAAAGGACAAAGAAATCTAAGGAAAAAAGAAAATCTATAAGAAGATATTAATTAATAACAAAAAATTAAGAAATATAATAAATTTATAAGTAAAAAGCAATAAATATGGAAATGACAAGCAATTAATAATTAAACGCTTAGTAAATTGAGGAATTAATGAATAGAAATCCTCAACTTAGAAAATAAACCTATGAATAAATTACCAATTTATCTCCTCTCTCTCCAGAAGTTATTTCTCGTTAAGCTACCATTAATATTGGTAAACAATTTTTATCAATTCAAGCTAGATTTAATTATGAGTTCATAAATTTAGGCTAAAAATTAAATATTAATATGTTAAATAAAATAGGTACTATTGGTCATGTCGCTCACGGTAAATCCACTCTCGTTAAAGCTATTTCTGGTGTACAGTAAGAATTTTTTATTAGATTTTTCTTTAACCATAGCTAGCAGAAATAAACGGAATACTTTAAAGCATGATAAAAAATATGAATTAAAAAAATATTATTTTTTAATGGATCGTCTAAAGAGAGAAAAAATTTGCTAAAATATTTCACGAGAGTTCATATAAAAGCAAAAAAGCAAAGAGCAATAAGAATAAAATAACGATTAATTTTATTATTTTATAAAATTTAAAATATTTCTATGGCTAAATAGATTTCTTCAAATTAAATTTAAAATAAATTATTTTTTACTTAACATTTTTGTAAATAATTAATTAGCACCGTCAAGTTCAAACAAGAAAAAGTTAGAAATATTACAATTAGATTAGGTTATGCAAATGCTAAGATTTACTAATGCCCTAGCTGTCCTGCTCCTTAATGCTATAAGTCATACTCAAGTAAAAAATTAAAAAAATAATACAAAATATATAAAAATAGATTTTTTCAATGTTTATTTTCATGCAAAAATGTTAAACAAATAAATAAATAATTGATAGATAAATAGGTTGTATCTATTTATTTATTTATCTATCTATCTATCTTTAAATTTATGAATAAGTTAAAATTGATAGAATAAAATTTTTATATGCAAAAAACTAATGAATTCATAAATTATAATTTATTAATTTTTATTCTTAATAATTAAAGGTGACAAGACTGATGATGCTAAGTGTGATAATGAAGGTTGCAACTAAACCATGACTTTAATTAGACACGTTTCTTTCGTCGATTGCCCTGGTCACGATATTCTTATGAGTACTATGTTAACTGGTGCTGCTGTTATGGATGCTGCTCTTTTGATCGTTGCAGGTAATATGACCTGCCCTCAACCTTAAACTGCTGAACATCTTGCTGCTGTTGATATTATGAAATTAAAACATATCTTAATCATTCAAAATAAGATTGATATTATTTTTAAGGAATCCAAGGATGCTGCTGTTCAAAATTATAAGGAAATCAAATAATTCATCTTAGGTACAAATGCTGAAAACTCTCCTATTATCCCTTGTTCTGCTTAATTAAAATATAACGTAGATGCTGTTTGCTAATACATTTGCACTTACTTCCCTGTTCCTTAAAGAGATCTTAAAGCTAATCCCAAGCTTATTATTATTAGGTAATTGATTGATTAATTAACTTACTTAGAAATATTTAACTTAATTTCATAATTTTTTAATTAGATCTTTCGATGTAAATAAACCTGGTGCTACTGTTGACACTTTAAAGGGTGGTGTCGTTGGTGGCTCTATTTTGGAAGGTATTTTGAAGATTGGTGATGAAATCGAAATCCGCCCTGGTTTGATTAGCAAAGATCAAAACGGTAATGTTAAATGCACTCCTATTAAATCACGTATTGTATCATTACTTGCTGAAAAGAACGATTTACTTTATGCCGTTCCTGGTGGTTTGATTGGTGTTGGTTTACTTGTTGATCCTTCAATTACTCGTAACGATAGACTCGTTGGTAATGTCTTGGGTTATCCTGGTAAGTTACCTGAAATATATACAAAAATCAGTGTCAATTTCTATCTCTTGAAGAGACTTATTGGTGTAAAGAGTGAAGGCGATAACAGAAGTCACAAGATTGCTAAGATTACTGCATTAGAAACTCTTAAATTTAATGTTGGTTCTACCGAAACTCCTGGACGTGTCGTTCAAGTTTAAGATGTAAATAAACATACATACTCAATATTTTCTTAAAAGTTTAATTTAATTATTTTATTTAAATAGAATGTTATGACTGTCGAACTTAACAACCCTCTCTGTACCTAAATTGGAGAAAAAGTTGCTTTCTCTAGAAGAATTGATAAGAAATTCAGACTTATTGGTTGGGGTGTTATTAAATCTGGTCAAACTATGGGAGTCTAAAACTGAAAAGGCAAATTTATTCAAAAAAGAAACAAAATTAATTATATTAAATGTATTTAAAACTAAAAAAAACTTAATAACAATATAAAATAAATAAACATATTTATTTTTTAATTATATGATTGTAATACTTTATATTTTTTATCATAAGGTTGTTTGTTTTTAAACTATTCAAATCTACTATTTAAGAACTGAATTATTAAATTTTTTGCTTATTTTAAAAGTAGTTTCTCTTATTTCTTGATAAAACACCAATAAGAATATTAGAAAGCATAAATTGTAAATCGATAAAATCTTAATTAATTTGTAAAGTGAAGAAAAAACTTAAAAGTGAAACTTATATATTTTAATTAAGTGGAAGAGGAGAGGAGTTGTTAGTCTATATTCCTTTCTGGTTGAGGTCGCCAACTGGTACTATTAATTCTAAAAATATGTTAGTAGCCCAAGTGCAGATGAGTATTACTGGTTAGTGACCTCTCCTTTTAATTAATTCAATAAAATATCCAAAATTAATGTTATTGGTTTCTTGAGAATTCTTGTTTAAATTTTTTTTTAGAAATGTTTAGTATATTTTATAAAATGTTTTCACTATTTTTTTTATCAAATTTTATTGAGAATTTTGATTTTAATATATCTAATTTTCAAAAATTAACATTAAAAATTAAATGTTGATTTAATTAAAAAAAATTAATTAATTAAAAATAATTTGATAAGATATTTAAACAATATTTAATTAATATAAATAACCAAATATTAATAATTATTGTGTAAAAAATTATTTCTCAATTATTTTTTGGTTTTAAAATTTAGAACCTAAACTACAAATAATTAATATTAAATTAGTTTTACTTTTTAAAAAAATTCTATTTTTTCTGATGGCAACCAATCTGTTTTAAGGTTCAAAAAAAAATGATAAATTTTTGAAAGACGATATTAATTTAAAAAATTTAGGCCATTAAGAAAGGATCATTATTTCTTAAATTAATAAAATTTTCTTATAATAAAAAATTTAATCTGTTTTTCCTATATTCCTTGAGTGAATACTATTGGATATTTAGAATATTTTTATTTTATGTAGAATTTTTTGCTATATTTAATAAATTAAGCTGTAAGTTGATAGAAAATAAGTTTAAATTATATATAAAAAGCAATTTTAGTAAATATTTTGCTTCTGTTGTATCTTACAATTTACAAAAATCTAAGAAGTTTTGAATTAATTTAAAGCAATAAATTAATTAGTTAATCAAGATAGATATCTTTTGAATTTTATAAAGAACTAGCATCATTGGTTATAGAGATTATTTATTCAAAAATGGGTGTTAATGTGAGACCCCTTTATGATTAATTTTAAATTATAATTTACAAATTTTACAAATTTTGGCTGGAGAATATTTTTTATTTGAAAAAATTTTTAGAGAATTTTATAGAAAAATTCAAAATAATAAAAAAAGTATTTATTTTTTTTATTAATAGAATTCAATTTTTCTTATTTATGAGTGTAACTTATTCTGTTTAACAAGGTGAAGTTTTTGAGGATGTTTCACAATATAAAAATAGAAAAGTAAGATACTATTCCTAACAGAAATACTAAATAATTATTATTATCTTAAAAAGGATCTAGCTTTAGAACTAATATATAATGAAATCATAAAAAACTTTTTTCATTCTTAACTATTTATAACTTACTCCTTTTAATTAAATATTTTTACCTATTATAATTTAGGAATAATGTCTACAAATTTTTACATTATAAAGCTTGTACATTTAATAAATCCATTGCAAAAAATTAATTATTACTTTTTAAAATTTTTCTTTAATAGGCATTTTACAAATAAATAAATGGCAAAGTAATACTATTAGTTTTTTTTAGCCAAGATAACTTAACACTTCTTGCCATAAGCAATGGGTTATTGATTATAATTTCAGATATAAATGAATACTTGAAAAATTGATTTTATATAATATCTTATTATTCATATTTCAAAAAGAAAATAAGTAACCCAGTTAGCTTAATAAATTTATACAATGCTCTTCCTCTTAAAATTAAATCAGTAATATTTGATTAGCGAATTACTTACTTTTTTTTATTGTCAGTAAAATCAAAATGCATACTCTTTACACAATCAATAATGCTAAAGTCTTTGCATTTTACTAAATTAAACAAGTTTAGAAAAGTCTTATTGAGTATGATTTTTTTCTCCATTTAAATCTTACATATAGGAGATGGGTATTAGCTTTGCTAAAATTGCTTCTTTTTTTGCTATGGTGCTTAGTCGATTAATTAAAACTATGCTTTCAGTACTATTGATAGGAATCTCTTGACTTAAGGAATTTTTGGCGTCAGATAAAAATACTAAATATTTTGCATGATGAGTTGCTGGATCATTATCATAAGCTAAAAAATTAGCCCCAAATTTCTTTGCTGAAATTAAATAATATCCTTTCTAAGTAAGAGTCTGAAAAACAATATAAGAATCTTCTTTAATTATATCTTTTACGAAATAAGAATCCTAGCACTCGAAAGAAAATTCTTAATCGCAATTTTAAATCAAATAAGTTAGAGAAAATGCATCTAGTAAAAATGGGGGTCCTTTCATTTATTTTTACTAAGTCAAATGGCAAAATGAACCAATTGGTTCTGCTAAAATTTTATATTTTTCCTTGAGGTACTTTGCTTAATGAGGACATTAAAAATAACCCTAAAGACATGTCGCGATATTTCCCTCCTCATAAATGGGATTTTTAATAACAAAAATAGTCTTTTCATTCATAGCTCGTTTTCGATTGTCTTTATATTACGAAAGGTGAATTACTGCTTTGAAAACTTGTTAAAAAATACTATGTATCTATCAATTGGTGAATCTTACTTATTTTTAATTGTTTCTTTCTATTTTGATTATATTACTAGAGAGTCTATCTGTAACAAAAGAAATTCAATCCAATTTTATCAGGTCTTAAATACATTTAAATATTCAAAAAGTTTTTAAGGTCTCCTAATTGATTGATTTTCATTTAAAAATAATATAAAACTCAACTCTAAATATTAATGACCCATTTTATGAAATAATTTACCCTCAATTTTTTCGTTATTTTAGATTTTATTCCATGAAAAAAAACAATATTTATTTAACTTACAAACCGAATTATTAAAAATTGTAATGTAAAAAAAATCAAATAAATTTGTAAACATAAATAATCAATCTGAAATTTATTTATTTCTTAATCAAATTTCTTACTGATATTTTCTCTTCAAAAATATTCATTTGATAAAAAAGCCAATTTTATACTTCTGGTATATAATTTAGAAGGCGTGTGTGATAATAAAAAATTACTAAAATCTAATCTGAAATTGTAAGGTCATAAAAAAATCTATTTATTAGGAATAATTGCTAAAAAGGAAGGAGTAAAAAATTTTAATTTTGAAATTTATTAAATTATTCTTTAAAGATATAAATCAATCAATTGATTATAGTAAAGCAAGAAAATCTCTGCTTTTCAAAAAAGATATTATAAGTAAGTAAAATCTAATACATGTCAAATAAAACTTTCACAAAAAGAGTTATCTCTAAAAATCTGAGGAACATTTGCTAATTTATTCTATTTTTTAATTCATTTTCTTTAGTAAAAGAGTAAAAAATTAATAAAATTTATTTATTTCCACTGATTAATACTTGAAGTAATTACAAGTAAGCTTTTTTTTAAGAAAAAAATTAAGTTTTAATATAGATTAATATAATAAACTAAATTCCATTCAATTATTACACTTTATTCTATTCATCACTGGATAATAAAAATTAAATAATATTTATTTGAAATTAAGCAAATATAATCTTTTAGAAATGTGATCTATGTCTAAGTAAATATTAAAAATTAATGTATTTAATCATAAACCACACACTAATAAAAGAGAATATTTTTTGTTTGCCTAAAAATTAATTTTGTAAAATAACTGTATAAATAGCCTTGATTATTTTCTATTTTTGAGGAAAAAAAAACAATTGATTTTTTTTGTAATTTTTTAAACAAAAGTTCCTTTTGCTAAAACACAAAATAAATGTAAAAAAAACATAATAAATTATTTAAAAATTATACATTATCTAAATGTAAGATAAAGCAGAAATTATGATTAAAAATACAAACATAAACTACATAACAACTATTAAGAATGAAAGATTTCGTTAATTGTAGAAAGATGAGTAATATAACAATATTTTTATTAATAGCTAGATGAGATAATTTTGCTCAATCTATTTTCTTTGAGAAATTAATTTGCAAAAATAATCTTATATATCATTCATTCAAGCTTTTGCAATCTAAAAATTGGAAAGAGAAAAATTTCTAACAGTACGAACTTAAATTGGTAAAAATAAGTAAGAGGTTCGAATTAAAAGTTAATATATAAAGTATTTAGTACATAAAATAGAATAAAAATAGATTATATATTTGCTATTTTTGCTTTTTTGGATAATGATGAAAATGTTTTTTCAATTTAAACTCAAATAGATTTTTATTAATATAAAAACAGGTAAATATAAATAAATTTTCTTTATGGAAAACACTTGTATAATTTAATGATTTATTTTCACGATTTGAAATATTGTATTTAGTTAATGAATGAATGATTATAGTTAAGTAGGTAATTTAAGGGTGAATAGTTTAAGAATAAAGATGTTCACAAAGAATTTATAAATAGACAGCCCCTTTCAATCATTTTTAAATCAAAAGAATTAAAACGAGAGAGATTTTATTAATTTGGCCATTGGAATCAATCTATTTATTTATCTTCTTGAAGAACAGTAACAGATAAACAATATTTGATTTTTATTTGTAATCTGATAAGAGGGAGAAAAGAGAAAGTATTCATGAAGTGGGTAAAAACGCTAAACGTTCAAGTGATTGATTGATATCTAAATTTTAATTTATTTTACTTTTATCAATTTTTAATCAGAAATATAGATTTAATTTTAATTAATTTAGGTCTGTCTAAATCGTGATGCGATCAATTTCTTATTAATGTATTTATTACTTTCATTTTTGATAAATCTTAAGTGTATATAGCAATTATTAAATTGCTTGTATAAGGTTATTGATTTTTATATCATCTTTATCAAATTATGATTTATGATTAATTGTTCATTTCTACATTATAGAATGATTCTAATGCTGTTAAATTTATTATAATTTTTATCTGGTTAGTTTACTTTTTATTTTGTTAATTAGATAAGTATATAAGGTGTGGAAGTTTATTATTAAAGGCGTAATATATTTTTAAAATATTATATATTCTTAACTTATAAGGAAAATGTAAAAAATTGAAGCAAATATCAGCTTATTCAGCATGATGATAACTTCAAATGCTTCTTCTTTATTATCTTTAAACAGTTTAAGAGTTCATGATCTTCACAGGCGCTTTTGCAAAAATTGATGAATGTTTCGTGAGAGGCCTTATCTCCTACATCACTTCTCTCTAACCAAGAGCTTGCATAGTTATTGATGAAGTGCTTGAATACAATACCGTATTGTTGATGTTGGATGATTTTGCATACAAGAGAATTATTGTAACTTTAGTTTTTGTTGTACCTCAAATAGCGCTTCTTTAAATCTTCAACTGACTTAAATGAAGATTATTCAACTATCTCGTCATTTTAATTTTCGTTCATGTTTATAATGAAGTTACCGAAAGCTTTTAAAACGTTTTTTACACTATTTTTCTTCTCGGATTTGATGAATGTAGACTACACATCATCATTTTGAGAAGTATTAAATTCTTCACTTTCATCTTCAATTATTAGAGAAGTGGTACTCATACTAGAAGATGTCAATATGGTCTAACTTTTAGTTCTGATTTCTTCAATTTTTTAGCTTTCTTCTGTTTCAGTGTACTCAATATTTGCATTATCAACCTAGAAATCCTCGAATCTTGCCTACAAAGATGCTGGAGAATTACTAGTAGAAGCAGAATATTTTTGCTAATTAGGTGAGTTGGGGGCTGTTGATTTTTACTTATCTTCTTCCTCTTCGTCAATTTCTTCAATGCTCTAAGATGAAATTTATTTTTTTTGAATAAAACACTAGGAACTTTACTAGTCATAAATACCAAGGAATTAATTTATAGTATCATTTCCTTCTACTTAATTTTAAAGTAAGGTATTTCGGTTGGATTCTAAATTGCAAAGATCCTTATTTTGAGTAGAAGTCTATTCTTTCACTCTAATAAAAATATTATTAGAAATTTAAAGCTATCCAAAAGGAGAATCGACTATCAGTTTAATTTCCAAACAATCTTAGTTAACAGAGGGTACTATTTCAGTGGAAATATTTATTTTATTGGTCTTAAGTTTACTATCAGTAAAATGCTTCTGTGATTACAAGAGAGATAAATTGAAATTAGGCAAGAAAATGTTTTAGTTCATTTATTAAAGATAAGGTTTTATTAAGAAAAAATTTTGTTTATTATATTTAGGTTTTAGTAATTATGTCTCAGTTTGTTTGTTTGTTAGTTAGTTAGTTAATACAAATGAGATGAGTTGGTTGGTATTTGAAATAGTTCTTCTTTTTTTAGAAAGAACGATCTTTTTTGATTTTAATTAATTTTTAATAAAATATCTTTTATATATTTGCTTTATGCTTTTTATCTTTTTAATCAAAACTAATCGCTTGCTCGCTTGCTAGTTAGCTTTCTTTCTTGGTGATAAATAAGCGAAAAAGAGAAAGACAAAGAAAATTTTCAATCTAAAATTAGATGATGCAAGTTAATTAAAAACTACAACTATTCAAGCATTTCAAATTTATTATAAAGACTATATCAAAAGTACTGAATTAAAAAATATGAAAAATTCATTTGATTAAAAAGTGTGCTTGATTTAATTTTTACCTCCCTCTTTACAAATTTATAAATATTTTGTTGTTAATTTATCTTTTATCATTTCCTTTCCTTGCTATGCCATGAGTTTTGAAGAAAAACAAAAAGATTTTTACAATTCTTTTCCTATTATATAACCTATCACAAGTACAAAATAATTATTTAGTTCACTTTTTTTGAATTAGAGGAATTAATATATTTCAAAATTCTTAGATAAAAATGGTAGGGTTTTAAGTAAAATAAGATTTTAGAGTTGCTTAGAAGAAGGAAATCATAAGCATTTTTGTTTAACTACTCAATCAGAATTCATGGGTTTTGCAAGAGTAATAATGATAAAAAATTTGATTAAATTAATATATATAGTACTGTAAATATTTTTGCTTAGATTTCTATAGGGTTTCTAATTTAATTAAAAAGGTTGTATGACTAAATATAAAATTCAGCTCATTATTACATACTAAATAAAATTTCCTGCTTGGATAGTATATTACATTAATTAGTAAACATATTTCAAGTGAGTTTTTGTCATTTCTTAAATATTCATTCAAATAATCTTTATAAAATATAATAATACTCTCAATTAGACTAACAGATTTTTCATTATAGTAAGCTAATTAAAACAAGCATACTCACCTTCAGTTTTTCTAATTTAAATTTAAAGGGGGAAAAAGTATTTTATAAAGTGGTCTTAAAATATCTTTTTTTTGCTAGATTTAGCATTTCTATGTAGCTTTTTACAATCATCCTTTAAATTTACAATAACCAATTTCAAAAGAATTAATTGTCTTAAAATTTCATAAAATTTACTCCTAAATACTTATAATCCTATCTTTTCTTGGATTTACTGCATCCAAATTTAAAAAATTATTAATATTTAAATAAGTAAAAAGAATAAAAGAGTAGTGTAAACTTCTATAGCTTTATTTTATATGTATAAAAAAATATAAATCTCAAAATCTATGTAGAGATAGATATTTATTTGGTATATCTACTTCTATTAATAATTTAATACCAATTTATGAAAGCCTTAATTTTTCAATCATAATTAAGGTATTTCAATTATTAAAAGCTCATATTTTTTATATCATTTTATGAATTCTTTATTAAATTTTAAATTCAAAGTGTTTTTTAAAATTTAATTGATACAAATTATTTTGAGGTAGTTCTGAGTAAAATTTTATTAAAATCACCTCTTAAGAAATAAATTTTATATGATTTTTTATTGTTATTGTAAAGCACATTCATTTAAATTTATTAAATTATTTGTAACACATCCCACTCTCTAATTTTTTAATATAATTCAAATTATTAGAGTAAATTTTGCTTTTTTACTGAAATATAATGAAAATTTTAAATTTTATTCTATTTAATAAATGAACCTTGACTCATTTCATTAAATCTCCTTAAAATGTATCCAAAAAAATAAGATTGATATCTGTTCTTTGTGATAATAAATAAAATAAAGCCCTTTTTAGTTTATTCAAATAAAAACTATTGTTAATAAGTAAAATAAAAAAATACTGAACTAAAACTTAAAATTTGAACATAATTTAGAAAGATATGCTTATTTGAATTTTTATCCAAGAAAAATTTTCTATAAGTATGTAAACAAAAAGCAAAAATTAATATAGTGTAAGATATTCAAAAAAAATATTTTCAAATTTAGTAAAATAAACACATTTATTTACTGTTGAATTTTACCTCATTTGATCTTAAAAATCAACTTACCTAACGAAGTAATTAATCTATTTGAAATACTTTTTAGAGAAATACTTTAAATTTAAATTTCTTTCTTGAAAACTCATTCATAAAAGAATTATTTATTTTATTCAAATTTTTCTTTATTAATTAGAATGACTAATTTTGGATTTTTTAAACAATTATTTATTTTTTTCGTTCGTTCGTTCATTTATTGCCTTCATAATTAATAACGTTTCTTATTATAACAATCTAAATTTTTCTATTTTAAATTTAATAATTGTGTTTCATACTTTCTTGATTAGTCTAATTAGTCTAGTTGAAAAATAGATTGATTCACTTACATACAATACCTTTTTCAATTTAATTTTACTTCTCATGAATTCATTTTGGAGAAAAAAAAGTATTTACTAAATTTTCAATAATTCGTGTGTAAGAACAATAAATAAAAGATTAAATATTACAGAAATTATGGTAAGAATCGTAAAAAATATGAAGGAATCAAAAATAAATTAGTAAATAATTAATTAATTAAGTGAGTAAGAAATAGCTTTATAAATTAAAGAAAGAGTAAGAAATATATAATTGAATCGCAGCATGTGTATTAAAAATTATTTTAATTATTTTTATTGTTTTTTAATTGTAATTTATTGTTTCCTATAGTTTTTTTTAAAAGTTTAGTTGTGGTTGTGTGTGTTTGTGCATAATAGAAAGTCTGATCATTTTGTTATTAAATCATATATATACATTTTTTATTTGAGGGCTTCATAGAACTCAATTGTTATAATCTTTTCTTTTAAAAATTCAGTTATATTTATTGACTTGAGTATCAATGAGAAGTCTTCTTTTTATGATATAATTAATTTTAACAATTGATGGTAATCAACAAGTCTGCTTAAACAGTTTATAACAAGGCTGTCTTCGCGAGTAATCTTTGAATTGTCTAAATCTAAATATTTTGATAGATTGTTTTGCAATTTATTAAACACCTCTTTTATTATTTCCTTCAGTAATTAGTAAATGTAAAAGTAAAAATTAGTGTTATCTTCTTCATTATTTTGAGGATTGCTATTAGAAGAATTTTACCCACTATTTGTGTGACTATTATACTGTGTTAATTACTGGTTAAATATTTTACTAAAATAGTAATCTTTTTTTGATTCATCATAAAATCTTTGATTTTCATGAGCACGATTCCAATTATTCTAGTGAGTACTAATTATATCGTAGTAGTTTTAAGCAATTTTTTTATAAACTTCATTAAAATTTTGGCTTGCCCTGTATTCAGTCCATCTATCTAAGTTAATTACATTAATTCCTTTATCCATTTAAGTGATTTTAAGCATAGAAATCTGAATTACAAGATGCTTATTCAACAAGAATATTAACTTTTCATATAAAAATGGTTCATCTAGCTTAAGAATGCTCTTGATGTTGTAATCTATTTAATTTTTCAAGAATCTAACGCTCTTACATATACAAAGTATACTTTCTATCATATTGTCCTAAGCATAGAACTCATTTTAAGTACTATTACTATTCATGTTATTATTGCTTGTATTTTCAATTTATGTGATTTCTTACTAAGAATTAAGAGACACTATTGGTTAATTAAAGTTATTTGAAAACGATTTACTGTGTCCATGATGGTGAGGATTTATTTAACTATACTAATTTTGATTTCTCAATATTTACTATTGTTGTTGTGGTTAATTAGATCCTAAATTATCTAGACTATTTTAAGTCTTGCTATTAATATTTAAATTTTAAGTATTCTTATTTCCACTACTGTTCATTTAAGAAGAAGTATTATTTTAATTTTAAATATTGGAGTTGTTATAATTTACAGCACTAGAACCTTGGTTATTTTAAGACAATAAATAATTTTTCAAAGCATATTTTGCATACTTGTTTGGTGAGTTATCAGCAGTAAGCTACTATGATGGTTCTCTTTGTATTTCCTTAAATTGCTAATTGCCTTAAATCTCATTCATTTACTGAGGTTCATTCCCTGATTGTTATATATGTTTTTAGACTATTAAATTAGTAGGCTAATTAACACCTTATTATTAATTCTTAACTTACAAGGTATTTTGCAGATATGCTTAATACTTTGTTTGAGCTTTTGGGGAAGTACTATTTCCGAAAAATTATGAGGGAATTTTGGAATAATCTTGAGTATTGATCTGCTTTTTTTTGATATCAGATAATGAATTATTTGAATTTTTAGGACTAATTCCTGTGTTAGCTGGAGAAATATTGTGAGTGTTACTATATTTACTTGCAGCATTATTGTGTAAGCTTCTGCTTCTGCTGTACTAATTCTAAACGATTGCTGGGTTTTAGACATTGCCTGCTTAATTCAAGATATTATTTTTTCCATAGTTTTCTTCACTTTGTAAAAATTGGTTTTTAACTTGTTGTGTATTTGATGTGTAAAATGTTATTTGATTGCGAGAGTTGTTTGGTAATTAAGCTTAAGAAAACTATTAGAAAGGAGTATTCTTTATTTCCTTCTGATAAATTTAATTTTTATTTGATAACCCAATTCCAAATTCACTTTTTCTTCTTCTCTCTAGAGGGGATCTAGGCAGTTAATTTTATTCACTATTTTTCTTAGCAATTAACTGTGCTACTGAATTGGGACTGCTGTTTCTGAATTCATTCTAAGATATGCCTTACATCTTTTATAAGTTGGCGTAGGAATGTGCACCACTGTTGTTTTTAGGGGTATATGTGTTTTTGTAATTGTCTAATTCATAATCTTAATGTTCATTGTTTTGAGTCATTGACCTCTTGTAGTTAAATGGAATATTTTAGTGATTTAGATTATTCCCATTAGATTCATATGGAATTTAGATTACAGACTCATAGTCCTTTTTTTAGCCGCTGTTTTAAAATATGTAAATAAAATTTTGAATAAAATCTCTAAATCAATCGCAAATAAAAGTGTAAAGTGCCTTGATAAAATAGTTATACAAAGTTGTTATGCAAATAATAAGCTTTTTCAAGTCTAATAAATTTTTAATTAGTATATTTCTATGCAAAAAGTATTGGCTAATAAAATTCTATTTTGAGATATTCAAACCATCTTAAATTAAATTAAATTTTTCCAGTCATTTAAATATTTTAGATTAAATAGATTAATTTAGCTTCTCTTAATTTATGTAATTTTAAATACAATTATTTATTACTCTTTCTTCTTCACTCCGTTTTAAATTATTCAAATGGCAATTTCAAATTTTCTTTAATATTTGAATTTAAATTTTTAGAGTGGGTGGTTTGAATTTTTTTACTTGCATTTTTTGTTTTTGTAAAATTATACCTAAAAAAAATGAAAAATATAAAATGAAGTTTTACCTATTTTACTGAGCTTGTCTCTAGTTTTTATAGTCTCCAATCTCTTATTAATCGAGATTTCCAAAAATTACATGATTGCTTGATGTGTTTTTGGAGTTATTTATTTGTTATTACTACTACTATTGTTACTATTGAGAATGGTAGCCGTTAGAGTTGTATGAAATTTTACCTTCTGAATCATTATTTTTAGGTGAAGAATTCGAATTATTTGTAGCTGTGATAGATCTTGTGGATATATTTGTGTTATTGAGACCTCCACTCTTATTCATTATCAATCCATTAGAAGCGGTAAATGAGTAGGCTTTATAACGAATATCTGGAGAATCTCCACCACTTCTTTGCTTTTAAATTTGTTATTAATTTGCTTGCAGTTGTTAAATTTATTGATTTTGTAAAGAAACATTTTACTATTATTATTGCTGTTAATAATTATTAGATGGATTATAGTTCGATGGACTATTTTATCTGCTATTTACTTGATCTTGGTTAGAAGAATTGTCTCCGCTTTTTATCACTGTGGAATACCCACTTGCTGAATTTGAATTATTATTTTGAGAATAGCGGTTTTATACAAATTAAGTTTAAGGCTGTTAGAGAATGTATTACCCAGCTTATTGATTTACAGAAGAGGTAGGACTTTATTCACTACTTGAATTCTTTTCGCTTGTGTATACACTTTAGTTTTTACTCTAAGGAGATATGTTTCTATTAGGAGTTGCTGCTTAATTATTTTAATCTGGTTGGTTTTACCTGCTGAGTGAATATTAATGAGAAAGAGAGTACTATTTAAGCTACACTTAGTTAAAGCGTGATTCATCAAACTTCCCTTAATTATTATATGTGTTTGTATTCATTGAATCTAAGTTAACTCCTTAATTATCCTATTACTTATTACTAATACTAGTGTTATTTTGATAAGGCTGTGATACCTGCTACTATAAGTACAGTCCACTATTTTTACTTTCAATATTAAGGTTAGTTGCAACAGGAGATTAATCTTACACCTACTGTAAAAATAATCCTCGTTCTTAAAATTTTCTGTCAGCACCATCTTGCTATCTGTAAGGCGATACTTAGCCATTATTTATATTATTAAACATAACTTCTGCTTTAAGCTCTGGTTTCTATTAAATTTGCAAGGCTGGAATATTTTAACCTTACTGAGAATATGCTGATTATAATTAAACGATAGTGGGAGAGGAAGACTAAGGGCTACTTGCTGTTTCATTTGTGTATTATCTTTGTACTCCGAATTAACTATTCTAGGAAGCTTAACTTTGAGGTGGGAGTCCTTAAAAGTTTTATTTTTACTGGTTTGAAGAGTATCCAAAAGGTTAGTTTTTCTACTCATCGTTAAATGATTTAAGCTGATTTTGTTACTACTGCTATTCAACAACTAAACCTTTGTCGTAATTAGAAACGTTATTTAATACTTAATAGAAGTTATTATCATTATATAATCCAGTTTTTGTAGGGGATTAATCTTTTGATTATTTAACAAAGTTATTTACCAATGCAGGTTACTTTACATTTTGATTTTCGTTTCCTTCAGAAGATTGAATATTTTTTTCTTATTGTGGAAAGGCGTTCAAGTTATGGAAAGAGCTAGGATAGTTTTTAGGTTGATTTGGATATTGTTAAATATTTTGCTTACTTGTAGACATGTTTTTTTATGAAGAATTAATACCATTAGCCTAAGCAAGTTAATCCTAAATCGAATTCATGCTCTTTATTTAGGAGTTGTAAGAAGATGCACTTTGCTACTTTTAGTAATTTGTGCGAATAGGAGATATAGGAGAATAAGGTTCGTTTTAATTGCTAAGCTGCTTTAAGGGGGAACATCCACCATTTTATTCTTGAATCTAAACATTCCTTTCTGTGGTTCTATTAAGTAATAAAAAGAGTGTAAATTATTTAATTAAGAAATGACGTGATTAAATTCTTTTATTTATTTATAATAATTAAATGAATGGTAAAATTGTTGGGGATTCTTTAATTAATTTTAAAATTATAACTTATCTCTATTAGCGAATAAGAATTGATATTTGCATTCTAAATATTCATTAAAATATACTAATTAAATTTATTTCTGCTTGTCTGTTTATTTTTATCCTCAAATTACTTTATTACACTAATTCTTTTATTTTCTTTAAGATTACACTTTAATTAAATATTATTCTACCTGCCTGATCCTGACTGTTATTACAATGCTGGAGCTCTCACTGGAGACATCGAACTGCTCTATTAAGATGACTAAGGTTAAGTGTTCAAATTTATTTGCATATTCATACCTGAGCTTGGGGTGACACCTAAATTTGTTGCGCTTGGTTAATTTTAATATTAATTTACTTTTTCTTATTGAACATTTATTTAATTAGTCTATCCCTACTAATATCCTATTTGTGGTTACTTTTAATTGCGATTATAAGCTGCTCCAGGTGTTTAAGTATCATTTGCGCTGCTATTATTTTATACATTTTTTTATGCTTATGTGGCCACACTTGAAAAATCAGATAAGTTATTTTATGAATTGGTATTAGTTGAACTTCCTGATGGATGATTTTATAGTTTTTGCTAACTCAATAATCTATTAATTTGCTATACGTAATCTTCGAATAAGGAATTTGCACACATTTCCTGAATACTTATTCTATCTGATTCAGGGAATTGCAAACACTTGCTAATAAAATTGACTAAAGCTTAAGAAATTGATTGGTCTTTGGGGAATTAGAGAGGAACCGTGCACATTTTTTAGACTAGATCAACAACATTTACTGCTGGCCAAGGTGTGCGACCAAATAATAATTCATATAAAATAAGACCAATACTCCAAACATCGCATTTTGAAGTGTATTACTATTTATTTAAAATCTAAGGTGCCATATAAAGTGGAGTTCCTACTAAAGAATCCATAAGCTGATCTTCCATGCTATCTAATTTTTTAGCAAATCCGAAATCTGTAATTTTAAATACGTCATCGTGAATCAAAATATTTGCAGGCTTTAAATCACGGTGAATTATTCCATTGTTTGCAAGCTCCTACAAACCGCTCATTATCTATGAAATTACAGTGATCGCTTCTCTCTCAGTTAAAGATTTTTTCTTCTTTAAGTAAGTACGCAAATCTCCTTAATTACAAAATTCTGTAATGATATATGTATTATTTTTTGTTTAAAAGACATCCAGAAGACGCACGACATGTGGATGCTTTAGCTTCTTCATAATCTTGACTTCAGAACAAAGCATTTTCCAAGCGTACTCGGTTTTCAAAGAGCGCATATCAACTGCTTTAATTGCTACTACTTGCTAAGTTTACTAATGTCTCCCAACATAAACGGTACCAGAAGATCCTTTACCGATACATGCACTTAATGAAAATGCATAATTTTCAATTTGTTTATCAGGAGAGTATTTAAGAAGTAAATCCATTAATGTTGCTTTGTTTTTTTTATACCTTTTTTCTACTTTGGCTTTAAATCAGTTTTTGCTTTTTTAAATTTATGTTTAACACACGATGATTTAGGAAGCTAAATTAGTTTTATATAGATTTTCTATTATAAATTGCTTGCTAAATGAATTGTTTCTGATTAGCTCCTATAACGCCTTCTAAAACAGTTTTTATATAAAAATGATTAACTACTAATTAAGAAATTTGTAAAAGAAGATTATATTTTCAAGATAAGCTCTAATGTCAAAATTGCAATCGAATATGATTACCTTGAATGATAGAAATTACTCTCTTTCAATGTGCTAATATAATTAGGTTTTTAGATTTCTAATCTATACTTTTTTGGCTTTTAGTGTTTTGCTTCAAAAAAATATAGTGTTAATGAAAGTTATAAAGTATAAGTTTTTTTTAGTTTTTTAATTGTATATGATTATATTTTATTGATTTGCATTCAAAGCACAAAATTTAATAAAAATTTAATATTTATGATTCTAACATAGTAAAATATAAACAAAGAAAATCATCACTTTTTAATAAAAAATAATCTATATATTTTTAATTAGAAAGCCAAGAAAGAAAAAAAATATTCAAACATCCTCAAGGCGATTTTATTTATATTATTAGCTTAAAACAATTATAGAGCGCAATACAAATAATTCTTATCCACTAATTAATTCACAATATTTTTTATTTGCTTCATTCAATGTATAACCTAAAAAGAAAATCAAAATTAGTTCTCCAATCTTTTTCACAAAAAAATTAATCATAAGCCAAAATCTTTAGTAAGTACGACCCATTTAAAATAAAGTAAGAAATTGATTACTCAGGATTAATTTTAAGAAAAATAAAATCAGGATAATTACTTAAAAAAGCTAGAGACTTTTTGATTCAATATTTTATATGCAAACACATAACTTACAGTTGGCATACATTCTAAATAATTTTTATTTTACCTTATAAGTTCGATAATAATAAAACTAGATCATATACCATTTATCTATTCTAAAAGTATTATTTTTTAAAATATTCGTTCTCCCTTCTATTCTTGTGACTATCATAACTAATTTGATGTGAGTTCAAATAATATCTCGAAATTAGTTTATATTAACTATTGATACTTCCTGATCTTTGAATAAAAATATAATTTAAATTTTCTATATCAACTTATTTGTTTAATCCATAGATAATTTTTAACATAACAAATACAACATGGTTTGTGATTATTTGCTTAGAACAAGCTTTGTAATATTTTTTCCAAGTTACAATTTAATTAAAAGGATTTGAATTTAAATGTATATTTTTTTATATTTTATCATATATTACAATATTTTAATGTATCATAAAATTAAGTGCTTAAGATTTGGAAAAAAATATAAATTTGCAAAATCAATAAAATTATAAAGGCCACAATTATTAATTATTAATTTATTAAAATATATAATTAAAAGGAAAAATGTATTAATATCAATTGGTATTTTGAAAATATTTATAATTGTATTAAATAAAATATTTAGAAAAATTAACTTTTTGTACATTTAAAACCCTTTTGTATACTTTGATATATTAAATTTTATATTTTTCTTTATCAAATTTAGGCCAAATTAATTAATTAAATTAAAATTATGTTACAAATAGAATAACCAGGAAATTCGAATAAATATTCAAATTATTTTTTTACAATTAAGTTAAAATCAATTTAATTTCGAATGCCACTTTGATATTAAATAATATTTACTCGAATTCTATTCAATCAATATTTAAACTGAAGAATAAACCTCTCTAAAAATGCTTCAATTAATTTATAAAATTTTATCATTAAGAAGATCCTGATGATATGAATAAATGATAAAATTGATTAAAATTAATCAATTTTTAAGATTATTTTATATAATTAATACATATTTATTGCATTAAATAATTAGAATTATTTAATATTTTACTAAAAATAATTAGATATTTATCATTAAAATACTAAATAATTATCTAACATATCTCATCAAAAACTTATCACTTAGCTTTTTAATTTTATATATGCAAATATTTTATGAAAAATAAAGTGTATTTTTTAATTTTATTGTAAATAATTTAAAAAAAGTATTTAACTCTTTGAAATTATCTTATTTAAATTTGTTTTAATATTAACTATTACTAAAAACTCATTAATACAAATAAATTTTACATTTTATTAGCTTAAAGTATTTAAAAATAAAAAATTAAAGTTTAAAATAATATTCTGTTGAAATATTTGTTAAATAAATTCAGATAATTATTTTTGATAATAATAATAATTTTTAAAAGTAATCATACGGAAACTAGAATTTTTCAAAAATCCAAAATATAAGGGATATCACTGGGGAGATCTCCCTGGAATTGACAGTAATAGATTTTAATAGAATTTAGGTAATTTTAAAATATAAAAATTATGATTTTTATCTTATTAGAAACAAAAGCATTTTTTTAATTATTATTATTATTTTAAGGATGAATATTTTGTTATTGTTTGGTTTTGATATTAAAAAACTAGTGATATGTTTGTTAAAAATGATAATGAATTATTTTCGCATTTTAAAATTTTTGATGAAAATAGATAGCTTATATTTTATATTTAAAATGCATTTATAAGAACCTTTAAAATATACTAAAAATATAAAATATAAAGAAAAACTTAAATTTAATTTGGATAATTAAAAAGTGATTTTGGGTAATAGTATATAGATAGATGTCCATTCATTAAGGCAATACATTTCTACTTTTATTATTATACATATATTCTTTTCTTTTTATGAGCTCTTTGATACCTTAGCATTTTTAGATGACGCATACTTCTAATGAAACTATATCAGAATATTTAAATCCTATATCATCTAAGCATTGAATAAATTCAGTCTCATCAAAGGAATGAGTCCCAGCTTTACTTATTTTAGTGCATTCAAAAATTATATCTGGATGTTACTACTTTGCTGTTTGATATTTATTAGTACAAGAATACATAGTGATGCACTCCCATGAACAAAATGTTTATTAAAATAAGCAAAAAGCTACAAATACAAAAATTATAAAATTTTTAGATATATTCATAATTTTCTTCTCAAAGCTTACTATGATTTGTATTTTTGATTTATTCCTTTATCTAAAACTTCAAAATATATCAAACATAAAATCAAAACAAATAATTGATATGCAAATCACAAAATTGGAAATTCTTTTATCTAATTAAAATTAATTGTAAGATAAAAGGGATGAGTTCTATAAAAAGAGTTTAAATACTAATCAAAATAATTTATCTAACTAATATGTAAAGTTATAAGAGAAAAGAAGAAGTAACATCACTAAATTTAGAAAATTAGCGCAATAATTTATTAAAATCAAAATGACATATATAAAATATAAGGATTACATTCCTTTATAATAATTAATTAGATTTTAAATGTTTTTTAATTTAGTTAATTTAAAAGCATTACGATTACTTTCTACATAGTTTTTTCTCAATAAAAAATACCCTAGCAAAAATATTACCACTTATCGTACCACCTCGATTTCCAATTATCTAAGCTCTAATCTATAAGTCTTTTTTTATTTTTTTAAACTTAAGAATTTTAATTAAAAAATAAAATGTGTTTTACTAATTTGTGTGAACGAAGTATTCATTTTCTAATTTTATATTTTTTGGATTAAATCTTTCTTCTAAAGCTTTTATTGCTTCTTCTCCTTTTTCAAAGCAAGGAAGAGATGCACCATGAGATGAGTAAAACATCTTAACTAAAATTAAAATTTTGTCTTGGTTTTTACGAGCTGCCATAAATCCCCTATTTTGTTTGATTAATTTAAGATATGATTTAATAAATATCTATAAAGTTTTTAAAATTTGAAACATACTTGTGAAACAGCTATCTAAATTGCTTAAACAAATCTGAGTTGACACCTCCTAACACATTAATATAGTCAGTTAAGAGTTTAAATGGCACATTAAGTTCAAATCCAACTCCTTATCCTAATAAAAATATTTTTTTTATATTTGTTACTTTGATTATTTTTTTAAATTAAATTGTTACCAGGTGCATTGGATAACAAAAAGCCAAAATCTATATGACAAATATATCCATCCTTATGAAGAAGAATGTTTCCATTATGTCTATCTTTAATTTATAAGAAATAACAAACTAAACTATAAGCAGCTAAGCTTGAACAAAAGTTTTTTTATGCTTTGTATAGACCACTTCCATAATATGACTTAAAGAATTCTTATAAATTCATTCCCTTCTATTATGTATTTAGCTTTTGAATAAGACTATCAAATGTAACTGAGTTTTTAACTACTTCTATTATACCGCAATTTGGGCCCAAGCTTATAATTTCATATGGTCTCAATATTAGATTTAGCTCACTATCTTTGAAAATTTAATCAAATTAATAAATCAATTATTAAGCAAATTGTTCTTGCTTTAAATTATCTCCTGTCTTTTTTTAAAACAAAATAATTTATTGAAATTTGCCATTGAATTTACATATAAAATAAGTATATAAATTTTGAAAATACTTGTTTACCTTTACTATAAAATGGACTAATTTCCATGATTTAAAGTGAGCATAAGGCGATTTCTTTTTAATCCTCTTCTCTTAATCTGCCTGATCTTCTCCAAAAAGTTTTTTAGAAAGAGTTTTAGTGCTAATTTTTTCTCCATTAGGAATTATTTCTATTTCTTTATTATCATTATGTGGTTTTTATCCATTCATATTAATATAGTGAGGTATGTGAGTGTGCAACTCCATATCTTAAGCTGAGCTATCTTCATTAATAGTATGAACGGGCTATTCCATTCCATCTATAGTGTTTTAAATTTAACTGCTTTCTTAAACCATGCTCGAGGTATTAGATGCTAATTTTGAATCTTTCATTTGATCTTCTTGAGGCTCATAAGCACAAGCTATACCATTTTACTTATCTTATTTTTCTGACATTTCAATCAATTCAAACTGATGCTAGTTTGATATACTCATTCTGCTATATCTCTATTGATTTTTTTCAATTGTTTACATGTATACATCTTAAAATGCTGATTTAGAAGGAGGTCTTTCTGATTAATATCCTGATCTCAAAGATTGCTATGTATTGTTATGCGACTGATAAAAATGCTCCTAGAATTAATTCAAAAAAAAAAATTTAATAAAATACAAATATTTAATTACATTTTATTTATTAATTTATTTACATAAACTGTTTAAGCTTTGCTGAGAGCATACTATCTCTTCCAATCAGGTATTCTTCTGACTTAACTATTATTTTTCTACTATTTTTCTTCTAATTCGTGAGCTTCTTCTAATTCTGGACTGTAAATTTCAACACAAATATAGTAAGGAGATCTTTCTTTTGTCGAAAAGACTCTGCACTCAGTAGGAACAATATTTAAAACAACATAATTTCTAATCTATTCTAAAAATATAAAAATATATTTTTAAATTTAGTTTATAATATAAAAAGTTATTCTATACAAGAAAAAAATGGAATATAAACTGCTGAAGGAAGCTATTCGTTTATCTACTTAATATATGTTCTTAAAGCAATATCCTTTGGATCTGCATCCTTTAATTACTCTGAAACGTTGATTAAGTCATCAAAAAAGTTAATTGTAGAAGCAAATCCATTTTATTCAATATTAAATGATCCTTTCATTTCATCTTATATATTCTCTGGATTGCAAACTTAAGTTTGGTTGTTTGTAAACGTTCTAGGATTTTTTAAATTACTTTCATTTAGAATGATTTTTCTCTTATAGTTCTTTAATATTATGTTTGTTGATTTTAATTTAAATTAAGGATATTATTTTATTTCATCTTATTCAGTTGTTCCATATTTTTAAATTACATCATCAGCTATTTATTATTCTTCAGCATTAGGAGCGACATAATGTCCATTTTAATCTTGATAATTATGATTCTGTTTCTAGTTTATTTCCTTATAAAGTTCCTTAGCTGTAAGATATTTGTTTGAGTAGTGCTCACTAAAGAAATCATAAAGCTCTAATTACATTTTTTCAATTCTAATTAATTAATTAAATAAATAAAAAAAATATGATTTTAAGCCAATTGTTAAATAATTAATTTAATTATTATAATAAATTTCATGAAAATTTCATAATTATAAATTTAATTATTTGATCCTTAATTTATTTAGTAAAAAATTTTAAATTTTAAGGCAAGTCAAAAAGCTAATATATCAAAATAAGCAAACATGTTTACGCTAATAACTAGTATTTTTCATTTTTATTCACTATATACGATAGAGATCTGATGTAGAAGTAAAGTAGATGTGCGAAATAAAAATTTATTTATCCTGCTTGCTTAATGTAATTAACCATTTTCTATACTTTGAATTCTTGTTAAAAAGCAATAAAACTACAAAGCTAAGGAATGTAATATTCAACATCATCTCTTTAATTTGTCCTTGAAGTATAATTTGCATTTATCCTATTTTTTTATATATTATATGTTATAACCAACTTTAGCTGCTTTGATAAGCTAATATTTATGAAGTATTGATTATTTTATTTACCTACATCTTAACAAATTTTGCATAAATTAATCGTTTTTATCTTCATCGTTTTCAGACAAATACAGTCCTATTAAAATCTAAATTGGATCGCTTATCTAACTATTCTTTTTTTTAATATTTTAACTTAAGCCATGCTAAAAAAAATACTCTATTATAATTGATTATCTATTTGCTAGCTATAAATAAAATAAATAATTTTTATTACTGCATCATATAATTAAGGATCAGACGTATTTTTGATGAGCTTGTTCAAGATTTTTTTTCTATCATTTGAAGTGAGCAGAGACTGGTCTATCTCCTTTATTTAATCATAAAATAGCATTACATAAATAAAATGGTGATTGAATGTTCTCGTTTTAGATTTTGGCCTATAGAAAACGTTAAAATATTATAAAACTATTACCTAACAACATTTGAAACACTTGCAACAAAATACTGAAGCTAAAATCCCTGTTAAATTAAATAAAAAAATGAATTTAGCATAGTATAAATACTTTTTTATTAGAAATTGAGTATTTATTTACCATGCGGCTTCTTTGTTTTAAGTATAATAGAGTTCTCTTCTGACATTTACTTTTAATTTATATGAAAAAGAATCTACTGAGTTACAACCTATAAATCAATCTAATATATATGAATGTATTATTTATATGTTGCTTTTTCTTTCTTATTAGAAATAATAATTTTGATTAACTCAGAAAATATAAATAATAGCAAAATATTTTTATGTATTAAATTCTTGATAACTATTTAATTTTTAATGATGATAGTAATATTTAGTACGCATTTAAATCGATTGATTTCTATTCAAACACTTTGCTGATAAGTAACTAATTTAAATCAATCATTAACTAAATGTTTAAAGCATACTAAAAGCCATCAAAAATCATATTTTAAAAGCCCTATTTTACATATTTTAGCATACATTATGAAAACTTTAAAACCACATAACTTATACAAATATTTTTATTTAGTCTTTTGCTCATTCTTAATTTTATTTTTTTCATTTAAGTAATTAATTTAAATAAATTGTTTAACATTATCTTATTGATTTTACTTTGAAATAAAGAAAACAAAATTTTTTTCTATTTACTTTTATTTTTAACTCAATTTTCTTTCTTTTCTCTGAATTTGTAAAGTTGTTTATTTGCCATTAATTTTGCACATATTGTTCTTTTCAAATATTTTGTTTATGATATTTTTTGTCAATCTTTACAATTAAGAATTTCTTATTTTCTTATTTTACCTTTTATTAACATTAAAATTGCATAAACATTAAATCTGTTTATGTCTAAAATTAAATTTCGATTATAAAAGCAATAATTGTATTTAATATCAATTTATGCTAATGCTTAAAATAGATTAATTTATTAATTGTTTACCCTCGGTTGTCAAAAATTATTGATGCTTATAAGAGAAAAAATGTAAATATTAATTTAGTAAATTACATATTTAATTAATAAGACTAAAAAACGGGCAGAGGGGGTGAAGAGGTAAGACCAATAAATTTTAAAAAATAGAAAATAGAGTATTAAGGATAAACAATCCTAAAATTTTAGTAATGAGTCTTACTCCGGCCACCTCCCAAAAAAAACTTGTTTAGTCAATAATTTTAAATAATATTTTACATTTTGATTAATAATATAGTTATAAAATATATACAAAGTTTATGAAAATAAAGTTTAATGAGTTGTTTTTAATTTAATATTTTTTTTCATTTTTAATTAGATTTTGACCTGAAAATACTTCATAAATCTATCTCAAGATTTTGCAGCTAATTATGTAAGATATTTTTTTTCTTATTGAATTCTTGTTTGGTAAGATTAATCTGTTTCTTTTAATTAAAAAAAGTAATTAATTAATTATCTATATTTTATTTTTATCAAAAAAATTATACATATGAAGACATATTATTTTTTTTTATTTAAGACTCCTGTTCTGTTTGCTAGGATTCACAGTTGGAATATAAATTCTCATTTTATTGTTTCTTGATCTTTTCATAAGTAATTTTTCTTGATTTATTTAGCTTTTATTAAAATGATAATTAATTAAATAAAAATAGGTAGGTAAAAAAAATATTTATTTACAATTTGTGGTTAGAATGTACACTCTTTTACTTGTTTGTGATCTTCTGATTCAGTATAATATTTCTTGATTTCAGCTAATCTTTTATTTTTAGCATCTTACCAGTTATTTATTCTTTCCTAAAATGGCTAATTAATGTTAAATGAGCTATTATCTGCAACAAGCTTAGGCTAAAAAGTTAAATCTTAAGTTTCATTTTCAATTTTTTCTTACTCTCCTTATTTCATCTATAGCTCAACCATCATTTTCTTCTTTAATCCCTAATTTAAATAAATAACAAATAATTTGATTATGTAAAAAAAAATATTGCTTTTTATACTTTTTCATATAGCTCATCCCATATATTCTTGTTATTTTATTGTTAATTTTAGTTAATATAATTCATTTGTTGGCTTGCAGTTTTTACCATCTTTTAATCAGTAAATTAGCTTGAACCTACTCTGTTTCTTTATTTTTATTCACTCTTTCTGGAATGAGTATCATATTCAGAATATCCTTACTGTTCCTAATAAAGTAATTTTTATGCAGTTTACATGGTCAATCTTGAATTTTCATTTAAAAGCAACTTTTTTTAATAGTCACTCATCTGTGCATTAAAAGGACATTCGTTATAAAGCAACTTTTTTATTATAGATTGTTGGCTTTCATTTATTTAACTTTGTTCTTAGTTAGAGTTCATTTAAAACTAGTAAGAATCATAATAACCTCCAGTAAAATTTAAGTTATCTTCCTTCTCAACTTAGTTAAAATTGTAGAAGCTCATAATCTAATATGTTTTTATCTTATTAATTAATTTTATAATTTTTAGTTCGCAAAATTAAATATAATTTAATTAAAATACGAAATTAACTTTTAAAACAACAACTCTTTTTCTTATTTTTCGTTAACGGCTATTAATTGCAATTAAAATTCATAATAAAATCATTAATAATCAATATATTACTTGCGCCAAACTTTATTTATTTTACAAAAAAGCTATGAATAAAACAAATTTTATTTCTAAATTATTAAATTTTTTAAAACATGATTTTAAAATATTCATTCAATCTTTTAATTGAAATCTTATTATCATTTTACAATAATAAAATATTGAAAATATTTTTTATAATTTTTTATAAGATTGATTACATCAATTTATTAGTTTTATTTCTATCTATATTGGATAAAATTTGAATTAAAAAGAAAAAAATAATAATTGAATTATTTTAAAATTAATTTTATTTTTATGATTAGTTAATTAAATCTAAAAATAAAAGTAAAAAATAATTTCTTATAAAATAAATAATTCACTAATACAAATAGCAGTATGAAAAGATAGATAATAATTTAAATAATTAAGTTACTTCTATATGATATGCTATTAATATAATATTGAATAATTCATTTAGAAAATGATATATTGATACAAAAGCTTTTATAATTATAATAGCGATGATTATCTTCATTAAGTTTTTTAAAAATATAACATTTAATTAAAAGGTATTTTTTATAAGAATTAACATTCTTTTTATATTAAATATATTTTTTTTCATAATATCACAAATGAGTGAATTATTTGAATCTGTAATTTAAAGCCGTAACCCTTCTTAGAAGAGCTCTAGAATTTCATTAAAAGGATTAAAAAAACCAACTGCACAACCTAAAATATTGAAGTAGCAAACAACTGAGAATGCTTATAAATCTTTTATATTGCCTTAATATCAAAATTTATGTGAATACAGTTTTTTAAATAATAATTTATAATTGAGCACCACTGCTTCGTAAACTAAAGACAAACTAAATGAAATCAATTAAATGATACGTAATTCTTAAATATAATCGAAGTAATAAGTGAATTACTAAAAAGAGAGTAAGTAGCTAAAAAATGAAAATACTATTAACTGGCTCAAAAAAAGGTACATTGATTCTGGAAACAAAAAGTATTTTGGAGATTAAGAAGATGTTCAGCAATCAAAATTTATCAAATCTATATTTGAAAATATAACTAGACACCTCAAAACTCCTGAGGGGGTATAAATTAATGATTTAAATCGATTGATTTAGTAGTATGAATTACCGTTGAGCTTCTAAGTTTTATCTAAAATTTATTAGATAGTTGATCATGATCGTGATAGCATACTAAATTTATAAGAATTCTAAGACTTAATTTTAAATGATAATGCAAACAAGATATTCCTTGATTAATTTAAGCATAGATATAAACAATATTAAAATATTATTTATAAACCTACTTCACTTTCTGCACTTTGTATTTTTATTTCTTTCAGAATAAATCATGACTTTCTCACTGAGTTTCTATATGATTCAAACTTTTAGGTAAATTTTATATCTACTTTTTAATATTTATCATGTTATTTTCATTCTTGTGATGAACAAATAGATAACTTACATTAAGTCTATTTATTTACTAAAATTAGGTAAAAGATAAAAGCTTAGGCTTGATTAAAATGTTAGATTTAATTAAGGTGCAAGGACAAACTCGTATTAAAAGTGATTTTGATAAAAGAATGATTAGGAAATTGAATGTAGAATAAACAGCTTAGCTAGGTTTTGTAAGTCCTTAATAAAAATAAAATTAACAAGAATCATCATTACAGAATGAAAAATCTTCATTAAAGTAAAATGATGAGATAATATATAAAAATAATAATACTTCCTCTGATTCAAATAATGATTCTGATAGCTTTTATTCAGAATTAGATAACATGTAAAAAAGTTCAACTACTCAAAGAAAAAGTGAAAAAATAATTATCAATACTTCTGATTCAAAAAAGAACTTAAATGTTAAAAAAACTGAATTTCAAAAGTAGATGGACTAAATTATATAAAAAGCAAACTCGCAAGGAGAAAAATCTGCAAAGAATTCATATAAAGCTAAAAGATCTCTTCTCTAAGAGATATAAGTGGAAAACTAAAAAGTAATTTTGAGCTCTATTGACAGCACAAAGCAGCTCTCTACTTAAAAGAAGGCTCCTTTTTTACCAGGCCTAAACTTGAATACAACTAATCAGACGCTTTAGAATTACTAGAGCACTAAAAAATTTCATAGTATTTTAGATGATAAATAATAAAGTAATTTTTTTAATTTATTTTTAAGATAAACTTACTCATATAAATTTGAAATTTACTAAAAATTAAAAAATTATTACAAAAATATTTAGAAAAGATGTTTTATTTTATAAATTACTATAAATCTTCGCTTATCATCAGTTCAACTCTGATCTTCATTAAAAATTATAATTAAAGTTTAAATTAAAATTCTAAAAATTAAAATTAAAAAATTGACAGTTTAATATTTAGGTGCTATGATAAATAAATTAATTAATTTTTAATTTAGATTTAAAAAATATGCAAATTCTTATTCTTAATGAGGAAAATAAATCTAATAAGCTTCAAGTTTATTTTAAAAATTAGTTATTTATTTTTTATAATTTGTTTGATTGTTAAAAAAAGACGAAAACCAAATGGATGAAATAAAGGAAACAACAATTCTTAATAACTCTTAACTTGTTCCTTCTTACCTAAAAAAGAATTCAAGCTAAGGGGATATCACATAAAAAGCAAATAAATAAGGCTATTCTAAACATATGACATATTTAATGGATTTAACTTTGTAAGAAGCAGTAAATTCAAAGCAATCACAAATAGCAAGAAAACTAATGAATATAGAAGATTCTGCTATTATTTAACAATACAGAAAAAAGATGGATTAAATCAAAACTTACTAAGAATAAAAGAAACAGCTTATCTCTCCTACACCTTCTCCAAATAAGCACTTTTTTACTTAAGAGATACTTTAATAATTAGAAGGTACTTCTTTCGCTCCAAAAAACAAAGGGTTCTTTTAAAATTAATTATCAATTGCATAATAACAATGATATGAAATTCATGTTTATAATTAATTCTATTTATATATATTTCTAATAAACTCTTTGCTTTACTCAATCAAAAATAATAAATATTGTATATTTTTTATTTATTTTAAAATTTATTATTATTATTGAATTAATTTAAATATTAACGACATAAATATTCTTGTAAAGGAGTTGTAAGTAATAGAGATCAATAATCTTTATAAATTAAAATATTTATAGATGATTTAGACCTAAATAAAAAATTTGACAAAAATTAATAAACTATCTTTAACTATTTTCTTAACCTTTTTGTAATTCTATTGCATAAAAATACAGCTTAAAAAATAAATCTCAATATTTCGACATTATAAAAATCTATTAAATAGCTGTTTATATATTTACAATATGATTTTTAATCTTAACTTAGTATTTGTAAATTATCTATGAAGTGTTTCATAGATGTTAAATAAATAAATTCGATAGTATTCAAAGCCTAACTATAAATGAAAAAAGTTGTAATTTTTGTTGGTTTAACTAATTTAAGCAGAGTTTCATAAGAAATAGAGAGTAATATAAAGATAATATTTACCTTTTAAGACTTATAGTAAGATCTTTAATGTTGCTTTATTTGTTAAGTTATGGTATGCCTTGAAAATGTTTTTATGTAAATGAAAATTATATGAAATTTGATAGAATTTGAAATACTGATTATAAAATTAATACATCCATATGTATATAAAAACATATATTATTTATTAATTACTTTAACTATTTTCTTAGTCATATTTTCTATTTTACCGAAGAAAAAACAACATTAATTTTCAAATTATTAATTAATAAGTAAATATTGTATTCAAACAGAATAAGAATAATTACTACAAATTTTCAAGATATAATTAAGAAATTTTGAATAGATAGAAAAAAGACATTAAATTTTGGGAAATTTTGATATTTATTTTCTAAAAATATATCATAGGCAAGTATAAGAATTATGAATTCACATAGCGGACCTTATTAAGGTAATGAAAAGCAAGATTCGGATAACTAATCTTAAAAATAAAGGTATGATAATTAAATGAGAGGTAAAGAAAATATGCCAAATGGAAATAATAATACTGGCTCATACTAATAAAGGACAAGTGTGTCTTCAGAATAGAGTCATTAGCAACATAATATGAATTAGTAATAGTAATATTAACCTAATTCTACCTAAAATTATTAATAGTAAACATCTCTGGGAAGGGATGTAGAAAAAAATAGATAATCTGTCTAATAATAATAATAATAGTAATAATAGCAATAAGACTATCCACCACAATAAAATATGTATCCAAATGGATAATAAAATCAATAATAATAAATTTCTTAAAAAACACCATAATCTGCTAGCTAATAAAATCAGCAAACTACTTACAATAAGTCTGAAACTCACACTCATATGTACAAAATTGTTTTAGTTGGGGATGCTGGTGTTGGTAAAACACATATAATTAACAGGTATGTAAAAGGATAGCTACCACATGCAATAATTCCTACTATAGGAATAGAATTTGCTACAAAGACTGTCACTCTGAGAGATGGTGGTACTATAAAGACCCAAATTTGGGATACTGCTGGTTAAGAAAAATATAGAAGTATCACAAGTGCTCATTACCGCAAAGCAGTAGGAGCACTTCTTGTTTATGATGTAACTAAAGAAAAATCCTTTGAATCTATATAAAGATGGCTTGAAGAAATTAGGCTTCATGCAGATAAAGATATAGTCCTTATGCTCGTAGGGAATAAAGTCGATTTAATTCATAAAAACCCTGAATAAAGAAAAGTATCGAAAATAGAAGCTACAAATTTTGCCAAATAAAATGGTCTTCTATTCGAAGAAAGCAGTGCTCTTTTTGATGTAAACATAAACGACGTATTCGAAAGACTATTAGAAGAAATTTATGATTAAAAGTGTCGCCTTTAAAGCGAAAGATCTCTTATTTAAACAGAAGTTGATGATGTAAAAAAGGGAAATAAGACTATTGACTTAAATCTTCCTACAGCAGCTTAGCCCACTAAAAATTCACTCTGCAGTTGTGGTTGAAAAGCTTTTTACACACAAGATTACTCATAAACAAACTCATAAAATTAGTCTTATTCAGTTTATATTATCTAAATTTGGAATTATATATTTAATTAATGAAAGACAGACAATACATACAGAATTGAAATCATTTCTCACTCACCTAATTAGAATTATAAATAGATAAATAAATAAAAGATAAATATAATAAATAACATTATTTCTCTATCATAAATATAAATAAATAAATCATAAAAAAATAAATAATAATTTTTTTATTTTTAATCTTGAATAAATCATTAACTTATGTATATATAAATTATCACATTAATCTTATTACAAAAATTATTTGCTTAAATTAGCTTTTTTATTTTATTTTTTTTCACACTCTCTAATTTTAAGTACAATTAATAGTTAACAGAATGTTTTTATCTATATGCCAGCTTAATGTTTGATAAAATTTAAATAAATAATCAATAATATTTTATTGAAGTTTAACAATTATTAAAACAATAACCTATTTCATTCAATCTCTTTAGAGAAATTAATAAATTAATTTCCATTTTCTATATTAATCTAACTCTTATCAATTTTACTTATTATATATTTATATATACTTCTCAAAAATAAATAATTATTTTCATGAACTGGTGATGATGTATTAAATGAACCTTTTTAATTTTTTATTTAATTTTAATGTTTTTTATTTACAATAAATTAATAATTAAAGAAATAACAATTTTTAATATTTATAAAATGAATATTTTATCATTTAAAACGCATTATATTTAATTAAAATGATATTAAATATGAAACAATGAAGTTCAAAGCTAATAATAGATTGTTTTACATAATATTTAGTAATAATCAAATGTAAAAAATATTTTAATAAAAATAAAGACAAATGTTCATTTTTATAAAAATGAATGATTATTTTAAGTTTAATATTTTTAAGAAAAAAATAAATTAATTGGAATAAAGTAAAATTTTTAGAAAGATAATAAAAGTTAAAAAATGAAAATTCCATAAAAATAAATACAGTATACATTTATTTTACTAGAAGTAATTATCAAAAAAATAAATAAAATTTAACTTTTTGAAAAAATTTGCATAAATAAATTTAGAATAGCAAATAAATTTATTAGGTAATTGACTTTGATGAATTAACACTTACAAAATAAATTTGATTAATAACTAAATAAAATTTTTTTTACTTTTTTTGAAAATATTTTTAAATTTGTTATTTAGAAGATTGCTAATATTTATTATTTTTTATTATTAAGAAGTTTATATTAATTGAAATGGCTTTTATTATTATTTTTTGAGAATTTAAATACATCATCTCTAATTTTACAGGGAGAGACACAGTCAGATAATTAGTTATAAAAATTATATAATATTTCTCTCTTATGCACAATATTATTATATAATTTTCTGTTTTTTGAGAATGGTTTTGTTTAATATTAACTATATTCCTTCAATTTAGTGTTTTTGTTATTAAGTAGTTTAAGTAAAATAAATTTAGAAAAGCAAATAAATTTATTATGAAATTGACTTTAATGAATAAACACTTACAAAATAAATTTGATTAATAACTAAATAAAGATTTTTTATACAGTTTTTGAAAATATTTTTAAATTTGTTAATTAGAAGAATGTCAATATTTATTATTTTTTATTATTAAGAAGTTTATTTATATATAATTTGAAATGGTTATTATTATTATTTTTTCAGAATTTAAATACATCATCTCTAATTTTACAGGGAGAGTCACAGTCGGATAATGAGTTATAAAAATTATATAATATTTCTCTCTTATGTACAATATTATCATATAATTTTCTGTTTGTTGAGAATGGTTTTGTTTAATAGTAGCTATATTCTTTCAATTTAGTGTTTATTAAGTAGTTTAAGCTATCAAATTAATTTTTGTATGCATAGAATGTGATTAGAGTTTTTTAAAATATAGTTTTTTAGTCATCTTCTGTCATTATTTCGATGTATTTGTTTATCATTTTTAGATCTTTATTGAGTTAACTATCAATCAGAGGCTTAGCTTGTCTATGTACACATTAGTAAACAACGCTTCTTATTTATTCGAGTTTTTGAATTTAAATATCAAGTTGTTAATTAAATTCAAAGCAGAATTATTTAAATAATTCAGAATCGTTTTTCTTGATAAATCTTTTGTTGGTCATCATTTTTATTTAATATGTTTGTTTATGAAAATGGTTATTTGGTTTTTATATTTTTTTGTTTTAATTTTTTTTATGTTAATTTTTAATAATTAATTATAAATTTAAATAACACTTTATTAATCTTAGCAACCATATTGTTTATTTTCATGCAAATTGATCTTGTAAATTAGATTATTCTCGAAAAAAAGATTCTATCAGATTTTTTCTGAAAAATTGAGTTACTGTGCTAGCTAAATTGTGGTCTACTTATGAATTTTATTTTAAACTAAAACTTAGTTTATTTCTTCTTAAATATTTAGCTTTAGCTCGAAAATATTAATTAAACAAATTAGATTAAATAATTATTTCATATAAATAGGAATATTTTTTAAAAAATTCCTTAAATATTTAAAAAATCTTTGTAATATAAAGCAAAATTAGTAAAGAAGGTCACTCATATTAATAATTACACTCATTATGTAAATATTTAATATTACTTGTCATATTAGTGTTAAAATCCTAATGTATTTTTAAGTAATTTAAATATTTTTATGAGATAAATTGAGAAAGTAATTTATTTATTGACTTATTAATAAACAAGAAGCAATTTTTAATAATTTGATATGCAATTATTGCTTTACCTGAATCAAATAAATTAACCATAGAATTTATTTTATTGCTTCTATAGTTTTTAACTTTTGATAATTCAAATTTACTGAATAGGATAATTTCATGTGAAATATATTTTCTGCTTTTTTTAAATTTTTTACATTTTACTGGTGTTGATTTTACTGAGTTTTTTTAAAATAGTGCTCAAGTATAAAGAATAAAATAAATTACATATTATGGAATTCCTTTACAAGTTAATATTTTTTATTATTTTTTAGTAAAATATGTTTTCATTTTTAAATTTTTGTAAGCATTATTAACTTTTTAACCAATAATAAAAAAAACAAAGTATTTTCTCTATTTTTGTAAGGGTAAATATTAAATTAATAGATGATTGAAACTTAATTCACAGTTTCACTATTATTTATTTTGATATAAAAGTAGCCATAAAATAAAAGGGTTTATTTTTATTATTTTTAATAAACTAAATTTGATCGTAAGTGGAATTTAATTTCACTATATTGTAAGATTTTTGGGAACAATAGAGTTGAATTTTTGATTTGTTACATATAAAAATATAAACATTTATTACAGTTAATTATTATTTGAGTTAATATAAATAATATCACAAACTAACAAATTTTACTTCTTAGTTAGTAATATCACCACTCAAAATAAATTAGAACAGATTAGGATAAATTCTACAACCCAAATTAAAATAAATTAATTAATAATCATGAAAAAGTCCTCATTGATTAAATTCTAAAGAACTCATAGGCCTAGTCATAGATAAACATTTCAATTATTCGTCTCTTATTTTTCTTGAAAATTGTATATTTTTAGGCCTATTATTATAATAAATTCTTTAGTATAATTGAAAAATTAAAGTTTTTACATTAAAAACTAGTTTTTTTCACCTAAATTTGATATGGTATTAAATCGCTGTCTTTTTGTACTGCTAATTTAGTTTTTATTGTTGCTTTGATTTTGATTTTGCTTTTGGTTATTTGTGTTAGATATAGTATTGAATTTATGCAATAAATCACTTTCTGGTAGTTGATTCTAAACATTTCCTACTTCAAAAGTATATTTATCTTTGGAGACACCATAACTTTTTTTTTATATGGCATCCTACAAAGTAAGTTTTAACCCAAATTTAGTTTTCATTTTCTATTAAATCAAGTTGTTTTTTAAAGGACTTTATGAGTCTTATATTTTAAACTGGTCTAAACTCGAATTAACTTATGACCCCTCTTTTAATAATTTACCAATACGACTTTGATTCCTATTGTTATTAATTATATTTTATATGTAAATTTCTCTATCTTCATCATCATCTTCTTATTCTGTTTTAATCCTCTTAGGCTTATGGTTTCTTTTTAAATTACTAGTCTTAGACATATTTATAGTAGTCTTAGATTGAACCGTCTCGTCTAACTTGCAAAATTCAATGTCGTTTAAAGTTTTCCCTAGAATGTCTTCCTTTCCTCCACTCTTTTATTAAGATTGCTAATACTGAATTAAATCATCTGTAGATGATAAATTCAAGCGATAATTACTTAAAGAGCTTTATACTCTTTGTTACTAACTATTTTGGTTTAATTTTTAACCAGCTATTGGTGAATATTAATTTTTTGTTGGAGTAATTGCCTTTCGAGAATTCTAATTATTGAGAGTTGTAATAACTTAATTATGAGAAAAGTTATTGTTTGGAATGACTATTGAAGATGCGTTTAATTATATATTATTAATGATCTAATGTAAAGCAGCATGTGAAGATAAAGGTTAAGGTTGTGGTTTAAAAACATCATAAGTTTTTTTCATATTTTAATATTCTAATTCAAACTAATTTATTTTCCTATTTGCTTAAGTAAGTTCTTCTTAAAGTTAGCTTATTGTTTTTACATCTTCTGTTTTACTTGGTCTTAAATTAAATAGTATTTGCATTTCCTTTAATTACTCTTTCAGGTCTCGAACTTCCTGCTTATGGAGACTTTGCAATTCATTAACACTTTTTTCCATATTTTTAACAAAAACTTACTGTTCTGTTAAATATTAATTGCATTATTCTTCATAGATTTATGAGACTTTTCCTTTTATTTCCTTAATTTCACTGCATAACTTTTCAACTTCTTATTCCTAGAAAGATAAAAATGTGAAAATGTTTAAAAAAGGTCACAAGATAATAAACAAATGAAAAATAGTTTTTTAAATTATTGAACAAAACTCTCTTCATAATAATTTTTAATCATAAATTAATTAGGAAAAATATTTCAATACTTACATGCTCTTTTTACATTTTGAGAGATTGATTTTGAAGTTGTTCATAATTTTTAATCAATTCCTCGTTCATAATTTTGTAAGATGAAGCTGATTCTATGCACTTATTGCTTTCTAACTTTGTTATTCTCATCTATTATTCTAATTCAATATTTGTTTACTTGAGAGAAACGTTTTATTCTTGCAAATTTTTCACTCTCTACTCCAATTCGAATTATTTATTCTCATTTATACTTCTAAGCTCACCAATTTGCTAATCATACTAAGAGATAATTTTTTATGTTTGTATTCTATGCTGATTTGTAAGCTTTTCTTCAACCTATTAAGTAAAAAGAGTGGAAATGAATGAATATGCCTACCTACCAGACAATTTTTAATAAAAAAGAAAAATTTAATTTATTGTATAATTTTTATACTTAACTATATTTATATTCCCATTCACTTATTATCTATTATAACTTCTCCATTTATTATTTTTGTTCTTTTTAGACATCTTCTAATGCTCTTTTTCTCACTCTTTCTTTAAATTTGTCATTTTACTCTTTCATTATGGCTAAATCTTTTTCCCTTTCCTATTTTACAGTTTCTAATTGCTTTAAAGTTTCATCTTTGTACTAGTTAAGAAGGTTTTAATTCTCAAAATTTCTATTTTTGAAACAAAGATTAAAATTTAACTTAAATAATTAAAATTATTTTGTAAGTTATTTTACTTAATTTAAACAGTTTTTATGTTTCTTAAACATACTAAAAGTAAATAAAATTAAATAAATAAATTTGTAAAATAAACTCACATTTGGTTTATCTGTTGTTGGTATTTAGCAATTTCTCTCTCAAAAAGCTCTTTCATTTTTTATTGATTTTAATTTTATTCATCCAATTTTAACTGTTATTTCTCCATTTAAGCTCTTATTTGATCCTTATAATTCAAAAAATAAATAAAATTTTTATTTAAAAATGGAAAAATAAATTTATTTTTTAATGTAAATAAAATTTTTAATTCTTAAATTTTATCAAACAAACAAAATTCAAAAAATTTTAATCATTAAATTTAGCAAAAAAAATAAAATTTGCTTATAAAAATAGTTATCCAAATACTAAAAGTATTTTTTTAAGTTAATTGACTTATTTACCTTGAGATCAATTATCTTTTATTCAAATTTATGAGTAATTTAATTAATTTCTATTCTGTGTAACTATTTCAACTCATTAAGCTGATCATCTCTTTTTACTTTTTCTTCTTTCCTAACTCTATCAATATTTTCTTCCAATACTAAAACAATCTTAGAATTTTATTCATTTATCTATTTTATAAGGGCATCCTTTTCCAATTCAAGCTGTTTTATTTTACTGAGGTTATTGTCTGAGCTGTGATCAAATTTAGTACGAAAATCCTAAAGAATATTATTCAGATTATCTATTAGAGTCTTGCTGTGAGATAGTTCACTCTCTAATTTATGGTTTTAAATATTTAACTGTAATTATTAATCTTTAGCAATTTATAAATCTTCTCTTAGACTTTAATTTTATAATTCAAGTTGTTTAATTTATTATAATAATAGCTATTCTTTCTCTGTTATTGTGGAAGTGTTGTTAATTATTGAATTTAAATTTTCTATATGTTTGCTATTTTAAGTAAGTTTGTCTTTTTAAATACTTAACTTTTCTTTTAATTAGTTGATTATTGATTGAAATTCATAAGATTATTACTTTAATCTCTTTTCACTTATTTGTTATATTTAGCTTATTTCATTTTCAGTTAAGATTCTCAGTCTCTCTTAGTACTCCATTTTCTCTCTATCAAAACTATGCTATCTTTCTAATAATAATTAATGATTTAGCATTGGCTGAGGCTAGTTTCTAAGAGCATCTGATTTTAAATTTTCTATCTCTTAATTTAATTCATCAATTTTTTATTGTAAATTTTTCACTTTTCTTTATTGATGCTATTAATCTGACTGCTTGTCTTATTTTTATAGCTTTAGCTAGTTTTCTAAATCAGCAACTTAATTTTAAAGGAGAGCATTTTTTTCAAGGATATTTTCTTTTTGCTTTTCAATCAACTTTATTTCATTCTAGTGTCTTTACATCATCTCGTCTTTGATATTTTCAAAATTTTAGTACTTTTCCTTCATAATCTTGAACTAGATGCTCTCTTTTTGCAATTTTCCTATCTCCCTTTAAAATTCTTGATAGTCTTCTGATACATATTCAATTAACTTAGTAAAAAGTTCTTTTACCTGCTAATCATCGTAAACAAGTGTACAAACTTCTGCTCTTTTCTGAATACTTAAATTTTTATAAAAGTGAATCAAGCTATTCCAAACATCTAATATAATAAATTGAATATATCTTAATTATTCTGTTATTAACTAGAAAAATATTTATTTTCTTGTTCTAATATCTTAAATTAGAATTTAGAAAAAATTTTCAATTTAAATAAATGTTATCTTGAATTTACGTTTCATCGCTTAAGAGTATTCGATTAAACTCTTTTCATCTTAATCGGCTTTAATCTTATTCGCAGTTTGTGTACTATCATAATTTCTAAGCATACTCTCTAAATTTTAGATTTTGTCTTCATATTTTCTAACCTTATCCATAATAATTTTATTAAAACAAAATAATCTCAATGACTTTATATTCATTAAAATGAAATCTCAAGTAGAAAATTTTACAAGTTGCTTGAAATCATTAATTTAAGACATTAATAACATCTATTGTTGCTCATTTTTTAATTTAATAGCTGATAGCTCTGAATCGTTTTTAACTTTCTCATTCAATAATTAAATTAGATATTTTTCATCTTTCTGAGCTAATCGTAAAAGAGTTTTTACGCTCTCATCCTCCATTTATATTCAGATTTAATAGTATTTGCAATATTTCAATAGAGAAGAATTTATTTTATTTTATATATATTTTATGAATCAAAAAATTAAAATTTGAGTGCTTATCCTCTTTCAACGAATCTATATTAATCAAATCAAGTATATAGAGTATTTTAAAACATAAAAAAAATATTATTTAATTAAGTAAAAACTATTTGTTAAATTAATTAGATGTTAATATATTTTGATTATGATTTTTAAAGAATGGTTGATCTTGCATATTTTTTGACCTTGTGTTTTTATCGATTTATAGATATTAAATTAGATGCATATTTATTATAAATTATAAATTTCTAAAATTTTATCATCATACAATTTTTTACTCTCAAAAAGTAAATAATTTAAAGAAATAAAGATAATTTAGGGTGGCTTATAATAAAAAATTCACAATGTCGTATTTATCATATTAAATAAGAGGAGGTACCAGAGGTGGTCGTGATCAATTTAAATGGGATGATGTTAGACAGATGTCTCACAAAGATCGTGAACAGTATCTCGGATAATCTGCAATGATGGGTTTCTTAGATAAAGGAGGAAAGTGGAGAAAGAAAGATTGGTACACAAAAAATGTAGATGATGAAGATGAAGAAGATGAAAAAATAAAATAAGAAAGATAAAAAATTATAGAAAATGATCAAAAAAGAATAAGAATTGCTTTAGGTCTAGAAAAGGAAGAGAAAAAAACCATTTCAGAAACTGCTACTGAAGAAGAAAAAATGTAATTACTTAAATAAATTCGTGAAGGTATGGATTTAAACAAGCAAAAAGTAAATGACTGGGATGATATCGAAGAAAATGATGAAATAAGAGGTATCGGATTTAGACATACTGCTGAATAATTAGTAAAAGTAAAATAAGGGATGGATATGAGTAAATTCTTGAATTATGACCCTACAAAGCTTGAAGCTGAAGGATTCAGTGACGAGGATTAAAAATAGAAAGAAAAATCAAAAAAAGATAAGAAAAGTAAAAAAGATAAAAAGAAAGGCAGCAGATCGCCTTCGAATGACAAAAAAGAAAAAAATGTAGAGGGAAAAAGTAAAAAAATAAAGAAAGAGAAGAAAGACAAAAAGTCAAAAAAGGATAAAAAACACAAAAAAGATAAAAAGAAGCATAAATCTCTCAAAAAGAGACACGATTCGTCATCTTCAAGATCACCTTCTTCATCTAGATCTCCTTCTTCTTAAAAAAAACAAAAAAAAGAAAAGAAATGATTCTCCAAACAATATAACCAGACTGTCATTCAATTATAATTAAATCTAATTAAATTATCAAGATAACTAATCAACCATAAATATTTATTTCTATAAAAAATTTCAATTAAAAATTGAATTCTATGAATTTAATATATAAGTGCCTAATATTAATCAATACAATTTAATAGCATTATCAGTTTTTATGCTTTGTGAGCTAATCATTTTCCATTTTATTGATTATTGTTTTATTTTTAAATAAATATTTTCTTTCTAATTTTATATAAAAAATAACACTATCTATCTATTATTTACATTGTTAATTCATGTAAAAAATTAATAAATTTTTTCAACTTAAATGATGTATTAATTCATACATAATAAATACTTTAAATATTTTCAATTTTAAGAAATTTTTTCTATCTATAAAATACCTTAATAATAACTATTGAATTAATAAAATATTTAAAAATTTTGGCAATATTATATTTTTTTATCATAGTTAATTAATTTCAAATATGTTCAGTAAATAGTTTACGCACTAAAATCAAGTAAATTCACTTGAATGTATTTTAAAATTAAGCAAAATTTTGATGAGGCAATTTTAGTACTTGAAATTAAACTGATCAAATAATTTTTTATAAAAAATATTTGGTTCGTTATTGTTCTTAAGATGTAACATCATAATCTTTTTAAAAATAGCGATCAAATTCTTTTGAAATAATATTGTAGTGATTTAGTTAAAAAAATTTATTGGATATAAAAACTAAATTTTTAAGAGTTTGTATGGTAAAAATAACTTGATTACTTTAATATTCTTATCAGAAATGCAAATTTATGACTATTTTTAATAATTATAAGATAAATTAATAGATATTCTTCAAATCTTTAAAAATAAACTAGCAAACCTACCAAAGAGTTATCATTAAGAATGTAAATTTATTTTTATTAAAATTTTAGAAATCGTATTACATGAATTTACAAAAATTTATTTTGTACATTAATAGATTTATTTAATAACTTTATTTTTAAGCAAAGTTTGTAAATAAATAGGTTATTTGTTTATTTTCTTTGTTGAGTTTTTTGTAAGATTTTACTTTATATTTTCTGTTATTTTTATTATTTTATTTTAATAATTCAATTTACTACTTGTATTAGTACTATGCTTTATTATCGAAATAGTATTGTATGTTACCTAAAATTTAAAATTTTACTATTAAATTAAGAAAATTAAATAAAATAAAAACAGTGGAAGAACTTGAATAATTTAAAGAAGCATAACACAATTCAGCTGAAAAAGAGAGAGAAAAAATAAGTAAGAAAAAAGTATTTATAAAAAAACTAAATTGGTTAACATTATTTTTTTTTTTTTTTTGATTTTTAATCAGCATTCACTTTTTAATTCCTTAATTCCGTAGAAATAAATAATTATATATATTTTAAGTTAGGATTTACTAATAAGCAAACAAATAGCTAACAAAAGTTTATCCAAAAAAAAACCAAGAACACACAGCAAAAACAAGATACAAAGGAAGAGCGACTCAAGTAGCACACAAGAATATAGTTGAAGTTGAGCTATATAATTATACGCTAAGAAATTAAATAAGTTCAAAGCTTGCAGTATAAATAAATCTTATACTGAATAATTTACTTTCCGATTTCATTAATATTGGTAGCTTTCACTTAAAGAGAACTATAGAATCCATATTTAACAAATAGTGGTGAAGGACTTACAGAAACGCATTCATTTTTTAAAAATTATATTAACATAGAAAAAGCACATACTAGTACATATTTAATTAGCAAATTCTAGTTTTTATAATGATGAAGCAACAGACTGCCAAATAAAATTTACAAGCAGCTTAAGCAAATTAACTGGGAGGTTAGGCAACAATAGCTATACCATCTTCAAATACGCCAAATCTTTAGTAACAAAAAGCGTAACAAGGTTCTTAGTAAAATGTGCAATAGCAATAATAATAGGTAATTAACTAGTAAAAGTATTAAGATATGAAACGGATTGAAGACTATACCTTTTGTCTTAGTGATTTAGTAGGTAAAGGAGCTTCAGGTACAGTTTATTTAGGAGAGAATAGTGTCACAAAAGACTTAGTGGCAATTAAAGTAATAGATTTGCATTAGGTAAAAGATGAATATACTTGGGGATTGATATGTTCTGAAATAGATATTATGAAAAAGCTCAAGTGCGAAAATGTAGTTAAGTTAATTGATGTTTTTTAAACCTAAAATAATGCATACATCATAACTGAATTATGTGAAGATGGAGATTTGGTAGATTTTATGAAAAGAAATGCAGGAAAAATCCGTCAAAATTAAGCAGTTAAAATTATTACTGACATTCTCAGAGGACTTTAAGAACTCGCAAAGCATGGTATTATTCATAGAGATTTAAAACCTGCCAATATTTTGATATCAAAGAAGGATGTCTTTAAAATTACTGATTTCGGTTTTGCTCGTATGGTAGAAAAAACCGATTACTTAATGACATCCTTAGTGGGAACACCCTTGTATATGTCTCCTTAAATTCTAAAAAGATAAATGTATACTTCCAAGTGCGATGTTTGGAGTATAGGTCTAATTTTCTATGAACTGATTTATGGTCAAACTCCTTGGCCTAGCAATTCCGTTATTGATTTAGTAAATAATATGTTTTCAAACCCACTCAAATTCCCTAATGTAGGGTAAGCTGGCGATGTCATTCTTGAAGATGTAAAGGACTTTATTAAAGGCTGCTTAAAATTCGAAGAAGCTGATCGTTTAGGTTGGGAAGAGGTATACAGACATTCTTTATTTAAAGATGTTTTATACGCTTATGCATAAAAAAGCCCTAACAATACTAGCATAGCTACAAACAATCCTTTCTCAAATTAAGATGATAGAGGATCTTAACTCAAATCTCCTAATAATCATAGGGATAGTCTAAATAAGAAGGGAAGCTTTATTAGCTCATTTTAAACATCATTTATGACAACTTACACAAGTTCAGGAAATTCAAATACAACTAAAAATGCAAAAGGAAATAATAACTCAAATAGTTATCAAAGTAAATAATAAAATAATCTATATTCTAATTAAAAACAAGCAAAGGGTGGATCTTCGTCATCACAAGGTTAAAAATAATAGTAGGCAGCATAATCAGGAAATACAAATAGTCAATTAAATACAATAAATGCAAATTCTAACAATTAAAATATAATCAATGGTGCTTTAAATTCTAATAACAACAATACAACTCTCTCTAGCAGCACTAATTCGTCTAATAATAATACTTAGAACGCTAATTAAGTTCAAGGCATAGCAGCAGGTAACAATAACAATATTTAATCAATTTTAAATAAAGATTTCAATTAAAAGACTAAAACAAATTCTAGATAAAGTACTCCTTCTATATAAAAGCAAGCTACAAATCAAAGTTCATAACCTATTTAACCAGCTAACCCAGCTGGAGTTAACGATGCTAAAAACTAAAATAATTTTGAGAGCAGCTAGCAATCAACTCCAAGATAGTAAAGCAAATTAGGAAACCAATACTAAACAGCAGCAAAATTAGCTAATATAAATAATGCAACAATTCCTTAGTCTGGGTCTTTTATAGCAAATTCCCCAGCTAATAACTATCAGCCTGCTTAATAGCAAATATAATGCTAGCAACCTAGTAGTTTTAATGTTTAAAATAGGTAGTCTTAAATAAATTCGCCTCACTTAAAGGACAAGAAAGCTAATGGATAAGCAACATTAAATTAAGCTACTTCCTCTTTTTTATAACAAAATATTTCATCTTAATCTTAAAATAAGTTAGAAAATATGAGGTAATAATACAAAAAGCAAGTTAAGGATAAAAAATCTAGTGATTATTAATATGGCCAAGGAAGTATTCACAACTTACCAAATGAAAATTAGATTAATAACAACGTGGTTCCAATATGTAATCATAGCGGTGTGGTTTATGGTAGCATTAATTCTAATCCATCAGAAAAATCTAATGTAACTGCTGCAGGAACAGCTACTTCATCAAATTCTTCATCATCTTTCAATTTCATCCATAAAAGATAAAAATCTGCAAGAGATGTTATTTCTAATTATAACTCAGCTTAAAATAATTTTTACATTCCCCTCACAAGTCCTACTAAGCATTAAGCATAATCAGATAAATATAGAATCTTGACTGAGCCTAATCAGATGAATGAATGTAAAGATAACTTCTCTCCAAACAAAAATAATACAATCATGGGCATAAATAGAGAAAGTAATTTTTAAAACTCGTAAGGTAATCAAAATTAACTGCCTTAGAGTTCTTCAAGTCCGCTATCTACAGAGCCTTCTTAAAATCCAGTTCCGACTGTTTTGATTACATTAGGTTCTATGAATTAAATTATCGGAGGTAATTCTATAAATAATGGCAGAGTAAACTCACCTACCAAGACAGAGTAGGTGTCTGGTAACATGCTTAATTTTAGTAATGATCATAGCTAATCAGAAATTAATTCGTTATACTCTAATCCATAATTAAATAACCAAATTCAAATTTAAAGAGTAGGTTAAGGAGTAATTAACTTAGAATAATCAGGAACTCCTGAAAAATAAGTGGGACTTTAACTGAAGTAGTGCTTTTATTAGTAAAAAGGATACTTGAAAAATAATACTAGATCAATTACCCCAACAATGTCTGCTTCAGCTTAGAAAGGTATATCTCCAAACACTTCTAATAATACACCAAAGGTGAGCTAGCACTCTGATACTGGAAATAAAGACAATAATGGACTAAGTAATTCAAAGAAAGCTCTTTCTAATTTTAATAAGTTTGCTACTTTTGTATATAATACTGAAGACAGAGGATCTAAGCTGTCATCTAATAGTAACTATATCAGCAGTAATTCTCATCAAAATGCATCTCAATCAAGTAAAAATAGTAATGGTAAAAGGTAAAAGTTTAATAATAGACTTTCATAGCAATAGTAATAAAGCTAAATATAAACTATGACAACAAGTAAACTTTCTGATCCAAAATCAAACCTAAACATAAATAACTTTAACAGTAGCAATACTGAATCGTACTAAAGCTTTGATCCTTTCAAGACTGCAGATTAGGTGTTGATAAATAACTTCGCTGTATATGATGAATCTCTAAATTCAAGTGGTTCCCCAAAAAATTATGATAAATAATAATAAGATAATTTAATTGATTAATAGCAGGTATTAGTTGCTTAGAATCTAAATAGGCCATAACATAACTATGTTTAGCTAAATTTAAACTCTTCTAACTCAGGAAATATAGCTTATAATTTATAATCAGATAAAAAATTTAATAGCAGTTAATCTCCTTCAATTAAAGGTGCTAATTAGGGACTTAATGGAAAACAAAATCACGTTCCATGCTAATATAAATCATATGATTTTTCTAATTAGATTTAAAAAGCCGATGAAGGAGTCAACACTTAAAAAATAAATTAAATTAATTTAAACTAAGGAAGTTAAATGAACTAAGCTTAGTCACCTACAAATTAGTAAAAGAATTCCTTATGTTTAGTACCTTAGATTGTTTAATGCAGATTAGATGAATAATCATAAAACGATAATAAAAATAGTGATACAAATAGCGAAAAATCACCTTAACATATTTTAAATAACCCGATAATAAATTTGAATAGAAGAGAAATTAGCAGCTAGCAGAAATAATAAATTACTCAAGTTAATTTAAACTATCCTTTAAATATGAAGAATATATTAGGAACTACTACCTAGCCAGGTAATTCTTAATACTTAGGATCTCCTGCTACTAATAATTCGAATATATTTTCATAATTATATAACTTAGAAATAGGAAATTAGTAAATAAATTCAGCTACAAATCATGTTGCTGTCAACTTAGTCAATCCTTCATCCTACCAAAGTCCTATTATTGAAAACAAATCTGTTTCAAGTAATGTTGCAAGCTCATAAGCAATGACTCCTCTAGATTTAAAGAAAACACATTCAGATTTTCTTTCTCCTCAACTGAAAAATAATAAATTTTCTTTTGACTCTAGCTCAATCAATATAACTCCATAAGCTCACACAACAACAAATCAATAAAATACTTAAATCATTCAATAAAACTAAAGCAATCCAATGCACAATAGGTATGCTTAAAAAAGTAGTGATTTTACTTCCTTTCAAAGTAATTTTATCAATTCTCTCGTATAGTAAGAAAATTACTCAAGCTCTGATATCCTTAATAATTATCTCAATTTCTGCAAACTTTTATCTAATTTAGTGCGTATAATAAATAACAGTAATTTCGATAAAATGGCATTCTAATCAAGCAATTTCTTGTTAGAAAAGATTACTTTCATCCTCCTAAAAAATGCAATGATCAAACTAACTAAAGTTAATGATAAAATGTATGCAAATGGAGAAAATATATTTAATTTAAACGACTGGAATACATTTAAAATTTCTGGAAAATACACTGAAATGCAAACCTCTTTCTTCCTTTTGTACACTGAAATTCAAAGCAGTTTTGAATAAGAATGGAATAAAGGAAATAATCACTCTACATAATCCCAATAAATAAATTAAGATTACTCCTTCGTGTAGTTATTCAACAAAGATATGACAGATGATGTAAGATTCTATTCTATCTCTCTAAGTTTTGTTAAATCTTTCATTCAGCTGTTGAATTAAAAACTCTCAATGAATCCTTAAACTTCGCTATAAAATATAAATCCTATATTCACTGATAAAAATGATATTGTAGCAGTAACTCTCCTAAATGACTTCCTTGAATACCATGAAATATTAAAAACTAATCTTATCAGCATGGATTCCTTTCACAATTAAATTTTTACTAAATTTAATACTTTCTTGTCAAAATTTAACAACACATATAATTACCTTACTCTAGTCTCTAAAAATTTTGATGCTCAATTTATTACTAATCTTTAAATAAAACTCAAAAGCATTACACCCTGAGAGAATAGTTTAAGTAAGTAAGAAAATAAGTGAGTGAGTAATCAAATAAATGCGTCTCTTACTAATTTGCAACTTTAGTTATAACCTTGAATTTATAAAATTAATGCTTCTTTAAGTGACAAATTAAGTCCATAAGATTATTGAAAATAATGTTGTTTAAAATAGTAAACACAGTTAAAAATATATCAAATAGAAAAATAAATAAAAAAATATAATTAAATAAACCTTTTCTAAAAATATTTTATTCTTATAATTATAAAATTTTAATTTATATTTTATATGAATTAGTTTGACATTTTAATTTACGTTTGTTACAAAAAATATTTAATTGAATTTTAAAAATAAAATTATTAATGTTTTAATTATATTTATAAAAATATATAAAATAATTTATATATTTATAATCAAACACTAAAAATATTTTATTCTTAAAAATTACAAAATTCTAATTAAATAGAATTTGTTTGGATTGGATTATCAATTTACTTTTTTTAAGTTAAAAAATATTATTCAAATAATAAATAAATAAATATAATTAAATAAACCTTTTCTAAAATATTTTATATTTAATTAAAAAATTTTAATTTAAATATTAAATCGAATTAATTTGGATTATGAATTTACTTTGTTTAGGTTAGAAAATTTGTTTTAAAATATTTATTTTTAATATTAATTACAATATTTTTAATTTATATTTTAAATGATTAGTTTAGAATTTTAATTTACATTTATTACAAAAAAATAATTAATTGAATTTGAAATGTTAAACTTCTAATATTTTTTTAAAATGTATATCAAATAATAAATAAATAAAAATAATTAAATAAACCTTTTCTAAAAATATTTTATCTATAAAATTATTAAATTGTAATTTATACTTTAAATTTATTTAATTTGGATTATGAATTTACTTTTGTTTGGGTTGTAAAATTTGTCTTTAAATATTTTATGTTTACTATTAATTATATTTATATTTGATATTATTAGTTTAGAATTTTAATTTACACTCGTTACAAAAAAATAATAAATTGAATTTGAAATGTTAAACTATTAATTTAATACTATAATTATATTTTAAAAATATATATCAAATAATAAATATAATTAAATAAACCATAAAAAAAATATTTATTCTTAAATTAAAAAAATTTAAATTTATATTTTATTTGAATAAATTTGGTATTTTAATTTATGTTTATCATTAAAAAATATATTTAATTGAATTTAGTATATATAATTGTAAATGTTATATTTATAAAGTTTTAAGTTACTCAATATAAACTAAAGCACAATATGAAGGTAAGGAAAAGTAAATTTTATATTATACTTCCATTACTTAAAGATGAACTGATTTATTCTCTTAATAATGATTATTGAATTGCTTGATCATCAATTAAGTAGTTTCTTGAAATAAAATCTCCATCATAAGCAGAATAGACACTTGTTGATATGGTAAGTTTGTTATTAGCAGGGAAAACACCCATAACTTTATTAAGGATATTTTCTTTTGTGCAGTTTTGTTAGCCTAACGCTTGAATATTTTTAACAGTTTCACGATATCTGAAATCTTTTATTTTTGTGTTGCTTCTATCAGTATTTGTTTGGACTAAAAACCAATCAGATTCGCTCAAAGTATACACATTTAAAACACTATCTCTGTTTCTTTCAATTACTACTCCCTAGTTTCCTTGTAAACCTGAGACAATAAAATAAATTGGAGAAGAAACATTGACAGTTTTAAGTATTTAAACAGCTTCATCAAAATTGTTAGCTTAATCAACTGCCTATTAAAATTTAAAAGTTTTTTATAAATTAAATTATAAATATCAAGTTGTGGTGATAAAAAATTAAAATATCTAATCTATGCCTTGAGAGTAAGTTAAAATAAATTTTGGTTGGTATTAAAATTTAAAGATTGAATTAAAAAGTAAAAAATAATACAATTTATGGAAGATAGATTCCTTGGTAATAGTGATCTTTGATAAGAGCATCAATATTCTTTTATATTGAATCACTTGTACGATAGTTAATACTGATTGAAAATTATCCTACTTTTGTAACTGTAATGAGAGAAACAAATCCTACTAAAGTTTCACTTTTGTATATGATTTAACCATTTCTCGTCCATTGAGCTTAAATAGCTAATTTCGAAATCTCTTCTTAAAAGCTATAATCTAAATTTCTTGCATGGAAGAGTGTATTATCAGGTTGTCTTATAATAACAGATGTGCATCCCATATTTTCTAAATCATACATAAAGTTAAATGTATAGAGAGTGGGTAAATCAATTCCAGTAAGAGTGCTTATAGCCTCAATATTTTTTGCTATTTCAGGATGAGCCTTTCCATAAGATAAGAATTATTCAGCAAGATCTTCTGAAATATTTACGTGTTATTTGTATTTGTAAGCAAATTCTTTCAAAATTTAGCCTTTAACACCCATAATTTCTCTCCATCTTTCGAGATGAGGGAGATCCAAATTAATGATAAACAAAGGATCTGATCCAACAGCTTGCGTTGTTTCAATATTAATCATAAATATAGCAATTATCAATATTAGATATTTAAATTAATTCATATTATGATTCTATTTGATTTTTATATTATTTTTATTTATTTATATATCTTTCTACTAATAAGAAAGTCAAGCAATTTAAAGATGAGTGAATCTATTAAATATTCTTGAATTAAATTACTCTTTTCTGTAACAGCAATGAAAAGTAGATTTTTACTATGAAATATCTTGAAATAGTGGTATAAAATCAAACTATATAGTTCAGTAATGGTTTTTGATTCGAAAAACCCATATTTAAAATATATTTTTTATCTATAAATGACTTATTTTGAGAAAAATAGAAATTTAGAAGTGTGTGTTACTCAAATAAAGATAAGGCTAAACGTCAAAAACTTAACTATTCTTTTACATCACAATTACAAATTTTATTAATATCAAAATGCATATTACCTTAAAAACTCAACTCCCCAACAACTCTCTTTTAGTTAAAACAAGCTGAGAGGAAAAAGAATTTAGTATCTATCTCAAAAAGATAAAAAATAATAAGAGTAGCATGAATATTTGAACAATCAAAGTATTTATTAAAATAAAGTAGAAGAGATTTATTATAATAATAAGCATTCATTAAAAAGTAATAAATGTAAATTTAAAATTTTCATGAAATATTTAGCATAAAACTAAGCTTATTTATCGAATAAAAAGAAGTTTATGAGAATTAAGGTAATTAATTTTTTTATTATTATGCATTTGTTAAGCCTTTATAATCAAAATATGACGATAAAATATGTAAGTTGGTTTCTTTCTTTAAGAAATTTCTTAAATTAAATCTTACACTTTTAAATTTACAGTTTAAGTCTTCACAAATTCCTTTTGAATATTAGCATATAAACAAAAAAAGAATCTAAAGTATTATAATAAAAATAATTGAAAGCTCAAAACTTTTTTTAGAATGTCCTTACAAAATTAATTTTTGAAAAGTTTAAAATTATAAAATATAAATATTTTATTTTTTAGGTTAGTATCACATTTTATTTTAACAAAAGAAGATTATTTTTTCAAATTTATTTCTTTATTACTTTTTGTGTAAGCAGATAAATTTTTAAAAATAAATACTTCATAACTTTTTAAATCTTAAATTAATATACTCATAAATTTAAAATAGAATATAAAGAAATTTGCATGCTTTTTGAGTTTTTCTAGTATTAATGTCTTTTTTTCCATTTATAATTGAAAAAAAAATTTGTTTTTAAATACAATAAAAATAAAGTCACTATGTTCTAACCTTGTAAAACTTTTTATTTTACAATTTCAATATATCTTCTAGAACCTAATTTTAAATAACATTAGTAATATAATCTATATATAAACAATAAGCGGCTATCATAAATAATTAGTTTAATGGATACAGCTGTAGCTCAATATAAATAAAATTATGTTTTTAAAAATATTTCATTTTTTTAGATCATTAAAATCATCTCCATCGTATCTAAACTTTAAGAATTTTAATTTAAAGCAATCTAAAAATTAAAAAAAATATGCTTGTTTAAATTATATTTATTAACTTGTTCTCTAAATCAAACTAAATTTTAGAAAAAATATAATATTGATATTTCATAATGTCGAAAAATTTTATGAGTAAAATTTATTTTACTTTTAGAGATTTATAACTCTTAGATAAAACTATGAAAGCTTGGTGATAAAAAATTATTTACATACTTGCTGTTTCATAAAATACAGTAAAAATATATTTTAGGATTAATTATTTTAATTTAAATTTTAAAATTATAGAAAAGGTTTTTACCCTAATTAATCAGGATTTTATTTAAAAATAATTTATACCCTTTAGCTTTTTGATAATTTATTTCAAAATAAATTAAAAAAATTAAAAATCCCTAAAAAATAATAGAATTTGTTATGTTAACACACTTAAAAGTAACTTTAATAAATGTATGATAATTTTAATTCATTTAAAATTTAGTGATATGTTATATCAATAAATAGAAAAAATGAGATTAAAGTTAACTTTAATTAAATATTGATTTAATTTTATTTGAATAATTTTTTTATTTTAAAATAATAATTAATTAATTATCATGCAACTAATTAAAAAGATTAAAATCAAATAGTCATTATTAAAAATGGTGAATTAAATTTAGAAAAGTGTTTTCTAATCGAATTATAAAATAATATAAGTACTTTTATAATTTATTTTTTAATATAAATATTATTTTACCAAATATAAAATTATTAAAATATATAAATTTTTAATCGTAGTATTTAAGAAATAAATTAAGTTTTGTAAGATAGGTAAGTGTATGTGTATGTATATTTATGAATTTTTGTGCTATTTGAAGGATTTCAAACATCAAGCTTTATTACAGAGTTAGATTTTATGATATCATTCTTAATTTATTAATTTTCGTTTTTTTCTATTAGCTAGTTGTTTAATATTTTCCTCTAATCTTATTTTTCTTTTTTCATAACAGGTTATATTTTATCATTTTTTGAGCAAAGATTATTTATGTATATCCTTTGGTTTTCGTTACATTCATCATCAAATAAATTTTACTAATTTTAATCTTCTTTATTTTCTGAAATTTCAGGATTTTCATATTTAGAAAAAAATTATTTAGAACCATCATCAATATTATCATAACTCTCAGCATTATTTGGTGAATCTGAGTTACGAAGCTATTTTGTCTCTTCTTATGAACCATTTTTATTTTTTTAATTTAAATTTTCTAATTCTGTGTAGATTATTCTGTTGCTATAAGATCCGCAAGTAGTTAGTACTGTGTCTTTGCTTGAGTATTTCATCATTTCTCTATTTCTTCTATTTTACTGAGCTTATTTATTTGATTGTTGATCTTTGATAGGAGATATTTATTCAATTTAATTGTTAAAATTTGATTCATTAACAGATTTGTTTACTGTAGCGGCTACATTGTCTGAATTATACACTCTTTTCTGTATTTAGTTAATATGTAGTTCAATTTTTCTATTGTTTTCCCTATCAATCTTAAAATATTTTGGTTTTTTAATATAAGGATCGACAGTCAAATTTCTTAAGTCGTAGATTTTTTCTATATTCTTAGTGAGGATTACTATTTCTTCATAAGCTTCATAAATTTATAAACTTACACTTTAGCTTTCTGTTAAGATTAAATCTACATTTTTAAAATAAAGTTTAATGATATGAATGTGTAGTTAAATTACAAAGAAAAATCAATATTTTATTATTACTTTCAAAAAAATTTTAAATAATGAAAGCAAATTTGTATTTTATTTCTAAGTTAATGTTAGATGTTAAAGCTATTTGCATAAAATTTTTCTATTTTAGGGATTAATAAAATTAATCTATATTGTATTTTTTAATAATTGATGCAAACTTAAAAATTTAATATTACCTTTAATTGTTGTCATAACATCGCTAACAAAATCGTAAATCATAATTGAGTCCTTAATTAACATACAACTTGCATATTTAATAATTTCAAATTTTGAGTAATTTTGCAATGAAAATGATAGATTTTGTGTGACCTATTATATTAAAAAATACTTTTTAGTAATTGTCAAATATTCATTCTAAAATAAAAAATTAATTTTTTCATATTTATTACTCTGAAAACATTTTTTAGAATGCTTATTAGAGGTTAAATGGTGTTAATAATTTCCTATATGCTTTTCTATTTTAAATACTCCAAGCTTTCAGACTAAAAGTACTACTCGCATTGATAGAATTCACTAAAATTTTTAGAAATCAATCTTAAAAACTAGTAATATTTAAGCATAATTGGCACATGAACTTCATCACCTAATTTTTTTTATAGAAAGTTAAAAATTAAAATACTAATTAATGATCAACATATTCAAAGAAAAGCTATGAATTAATTAAATACATTGATTATTAATCTTTAAATTTGCTTTTAATTGCTATGTGATGTCATTTTCAGTTATAATATAAGTCACATTTAGCTTCATCATATGAACTAGCTTGTGCAGTATATAAAACATCTTTATTGCTTAATTCCAATTCTCATACAATTTAGCAGAGCTAAAAAGCTCTTAAATTGCTTTTTACTAACATAATTCTTAGTCATGTCCTTCTAACCCATCTTTTAATTCTAAAAAATCTTTAATAAAAAAACAATAAATTATTAATGTGTTAATTTTACTCATTATCATATCTTCAGTTGGCCTAAGGTAATCTTCTGATGACTAGATTTTTAGTAGGATCTAATAAAATTAAAAATTAAAAATTCAGTAAATATTTGATAATAATATTTTTTAATTGAAAAAAATGGGTAGGTACCTTATCGTATTCAGAGGACAAAGATAGAGCGCGAAATAAAGTTTTTATTTTCTTCATATTTTCAGATCTTTTGTGGTTTAGTTTACTTAAGGATAGTAGAATCTTTTGATAGACTAGCTTATTTTTTAATTTGCTTAGCTAATATTTGTGCTTATTTTTAAGAATAAAGAAGACTTTCTTACAATTGAATGTAATTTACAATAAATAATTTATTATTTTATGTGATTTTGTTTTTCAATTTCAATAGTTAATAGATTTATTTTTTTTCTTTGCTTTCTTAATAGAGTGAGTGATTGAATTAATTATTTATTTATTTAATTCGCTTCATGAATAATACTTGTTAAGGCGAGTAGAATATTAATACTTTTTGTTTTCTATACTAAATCTCAGAATTACTAAATATCGAATGGATGAATAAATATTTTTTTTATGTGTTTCTATTTTTTGATGTTTATTAATTGCTAAATTCTTCATTAAAAATTTTTGGATATTGTAAATAAATCTATTTGTTATCTATTTCAAATGAAAACCAAAAACATTTGTGAGATATTTAAAATTATTATTTATAATGAAAATATTATTTTTATTGATTTGATATTAAAAGACTTATCTTTAAAATAGTTTATTCTTTTCGTTATTAATACTTTAGAAAAGAAATATAAGGAATAGTTTATTCATAAATGATTTTGCCAAAAAAACATAAAAAATGGTTTTATTTTTGAATGAAGGATTTTTAGGCAAAGATAAATTATTTCAAATAATAATAAAATATCTGGATTTTTCTTGTTATTTTCAATCTTTACTTATAATTTTATTATGTATAAAAACTAAACCTTATTCTATTTATAGCTTTAGAAGATATATTCTTTGGCTACTTCTTAGAAATAAATGAGATAGATAATTTAATATGATTAAACACGAATAAGCATATTTGGTATTTTCTTGAAATAATTACATAAATATTAATTCTTGTTTTAATACATTACTTTTAATAATATCCTTTTTAATTTAATTTACCAGAATTTCATTTTACTTAAATAATATTATCTTAAAATTATTTAAAGTTTTTATTTACTTAAATTAATAATAACTTAAAAATACCTAGTAGATGCAGATTATAAAGCTAATATAATTATAGAGATTATTTAATTTTTTAGAGAAAAAATGTTAGGAAGTGAAATTCATTTAACTTATTTTTCATTTTTAAATTATGCATTTTGATTACTACTTTTCTTGATAAAATTTAAATTAGATCTTTGAAATCAAATTTTCCATCAATCTATAAAGATTTTTAATGATGACTGCTTTTATGAAAATAAAAGTAAAAAATACCTTACTTTTCTCTATTAAGGAAAAATTATTTTTTATCAATCATATTAGAAACTAACTTAAATTTCTCATAAATTTTATTTAATTTTGGATAATAATTTAAATAATGTTTAATTTTTGTAAAAATTATATATTAAAAAAAAATTTTATATGATAGAAGTAAAAAATCTTTTTTATAATAATTTCATCAATGTAATTATTAAAATATTTATTATAAAATTTAAAAAAATTTAAATGCCTCTCAGCCGCAGTATTCTTTAAGAAAAGATTTAAATCAGTTAATTTATTCATAAATTATTTTAATTTGTAATTTTAGATTATTAATTAGATTAAATTAGAGGTGGTCTATTAATTTTTACATATAATTAATTGAAAAAGAATAAATTTACCAAATTAATATTTTTCTAATAATTAGATTAATTTTTTAAATTATTGTAACTGAAATTCATTAATTTGTTTCCAATTTTTAATGTAAAAATGAAACATTTTAACTACTATTTATCTTTCTTGATAAAATTTAAATTTCATCTTATAAACTACTTTTTCAATTAATTAATGAATATTTAAAATGATGAAGGAATTACTTTGAAAATAAACGTAAAAAATAACTTACTTTTCTTTATGTATGCAAAATAATTTTTAATCAAATGACAATATAAAATAAATTAATTTCTAATAAATTTTATTTAACTTTGGAAAATAAATTAAAAAATCAACTTCACATTAAAATATAAAAAACTCAACATAAAATTTAAATATGATAAAAATAAAAAAGCTTTTGGATTAAAATTCTCTCAATATAATTATTAAAATGTTTAATAATAAAATAAAAAACATATGCCATTCATCCAAACAAAATATAGCTTATGAAAAAACTTAAATCATAAATTATTTGTAAATTCTTTTAATCAATTAGTTCTATATACAGTCTATTAATTCTAAAATATATTTAAATAAAAAAAATAAATCATTTTTTTTCTATCATTTAAATTAACTAATAACTTAAATGAAGAAAAAACGAATTACAATTTTATTAATTAAACACACTAAATTAATTATCAAAATTTTATGAATTTTTTGTATTTATTTACTAATATCAAAACAAACACAATTTTTTCTAATCTTAGTTATCAGTATTAAATATCGGCATGTTATTTAGAGATTTATAAAAAATATATAAAAATTTCGAATATAGGATGAAAAAACCTTTAATCTGTTATAAAAAAATTTATAAAAAATTTACATTCTGATATAGCTTTAACATAATTTTTTATTTTTTGGTTTAATTTTAAAATATCAATATATTTTAACACAGTATTTATTTGTTCTAATCAGTTCTATATAATTTATTATGATTTTAATTAGTCCTTTTAAATCAATATAGAAATTTTTATTAATTTCAACAGATAAATTATGTTTGATAAAAAAAAGTTTTCTCTTCCTTCTGTCCTTCAAGCTGAAGAGAGAAAATCACATTCAATACATTTGCCAAAACAAGAAAAACAAAAAAAGTTACCATAATTTCAGCATTCATTTTAGTTTGTTAAGGAGCTTCACCCTGCTACTTCAAGAAACAATGAAAAAAGTTTTTCTTCAAAGCATTTTAATTTTACAGAATATGATATTGTGAGCGGTAAAAATCCTAATGCTATTTCAGAAAAAACAAGAAATTACATTAAAAATCAAACTAAATTCAAGGATTAAAATTCTTCAACCTAGCAAATACATCCATAGCTCAGTATTTGTTAAGATAATGGCACGATAAAAAATAAAATAGATGATGTAGAATAAAAAATTAACCAAAATGTAGAAGATATTTGTAATATAGTAGAAATAAAAAATGAGTTAAAATAATTAGAAAATGGAGAGAGTTCTTAGATTTAATAGAGTTTAAATACCCCAAAATAAAAAATTAATAAACTTGAATCTTTGTTTATTATGAGGGAAGGTCAAAATTAATAGAGATTACCATAGTAGAGTTCACTGTTGGATTAATATTTTGTTCTAAAAAATGGTTCTACATTATAAAGTTAAAATTCTTTTGAAAAATCATTTCTAAACCAGTCAACTAACAATTTTAGGAACAGCGAAACTAATTAAATATTTAGAGGTAGTAAGTTTAGTATTGAAGAAGACTCTAAAAATAACTTTCATCAGACAAATCCTAATCAAACGAAGTACCTTAAGTAAATAAAGTAACACTCTGATATTCTTGGACAATTTACATAAGAAAAGTATATGAAATCTCCTATTTTTTCCAAGTAAGGTGAAGAGATAAACAATATTATAAAATAAAGTAGAGATCATAGCAATTCAATTCATTTAGCTATGAAAAGTTTTTAAATAGAAAAAGGTAAAAAATTGTTTTAATTTGAGAAAGAGTTGATGAAAATTAAAGAAAATATAATCAGTAAGTCTTATTTTAATTTTCCTAGTAGAATTAATAATACAAAGAGTATTATTAATGATAGCTTAGTAAGTTAAATAAACTAGATGAATGGATTTGAAGAGGAAAAGAAACAAGATATAAATATGATGTAGATAAATTCTATAGCAGCTGCTGGATCAATTTAGTTAAAATAAAATGCAAAATCATTTTAACAAAATTTATTTTATGAACAAGAAAGCAAGCTAAATCAAACAATTATTAAATTTATAACTGACAAATCTATCCTTTAAGATGATTTTATAAAATAAGTATTAAATTAAGAGAATAAAGAAGAACAGTAAAACCCTGCTCTTCATTTTCTGAGGAAAAGATAAATGCACTTTACTTAAAATCCTGAAGTGGTAGATTTATTGGAGTAAATTGACATTCACCACAAGACTCTAAAGAATCTAGGAAATTAATATCAAAACAATCATTCGGATTTCTTTAAGGTAGCCAATTTAGATGCAATTAAAAAAGATATATTAATGTACTAGAAATCATTTGTTTAAAAATCTGATTACAAAATATGCTAAGAGAGGGAAGAATCAAAGCAACTCTAGGATTGGTTAAAAGCAATGATTGACAAAGTTCTTAAAAAGCCTAACAACTCTTTTCAATAAATGTTCTCTGAGGTAATAATATATTTCTATTCTTTATAGAAAGAGCAAATTAAAATGACTTTTTTTTATAAATAATCTAAGCTTGAATTAATTTTTCATGGCTGCATGCAAGAGCTGGTAAGACAAATTTCCATTTAATGCTAAGAAAGAGGAGAAATTTTATGTTAAATTTGGAACCAATATAACTATTTAATTTCTAAGCTATTTTCTATGCACTCTGTAATGCATTCTAGGCAAAACTAAATGGAATATGATCGCTTAAAATTTTTAACGGATGCTGTTGATAAAAAATAATAAGAATTTATGGTATAAATAAAAATAGTGCAGCAGAGATTAGATGAAGAAGTAAAACAAATTTTTATGTCATTTATTATCAATGTATTTACATTATTATTTTTTTTAGTTTGAAAATAATTAAAAAGTCAATGATCAAAATTTTTATCTGAGAAAAAAATTGAATAAAATAGAAAAAGAAAAAAATGATTTATAAAACTAATTCTCTTCAGTGTAGTAAGAATTTAACGAATTACAAACTCATCATTAACACGTTTTAGTCAAATTTACTGAATTAGAAGAATAATTAAACGATAACATACTGCAGTCACTCAATAAAGTACCTGCTTTAACAAATACCATTAATTCTTCAAATTCTTAAAATGAATAAATTAATTTAGAGCTGTTTAATCTTTCTTAAAAACTTTTATAGATGCAATAAGATAAATTAGTTTCACAAAGATTTATTCAGTAACAGCAAAGTAAGTTAAATATTTCTTCTTAATAAAGTAAAATAAATATCAATAAGTAAAATTTTGAAAATACAAATTAACAAATCACCGAAGATAAAAAGACTATAGACAGGTATGAATAAATTTATATTTAATTGTGATAAGATAAATAAATTTATTTATTTAAATTAGTGCTGTTAGTTTAGAAAATGAAATATTTGTTAAGAATTAAGAATAAAAGTCTAAAATTGAAATAGAAGGTATAAATAATGTTGGAATAAATACAAGCTTTAAATTTTTCTTAGATCGGGTCGATGCTTGTGTTAGTACAACTAGTATTTATGAAAATAAAGTATATTTAAATCAAGAAGTCCAGACAGATTAGCTCGAAAAAAGCTTCCAGTATTTAGAAAGTAGAAAGTAGATTAAAAGTAGTGAGGTTTTAACTGATTTAGAATATGAAGAAGTAGTAAATAAGCTGAACAACCATTTATTAGAGATGAAAAATGCAGCTAGAGATAAAGTCAGTCCCGAAGTTTACTATAAAAAGCTAAGAGATTTGAGGCAAGATTTGCTAAATAGTTTTAAAAAAAAGAGAGTCTCTATTTAGGAAATAAAGAATAAAGCAATCAATATTCAAGATTAATAATAAAATATATTTAAAGATGTTTTGCAATAGTTAATTGAAAGTAACTCAACAGTGTTAGAGTAAAAAATTGTAATTGCTGAAAAAGACATCAAAGTATTTTATTTGTTAGATATTTAATTCTTGAAATAGTCTAATTTAATAATTTCAAACAGATTCAAGGGTTGGAAGAATAAATAAGTTCGTAACAGTTAAAAATTGATATTTTAAAGCATACTTACATTGAGAATTAGTTGAACGATTCAAGCTAAAATAGCGAAAACCTAGATTAAATAAGTTTTGAATAAATTATTGAAAGCTCCCACCTTCTTTCTTTTAATCAAAAACCATACAGGTCTTCTAACCAAATATAACTAAGTACATTTAGAAATATAGCAGAAAGGGATTCTCATTATAAAGATTCTAAGCGAAAAGATATTGAATAAGAATTTTAATTGTATCAATAAGCTAACAGCATTAATATTCCTACTTAAGAAGCAATTAAAGAGCAAATTTTGCATGAAACTCAAAATAATGAAGAATTAGAACAAAAAGTTTAGTAGTAAGGTGAAGAAAGCATAATTTAAAATAATGAAGCCACTTCTTTATCTAATACAAATAATTTTAGTAATCATGAATTATCCAATACATCAATTAATAAGATAGAAAGTAAATTAGTTTTTTATTTACAAAAAAAAAATTAATTTTATAATTATTTAAGAATTGTTTAGAAGGTATAAATTATTTATTTAATTGTTTATCTTCCATCAATCTACCGTGATTTCTTTATAATTAAATGTTAACATGATCAATATCCATTATAGAAAAATTTTATGATGAATTTATTTTAACTTTTTTCCCAATTATTACCAGGATAGATATCTAATAAACGTTAAAGCGACATTACCAAGAAGTCAAAGTAAGCAAGTTATTTAAAAAATAATAAAGGTAGTGAAAGAAAATTTAGTATCTAGCTAATAAACACTAATAGGTCTATTTCAAACAGTCCACAAAAGTAAATATTTAATTTTCTTAACTTATTTTGATTGATAATAAAAATAAAAGTTCTTAGAATAAGTGGAAATAGAATTCAAATTTCAAAAAACCTTCTATTTCCAATTAGTTAAATTAGACCAAATAGTAAAAAAGAGATTAATATGTAAGTCCAAAAAGAAAATAAAGTAACATACTTTACTGATAGCAAATAATAACTATAATTTTATTAAATATAAGTTAAAAATAGTAATAAATAAACTACTAAAGGGTAACCCCTGCTCACTAAAGAAAGAGCTTCAGTTTTAGCAAACAAAGAAGCAGCTGAACTTATTCTGGAAACAGCTAAAGTAGTTTTAGTTGAAAATACAGATTATAAGCAAATGAATTAAATTGTAAAAATAATAAATATTATTTACAATGAGTGCATCAAGCAATACAAAAAAGGAGAAAGTGATGGATAGTAGGCTATAATTTATATTTTATATGATTGGTTTTTACATCGTTTTGGAGTGAAAAATATAGCTGAAAAAAAATTATTAGATTTTCTTGTTTAAATTAGAAAATCGGATGACAATCCAAAAATACGTGCATTTGGAAAAATTGTTGGTAAATTGCTCTTATAAGAATAAATAATAATTTATTTTAATAATAAAAGGACTTTATAAAACTGAAATTTTATAGTTTTACGATCTTCAATTTTTCATTAAGTGCATGTCCCTATTTGAGGAGTATTCAAATTTAGCAAAAACAGCTAATATCTAAATAGAAAAATTAAAAATAAATAAATAATAAATAACAGACGCATCTCATTTTTTTTTCGGAAATATTATTTCAAAATAAGGAATAGAAGAATTTATCTAAAACACAGTAGATGAAATTACTTTAGATATTGAAAATTTTAGAAATATTTTAGTTAAAAACTTAATTGCTAATTAGGAATAAAATAATTCTCATGATTTTGACATAGATATCATTTCTGAGAAATTCTTATCACTACATATGCAACTTGAAGAAGTTTATATGTAAAAATATAAGGGAATATTTTAAATTGTTCAGTAAGCTAATTTTATAGGTAAAGAGTTTTAGAAAAATCATAAACTAATATTTTTAATAGTAAAGTGAAATTTGTTGATTAAAATTAAAAATCATCTGAAGATTTGCAAACATTTTATGGTGTTTCACAAAAATAAATTTTTAATTTTTTTTCATAACAACTTGATAGAAAAAAATTACTTTGATATTTTATCTTTATTTCTTTTAAAATGATCTTAATAACTACTTTTAAACTGACTGAAAAAATGTTATTTAAATAAATTTTAATTCAGGCAAAAGCTTAATATTTAGTGAAAATTTTTGATTAATAAGGAAAATAAGATCTTAAAAGCTGATAAAATTGGTTCATAAAAAAATTTTTTAATAAAATGATTTGAGATTTGAAGAAAACAAATACTTTATTTTATTTAAATTAATAAGTGAAAAATTTTCAAAAATTATTGAGAAACTTTAATTTTACAAATTTATTTTTTAAATAATATTTTGAAAAATTATTTTAAATAATTTATTTAATAACATTTTAATTAAAAATAGGATTAGAGGAATTTTTAATTTTGATTAGAAATTTAAATATTAAGGATTTGAAAGAAATAGAAATGGTTTAGATATTTAAATAGAAGGCAGATTAATACAATGATTATCAACTATAAATGAGTCTAAAAAGATTTTGCATGTTATGTTAGGAAAATAAAACCTTATTCGAAAAAGATCAAAAAGATTTTGTAAAGTTTTCTCTTTAAAGTAATAACAGCAGCTTAATAGAGAATAAAATTCATAATGTTCAAGAGATTAAAAACAACTGGGAATTGCTTAGTATTATTATTAAAACAAGATTTATATACTCTAAATCTTATAAAACTGTTTACCAACATATGTTAGATCAAATTTAAAATTTCTTTTAAGAATCAATAAAAGAAGGTGATGAATCATCATTGCAATAAAAAAGGGAGTAAAGTAATCGCATTATGCTAATATTTAGAATTTTGTGTGAAGAGTCACGCAGAAATATAATAAACTATGAAACGAATTAAATACTTGGGGAACCTTTCTCAATGTTCTCAGAGTCTATTCGTTAATAAATACATAAAATTGCATGATTATTTATATTTATTTGTATTTATTAAACAAGAATATTTTATTTCTTAATGAATTGAATTAGATTAAATTTTTCAGTTAAGTTTATTTTGAGTATTAAGTAGCAAATTTTTACAAATGTATATAGATATAGAAATATTCTTTATAATATATTTATTATAAGTTAATGACGAAGATATATTTTTATGGAGATATTTTAAATTTTTTTTTAATGATTTTATTTTGTTTTGGATAGGATTTAATAGATATTATTCTTTAAATATTTTTTATCTTTTTCTTTCATATTTTTTATGTTTTTTTATGAATGATTGTAATATTAATTATGATGAGATAAAAATGGTTTAAGGATTTTAATATTTAAGGAGAAATGAGTGATCTTTCAAAGGAACTAAGATATTTAAATAGTTTATCTAATCTAGTTTTTAAAATTATTTTGATAGAATTTAAGAAGGAGAAAAAATTTTCATTATGAATCTTGTTCTTTATATTTGAAGTTTTGCTTCATGGTGTTTTTTTTTATTTTGATAATACAAATGCTTTGCAGATTAATGCGAAGACTTTCGAGGCAAAAAGATTGCAGCAGAAAATTATTTTAGGGATTTTTTAAAAACTTAAAAAGGTGGTTTACTCCTATTACAACTTTGTTTTGGTTTTAAAAACTATTTTCTGCTTGCTTTCTTTTTCGTATTAATACTTTTTCTTAATTTTATTAAATTTTGTAATTATTAATTATTTTTTATGATAATTAATAGAATCCAATTTAAACAATTTTCTGTTAGAAAATTTTATGAATTTAACTGTCAAAACAATCTTAAGCAAAGCAATTAAATAATTTATTTGAAGAGATAAATATAAAATCTTACAAATCTAATTTTTTAACAAAAAATATAATTTTATTTTTTAATTAAATATTCCAAAATAACACAAAATAAGTATAATTTTTCTTAATAAAATTTGAAAATAATTATTTTACCATTTAAAAAATAATCTTTAACTTTTAAATATTTTAATAATAGAAAGCTTTAGTTCAAAACTATTTTAAAAGATAAATAAAAAAATTATAGTTGTCTATTAAAATGAAAAGAAAATATTATATTAGATGTTATTTACAGATAAATGCGTTCTAATCTAATTATAAAAAGATGCTAAAATATTTGTTTGAATCCAAAATATTAACTTGAAATATTAAGGAAACATCAAATTAATAGTAAATCTTATTAGAAATTTAAGTATTTAATCAATTAATTGTTTTAGAAGTCAGTAATAAAAATATGAATAGAAGATTTACACAATATATAGTAATAAGAAATATAGAAAAAAATTAAGAAAGAAATTAAATTATTTTAGATTTTTATATAGAAAAGATAGATAGAAAGAAAGATAGATAGATAGCTTCAATGATTGATTGATGGGGAATTTATTAATGAATTAAGTAATTAATATTCTTCTTAGACACTATAATTGCTTTCATTCTATTTTTCTAAAGCAATTAATTAATTAATTTGAACAAAAATTTTAGAAAATTAACTCCTATTTTGATCAATTATTCATTTGGCTTTGAAGAATTGCTTGCTATAGTTCAGGATCATCAATAAATTCACCTAACTCCTCCATTTCTTTTTATTCTTTTGTTTTATTATCTGCTGGTTTTTAATACTATGGGAAAACTAAAGGATTGTTCAAGCCTTACTAATATTGTTGTGCTTGAAGCATTTCTTATTACTATATTTCATTTTCTTAATTAAAATTTTGGTAATTGTCTTCCTCATCTTCTTCATAATTATAATTGTAGTCATAATCATCGTAACTTTACTTGGGCTTATTTTAAGTATTTAAGGCTTACTATACAGTTTTATTTTTAGGAGAGAAATCTTTATTTAATTCTCTAGCTAGCCTTTCATCTTCTTCTTCCTACAACTTCTTTAACTAATCAAAATCATTGTTTTCTTGAGCTAATTAAAGTTTACGAGCAAATTCTTCGTCTGCTTTATCTTAGTCATTAGCATTCTATTTAATACTACTGTTTGCTCCTATCTAAACTCGAGCAGAAGAAACATTTGTAACTTATGGTCTATAGGGTTTGATTTCGCTAGGTTTATATTAACCAGGTTTAGGTTTTTAAAAGGCTTAGGTGTGAGTAGGGAATTAAGATTCATAAGGCTACTCTGGAACACCAACACAATTATTCACATGCTCTTCGAAGTTAAAAAGGATAATACTTTTGTTGCATATGAAGCATTCACGTGTCCTTGAGCCACAATTTTATATGTGTTCACCGAATTCTGCACCATTTACATCCAAATTGCAATAAGTACACCTTTATGGCTTCATAACACACTATTATAAGTGCTAATCCATATCCTTAGGAAGGAATGGTTGTGAGCAAAATTTGCATTATTACTTGGTATGCTTTTCCTGTTTGTGGTTTTCTAACTCACGCTTATCAATAAATTCTTCACAGTCTGGGCATTTTCTAATATTTCTAAGGCAATATGCTTCATGTAATTAAACTTTAGATGCTAATTGAGGCTTGTTGCAATTAGAACAATTGACTTGAGTTTCTTCTTCCATTTTAATTTAATTTAATATTATTTACTAATTCAGTATTGCAAAAATTTTAAAACAAGTTTTAATAATTAGTTAATTTATTTTAAGTATTATTTTAATTTTAATCAAATATTTTTAAAACCCATTATTAGGCTCTACTATATCTTATTTACACATTAATCTGTCTCTATATTGTTAAAAATTTCTGCTCTTAGTTTTATTTTTTTTGCTAACTATCTATTCTCAAAGAATTATTATCAAAAAATATTCTAAAAAAAAAGTTTCTACTACAGTTTTTTCTTTCTTTCTATTTCATAATAATAATAATATGGAACAAATTAAGAATTTGTGAAGAAGGATCGATCTATGCTACTACATGTATTCATAAAAGTTTTCAAAATAGGCAACAACTTATCTTTTAAAAATGTAGTTTTAATCAACATTTTACAATTACTCTTTCTAAATATTGATTGATTTTATTAAATTTTACAAATTTATTCAATCAAATAAAAACTTTCTAAATATTTTAAAAATAATAAAAATTTAGTTAAGAAATTAAGAGTTTTTAATTGGTTTTTCTTAAATCTTATTTAAAGAATTTAAGTTAAAAAATTTTTATTTTTATTTAAATTAGTTTTCTTTTAACATTTGAAAAATATTTTTTTATTTTAATATATTTTAAGTGTTTTGGTTTATTTTTATATCAAATGATTTGAAGTGTTTATTTATTTATTATATGTCTAATTCTTTTTATATCATGTATGAATAATCTTTAAGTAATCAATTTTAATTCAAAAAATATTTTATCTAAGAAAGTTATGTTTATTTTAAAAAAAGGAATGAGTAAGTTTTTTGCAAGTAGCTTTTTTAGTATGTGAAGGCTTTTTTGGTATACCATTTTTCATTATTTTTGAAAAAAGAATCGATACTTTGCAACGAAAGATTTGATGTATTAAAAACTACTAAAGTTTGAGACTATGCTATTTTAAAGTATAGTCTGAATCTATGAGGCAATTTATGTGTTGAATATGCTTTACAGAGAATCAAGTAGATAATCTGAATATAGCAGCGCCTGTAATAGATTTGGGTTTTAAAAACTAATTAAATTCCTTTCATAGTTGCAATTTATAGATTGTGTTGTTTTTTTTGTTTTAATTTTTAATTGAAAAAATTAATTATGAAAATATAAGAAATCAAAAATGGGTTTTTAAATTTAAGAAATTAATTAATTTTTCAGTTAAAGTTTTTTAATAAGAAAATTTCTTAATTTATTAATTAATTATAAAAATATATATCTCCAATCCATATGATGAATATCTTATTAAAAATAATCAATTATTAAATATCAATTATCATTTAATATTTACCAAGCAATTTAAAACTACTATGATTTTAAAGGATAAAATAAATTTTTTATATTTTAAAATATCTTAAAAAAGTAATATTTATTTTTTATTTTTAACTATTAGTATAAATTAACTTTAAAAATATTATTATAACTTTAATAAAATAAATAAAAGGTAATATTAATTATTCAGCATATCATCATGATAATGGTGATATTTAATTTCATATTTTTGTTTGTTTAAAATAATATTTTAATATTTATTTTTATCATTAATAATTTTTTCTTTCTCCAATAATTTTAATTTATCAGTTTTGCTATTTTATCTTTTAAATAGTGTTAAATTCTTTTTTTGATAAGTATAAATATATTTTATAAAATTATTATTGTTTTTTCTAAGATAAAATATATTAAAGCAATAAATTATTTTAGGTATAATATTTAAGAATTTATAATAAGATAGATTGAAATTTTTTAAAAAAAAACATAGGTTCTTTTTTTTTTTGTAATTTGAATCTATCAGTTTTACTCTATATTATTTTTATAATATTTGAGAAATGTTTGTTTTTTCACTATAGGTATTTAAAAAATAATAAAATAAATAAAGAAATTTGAAATTTGATCAATTTTATATCTTTATGGTTAACTTTAATCTTAATAACTATTATTGGTTATTCTAAGATAAATTATATCGTATATAAAGTGATAAATTATTTTAGGTATAAAGTTTAAAGATTTATTATAAGATGATCGAAAATTTATTAAAAAAAATAGGTACTTTTTTTTTTAATTCAAATCTCTATCAGTTTTACTCTATTTTATTAAATAATATTTGAGAAATGTTTGTTTTTGCACTATGTACTTTTTTCTAAGATAAAATGCAATGCTGAATACTTAAATTATTTTGCAGGTATTTAAAAAATATTAAAATAAATAAAGAAATTTGAAATTTGATCAATTTTATATCTTTATGGTTAACTTTAATCCTAATAACTGTACTAGGGGGCCTAATTTAAAAAGTAAAAAAAAAGTTTGGTTACAGAATTACATACTATAAATTATGTTAGTCTTTAAATAGATAGAGATTAACTAGTTAAGCCACTTTTAATTTTTAATAGATACAATTCCACAAATTTTAATCAACCTTATAGCATTTAGTAGTCCCCCTAAATTTTCTATACATTTGGATTTGATAATATTTTAATACTTTTCAGCCAGAAGCTATATATACTTTGTATGTTAGATGAAAATACTAAACTAAAATACTATTTAAATAATAATTCTACTATCTAAATACAGTAAAAAGAAGCAATATGTAAAATAGTTGATATTCCAAACAACAAATTATACTAAAAAAACTATATTTAAACAAAATCTACAAAAATATTAAATAAGATGTTATTACTTAAAATAGCATGAATTTATGATTATGATAGGTAGTACCTGTCTTTGAGGCAAATAAATAAATAAATAAATATTTTTGATTAATTATTTACGCTAATAATAAAATTATAACACTATACGTAAATATGTATATACTTTATAAAGTTTAGTAAATTTAAATTTAAATAATAAAATCAGCAGTTAGGAGAACCAAATAAATCCTTGGGTCCGAAGGCTCCTGGAAGGATGCTTTCAAAATCAGTAATTTCATAGAGACCATTATCATTAGAGAGAACAACAATTGTTTTTTCATTTGAAAATTCTCCTATTACTTATCTACATGCACCGCAAGGGCTACCAACTTTTTCAGTTTTACAGTTAATAACTATGAGACTAATAGACTTCATACCTTTTGTGACAGCAGAGATAATAGCATTTCTTTCAGCACAAATAGTTAATCCATAAGAAGCATTTTCGACATTAACACCTTCATGCATCTTTCCATCTTAGTCAAATAAAATACAGCCAACATGGAATTTAGAATAAGGGCAGTAAGCTTTCTTTTTTACTTCTTATGCTAATTTAATGTAGGATTCTATTTCTTCAATCTTGTAAGGACTAGGATCTATCTATTTGTGGGTGAACTTTCTTTCTGATGACATTTTATCCTATTTTTTCAAACATTTTTTTACATTATATTCTACGATATAAAACTTAAAATTACTTGTTTTTTTTTTTTGGCTTTAAAAAAAGGTTTCTGTTTTTAATTTTTTTGTTATTTAATTAAATAATAAATAAATAGAAGATACAGATTTCTTTTTAAATGATTGATTTTTTTACAAAACTGACGTATTTAAGGACTTTTTTTTACTTCTTATCGATGCATTATCTTAGCTGGAATCAGACTATACTCATTTTCTTTAGATTGAATGAAAAATATATAGATAAACTATTCTTATTAATAAGATTATCACTTCAAGAGCACAAGCTTTAATAAATGTATTTTCAATCATTAATAAATATTTTTTTGTATTATTATTCAATTTTAAATTATATATATTCTTATTTTATTTTACTAAAAATTTAATCTAATTCACAATGAGGAATTTTGAATAATGAAAAATTAAAATACACCAAAAAAATTTAAATCATTTACTTTTACTCTCACAAAAACAAGCAAAAACTTAACTTTATCTAAAATATCATATGTATAGTATTTATCAAGGCATGATATGAAATTTCTCTATGAAATATAGAATCCCCTATTTTTTGAAAACTTAACTTTACTTAAAGAATTTTAGTTGTAAAATATATCTTCACTACTTTAAATTTTTTAAATTTCAACACCTTATCTTTTCTTTAGAATTGAAATCTTAAAGCATCTTTGGTTAAAATATAATTAGAATTAATTCTTTTAAAGATTTTATAAAATCTTAGAACATCCAAAGAATATTGATTACTTTAAAAATAGGTATTTTCTTTTGTGTCTAAAGTTTTTATTAGGATTATTGTAAATAAAATTTAATTTAATTAAATTTTTTTCATGGGAAAGAAAATCTTTTATATAAATTATAAAAACAACTTTGACTGAGAAGTTTTAAATTGTCTATCAAGAAAAAAAAGAAAAAACATAATAATTAATATTTTCAAAAAAGAAAAAATAAAACAAAACAAAGAAAATAAATAAAAAGTATAAATTAGATAAATTAAAATATGATCACTTAGTTTTTTAATCTCTTAAAGTCCTACCTATCCATTAATTTTTAAGACTTCTAAATAAATAAATAAAAAAAGATAAACGCGAGTTGTAGTCAAATATATATATTTTATATAATTTGATAATTGTTTATCTTTAAATGTATTTTAGTGATTATTTATTTTATTATTAATCTAATTTATACTTAGGAGATTATCTTCTTACAGGAATATCAAAAACCACAAAAACAAACAAACAAACATAAATTTAAAATATTTCTCTTTTGATATTATTTAAAATTATAATTAGCTATTATTTAAAATCATAGGTACCATAAAAATTAGCTATCTTCTACCATCTTCGCCTCTGTCTTGCCTTGAAATGCTTTGAGATATTTTTATATCAACACTTAATAAATTTTATAAGCAAATAAATATAAATAATAACTTAATTAAATATTAAATAAATAAAAATTTAAAAATAAAAAAATAAATAGATAAATAAATAATTAATTAATGAATAAAAAATAATAAATGAAAAATTCAAATAAAATACATAAATAAAAATATAAACAATAATTTGTAATTAATTAATATTAAAGAATGATATATAACTACAAACTCTTTTTGGCCATAAAAATTTTATATGTTTAAAATGATAAACATCATTTAAATTAATAATTATTTTATTTTGAAGTTAAATATTATAGTTTTAATGAATTTAAGTTTAGTTTAACTACCATATTTCATGTATACATACATTCATTCATACTTTTAGCAAATTAGTTTATCTATATTAATATCATTCATTAATAAAATTGAATTAGTCTATATTTTCATAATGAGCAAATGATTTATATTTTATAGTTAGGAATCTTAATTAATTTTAGGTTCAACCAAAAATAAGAATGATTATTTGATCATTAAATAATCATTATTTATCAAGATTAAATATTATTTATTTATATTTTTATTAAAGGAGTCAACATTCATTAATTAAAAGTAGAATTTCAACTAAAGAGATGTCAGAAATCGAAAAATTAGATCAAAATTTAGATAACATGCTACAAGGCTTGGATGATGCAGATAAGATGCTTTAAGTCTTATTTGATGAGCAAAATATTGATAAACTAGCAGAAAATATTTCATTAGGATAATACGCTGAATTAAATAATGCTCTAGCCTACCATGCCAATTCATTATATTTTAGTATGTTTACTATTTTTACTCTGCCTTAAATTTTAACATCAATAAATTTATTTCAAATAGTGTTCTTAAAGGCTAATGGATTCCCAGTGAAAGATCATAAGATAAATTAGGAATTGGTATATTTCTTATCCTTTATTTTAAGCTCTTATTTTTTAAATTGAATTAATTTTTTCATTAGACAAGAGTAAAGACATACATGTAAAAAGTAAAAGCAGGAGTTGAATAAAAGAAAATTGAGGAGGTATATAGTAAAAACCCTAAATAAGTTAACACTGATGCATTACATAGAGTAATTAAATCTACTGAATCCCATAATTAAAGAGTGCTTGAGCAGTAAGCAAAAGAATGGCAAGATAATTAAGATAAAATGGAAATAGAAAGTGCCTCTATACAAAATACCTAAAAACAATAAAAAAAGCTACATAGAGGAGCTCTTCTCCCGAGTGGAAGCCATTTAAATTGGAAAGATTAAATAAATGAAATTCTCAAATGATAATAAAAAATTTTTTTAATTGTATGAAACCTACCATCCATAATACTATATTAAATGTATATAATAACTATAAAAATTTCCTTTAATTGATATAAATAAATCTTTGATTCAAAAAAGTTTACAATTTAATAAATCTTAAATACTAAACGAGTTTTTATTCAATATATATTTTCTGTAGCAAATGGTAGACATAAAATTACTAAAACAAATACTTTAAGCAATACACGATAAGTTTAATAGCGTATTTTAAAAGGTTTTGAAAAAAGATATATCAGATGCTCAAGAGCAGACTGTATTAGCTAGTATAGTGTTGATATTACAATAAACATAGACATTTGAAATTATTTCTATAGCAAATGGTACAAAATCTATTGGTAAGAAAAATATGTCAGAGCTAGGCAATTTAGTTAATGACTCCCATGCTGAAATTCTAGCAAGAAGAGCTTTTAAAAAATTTCTCTATGATAATCTAAATAATCCTAAATACTTTTAAATTAATGATAATAATAAATATGTTTAAAAGTTTAAAGTTTTATTTTATACGAGCTAAACTCCTTGCGGATAGGCTTCAATATTTCAAAATTTAAATGGCAACATACTACCAAGTGTTTCTAATTGTATCTAGGATTAAGTAATTAATAGTTCAAATAATGAAACCTAAACTCCTGAGCAGAAATAAAAATTCTTTTAAAACACAGGAGCTAAATACTACAGCTTCTTGTACGATGAAAAATATCAAGTAGAAAAAGATTAACAAAATAATATACTTAGAATAAAACCAGGAAGAAGTGATTTACCTTAAGATTCAAGAAGTTAAAGCTTGAGTTGTAGTGATAAGATAATGATATGGAATGTTATTGGTTTACAAGGAAGTTTACTTTCTGAGCTATTAGACAGACCAATCTATATTGATTACTTTTTTATTGAAAGTGATGGTAATGACTTGAAGGAATTTAAGCAAAAAGTAAGACAAGGTATTAATCTTGAAACTAGATTAAACGAGTAGTTTACAAATAAACGTCTAAAAGAAAATGTTTTGAAATGGAGAAAAAAACCTATTAGCAAGAATTACTTCTTTAAAAATCCTCCAATAATTGTAACAAAAAAATATTTTTTTAAGCTTAATAGAAATCTTAGCTAAAATAAGCCAAAATATTTGGATTAGCATATAGTCTATTTAAGCGAATATATTGATAATAATGGTGAAAAGAAAGTAGAATTTACTGAAATTTTAAATGGTAGCAGTGGCTTAAAATGGGGAATGGGTGAAAAAGGATCACAAATCCCAAAAAATTACCCTGCACTATGTAAATATAACTTGTATAAAGCATATTGCCAAATAAAACATATGAGTAGTAAGAAAAGCTATTTAGTAAACAAAGAATAATCTATTAAATATAATCTAATTAAAAGGTAACTGCTAAAGTTGTTTAAGGAAAATATAGTCGATAAAAAAAGATACGATAATTTTTGTATTGCTGAATAATAATGAAAAAATCTCTATTATTATTAAATAACTTAAATATTTAAAATAAAACATAAGCAATTTAAAAAAGATAAATAAACAAATCTTGTATAAAACTAATTTAATTTTAAAGTTATTTTAATTTATCAAAAATATTTTATTAATTAATATTCATCAAATTTTATTTTGTATATTCCACATTTTATTTATTTATTTATTTATTTTCAAGGAAAAGGAAAAACACTAAAATAATAAAATATGTATTTCAGTTTTCTAATTTTATAAAAAAACATTAATTAACTTTTCTTAAAATAAATAATAATAAATTAAAAATGATAGATTTAGCTTCAAAATATTAAAACTTTGTAAATATTAATTATTACTTTCATAAACAACTTTATATTTAATTAGAATTAATTTTTTAAAAATGAATAATCAATGAAAGTTTTAAAATTTATAGATTTATTTTAGTTAGATTTTTTTAAGTTTTTTAATCAGTGATTAATTTTATCACTATTTAATTTTTAAATTTTATATTGATTTTATTTTTTATTATTTTTAAGAATTAAAAATAAAACACAAAAATACTTTTTTAGCATAAATACAAAAAAACTTTATTTTGAATTCAATTATAAAAGCTTTTTAGAATAATACTATTTTACAGCACATTACCTACTATTGTAAACCTCAACCTTTAAATTATTCAGCTAGTTTACTAACAAATTTTTAGCTTTAATAAGATTAAGTTTAATGCTAATTTATTTACTATATACATGAATATTTAAATTTAATTTAAAAATTAACATAATTTTACTAGTACTAATTGAAATCTTAGATTTTTTTAAAGATAAAATCTATATTTTTATTATTTTGCAAATAATTTCTTACTGTATTTAATTTGATTTTTAGATATAAGCATTTGTAAAGAAAAGTTAACATTTTTACTTGCCAAGTTTTTTTAAAAATTTTTTAGTGCAGTTTTCAGAATTAGATATAACTTAAAAAAATATTACTTGTTATTTTTGACAATATTTATTTTGAAAAAAGATATTAATTTAAAAAACTTCAAAATTTCTTGATTTAATTGTAATTTTAATTAAATTTGGTTGGTTAAAGATATTTAAAAATTTAATTATAAATTTATTTTTACCAAAATCTTTAAATTGGAATGGAAAAAATAGACTTCATTTAATTTTGCTAATATTTTTTCCTGTTAATTATTTTTGATGAATCAATAATTAAAGTGGTTTTCAAAATAAATTTGACATATTTTTAATTAAACCACGCTATACTTTAAATTATGCTTTTAATACTATGCTAAATCAATGAACTAACAAGAGTCTTTCGTCTATCTGGTTGCCTCATTGACTAAGAAATAAATTTGATCAAAACTTTGCTTTAAAATAGAATCTATTTGAAATAGAACTAATTTATGAATATTTAATTAGCATATAAATTTCTGATTGAAACAAGTAAAATTTTTAGAATAGCGAATAATTAAAGAAAAACTTGTATCATATTAATATTTTAAATTAACTGCTATAAGACCAAAGAAAATAAATTAAGAAACACTATTTAATCAAAGGTTTAGCTTAAGAAGTATATAGCAAGTCAGATTTAATAATTCATAATAGCTATAAGCTTAAGGCGTTTAGAACTTATATTACGCTGAAAAATAATACAAGCTATTATCTCGTTTAACCTTGAATAAATATATAAAATGGATTAAGGAGAATCTTTGGGAATCTATTTGCAAACAATAAGAACTCTAATGAATTCGCGTATTTATTAGCAGTAAGAAAGTTAAAACAAAAGTGAATTAGATATTTTAGAGGAATAAGACTTTTTAAGCTAGTTGCTCGAATCGCTTGTTGACCTACAAGAAAAGTTAAAAAGAGATAGGTAAATTTAATTTCATTTAATAAAATGCAAAATCCTTACAAAAAAAAAATTTATTAATCTTTTTTTGCAGACTATTAAGCATAGTTCAATAAATGCATTAACAATAATGGATTAATTTTTAATGAAAAAATATTTGTATTAATAGATAAGAAAAAGAGGAAGAATATGAAAAAGAAAAGGAAAGACAGTAAGAATAAATAAATTGCTTTTAGCAAGAAATAGAGATCTTTGAATAGCAAAACTAGGAACTTGAAAAATTAATACAAAATGAAGAAGAATAACATATTTAAATGACATAGCAGCTTGCAAAAAGTTAGCTACAAAATTTTTAAAGCAGCCAAATACTTTAGGTAAGATATTTTGTATAGCTTTATTTTGGTTCATAAAATAAAAGGGAATTTATATTTTTTCAAATTTAAATATAAAATTCTAATTAGAATAAGAAAAAACTAGTATTAAATTAATATTTAGATTAGCTATTGGGCACATAAAAATATACTATTAAATTAAATTAATAATCAAACTCTTTTTATCGTTTTTGCGCTATGAGTTTCTAAGACAATTAATTTACTTATTTTTGCTATATTTTAATCTATTAAAAAATACTTAAACTATTTATTGTTTAACATTTAAAAAAAGTATAATTTAATAAATTCCCTCCATCTTTTTCATTCAAAATTAATATCATGTATGAATACTTTGTTGTTTTAAATGCTATAAAGAATTATTTTATTTAAAACAAAAGGAACTAGACAATGAATTTTATGAGAGCAATAAATTTAAAATAAAGACAGATGAAATAAACTTTTAAAATAAGCTAATGAAAGAAAAAAAACTGCAGTTGCTAAATGAGGAAAAAATGATTAAATCTTAAATAGAAGACCAATAGTCTCTTATTAAGAAACTTCAAAAAGAGCATTTGCAAATTGAAGCTTAATACAGGATGTTTGAAGATAAATTAAATAAAATGAGAAAAGATCAAGAAACTTCCATGACAGAAAATTAGAAATAAAAGTAGAATATCTAATAAATATAATAGTAATGCAGATAATTATTGGAGTAAAATTAAGCTCTTATGTCCTAAAGAGAATCTATACAATATCAAATTGAAGAGGCTTTATCAGATCATAATATTATAATGCCTTTAGGACATCTGCAACAAAATGGAATACCTCTACCATTTTCTTCAGATCATCATGAAAATGGTATGCATCATTAGCATATCAGTAAAAATACTTCAGCTCACTACGAATAAGTAGGAGTTACTTCTTTAAAGGATGAGATTGGTGATCAATTCAGCGAAAATTTCTTTTCTCCTATTTCTTCTGTTACAGAAACAGACAGAGAAGAAATAATCAATAATGGATACCACAAAAACAATAAATATGCTAGTAATATTCATCCCTTTATATTAGAAGATAAAAATTAAAATAATTATTATGAATCTTCAGGAAATACAACAGAGTAATCCTCAACTAAAACTAGATCTTCTGAGCACCCATCTTCAACATAAACAGTCCTGTTAGAAAATCCTATTAAAAATATGAATAAAGTAATGTTAGCCTCTGACTTTGGAAATCAGTATCAGTATGATGGACTTAAATCTTCGTCTTATCAAGATGAGATTATTGAATCATCCAAATTAAACCACACACCATAAGAGTTTAACTTTTAAGGATGTGGTGGTTTTATAGGAAATTAAATTTTTAACAACAAAAACAACCAAAATTAGCAAAACCCTTCAGGACCTAAACAGCTAAATAATTAAGAAATACAATAAATTTGCACTAATATTATTAGTTGGCTCACTTATAAACCACTGATACAGCTTAAAAAAAATTAGATACTCAATTAATGATTGTGAAGCATATATAAGAAAAAATAAATCAACCATACAATAAAAAATATATAATAATCTTATTTTAGATAATAGATTTTTAAGGCAACTTTTCGAAATATTATAAATAGATACTAAATACTTACTACTTACAATAAATAAGTTAGACTCAGATTTAATATTCATAACAAATTAAAATCATATCTACCTACCTACCTACCTACCTACCAACCCTACCTTTCAAAAACTAAATTATTTGATATTTTCAATTCAATTCTTTATAGTCACCCATCCTAATTTGTATATAGCTAATTGCTTATAATAATAAAATATATTTTTAATATCCAAATTTAAATATCATCAAATTTAATATATTGATTGTATTTTACTTTTGTGTAAAATAGAGTTTTTTGTTTTAAATTAATTAAATCAATTAAATTATAAAAAATACATCCTTCAAGAATTCATTTATTAGTTAATAAATATTTATTTCTCTAATGAAACTAATTATTCGCTTAAACTATAAGGAAAACAATAAATAAATAAATAAATATTTGGTTACAACATGCATTATATAGGCACTGATCATAAAAAATTTATAAAATATATTTATTTATTTCGTATGCATATTCAAATTTTAGATTTTTGTGATAGAAAATTATGATTGTTATCATTTGCATATATCATTCTTGGTACATTATGTGCATTTTAATTAATAATCAAATAAATAACAGAATACTACAGGCAGATCATTAGGGTTTATTATACATTAAGTTTTTTGTAGAGATAAATTAGAACAATAAAACATTTAATAAGTTTAAAGTTATTGCCAATAGTTGATTTTTTTGATTTAATTTTGTAAGAATTCAAAATAAAAGGATAATAAAATAAGTAAGATATTTTTATAAATTATTTGCATTTTGATTATATACTTTAATAAATCTAATTTTTGATTTTAAAACTAAATAATAATTTAAATTTAAAATAAATAATTAGTTTTTGGAGTATATTTTATCATTTAAAAATAGAGTCGCTTACATCAACTGTTTTAGATTGTTTAACTAGTTTTTAAATATTTTACATCTCTTGTTAACTGTTGATACGATTAGAGTTCTCAATTACTTAATCTTATTGCAAAAGTGAATGGTGAGATTAATTAGCAAAAGAATTGTTTAAATTTTACTATGGAGAAAGTCCTCCACCTGTAGATAATGGTTGAGGATATAAAGAAAAGTTTTAAATAACTCTTTAAATTTTGTTTTTTTTATAAATAGCTTTAAAAAGTACTTAATCTTATTCATTTAAATAAACCCCTTCTCCATCAGCAAAATTGTTTATAAAATTACACTTAAATTTATGATTGTTATGATAAGTGTAAATTCCTTCACCATTTTTTTTACTGTTTGAGTACTAGCCCTCAAATTTTTTCCAGTTTTTATGGAAATTTTTAAAATGTATAAGCTAATTTTCATCATAAGTCATATTATATTCTATTCCTTAACCTTCTTTTTTATCATTCACAAAACTCCCTTCAAATAAAACATGTCCTTGCAAGTCAGTAATTTTACCAATGCCATCTTTTTTATCAAAACTAAAATTTCCTATATATATCTAGCTTCCTTCAAACAACTTTCCTTCCCCATGCTTGATATTTTCTTCATAGAGGTTTCCCTCGTAAATTATATCTCTATTCTCATTGAATAAGATTCCAAATTTTACTTATGATAGAGACAGTTCTGAAATTTATTTTTTTTTCTTAAAACAATTCACTTTTTGAATGAATTTGCTTTCTTTACACTAAACCCACAATCTCTCTAAAAGAGTTTTTTAAGTATTATTTACAGCTATAGTTCCCAAATCAGACAGCTAAATTTATTCTGAATCTTCACCTAGGCCAGTAAATTAAAAATTAAGGATTTGACCATCAACTATTTTTTTGTACTCTAAATTATAAAAACTTTTAAGTACCTATTCAGATTCTTATTTATAAGGGCTAAATTGCTTGATTGTCTAATTTCTCATTACTGGTGTCTACATACTCTGAATAGTTATTTATTTATTTGAAGTTGTACCACCTCCTCCTCTCGACATTTCCAGAGGATTCGAAATCTTATCTTCAAAAGAATTGTTTCCAATATTTTAAAAATGGAAGTTATCATTCTCCAGTATCTCGTTTATAACACTCAAGCTCCTTTATTCTAATTATAAAATAAACAAATTTACTATTCTATTTCTTTGTCAGCTTAATAGATTTAATAATTACTTATTGGTGTTTATAGATCTTTTAGGCCTTATTATTACTGATTTGTCCTAGATTCTATTATACATTACTTAACTTTGTCTTCAGTTTGAATAAGTAAAAGCGCTTTTTTAGCATCTAATCTCTTGTCTTAATTTTCTTCAAGCATCCCTAACAATAGTCTTCCTAAAATTTAGGACTTATACCTTGATGCTGTATTTTCTATTTTAAAGTTGAGACTGTGCAAATCGATACAACTATCTTCAAAGTTATACAACGAAGCTAAATTTTCAAGAGATGCTGCACATAGAAAAATCATTCCTAGAGAAAATATATCAGATTTAAATCTATTTTCGTATTTATTAGAAGCTTTATATTCATCATCTTAAGTTATTTTCTTTAAAAAAAATTAAACAAATCTACTTATTTGATATAAAATAAGCTTTTCTTACATAAAATTAGTCAGGCGATAAGAAAATATTTTCAGATATGGTATCAGATTAAAAGTATGCTTCTTTAACATCATCGAAATTATTAGAGCTTTAGAGTAAATAAGGATCTGCTATTTTAAATTAGCCTAATTAACTAACATATATTCTATCAGCTCTTATACCTTGATGCTCCAATTTAATTTCATAAAAGTAGTACAAAGCTTGTAAAGTTCCTTCAATTAAATTCCAAAGCTCCTCTTCTTTGAAAAAACAATTTGTCTTTTTTCGATAATTGATCTCAGTTTATAAATCCATTAATACAAAATCAAAAAATAGAAAATTTTTAATTCTTAAACTACAAAATGAATCTTCAGTGAAGCTTTCAACATCTAAATTACAAAAACGAAAACTTGCTTTATTTTTATATATTATTAAGAATTAAGTACTTACGTTTTAAATTAACAATATTTGGATGAAATATTTGCAGTCTTCTTTTAAATTATTAATCTCCTTACAAAAATTTGTTTTCATTATTGTATTAAATTACTTTCACAGTAAACAATTCTCCTGTAGATTATTTCTAAAGGATACACGCTTCTCCTTTAAAATTAAGATAATTAAATCAAAATTATGGAAACTTGAAAGTTCAAACAAAATTTTATTACCAAATATTGAATCATTGTAAAAATTAACTTTTATTTTAAACTCAGACATGTATTCTAGAAATTATTTGTTATTCACATCCCTAACTATACAAGGATTCTCACAATAGCAATGACATTCACACATATCATCACATTCATTTTAGCAAAATTTAAGTAATTTATCATTTAGTCTACCACATGCACTTATTAGTATGTAAGAATTTATGTAATTTTAAAAGAGTTAATGAGTAATTTACCTACAGCAAGGCTCAATTTTATTCATTATTCCATGGTAGCAATTTTTGATTAGAGTACATTAACATTAGCAGCAACTAAAAGTACAAAAAAAGCACAAAACATCACAACATCTATTCCATCCATCTTGTAAATCAACTGCACACATATCACAGTTATATCCAAAACAATATAAGCAACCCTTGTTGCAGTTCTTATACCAATCTTTTCTAGTTATGTGGCTAATACATTTTCCCATTTATTTAATTTTTATTTATCAATATAAATTTTAGATCAAATTATCGCCAAAATCTAAATAGATATAAATTTTACTATGAAGCATAATATACATATAAAGATTGTTTGGTTTTTAAATTTTTGAAATAATAAAAATTTCTACAATTAAAGCTTTTAATACCCTTAACAGCTCAATTAATTACCATTTTTTAAAACATATCCTTAAATATTATGATTGTTTTAATGACAGTTAATATAAAAATAAAATATAAAATAATTATTTATTTTAAAATAAAATTTTAATATATCTTTATTCAAATAGAAACTAAAATTAGATTCTTAAATATTCAAGATAATAAAAAATTTATTATTATTTGAATTGCTTGTTAAAAACCAACCAAAATTTTATTTATTAGTGTAACCCAATACAATTAATAGTAATGAAATATATATTTTACTTTTTAAATTAACCTAAATGCTTAAATTTTGAATCTATTTAAGAAGTTTAATTTTTGAAAATTATTTTGACTTTTTAATAGTATTTTAATTAGAAAAAGATAATCATATTTTGTCTAAATAATTAATTAAAAGATAGTAATATACCAAGCATATTAGGAAAAGGCATTAAAAAAATTTAAAATACTAAAATTAATTAAACACTTTTTCATTTAAGAAAATCTATTCATAATATTACATTATAATAAATTGATAAAAGAAAATAAAAAAGTAAATAATATTTAAATAAATGACTGTTTTTTTAGCAAATTAAAAAAAATTTTTAAAATAAAAATTTAAAAAGCTATAACAAAAATTTCTTGAGTTTCCTCATAAGGATTTGAATTATTTACAATAATTAAATTAGATTAAAACTACAAGGTCTAAATTTTAGATATTTTAGTATAATTGAGGGATAGCATCAATAGAAAATCAACTACCTTTAAATCAATTTTGTTGTAATTATAATCATATTTAAAACACATAATAACAAAATTCACAATGTATACATTTATTTATGTTTTATTAGAATTACATGCATAATTTTATAAATTTATAAAAATTCATTAATTAGGAGATAATTTTTTAAGCTATCTAATCAGCAGTTTGAAATTAGAATATGATATTATATCACTATAGTTTTACAATAATTTCAAATACAAACAAAAATTCTAAGAGAAAGCAGATAAATTTCTATTTTTTTTAATAAAATGATTTAAAGAAATATATAATAGGCTGGCTTGTGAATCAATAAATATACTGCACTGCATAAACATTTATGATATAGAATCAAAAAAAGGTTGAATTTAGAGAAACACATAAATTATATTTTACTATAATGTAATAGAAAACTTTAATAATAATAATAATAATGATTTATTTTTTAGAAGGTTTTTAATATATTATTCTTAAATATTTTTTCACTTGTTTTGATTGTTGATTACTTAATTATTGTTATTTTGAGCTTAAAATTCATTTTATTTTAAGTCTTTGAACATTTGCATATTATCTCCATTTAAGTTATTCTAAATACTATTGAGATTCTCTAACTTCAATTAGTTGAGCATAGCATCTACGTTTTGATTAGCTTGAACATCGTTTCCATATTGGTTATTTAAAACTTCATCCATAACCTTACCAGTAACCATTATTTCATCCATAGATTTTTCAAATCTGTCCATATCAGAATAGATCTACTCGGTAGGGATTTGTTGAGATTAGTTATAAAGAATAGGAGCAATTTTGTTAATTTATTACATCATTACAGTACTGCTGGTGTTACTTTTAATAGTAATTTATAACGAATCAAGTTTGTTTGCCATTCTTTACATCATTTTCATTTCTTTGTCTTTTTGCATCATATTTTATAAGTACATCTTGGCACCCTCCTCATTATTCTTTTTAAGTGCTTGTTAGGCTTTTTCAAATTATTTTGCTTTTTCCTTTTCAGCTCTTCTAGCATCATTTTCGAATCTTTTAGCAGCCATTCTCATATCAATAAGAATTTCATCCATTGTGGGTTGCTTGACTGGTGCTGGTTTAGGTTAACTTCCTCCCATGTGTATTAATTTTCCTATAGTTTTTGATAATTATTATTATTTTTTTTTACTTGCTTTCTGTCAGACGATTAACAAATTTATTTATTTTTTGCTTTGAAATTTATTTATATTATTTCTTTTTTGATTAATCTCTTTAGATTATTTTTTTATTAATTGATTGAAACTCTATATTAAATATTTCTTTTTGTTTATTTATTTATTTTATGATTGTACGCTATTGAAAATTGTAAAAGGATTTAGCTACTTGATCAGCCAAATTTTCTTCTGAAGGAGTTGCTATATGATAAATTATGATATAAAATTCAATTTTTTTAATAAAATAGAACAATTTACATTTGCTTCTTTCAAAAAATATCAATCTGTTTTAATCACGCAAAGAATTAATTAATTAATTTATTAATCAAACTAAATTTTGATTTAATCTAATGAAAATTTTGAATTTTTTTCTATTTCAGTTTTTAATAATAAATAATTTAAAATTTAAATTTACATTTTTTGTAATAGTAAATAATTAAATCTAAAAAAGAATTTTAAAATAAATATTATTAAAATAAATTAATTTTTTTGAAAAGTTAGAGATTTGTTGTTTAATTTTAATGTTTTATTATTGCTACAATTAAGGCAGACCAGAATAAGCAATATTATATATTATAAATAATTCAATCTATATTTTATAAAGTTCAAAATAAATAATTTGCCACAAATAAATTTTTTAGAATAAACTAATATACTTAAGAAAAAGAATAAAAGACAAATGGCTTAAAAACCTATTAAAAAGAAGTAAATAGCAAAACCTAAGCAAGTCAAAGGAGGAAAACAACAATAACAAGGCTTCAGAAAAGCTTGTAAATCTTTTGCTTTTAATTTACTTAAATGATTTATCATAGTTAGAAATAGTAGAAATAATTATTTAATTGATAAATAAATAAATAAATAGAACCCGTTGCTCCAAACACCCAAAAGCTTACCGTTAAGGAATAGAAAAAGAGATAAGGTACTCACAAAGTCAAGAGCATGATCAGATAGGCTAATGAAGATAGATTTATTAACAGACTTCTTGAGAGTAAAGTTATTTAAAAGTTAAATATAATTTCTAATAATTAACAATATTAAATAGAGCAAGAAAGATTACATATTTTAAAATCTTCAGATGTTCTCTAAAAAGAATAAAAACAAAAAAAGAAAGAAGAAGGCAAATGAAATATTAAAAACTAAATGTTAATCAAATTTTATGTCTTTTTTATTGTAATTAACTTATTGTATTAGAGTGTTTAATAAAAAATTTCTATTAGGCGTTGCCACTTTTTAACACATAATTATAGATGAGAGCGAAAAAAATTTTAGTTTTAAGATTAAAAGTTAAAGCTTGAATACTTTTAGAATTACTTTATTTACTAAAATTAACAAATTATTAATTTAAATATTGAATTTTGAGGATAATCAATTCTAAAAAGATTTATTTAGCTTGCTTACTTTTTATACAAACAACAATATAAATTTATATGCAAATTTTACATTTAAGTAGAATGTTTGTGTATTACTAAAATTTTTTTATTTTCACAAAAGCATAAATATTTATTAAAATTGTTTTTGGTATTTAATAACACATATACTTTATTTTATAATAATTTGGATTTTTTTCAGCTGAATATGTAAAAAAGAATCTTTTTACCTGTATCAGCAATATATAAACAAACTAGAAAAATAAAATACATGTTTTAATATATAAGGAATTACAGTAATTACTAAAATATTTATTAATTTTTTAAATTGTTACAAATTACTAAATAAACTAAGTGACTTGATTATTGAAAATTCTTTTTTTTAATTTAACATAAATAAATTAAATCTTATTATTTATTTTTATGAGTTTATAATTTATAAACATTAATTTAATATAAAATACTTTTAAAAATTAATTTGTAATTAATATTTTGAAGATCTTTATTTACCTGTGAACGTATTTTTTAATCAATTTAATTTAGGTCTAATAGTAATTTAAATTAATTATAAAAAATTATTTACAATAATTATCGTTAAATTTTGTAAAAAATATTTTTAAAATAGTTTAGCGCCCTGAGTTGAGTTGAGTGAATGAAGATGTTATCTTCTTTGTGTTTTTTGTGTTTTTTTTTTTGTTTTTTAGTTTGTTTTTTTTTTTTGTGAATTTTTTGTAAAGCAATGGAAGTAACTCAATGGCTTGACTATTGATTAATGTTGTATTTTATTTAATATAAGCAAAATAAAATATTTTTTTTTATTTTTATGGTTTTGCCATTTATTATTTTTTAATCAATATAAAATACTTTTAAAAATTATTCATAATCAATATTTTGAAATTGTCTATTTACAGATGAGGAAAATTAATCAAAATAATTCAGATCAAATAATAAGTTAATTTAATTTAATTACAAGAATATTATTAACTAAAGCAAATATTTTTTAAAAATTTATTATAAATTGTAAAAAATTAAAAAAGCTAATACCATCATAATTAGAATTATTTAGCATCTAGTTTATTTTTTTTTATTTTGTTTTTTTTCTTCTTTTTTTCTTTTTTATTGCTGAATAATGATCAAGTCGCTATATTTTATTTCATATCAGTAAAATAAAATGTTAAAATTTACCTTTATGTATTTCTAAAAAAATAATTTATATTTAAGATAAAATATTTAAAATTTAATTAAGTTTTAGAATTTTAATATTTAAAAGATGAATAAAAAATTAATTCCTTATTGGAATAAAAAAATTCTTTTAAATTAATTGAGAAAATTTTTAATTATTTAAATTTGTTTTTTTCGTTTAGTAAAAAAATATTTTAAAAATAGTTATGCTCAATCATGAATTGAGGATGTTTTTGTTTTATGTGTAATTTTTTTGTTTTTGAATAAAAGGATCAGATTGAAGTAACTCGATTACCTAATTAAAAATTAATTAAGAAAAAATTCATAACAAAGAATTTTAGTAAAATTATTTTATGGGAGCTATGAATAAAATTATCTAAAAAATAATCAAAAATAAAGAAATTCAATTGAAATAATTATTTTAGATTAATTATTACTTATTTATATTTTTAGAATAATAATTTAATGGATTACAAATTTATAGATTCAACCAGAAGATAATTAATAAAATAGGAAATAACCATTAATTGTTTATATGTTAATAATAAAGTTTTTATGTAGAAAGTATTTAGCATATAAATATAAATCAAAAGTTAATATAATTGATTATATTTATTCTTATAAACTTAATTAAAAATCATCTAAAAAAAATTATTAATGTTAAATTACTAAGAAGAAGCAGAAAGAACTTTATTAGGTTCTAGGGGATCAGCAAAAAGAAGTAAATCATAAGCACCCACTGTTTAAGTTAAGTATTATGGAAAAGTATATTCAATATGCTGTGATAGTCCATCAACTAAACAATCTATTGCAGAAACAGGATACTGTAAAAGCTACTTTAAAGATTTGTATAAAATTTATATTACATCTTACATAAATGTGATTTTAAATATTTGCTAAATTTAATATAGAGTAAAATAAATAGAAAAAACTAAAGAGAGTGAATTAACTGAAAATATTAAGAATTTGAGGATTGAATATTATCATAAGAGATTAGCTAGTAAGTTTAAAAATTTTATTTTTTTACATTTTATTTAAGGATAATTATAATTATGAAATAGATGCAATAAATATAGTCAATGAGAGAAGAAAAGAAATCAAGCGTATTTATTTAGTTTGTTTATACATATTTACATTAAATTAAATTAGTGAAACTTAAAATAATTTTAGATGAAAAAAAATAAATGGTTGCATCACAAAGAAAATAAGATACTGAAAAGAGAGGAAAAAATAAATAGGATACTTTGGATGACTCTGAAACTGATTCTGTTTTAAATTATTAAAGAAAAGAAAAAAATACTCCTAGAAAAAATGGTTTATCTGAATTTTCAATTAATAAAAGAGCTAATTCTGTAAATAACTCAAGAAACGATACATAGTCTGAGAGTTAAAATGATTTTATCACTTCTCCTGATATGAAAATGGGAACAAATAGAAATTAAAAATAAAATATTGAATCTGCAAGCCCTGTTAAATAGAAGTATTTATTCAATAATAAAATCTATTAGTTATAAATTTATTTATTTATTTGATTTTAATATAATAATTTAGGTATAGAAATAAAAATAATGACTCTGAATTAAATTTTAAGAGGGTTATTCAATATCTTAAATCTAATCATAAGAATCCTGATATTAGTCCTCCATAAGATATTTTAAAATCAAGTGATGATAGCCCGTAATTTACTAAGGAAATATAAAAATATAATAAGAAGAAGCAATTAGAATAATTTAAGGCTTCTTAAGAATTAAGTATAGTTTTGAAAGAACTATAAAAGGAAGAAAAAGAGAAGGATAGGATTTAAAAAAAGATTATGAAAGAAATGAAAGATGATTAGGAAGAGTAATATTAGATGGAGAAAAAGAGAAGGAAATGGAGAGACGAGTTAGAAAATAAAAAAGAAAAGGAGGCAGAGTATGAGGAATAAAGAAAAAATTAACTTAATTCCTTTAAGTATAAAATGGAATAGTTAAAATAGAAGCATGGTTATGAAAAAGATTTCTTAATTTAGAAAAAAGAGTAAAAAGAAAGAGCATAAACTGAGATTAAGTATAAAACTTTAAGTTAGATACACGATAACAAAGAGTAGGAAAGCTTTAAAAGAACTATGTTGCAAACTGATTTAGATTAAAAAAGTAAAGATTTTCATTTAAATTATTTTTAAAAATTTTTATTTTATTTGATGATAAAAGTGTACTGTAGTGAATAAATGCACAATCACCAGATAAACCAGAAAAAAGAGTAACTGAGAGAGAAATTTAGGCAAGATAAAGAAATTTATGATAATTACAAGAAAATAGAGGAAGATAAAATTAATAAGAATTTAAGGAATTTTTTGGATAAGCTTGAAAACAATAAAATGGTTGCAATCAAACATATTCAAGATGTTATGGAAAAAGATAAAAAAAAGAAAGAACACATAAGTGAGTTAAATGAACTTCGTACTAACAATATTATGCAAATACAAAATTAAAAAGAAGAACAACTAACTCAAAGGGAGTAAAAGTTATAATAATACAATAAATATATATTAAACAAAAAGGTAATTTATCAACTATCAATAAATATAAATTTCTTGATTTATATGCTAAATTAATTTAATTTTTTTAAAGAAATAAGATGAAGAGGAATTAAATGAGAAAAAGGAGAAAGCTTTACTTAGGTAAATGGAGATAAAGGACAATGAAGAAATATAAAAAAGGAAAAAAGAATATGAATTTTAGTAATACTTTTAAAGAGACTTAGATAAGAAGGAGAAGTTCATATAAGAATAAGATAAATTAAAATTGTTAGATATTGCTAGAAAGTATTTCAAAATTTAGATCATTTATTTGTGTTTGTTTATTTATATTTAATAAAATAGAGAGAACAATATTCACTAATCACTAGAAACTGAAAGAATTCAGAGAAATATGGATTATGTTACATAGAAGATATTAAATAAAAATAGTAAATTTACTGAGCTCAATAAAACTGTAGAGATATTGAAAACAACTATTGATGACAAGAAAGTTGACTACTCAATTTTTAAATTATAAAAACCTAAAAAAGAATAATCTTTAGAAAACCGTTCTTCAACATCTTTTAGACCTCGAGAAAGTAAGAGCCATTTTGGAAAAAGGGAAAGTGAAGTATCAAGTCCTTTTAAAAGAAAACTAATTTGCTGATTTAATTAATATGTAGCCTTAATAAAACCATTTTAATAATGCTTTTACAATTAAAAAAAAGTAAAAAAGTTAAAAATTTACAAATATTAAATTGATAATAAGATAAGATAAATCAATTAAAGAAGAATTTATTTTATTTAATTTTTTATGATTTTGACAGTTTATCAGACTATGATAAAATTTAATGATGGATTTTATATGTCGTTTTTTTATAATATGCGTATTGTATTTATTTTGTTTGTTCAATATTATAGTATATTTTATTTATGTGGCTATCTTAGTTTAATTAATTAATGATAAAATTGATCTATACAGATAAAATTTTTTTTGTTTAATATAAATAATACAACAAATAAGTTATTTGTATTAATTAATTCTTCTTCTACATCATCATTTTCTGCCTACATACATACCTGCCTGAATGCAATTATCTGGTATCTTTTCACCAAGTGGAAAGGATGTTAAATTAAGCGGTATTCAAGATCACTTAAGAGTCTCCTAGGTAATTGTGAACAAACCAAATTCTTCTGAATTAGCTTAGCTAAACCCCTTGATATAAAATTTTGATTCTGTTTCATTTACAAGTGAGAAAAAAAACTTAGACATTTTTAATATTAGGAAAAGCAATAAAAGCACGCTACGTTAAAGATAAAATATGAAAAAATCGACTTCATTACAATTAAAATTTCAGTCAGGAAGTTATCTGCTTTTACCAGATTAGGCATTTGATTTGTAATAAGCTAAAATACCATAAACAACTAGAAATTTTCATAGCCAAGAATTAACTTTTTATGCTAATAATACTCCCTCTTCTACTAATAATGCAAATAATTATGCCTTTTATAAATATGACCCTAACTTACCTTTACAATAAACACCTAATAATATTTCATCGCCCAATAATAAATCTTAATGCTTCTTTTCATAAAAAATTTCGAACTAGAAAAATGAACAGAATTTTATCAATAATTTATTAGAAAAAGAAAAAAGTCCTACTTTTAAAAGAAATAGAAATTTAAGCGATTTTACTAGCAGCTCGAACTAGAAACATCCAAGTTCTATCAAACTAAGATCTAAACACATATAAAAATCTTTGGATAAGTAAGATTAACAAATAGGACAATAAAATTTTGATGTTGTAAATTAATTAACACCCATAAAATTAAATAAATTTGTCATCAAAAAAGAGGCTTCATAAATACATCCTAAAATTCTTAGCGATTTAAAAGAATAGATACAAAGCTAATGTTAAACATTATCTTAGAATAATCACAATACATTAAACATTAAATATCCTCTACGATCAAACTATATAATTAAGCAAAAAAATGGTCAGAGTCTTACAAAATCTCAAACTTATTAAATTTAATAATTAACTTCTACGTTTTAGCCAAATAATTAAAAAAAATTAAATAAAGGAGAATTTATAACTCTTTTTTCTAGTAAAACACAATAAATTAATGTTTAGCAACCTAAATCCATAATAAAACTCAATAGTGGGTAATATCCAAACGAGTAAAATATAGGAAAATTGGCCAATAACTTTGACACAAAATAAATTAGTCTTTAAAAAAGAACAATAAATGTAAAATCACCTGATATTAATGATAAAAGCATTACTCCTGTTCCTTAAAAAGAAGAATTCAAATTCAATTAAAATATTTAGTAAAGTACATTTACCAACCGAAAAAGAGCTCTTAGCAATATGGGCATTAAAGTGTCTTAAAAATAGGAAAAAGATGTTTAAACAGATTTATAGGAATTAAATTTTCAAACTACTCATCCTTATTCAAGTATAGTTTATAAAAAGATTTCTGAAGACACTTAGTAGAAGCCAGTTATTAATATAATTGAAGCAAAAGGAGATTTATTTTCAAGCAATTAAAATAATTAAGTCAATTAGATGATAGTCTGCAATCATAATATTAATGATGAAAAGGAGTAATTTGAAGTACATCAGCAAAAAGAGATGAATATTAAAATGAGTGAATAAAAAAATTAAAAAATGTTAAATGTCCCTCATTCAAATGATTAAAGTTAAATTTAATAATTCTGTATAGAAAATACAAATAATAGCAAGTAAAATTTATTTAAAAGTTCTATTAACTTTTGGGACTCATAACATTAATAATCAGCAAACATTGAAAAAAATAATATTAGAAATAATAAATTTTAAAATTGTGATAATGATATTTAAGAAAAAGACGATAATGTTTCACCTAAAAAAAGTGAGCTTTATTTGGTATCAAAATATTCTACTTCAAATAGAAATTCTCCTCATTATTTCCATTAAATTTCAAAAATTAACTATTCTAATACTTAATAAAACATAAATAAAGATGACCAACTAAACAAAACTAATCTAAATTCTTCAGCAAACAAACCTTAATTATCATAAAAATAAATTATAGTTGCTTAATAAGCGTAACTTGAATCAATAAATGATAAAGGAAAAAATTAATAATATTTGTAAACAATAAGTGGTTTAAGTTAAATGAACTCCCAATAAGATTCATAATTAAAATAAAATTCACAGGCATTTAAAGACATAAATTTATTTTATAAATAATTCAAATTTTCTAGTATCTATGAAAACTAGATCTAGCAAAATTAATATGCATAGAGTCCAAAAAATAATCTGAAAAATAATTAAGATTCTTCAACTGATTCAATTTAAAATATTTATTTGTAAAAGTTTGATGGCTATAGAATGTTATCTCATTATCAATTATATCAAAATTAAACTCAGAGTAAAAAAAGAGGTAACTCCTTTTTTACAAAAACAAACCAAGAAATTTATTCAACTAAAACCCCACATATAGTCCCAATTAAAAAACAAAAGGATGCTAAAACTAAAGATCATAGCTTAACTTTAAGAAATGAGCCTACAACTACAGTAGCACAACAGCAAAAGAGGAATTTGTAGGTTTAAGAAAATTCAAAGATAAATAGTAAGTTTGAAGAGAAAGATGTGTTCAATGAATCAGTCTAACCTTGGTCAAGAAAAGATTCAGAATTGGATATTAGTATTTTTTGAAAATAACTTTCTGTGTAAAAGCTTTAATTAAATAAAAACACTACTAAAACAATTTTAAATAAAATAGCTAAAAATTATTATTATATTATCTAATTTATATTATGATTATTTGTTTCTTTATTCAATTTCTTAGTAAAAATATTAATTTTAAATTGACAGAAAATTTGTTTCAATTTAAATATTTTTAACATATAAATCAATAATTTATAATATATTAAACTTTTTTAGCTGTTTTAATAAAAAAATTTTTGTTTTTATTTAACTAAAATTTCATTTCCTTAAAATTGATTCATCATTGATGATTAGTCAAAAAAATATCAACTTTATATTTCTCGTTTTTATTAAAAATTAAAAAAAATAATTTTAAGAAACTTTCTTTTACTTTAAAATAAATAAAATTATCATATTTGAATTAAAATGGTTGTTTGAAGACAATAGAATTATATAAATAGATTCAACATTAATTTTATAATCATAATTATTGTTTTTACTGAAGCTTTTCTTCATCTTTTGGATGCAGATATACATGATTTTGGTTTTTATTTTAAACTGCATAAACATTAACTGAAAGTTTAGGGATTCTCTATTTATATGTGTGATATTAGTTTGCTTATTTCTCATAATAATTAATGTTTGCTTATTTTTTATATTCATCAGTAGCTTTAGGATCTCTAGAAAAGCTTCTATTTTGGTTATTTTTTAATTCTGAGTTTCTGAATGGGCTGTTTTATTAGGAATATGTTTCGTAGAAGTATAGTTTCAAATCTCTATCTTAGTAGGGCATTTTGGAGTAAGAATTTAATTTATCATAAAAATTCGGCTTTGTTACTTGAGCATTTAATTTATTTACATGCTAAACTTTAAACAGCTATCTTTCTTTAGAGTTAGATTAATCTTGTTTACTACTTGCAGAGGAGGATCCTTGGTAGCTTGATTAAACTCTTGTTAAGGATTCATCAAAAGTTTGATTTAAAGATTTATTTATTTTATTTCCTAGTTTGTAAAATCCATTATTCCCTGTTGCTGTACCATAAAATGGTTTTCCACTTTAATATGATTTTCTGCTTTTTATTTTGTTGAAATTTTCTTCATTATGATATTTATAGATTACAGAAGGTAATTCGACAATAGGATTATGAAATTTGTTGATTTATTTTTCTAACGACTGCTCTTATGAATCATTAAGAATTTCATTTTGCTATTAAGAAGTCGTCTTTAAATATCTTTAAATCGGCTCTAATAATTTTTCTTTATACTTTTAAGGACAATTTGTAGAGTTTTAAATATTATTTATATGTTTATCTCTAAAGGGATTTTAAGGATTAGATTCATTAATAGACCTCATAATATCTTAAGCTATAGCTTTGTTTTACATAACATCATCGTACAGCGTATTAAAAACTGGATTGTTCATAATAACATTATTTTCTTTTGCTCTTGGCTAACGGTTGACTTAATAAAATATTTTTTCATCAGTTTCTTGAATAAATTCTATTTTAGCAGGGCAAAAAGGTTAATTTGCCAATATTATATCTTCGACTTTTTAGTTTAGCCTTTTATGTGCATTTTCTATTTTATTAGTAGAATCTATTATATTTTCTACATCTTGTATTCTTACTTTTAAATCTCGTGATTCTTTTTCTTTGATTTGCAATGTAGACAATCCCAGCATATTTCTATATTTCTCCATATACTCCTATTTGATCCTATACTTTGCAGGATTTTCTTTCAGATTAACGTTTAACTCTATGACTCTTTGGGGGTTTGATGTACCATTCACATGGGTTATACTACTTAAACCTTCTTATATGTTAGAAGACTATGATCTTAATCTTGATTATGATTTTTAAACACTGCCACTTCGGTAGCTAAGTTCGCTTTTTAGATTTGAGTATGACATAATTTTACTTAAATTTATTTTGTCTCCCTTTCTAATTTGTAAATTTATTATAGCTGATATTATTTTTTATTAGATATATTAACTGATGAATTTATTAGCTATTTTGAATGGTTCTTTTTTAATCTTATAGTATAATCGAATACTCCACAAAATAAAAATATTTATTAATTTTACAAGAAAAATTTGCTTCAATTTATTCATTCATTTATGTAAAAAATATAAATTTTAATATCTTGTCAATAAAAATTATAACTTGGAATGAAATTTATTCAAAATAAAATATTTTTGCATTTAGTGAATAATTTAAGAGTAAAATAAAATTCTTTAAATTATTGTGTTTTTTTGTTTAAATTTGTAGTTAAAACGATAAAAAATATTAGATTAACGAACAAGAATAATATTAACTCATTTTACAATTTTTAATTGAGAATATTCTGTGTGTAAAAAATTCTAATATTATTTAATCATTTTTGATAGATAGTTTAGAATAAGTTATATAGCTTGGCATACTCCATGAACTTTCCTGAAATAGAGGGCTTTTAAGGAAAGACAACATCAGCTTTTGGGAATTCCTCCTTCATAACATCTTGGACTCTGCCAATAGAATCAATTAAACTATTTTTTAAAAGTGTTCAAATTAATGTAAAAACTATTAAAATATCTATCTATACCCATATTCTAATGCTTATTTTCCGTTGAATACATCACCATTATACAATAAACTTCCTCTCTTTTCTTTGGGAACCTAAATATTTAATTAAATTATATATTGATTTTCATATGTATGAATATACTTTAATCTTTGATCCTCTTTATTCTTCCACTAAATCAATAAACTTTTTGTGTTAGCTTTACAACATATTTTCATATACGTGTCTTAACTCTTCAGGAACATCTTTAAACATAGATTAATTAGTGACAGAAGCTCTTTTTAATAAAAATATTAAGTAAGATATATTATTCTAAAGATAGTATCAATAAACAAAGATTTATCTGGAATATTTGTCAACTAGGCTCTAATTTAAATAAAAGATAGAAGTTATATCTTTCATATAAAGCCTGAAATTTAATCGTTTCATAAATTGCAATAATTACGGATTAGTAGTTACTGATCTAATCTCTATCCCTTGATTTAAAATCAATTCTTTTACATTCATAAAGTTAGTTATAGATCCAATAGATCCAAGTGTTGATTATTGATCAGCAAATACTTTATCTCCAGAAATAAGAACTTAAAATCCAGCGCTGGCAGCTAAATCTTCAGCAAAAGTGTATACAGTTAGGTGATTATCATGAGCAAAATTATGAATTAAATCAACCATTTTTTTACTCTAAGTAGGTGATCCACCTTTATATTATATAATAGAAGTAAATATCAAGTGCTAAACTAATTATCTTGTGTGCTAATAGAAAATTTATAAATTCTAAATTAGCTTTATTCAAGTGTAATTTGCAATAAAATAAACAAATTACCAGGACTGTTAACAACAACTGCTAATGCCTTAGCAGTAGAAACTCTAATATCCTTCAGATTTTTTTCCAATTCAATTACACTTTATAATATTCAAATATTATTTTAATTATTGTTGACTATTAAAACTATCAATTAATAAGCTTTCTTTAAAACTTCAACCTAAAATGTAAATAATGTATCTATCTATCCCTCATTAAAAAATTTTAATTAATTTCTCAATACCTTTTTTCAGTTATTTATCCGTTAATGGTAACTACTGGAACAGTAGGTTTTAAAAAAAACTAGGCTATTTTCTTCATTTAAGTGTTGGCTCTGCTTAGAATAATATTTGATTAATTAAATTGAAGATTTTTTTTTCTTATAAATATATTTATTGCTAATTAAAATCAAAAAGATATTATTTGTCTGTTCAATACCTTAAACATGAACTTATAATAATATTTTTTATATTAACTAATAAAAAAGATACTAACTAAGTAAGTACTAAATTTAAAACGATATTACAAAAAAAAATTATAAATTTAATTTTATTCAAATACTTTTTATTAGAATATTTTCAAAATTAATTTAGAGTTAGATTTTCTTTTTTAAATTTAATTTATTTAAAATATTTCAAACAAAAAAGATATTTATTATCATTATTTTAAATTACTGATATAAAGTAAACAAAAATGCAAAGTAATAAATGAAAAATAAGAAAGAGAAATATTCTCATCTAAAAAGAAAATTTATTTGAGAAAATAAATTTTTATCAACCTTTTAAATGAATGAATGAATGTCTAATCTTTACATTTTAATACTCTAATTTATTTTTTACTCATTTATTAAATTTTGAAAAATAAATTTATATTTTAGGATTGAAGAGACTCTTTTCAAAAAAAATTAATTATGCAAGATTTTATATTTCTATTTTTTGCAATATTTATTATTAATTTTCAGTATAAATTTAATTTTAAAAATTTTTTTAGAAATAAAATATTTGTAAATTATAATTAATACAAAATGTTTACTTTTAATAGAAGTTGTACATTTTTAATTTAATTAAATATTAATATAAAAAGTGTAAGATTAATACATAAATAAATTATGAATTTGTTAAAACTTTTAGTTTTATATGAAGCAATAGATATATTCAGATATTTCATACTTAACATAATTATAAAAATATTGTTGTATTCTTAACCATAAATTAAATTAATCACAAAATTGTATTTCAATAAAAATTTGCCTACCTATTAAATTTAATTAATTATTTCAATTATTGGTTTTAGATAAACAAAAGATAAAAAATATGTAAAGTTAACCTTTAGTATAAGAAGGAGATACTACTGAAATTAATTAGATAAATGATACCAATTTATAACAAAATGTTAAGAAAAAACCTAAGAGAAAGTTTAGCAAAAAGAAGAAGAATATTCAAAAATTGAGAATGGAGTAATTATCTACTGTGTATAGCACAAATCATTAATATACTTAAAGTTCGTAAGTATCTAATAGAGTTTAAAAAATGGTTATTAACCATTCACCAAGAATAAATAGCAGTTAACCTTTATAAAAACGTAATAAAATTGTGAACAATCTTTCTCCATAATAATTAAGCTCAGATAATTATGAAATATCAAATTTATATAGTACATGTGTAGTAAAATAGGTTTCAGATTTATTTTAATAAAATTAGTATTTGAGTAAAAGTATTAGAAATTTTAAGATTCCTTAAACTATGAAGTAACAAATTGAATAGTACAAGCAAAAAATAAACTACGAGAGATAAATTTAAGGTGAGAGTGGTTAGCTATAGCAGAATAATAATGATTTACTAAAAAATAAATAAACTAAACAATTGTATGCAAATTTATAACTTATTGCATCTAATACTCCATCCACTTCTTCTGATTAACACAATAAAGAAGATGCTTCAGATAAATTTTAGCTCTCTCCACAATCATTTATGCATATCAAAGAAGTAGATTAAAATAATAAAAATTTGATTAATTTATACACAACAGATTCTTTTTAAGGAAGTGAAACTAATAGAAATATTTCTTCAACTTAAAAAAATATTTATACTTCAATAGTTAATAAAAGAAGATCTTAGTCGCTGAATTAGGATGGCTCTAATTAGAGTAAAATATTATAAAGCAGAACTCTTTAAGCTAACTTAAAAAGTTCTAATTTAATAAATGAACAAAATGATCCAATTAGAAAATAATCTGAAACAACGCCATGCAATAACGTTTAATATAACAACTGGGAAGAGTAGTTCATTGGAGTAGTGTAAGATGATGAAAGAGATAGTAATAGATAGTCAACAAATGAAAGTTTTCATTTAAATAAAAGTTATTCTAAAAAGGAAGATAATAAAATAAAGTTATTAAAATTTAGTATGGATAACATTTCTTTTTCAAATCCTGAATATTTGGAAAGATTGAAAAAGAAGCTAGCTTTTAAACCTAGAGAATTCATCCCAATTGGTACCAAATACTCTTTCTAATCATAAGAATAAGACCATTCTAGCTATTTTAAAAGTTTATCATAAACTCCAAAAGTTAGTAATTTTAAAACTAAGTAATTCAACGAGGGAACAAGAGAAACGAGCCCAAATTTATAAAAAAAAATAAGTAGAAGATTTTTTGATAAATATTAAAATAATTATCATCATTCAGCAAGCATGAATTAGTCATAGGATTTTGACTTCTAAAAGATCAAAGAAAAAACAATATAAATAAAAAAATATACATAATAGCTTCAATATTTTCCTTGGAGATTGAGCTAAATAGTATAAGAAAAAGAGAAATAAGAGTAAGAAAGAAAGATGAACCGATTTGAATTTGAATCTAATAATTCTTCTCACAAACAACCACCTTAGAAGTAACAATAACAGCTGGAAAATAGATTTAATAATTTAATGGTAAATAAATTAAAATAAAATTTTAACAATCAATTCTAATAAAATTTTAATTATTTTTAGTAAAATATGGATATGAGTAAACAAATTGAAGAAATAAATAGAATCATCAATAAACAAAGACAAGTAATCAACTTTTTTTTTCTTTTCAATTTATCTTAATCTTGTTTAAATATTTATTAGGTCATTCGTAAAGAATCTGATTAGCAAATTCATAAAACAGTTAGATTTATTAATTAAGATCCTTTACAGCCCTAGTCACAAGAATAATGAATATTTATTTTGCTCTGTTAAATTATTTTTGCTAAATTTTTAATATGCTTATATATTTATCTATCCTTCAATCAATGTTTTATGTTTTAAGATGCAAATATTTCAAAAATTTTATTTTTATAAATTACTTTTAAGTTTTATTTTATTTTTTATATAAGAAAAGAATAAAATGATTTTAATTTAAATTTATTATTTTTTCTTAGATTTTTAAAAAATAATTAAAATGAGCAGCGAAAGCTTAAAGTATATGATGTCTCTCTAAAATTGATTTAAAATTTTTGTTTATTTTTTATATTATTTTTTATTTTAGTTTATTTTATTTTTTTACTTGTTTTTTATTTTTTTATTGGATATTTTTATTTTATTTTATTTTTTATTTATTTATTTAATTTCTTTTATTTTTAGAAGTCTGGGCTTGGGAAAAGGAGGTAGTCTAACTTAATTATATATTAACTTTGGTTATTATAATGCAAATTAGCAAATTGGTTAATAATGTTCATATATGTCTTAAGATAGCTAGTCTCCAGATCTGTACCTCTGAATCTTCTAATATCAATTTATTTATTTTATTGTTTTTTATTTTTATTTTTTATTGTTTTTTTATTTATTTATTTTTTTCTTTCTTTTTTGTGTCTTTATCTTCATTCATCTCTAGAGTCTGTTTTTAAACAATACTTTTTATATATTAAAGCGCTTGTAAGAGAGAGGGTTTACCCACTTTGTTAAAATAGTGACAAATACTCCGTGCTTTTTTGCATCGAAGATGAGGCTTGAAACATATAAGCCTTTTTAAAACAAATTTCTCAAGCTCTGAGGATCTGCATGTGACGGATGGATAGGACTGACATTTAGCCTTTCGAAAAAGTAAACGCGGGCATTACTTTTTACATAATTAAAAACTTTGAAAGATGTCTTGAATTAGAATTGATCTTTGATGATATATTTTAATATCTCCATGAGATTTTTAATTAGAGTTATCTTAAAAAACTTTGTTCTAATTATGATCGCAATGAACTCCTAAGGGGCCATTTAAGGCACTTAAGAAATGATAACTCTTAATTAAAAAAGGCTTTAAAAACTAATGGAGAGAATGATTATTTTAATCTTTCTTCCTTCTCATGGCATCAATCTAATTGGTTTTGGGAAAATTTTGTCACAGCCTTCGACAGAACTTGGTATGTGCAGAGCGTGCCGATCTTCCCTTGCAAAGTGGGGTTTCTTTTATTCGCCCAGAGAATCGTAACACCTCTAGATGGCTTTTTCTTTTTTTGCCATTACTTTTCTCAATCTATCTTTTCTTTAATTTGAAAATTAATTTCAAATATCTTTTAATAAATTTATTATGAAAAAATTTCTTTTTCGCCGTTAGAAAATCTTTCTTTGAAATTTTTAATATTATAAAAAATTGAATTTGAAATTAAATTAATGATAAATAAATAAATACTTAATTAAATTTTTGTGGATAATTAATATTGCTTATAAAAGTTTTAATTCAACTAATAGAAGAAGCATATTTGATTAATATTATTAATTCGTTTTTATTTAAATTATTTCTTTAAAAAAATAATTTTTTTCAAAAAAAATGCTAAATTAATTTTTTTTATCGAAAAAATATTTTCTTGAATTTATTTATTAGAAAAGTCATTTTGAATAAATTATTCATCTTAGTATAGTAGATAATTAATTATATGAGTGTGTCATTGAATTATATTTTGCATAATATGTGAATAAATTAAAAGTTACTTTCTAAAATACTTAAATATTATAAATATATCTAAAACTCATCGATAAAAGAAAATTTTTTATTTACACCAAATCAATCATTCAAAATGTTCATTTTATACTGTCCGTCTAAAATTTAAAGTGAGAAATCATAAATTTTAAGTATTTTAAAAATGAAAACAAAATAAATAAGTAAGTAAACTTTTTAGATTAGTTTTATAAAATAATTTAATTTTTTCATAAAATATTTTTATGACAATATAAAATAAAATTCATTATTTATATTAATATAATTAGAATAAATTTAATTGATTGAGTGAGAGTGTGTTTTATTAATTAGTTGCAAAATATGTTAAAATTTAAAAATTAATTAAGAATTTATTTCTAAAGTATTTTTGAGTATTCAATGAAATTAAAAAGTAAAAAAAAAAATAGTAAATAATATTGAACCATTAAAAAGTTCTTTTTATAATGTCTAAAATTTAAAGTGGGAAATCATAACATTTTTTGTATTTAAAAAATAAAATCACAACAAATAAATTAGTTAACACTATTTATGTTTCACCATTTTTTGTTATTTTAGTAAATGTTTGATTGTTATTATTACCATGCATTTAAAACTACTGACTTGTTTTATTTATTTGCTGGGTTATTAATTTTGGATAGGGTACTTACACTTTACTGATTAGATTCATTAATTATAGCATTAGGTTTCATGGATAGAATTTTATTTGCTAATGCTTACCTTTTATTTTGTATATCTACAGACAAAGGAAGAGCGATTGTATAAGTTCTACCAGTATTAATATCTTTTTTCTTAAGTATCTTAAATTTACCTTATGTCTCCATGTCGAAGTATGCTCTTACTTGTCTTGAGGCTTATTCTAGTATTTCTCCTCTTTGTTAGAAAGGGTTTTAATTTACATGATTAATTTTATCTTGGGCATCATTTTTATCTGGATATATATGGAATTAATTATTTATATTTTGCTATTGCATGAAACCCATTTATTGAGAATTTTTATCAAGCTTATTCCTGAAATATTATTGGTTTCTATCCATGAAATCAATCACTTCAAAACTATCTTCATTATCTTCTTTTAATAAGACTTCATTCACAAATTCATCATACTCGTATATATCGTATAGTCCATTGTTTAAATTCGTTTAAGGTGGATGACCTTGCATACTTAAAGAAAATTTGTTCCCTCTAAATTCTCCAAAAACTCTAAATCTATCAATTCCTATTTCATCTTTTAAATAAAGACGATGATGCTATTAGGCTTTTCTTTGGATATTTATGTTTGGAAGAACTAATTCTTTGTCTAAAATAATTTTTTCTTAGGGTTTGTCTTTTAGTAAATCTAAGTTAATAAGCTGTTGTTCTATTTTAGTATCTTTTTTATCTATTTAATCTCCCTAATTTCCTTCAACTAAACCTCCTTCTATTTAATTTTTATTCCCTCCTGATTCTTTTATAATTTGCTTATCATTCTATTTGTTATCTATTTCTCTTAATCCCACTAAATTCATATCTTGAGGCAACAGATTAAGATTATTCGAGCTTAGTTTTGATCTTTATTTGATTAAATTAACTTCTTCTTCGTCAATTTCAAGATCAATAATGTCTAATTCTTGATTGGATTATTTTACTTATTTGAGATCATGCCCAGTCAATAAATGAATAATGTCTTTTTAGTTTTTAAAATAGTAGTTACTTTAATCAGATTGATTGGTTTTATTTTCACTCATGTTAATTACATGTTCATCTTTTTTATCAATACTTAGCATGTTTAGCAAGAAGTTTTAGCGTTTTTAGATATTCTTACGATTAAGCCATTCTAAAAAGTGGGAAGTTTATTCTATTAATATATTCCTGGCCCATTTATATCTCTAAATAAGGAGAGGAATATTTACAACAAATTCGAATAGAATAAAAAGAAAATTTGCTATGAATAGCATTAGAATGATATTTTATATGTGAAATGAATTTGATATTTAGGAAAGTGTTTTATTATTTTTGTATTACTGTGTTTCTGAAATTAAAATAATCCATATTATACATATAAAAAATTCATTGAATATTTCCAAGAAAAGATAGCGTTTTCTATTTAGAGGACGGCAAACTATCATATAAACTAGTAAGGCAAAATATGTCAAAAAGATTAAGCTTGCTTGAGCTACCAAATTAACGTCATACATAAAAACTAATATAGCAGCTATTATTGTTTTCTAAATTATGATAATTAGGTGAAAGTTTCTCTAAAGAATATTATTCAACCTCAAGTAAACCCAATAAACTCTGTTCTTGTTATAATCATCAAAGTGAAGTTCAGGTTTTTCATAGGGCTTTTTGAAGTTAGTGAGTTTTATATAATCTACTAATATTAAGCCTATATAAAGAAGACCAAAAAAACAAAAAGCAAATGAAAACTAATTTATAAAAAAAGAAGATTTAACATTTTAAAATAAAATTTTCAAGATTTACTGTATTAAATAATGAAGAATAATCTCCTTATTTTAATTGCAAGAATATAGAAATAATAATTTCAAAGTATGAAAGCAAAAATAGTGCTAATGGTAAGTTGTATGTTATCAGCATATTTAAGTGGTAGGTAAAGTAGTGATGGTCCAATTCATACTTTATTATGTATTTATTCAAGCAGTAACAGAAAAGCCAAATAAAACCTTATATGCAGAAGAATATAAGCATGTTACTTAAAAAAGAACCTGTGAAATTATTTTAATCAAATTTTTTGTCAGACCACGTATTATATGTTTCATATAAAGTTCTAGATCTTAATTATTAATTTGATTAATATAGATTTTTTCTATTTAATATTTACTTGCTGTCCTGAAGTGATTTTTTATTTTCTTCTTCAATATTTTAGACTTCCAATTAACTGTGATTTTTTTCATCGAAAGCAGGTGCTCCAAGCCCCTAAGTAATGTGATACTTACCTAAATACCTTACAGTTTCTTATAAATTAAATCCATAAGGCATATCAAGGTAACTAATCATGTTTAAATTCTATCCTAAATTAACCATTAAGACAAAACTAACAGGATTGGCACTTAAAACATAAAAAAGTAATTCTAAAACTGTATTAGTGATTGAGAGACCCTTTACAGATGAGTATTTGCTTATCGCCTCTTCATTTTCTATAGTATAAATAAAATAGCTTTCGTAAATATCTTTATTTTAAATTATATTTTACTTTAACAAAGTCTATCAAACATTTCCGCATATCCTTACTAACATCCACATATTCCATCTTAAGGAGCATTGTTTGGGCCAATACCTCTATAATTCCAACAAGCTGTGCATTAATCGTATCTTTAACCACTACATTATTTGCAACTAATATGGCATTCTATGTAATATATTTATTTCTTAATCTTTATTTAAAATCAAAAAATTTTACATTAGCAAGTAGCAGTGCTGCTATCATAGTATTAACCTGGGAAACAATTTAAGCATTTATTTTAATAACCTTATAATGGTGCAGGACATTTTTCAATACATTTTCCTTAATAATAATTGTAATCTCCTTAGCATGATGTACAGTTCTAAGATGTTCCAGAACAAGTACTACAATTTTAGTCACATATAGAACAAGTATTTTAACTACCAGCTGGGAGAAAATATCCATTATTACAAGAAAGTTGGCATGTATTATTTTACAAGTATAGTTTTGTATTTAGTTCATACTAGCAAGTTGTACAATTTGTAGGCTAACCAACACACTCCTTGCAAAAAATACTGCAGGCACCACATTTCTAAGTAGTCGAGGGAGTTATTATATAATATCCTTATCCACAACTTTAAACACATTCCCCCTCCCTTTCATATAAATCTAGATAATTATGTATTTTTTAATCATTTTATGAAAGAAATTGAATAATAAATAAGATTTCTTACTTGATGGACATTAAGTAACACACTGCTAGTTATAAAGAAAATAATTAGCCTTACACTTAGAGCAGGTATTTTATTTATTGCATTAAGAACAATAAAGTGGGCACTAAAGGCAATTCCATGTTATATTATCAGCATACAAACCACTAGGGCATGAGGAAACACACTGAGAATTATACAAATAGTAAGGGAATATACATTGATAACAGTTTGCTGAGAGTGGACCATAGCATTTACCGCAATTAAATGAACATTTACTACAAATATTTTAAGTTGTATCTTTATAATATCCCAATTAGCAGCTTGTTACACATTATTAAGTAACTCTTTTATTTAAATTTATAATTAAAACAAAAAAAATTATAAATTAGAAATTACGGATCAGCGAATGTATTGGTTGGGCACTATTATACACAAATATTCGAAGATAAATACATACCACTAATACACTATACGCAAGTAGGTCCTGGGTTAGTACAAATTGCACAGTATTGAGGACAATCTGTACACACTCTAGTACCATCGGCATTCAATTTACCATATTTAAAAAGAGGACAATAGTCACATTATCCGTTATTCATGTAATAAGGGTCTCTGCAAATTAAACAGTGTGATGATTGTGGACCTTTGCAAGTTTAACATTTCTAATTACATTATTAGCAAATTCTATTTATAGTATCTTAATAATATCCATCATTGCATGTGGCGCTACATGTTCTTGTTATAAGATCTCCAAATTGGCCATTTGGACAGCTTGGAAAACAAGAAGAACCTATAAAAATATTAAATGAATCAAATTAGAAATAATTAATTTAAATAAAGCTTACCTGTTCCAAATAAAGGAGGAGCACAAGTTAAGCAATTTGATTTTGAAGGACCATTGCATGTTCCACAATATTCGTCACAGGCATCACATTTTTAATTAAGTGTATTTTTATAAGTCCCATTTGGACATGTACTTAAACAGGAGCTATTATATAAATAAAACCCAAGATTGCATTTTGTGCAAGAATCAGAGCTTGGGCCAAAACATAACCCACATTTTGTATCACAATTTTTACATAACCTCTTGCTTTTATTTCAAATTAAATTTTTATCTAAAAAGTTATATTAAAATATATATGTATATATATACGGATCTTAAGCATCTCCATAAGTTGAGGCGCTACACTAGCTAACACACATGCTATTTTGCCCAAAAAGAGGAGGAGTCGAAGGACAAACACTTAAACATTTACCTTACAACCCATTGAGTATATATAAAAAATTATTAATAGGACAAGAAGTACAGTCTGAGGGTGTTCCTCCTTTAAAAATATAAATAATATGTTAAGTTAAATATGTAAATCATAAATTAATCAAGCAATAAAAATTAAAAATGTTGAGACTTTGAGCTGAAAAAGTTGATTTATTTGTGTTAAAATTTGCTATTTTTTTAATAATTGATATAAAAAATGTACCTACACACGCAGCACATGAAACATTACAAGGTTTACAAACGAAAGTTATTGGGTCTCCATAAAATCCAGGCTAACAACTTGAGCATTTTGTTCCAACTAAATAGTTAGGTTATTAACATGCAGTGCATATATTTAGAACAGTACATTGATAGCAATTACAATCAGAACAACCTTTATTACAGCTTTAGCATACATTTGGAGTTACTGAAGTATCACCGAAATAGCTATTTGGGCATTTTGCTACACAAAAAGATTTACCAACTTAAGAAGCATTATCAAGAAATATACCTGGAGGGCAGTCAGTGCATTAGTAGTTGTATTTACCATTACTTTAAAAAAAAATTTCAATTAAAATAAATAAAAAGTTTAAAATAAATACCAATTTTTGCAAGAAGCGTCACAAATATCGCAAGTTCTAGTGGAGATATTTTGAAAATAATTAGTTGGACATAAATTACTGCATGTATTTTAATATAAAAAATATCCTATATCACAATAAGTGCATTAGTTAGGATTAGGCCCTATTTAAAAAATTTTAAAGAAACTAATTTTTTAATAAAATATTTACCTATGCACTTTAGGCAATTAGCTGAACATGTACTGCAAACTCTACTTGGGAAATCTTAACCATAGTAATAATTAGGGCAAGTTGATTAACAGCTATTATCAGGATTTAAATAATTTGGAGGACTACAACTAGTACAACTTTAATTACTGCTTGCAGAGCAGCTGAAGCAAGTACTATCGCAATTCGAGCATAAATTATTATTGGTTTCTATTTAAAAATAATATTTTTTCTTTTTCATGAGTTTTTAAAAATAATTTACGTGGATTTGGATAAGTTCCTATGGTGCAAGTAGCTACACATTAATTATTTTAGAGATACCTTTTCAAATAAAATGAAAGTATAAATTAAAAATATAGCTTTATATAGTTACAATGATCCTGTACAACTAAGACAGTCATTATTGAAAGGACCTTTGCAAGTATAGCAAGAATCATCACAATTTTTACAAATTGTGCAAGGGTATTAAATGCATGGATTGGCTGGAACATTAGCATAGAATTTTGCATTACATTAACATAATTTGCTCACTGGGTCTATTGAAGCATTCGAGTAGCATCCTGTACATTTATTAGGTTATGCTGCTGAGCAACTTGAGCAAGATACATCACATGCATTTATAATATAAATGAAATCTCTAATTGCCCAACTTGCCTTGATTTATTTATAAATTTTTATAATTTTTTTGCTTTTAAAGTGTTATTTCTAAATTAATTTATTACAGTCGCTGAGTCTTCTTGCATATCTGATTTAAATATAATTTAGTGGCTAATCGCTGTATGAGAAAAAAGACCAGAATCTACAGCTTATATATAATCAAAAGGTGGATTACCACAGTTGGTATCAGGTATTGTTTAAGTTTAACCTGGTTAATTATATTAATACTAAGTATAGCTTCCACTAGAATTAATCCAAATACTCTCTGTACTCTACCACTGATCAATAAAATATAGATTTAACTTGACTTAAGATTAGTAGTGAGGAGGTATATTTTGCAGAGTTTTAACAATAAATACGTCTGTACCAAACTTTTGGTAACCACCTAAAACTCTCTTTGTTGCAAAACCTAATTTATTGATATGGAATTAAATTAAAAATATTATTAATTCATACATTCAAAAATTTAAATAAAAATTTTGATTTTAATTATATGTGATTTTTTGTTTGTTGAATAATCTTTAGACATTTCATTTTATGAATAAAAGATTGATTTTACTACTGTTATGATTATTTTAAGTTTCCTTTTTTAAATATCACTTTATAAGAATTTTCTTACCTTTACCGCAATCTGTGAAGTAAGGACTGGATACAAAACCTTTCATAATTATTCATTATTAATTATTTTGTAAACTTGTTTTTAAGTTAAATTTTCTATATATAATTTTACTTCCTTAAATACTCCACTCGTAGGTTACATCCAAATCAGTCATAGTATTTGTTGTGAATTCTTATCTAATCGTCCAAGTATTTACTAAAAAGTTATAATAATTAATAAATAAATATGAATTATATTTTATTTTAGCTTCATTTTTGAAAAATTTTGCAAGCAAAGTATTATTTGAATCAATTAAATTTATGTTTAATTTAAAGTAAAATTTTATGGCGAACTCTCATTTTATAGAAGTAATTTAAATTACCTGAATAAACAACTCTACTTATATAAGCTAATGCTATAAATGTAAATAAAAGATTAGATATCAGATACATTTTAACTCTAATAAAGTTGAACTTGTTAGCTAAATAAGATTTAATGTATTATTATTATATTACTTTGAAATTATTATTAATAAAAATTCGTATTTTGTGGAAAATTAATTTAGTGGTAAAATTTGTTAACAATACTCATATCTATTCTGGTTATATTCAAATATTTTTGATTTTAACTTATAAATTAAATGTAAAGCATTTAAATTTTTAATTTAAACTGCAAGTAACATTTTTATGCTAGATAAATGTTAATACTCAAAAAAAATATTTAAAATTGTTAAAAAATTAAAATAGTGATCATTAATTTGTTGATTTTTATTTTGTAAAGCATTAGATTGATTTAAATATTTCCAAAAACAAATAAAAAATTAAATTAAACCATTAAAAATTAATTAAATTCATTCATAACTACAAAGGATATATTTAATTATCAAAAAATGTAAGTAAATTTTATTTAATAAGTTTTATTTAATAAATATATTTATAATATTTTCATTCACTTTTCTTAAAACTGCTAAAAGCTTGAGGGTTATTGGGATTGAGATTTCATAAGTTTATTTGTAATTGTCTTAGGAGTTTGATCTTTTGAAGCCAAAATGTTATAATTTGTGGATGAATAATTTATATTCTTATCATCATACTTTTTTCTCAAGTGTAAATTTTCAACAACTACAGCAGGCTATGAGGTGATAATATCATCATGAGGTCCGTATATCAGATATTTTCTAGGGTCTTCTTTTCTAGTGGAAATATCCCATGGTAGATTAACAAACTCTTAAGATTTATTCTTCGAGATAATTTGTGTTGAATTTACCAAGAAAGATTCAAAAGCCATAATTCTTGAGTTATTAACATCGATATAAGAAGTTTGAAGCTTTTATTTTCTTTGTAATTCCTTACGCTTTTGAGCTTCTATCAATTGTTTTTAAAAGTCTTCCTCATTAAGATTGCAACCACAATTAGGCTTGTTGCAATTACACTGATTTGCATAGAGTCTAACCTATGGATACAGTTATTCTTAATCTTCTACAAGCTTGGAATAAAGTAATTTCTTTTCCTTCAATTCCAAATAAGATTAGTATTTCTTACTGAAATTGATTGGCATATTATCCAAGTCATAACCTTTTAAAATAAAGTCTGACTTAGAGTTGATATCTGATTTACTAAATGAGTTTTAGTTTGAAATAGAACCCTTACTCTTGCTTAATCCTTTGCTTTTATTCTTTTTCTTGCTAAGGTTCTTTTTATAATATCCTCCTTTTCTTTTATCTGAATCAATTGCTGTTTCAGAAGCTAAGAATTAGTTACTGTAAGGGTTAGTATTAAATTGATACTATTTCTATTCATCTTCAGGTATAAGTTCTTAATCATCTTGTAAGTGCATTAGGTCATTAGGATCGTATATTTCAGGCTATCCTTAACTATCATAATCTTATTCTGATTCTAATTCTTCTTCTCCTTAATCACTTTGAGATTAAACTGCTAATTTATTATCTTGATCATCATTTTACTTTTCTGATTTTGCATTATCTTCTTCAAATGTATCTTCATTTTCATATTTTTTAGGTCCATCTTCATTATCGATAGGAGTCTAAATATATTCAGACTCTATCAATTACCTATTTGGTATCTATAGAGTGTATTAATTATCTGGCTTTTTTTCTTATGCTTTGTTTTTTTACTGAACTTTTGACTTTTGATTTTAAGACTCATCCATTTACATAAAGGGGTGGTCTTTGAAATAGAGAGGTCCTTCTCTCTGTATAGGAGTTTGGTTATATGAAATTGGGGATTGCATTTAAGAAACGTTAGAAGGGACATTAAGAGTTATTATTGATTGAGCTTAAGTTACTCCCTTTAATCTATTTTAATTTGGAATACTTGGTGTAGGATCGTTTTATGGCTGAGAAAAAGTTTTTTTGAGAACTTATGATTTTTCAGGTATATTCTCTTCAGATTGTTTCTTTTCTACATATTATTAAGTATAAGTCTATCGCTTGGTAGGAGCTCTTATTTTAGGAGGGGCTAATTTAGATTTTCCATAGTTTTTCTTATCAGAAGGTTCTTCGCCTAAAAAGCTTGCTTGCTTTCCTGTTTAATTGCTTAGAGGAGTAGCAACTTCGCTGTCCACTTGCTTAAACAAAGACTTACCGTGACTAGGATTACTCTTTTTGTAAACAATAAAATCACTATTCTATTCACTTCCTTCACTTTTATTATTATTTGAAGGAGTGTTAATAATAGAGTCTTCAGTCTAGTTAGATCCCTTTCTTGCAGTCTTATTATTACTTTTAGGCTTTTTATTTTTTTGCTTATCACCTAAAGATTAGTTTGAATTTAAACCTGGTTGCAAAACATCTGTTGTAAGCTAATTGAAGTGACTAACTTTCTACTAAAATTCATCGTCTGAGTGGTCATTTAGATCTAAATGAGGCGATATCATAGTAATGTGTTGATTCTATTACTGTAAATAGTTTTCGAACTCTTCTCCTTCCATTTCTGGATATTCGTATTCTTTAGAGGAACTGTTAGGAAATTGTTTAAGACCCAGTCTTCTACTCATGTCTTAATCACTAAAAATGTAGCTGTCTAGTTCATACACTTTGTCTTTACTTTCGCTGTCTATTTATCTTTGCTCATGGCTACTAATGCTTTCCTTCTTTCCTCTTTTCTTAGCAGAGCTAGCTAAATCAATTTTATCCATCATATTTTCAATTTTATCTTTAATTTCATCATCTTCATCTTTGCTATCCTCTGTTTTAAATTTTTATCTTTCTTTTTGGTTAGGTTTTTTATCAGTAGTAAATTAATAATCATCTTCTTAGCTTTTATCTTCGACAGAAGAAGAATTGGTTTTAATCTTTTCAATGTAAACTACTTCTTTATCTTCTTAATTTTAAATAAAATTTTATTCATCTTACTGCTTTTATTCTTTTTTCTTTTTTCTTTCTTCTCTTAGTTTTCTTAGCTCAGAATTAAAGTCATTTTAAATACTTTTCACAGACTCCTTAGGAATAGATACTTACTAAGCTACATTTTTATAATTTACTACATTCGGAGTATTTTATTTATACTTATTGTATTTTTCTCTTCTCTCTTATTAACTAAGCTTTTTAGCTGGGGCTTTATAAGGTATTTATCTTTTATTTTGAATTTTTTGGTTCATTTATTCCTGGCTGTTTTTGGTATCTAAAATTTACTGTATTTACGGGTCTCTTTGCTTAAGTATGCTAGTTTTAGAAGTTTAATCTACCTTATTTTAAGGTTTTTCACCTTTCTCTTCATCAGAATTTATAGAAGCACGCTTGATATTTGTTTATTAGTTTGAGTCTTTTTACACTGAGCTACTTGAACCAGCTCTTTTTTTGTTTTTGACTGAGTCTTTAGAATTTTAAGTATCAGTAGGTTTTTCTTCTTTCTTGTTTAATGTGTTTTCCTAAATTATTTTCTAAGGTTTATCATTTAATTTACTTTACTTTTCAGGTTTTTAATTAATTTATTTCTAGGAAGAGGACTCAGTAATATTTTAATCATTTTCATTTGATGCTTTATTTCTTTTTAGTTATACTTAATTTGATTGTTTTTTAGATTATTTTTCTAAATCTACTTCACTATTTGTTTCAGTTGTATTTTAAGAAGATTTTCTAGATGGAATATTTGATTTATTTCTACTTTTTTATGGTATATTATCAATTTATTCTTCAGCTGCAATTGGGTCTTTTTTATTTTTTTTCTTTAAATTATCTTCAGATAATTTTCTTTAAACAGATTATTAACTTTTATCAATTATTGACTCTTTAGATTTAGAAATATTTTTACTTGTTTGTTCTAATGAAGGTTCGTCCTATTATTTCTCTTAATATTAAATCCCTTTTTATTTCGTTGGTTTACTGCTTTTCAGGTTTTCTTCTTTTTAATCATATTTTTAGCTATTATTGCTTGTTGTTTGTTTTTCATTCTATGGATCAACTTTATCTCTAATTTGTTTCTTGGAGTTGCTCTCTGCTTAAATTATTTTCTCAGAATTGTTTAATTTTTGAGAGTTATTTTATGATTAGCTGCGAGTTATTAATTAAGAATTTTCTATTTACTCTTTTGAACTCTACTATGTTTTGGTGTTTGGGTTTTTTTGATTATCTTAGTCTTATAAATCAATTATATCTGAGTTTATTGATACATTGTCTTATAGTAAATTAAAAGAATCTCCTTAGTAATCATCTTCTTCTTCAATTGTATTGATTACCATATTAGAAATATCAAGCTTTCTCTATGATGAAGGTCTTATCTAATCGTTTTATTTATTTTTACTATCTAATTTCTATTCGTTCTTTACAATGTGCTATTATTATTATTTTACCTGTTCAAATTTTTCAGAGTCGATGTTTTACTTTGAGGAATCATTTGGTTAATTATTGTTAAATGTTTACTATTTCTAAGAATTTACTTCTTATTAATATGGTTTTTATTCTTTATTAACTTATGGTTTTTCAGAACTTTTCTCTGGATTGAATTTTTTACGAATCTTCTCATTCAATTCATTTATTTTTTTCATTATTTCTTTTTCATGATCGTCTTCCTCTTCAAGTTATAAACTATTAGCTTGCTAATGACCACCTTACTTCTTTTTATCTGATTTTTCTAATTTACTTTAAGATAACCTTTGTATTCTTTCAATACTCTAACGTAATGGTGAGTTTTAATTGCTATCTCTATCACTAAAATCGACACTTCCTTTTTATAAATTTTAATTTGATTTTTCCTACCTATTATCTTAATCTAATTAACCAAGCAATTTATCTTTAATTTAAGCTTAATTTTCATTTTATTTTTATGGCTTAGAAGTAGTTTATTATTTTATTGATTGAATTTGATAATCATTTTCACTGTCATTATCAGAATCTGATGGGTTTTTGCTTTAAGTATCTTAATTTTATCCTTAATCGTTTTAAATATTATCATTTATTTATATTCCCTGGCTCTTAGTTTGACCTTTTTATTTTTAAGCCAAGTTTTATTAAGGCTACAATTTTTATTTATCATTTGTTTACTAATTGCTATCTTAATCATTTGAATTTAATTAACTTTCATAGCTATCATCACCTTCAGTTTAATTCATTTAGTTTAATTATTCTGACTTTGGCTAACTAGATAATTACTCTATTTTTTTATTATCTTCACTTTCTAAAATATTTTAACTATCTTCTGAATCTTCTTTCAAAATACTTTGCTTATTAGCTTATTATTTTTATTACTTTTATATAGAGACTTGAGTTTTTTAATTATTTGACTCCTTCTAAGATTTCTATGATTAAGTTTATTAGCCTTACTACTTATCTTTCAGCTTGTCTGACTCTTATTTATTTAAATCAACTTTTTCTTTCTTAGACTTTTCTGGCTTCTTTTATTAAACTTATAATTTGCCTTTTTCTTATAATTATTCATCTTAATCATTTGAAAGCTATGAATATTCTGATACGTTATCTTATTTTTCCTATATTTAATTAGCTTTATGAGGTTATTTAATATGTTTATCAACTTTTTCTTCACAAGAACTAAGCGAGTCTTAATCTTATTATTTATTTTTGTTTTATTTTTTGACTCTCTTTTCAACTTGATCTTTCTAAACTTACTATTATGATTATTTTATTTTCTAATTATTTGATTCTTTTTCAGACTTTTCTAATTTTGGTTATTTACCTTTTTATCTTTCTTTCTATTACTTTTGTTCTTTTTAGTCATCTGATATGTTATCTTCTTATTCCTCTTAACTTTCATTAGTAAAATTTGGTTATTATTAATATTACAATTCTGCTTATTATTCATCAGAATCATTAACTTCATCTCCCTAGTCTTGATTTTCATCTTGGCTATCATTTACAGAATTAGATTAAATAACATTTTTCTTTTCATTTACATTATCTGAGTCGAATTTTTATTTTTGAGTTACATTCTATCTTTTTTATTTTTAAACTTAACCTTTCTAAGAATTAGATACTTACTCTTAATTTTTTTCATCCTCTTCCACAACAAATCCTTGTTACTCTTATTATTCAGTATATTTTTTCTCACTCGATTAGGAAATATTATCTTAAATATAATCTGTATCACTTTAACTTGAATTGTTTCTTTAAATTTAATCTCCAATTTGATAATTTTTTTCATTTTACAATTTTTAAGTTTTATTTGGTTTTTGTTTATTCATATGTGCCTGTATAGATTTGCTTTAATTTTTAGCAATTTAAGCAGCTGATTGACCTTAATTATTATCTTTATCTAAATTCACTTACTGAATATTTTCATTTGAGCTGATAGATTATTATGAACTAGAGTTAACTTATTTTTTATAATCAGGATTTTCAACTTTTTAAGTTTTTTAACTCTCTGAAATTGCTAATTCATCTTACTAGTCTTATTAGGTTTATTACTAAGCCTTATTTCTTTTACTTTTTTTGGTGGTTTCATTATCTTCTTATCTAGATACTGCTTATTATCTACTTTATTTTTATGATTTATCTGTAGAAATCAAATCTTTATTATCTTAGTTTAATTCTGATGGAGCATTTTATTAAAGATTTTAATTACTATTAATTTATTAAGATGATTATTTTTTTTAATTAGTCTTCTGTGAGCTTTATTTAGGTTATACATTTATATTTTAAACAGGATCTTTAAGATTCTTACTTTCTTATTCTAGATCACTAGTTTAAACTTCAAATTGTCCTTGATTAGCTGATTCATCAATATTTTTTTATTTTTGAATCTCACTCTAAGAAGATTAATCTAATTTAATACTTTTGTTTGATTTGGCTTTTTATCTTTCTTTTTCATTTTTAATTGGAATTTCTTCTTTTTAATTTTCTAAATAATTTTCAATTTAAGTATCTTAAATTTCTTCTACTTATGGTTGATTGCCATTGAAGGAGTTCTATGAAGAAGTGTTATCATTTTCATCTTATTTTTATGATTGATGCTCTTCTTATCCATATTCATCTTCATCGTCACCAGAAATTAGTTATTCATCCTCCTTTTAAATTTATTATTATTTTTAGACCTAATGAATTAATTTATTAGATTATGCTGATTTCTCTTCAGATTACTTATCACTTTCATCTTAATCTACATCTGAGGATTGATTTTCTATTTAATTTGATTTGATAGTCTTTAAAGATTTTTAATTTGAAGAGTTTGTTATTTGAGATTATTTATCATTAAGTTAATCGTTCTTTTTATTTTTTTACTTCATTTATTCAGTTTAATTAAATTAATTTTAGATAGCATTAACCCCACTAGAATCAAAGATATTTTAATTGCTTATTTCTTCATCAGAAGCATTATATTATGATTTTTTATTCTAATTTTTAATGTTGGGTTTTTACTTTTAATTTTCAGATTTTTTAATTTAGGATTAATTTTATTGATCATTATCCTCTTCTTATAATTAAATTTGATTCTTTTTGATGGATTGCTTTTACTCTTAATTTAAATTTTATTATTTTTGCAAAGGGATATTTTGTAGTTCTTTTTATTTATTTTTAATCTAATCCTTGCTTTAATTATTTTATTTTCTTTATTTTTTTAAATTAATATCTCCATCTTTTTAATTATCAAATAATGTCTTTTTAATTTATTCTTAATTTTCGTTGCTATCGTTTAAAGGGCTTTACTCTTCAGAATAAATATCTTAACTTTAAGTAGATTTCTATTTCTTTTAATTATTTTAAAGAGATTATTAATCTTCATCAGAATAATCTGACTCGTGCTATTTTTCTTATTAAGTTTATTTTTAAAGAGATTCCTCCTTTTATGATAATTTTTTCATTTTACTTTCTAATTTAGGATCATTATTTTTGATTTTGATAGATTTAGATGATTTCTTTGATTAATTGATATCATTTATTGCTTAGTCATCTGAATTTTCATCATTTTTATTGAGCTAACTTTATTCGCCATCAAACTCATTATCCTTAGAAATTTACTCTTTCTATTATTTTTTGCTTTATTTTTAAGATATTTCATTTTATAAATCTTTATTTAACCTTTTTTAGTTAGCTACTTCTTACTTTTTCTGAATTTATATTTTCAGATCTTTAAGCTCCTAGTCACTTTCTACTTCAGATCCTGATATCTAATCACTTTTTTCTTATTCCTTTATTTTTTATTATTACTTTTTGTTCTTTTACTCAGCATTAATAGCTTATCTTAAATTGTCTTGATTTTACTATCCTTTAAATTAACTATCTATTATTTATTTATTTAAGTCTGAATCTTGCTAAATTTGAGGATTTGGTATTTTTTTTAATTGAGTTTTATCTTATTTACTTTTATTTAATTTATTTTCTTTCGATAAATTTTAAATTGGTAAATTCTAATCTTCAGAATTCTTTGTTTTATTTTATTTCTTTACTCTTTCTTCTTATTAATCTTCATTTTCTGATTAATCATAAACATTTTATTCTGAAAGTGATTGATTTGAACTAAGATTTTCTTTTAAATCTGATTAATTTAACTTTTATGTTGAGGAATCTTTATTTATTTTTTGTTCTCCTTTCTATTTCAAATTCCTTTATTTCTCATTGTTTCTATCTAATCCAGAGTTACTCTATGGCTTTTCATTTTAGTCTAAATTTTAATCAGTTTAAGGTTTGTTTTACAAATTCTTTACATTTTAGGTATCTTTTTCAGAATTATTTGAAGAACTTCTGCTTTTATTTACTTTTCTCCCTCCTCTAATTGTTTTATTTTTCTGTTCACCTAAAAACATTTAACTTAATGATTTTTAATCTTCTTAGATATCATTTTCAGAATTATTTGAAGAACTTCTGCTTTTATTTTCTTTTCTCCCTCCTCTAATTGTTTTATTTTTCTGTTCACCTAAAAACATTTAATTTAATGGTTTTTAATCTTCTTTGGTATCTTCATCAGAACTACTTAAAGAGCTTCTGCTTTTACTTTGGTTTTTGTTTAAATTTTACTTTCTTCCCCCTCTTATTTTTTTTTGTAAATCTAATACTGCTTCTTCATCTTTTGGCTTTTTTGAATCAATGGCTTTCAATTACTCTTTAATTTTTCCTTTTTTACTATCTAATGATTGATTATCATCTTAATCTTCAAACTAATTATCTTCGTTTGTTTAGCTTTTTAAATTTTCATTAATTTTTTTAGATCCTATTCTTAAATTTAAATTATCTGTGTTATGTTCTGCATCATCTTCGTTTTCCTCACTATCACAATTATTTTAATTTAACTATTTACTTGCTTTAATTTAAGCTTGTTTTGATTTATTCTTTTAAGGTTTAAGTTCTGGTTATTTTTTAAATTGAATTTATTCATCATCACTTTTATTAATTTTGTCACTTTATAAAGCTTCTTTCTATATATCAAAATCAGACTCCTTTTATTAGAATGTTTTTTTGCTTTTGTTGACATTTTAACTTTTTTAATCATTTTATATTTGTTGAGCTTCATTCTAAATTTCTTTATTTTTAACAACTTTTTTGCTTTATTTAGCTTTTTCTAAATCTTCTTAAGATCCATCCAAAGATTTATGATAATTTTATACATTTATTTAACCTTCATTTTTTGCTTTATCTTAGGACTTTTTATTTTGTAATTATTAACCTGATTAAGAAATCTCAGCCAGTTTATTTGCTTAAATTTTAGATTTTTTCACCTACAATTCTTATTAGGAGTCATCATCTTAGACTATGATATTAAGATTTTAATGAATATTTTGTTGTTCTTTTTTATTTGAATTTTAATTAGTAGCTTCATTTAAGTTATTATTATTGATATTTTATAAATTTTTAATTTATTATTTGACAGGTGATGATTTTTTATCTTCTTAAGCCTTCATAAATTATTTAATCTCTTTCTCCAACTCTTATTTTTGCTTATCTTACTGCTAAACTTCTTCACATAAAATATCTGTACCCTAAACTTTCTTATTGTTATTACCAATACTTTTAGAACTCTTTTTCTCTTTAGCAGGGGATGATTTTTTATCTTATAATACGCCAATCTATTCAGAAATAAATTTGGACAGGTCATCAATATCAGATATATTATTTTTGGGTTGTTCTTTTTCTTTAGTTATTAAATTATTCTGTTTTTTACTTTAATTAATATCTTTAGAAGGTTTTTCCTATATAACTGATTTTTAATTTATATTCTATTATTTTTGATCTTTTTTTGATTGATAATGATCAGTCTGAGTTTCAGCATCTTCATCAGTTATAAGTGAATCATTATTAGATTTCTACTAACCTTTATCTTAATAATTTTCTTCATATTCTTCATTTTAATCTGATGTTTAAACTCCTTAATCATCTTAATTATCATCTTGAACTAATATTGGATCTTAATCAAAATTTTGCTATTTCTATTCTTGTTTGAAACTTTTATTTTAGTTATTCTTTTATTTCTTTTACACTTTTTATTATTAATCCTATTAATTTTATGAAGTTTATCCTTCTCCTCTCAAAATATTATCACTTATTTAAACTTGATTGTTAGATTGAATATTACTTTTGTTAGATTTTTGTTTAATCTATGCTTTTATTTTATTATTAGTATTGTTTTAATTAATTTGTGGTACTGTAGTTGAAATATTCTAATTCTTTTAGTTTAATTAATTAGGCATCTAGCTTATTTGCTGGTTATTTTCAAAGCTTTAATTGACAGTTTCTTCTTATTCTGAATCAATTTCATTATTTGAATTAGAATTTTAAGATGAATGTGAAATATCGTCTTGTATTTCAGTTTAAGAGTAGTTATCGCTTTTCTTTCTTGTTTAGTTATTTGGTTTATTTTATTTCTATTTTTAATTTTAATTTTGATCAGTTTGGATATTCTTATCACTTAGAGATTAATTACTAAGAGTCTAAACAATTTTCTTTTAGTTTTAACCTTTTTTTTAACTTACTTCTTAATCTTTTTACTATTATTATTAATCAGGTTATTAGATATTTATTTAATTCTTTTATTTCTAATCTTAACTATTTTGTGAAATATCTGAATGCCCAAAGTAATTACTTTTAAGCATACTCTCTTTATTTTCTGCTTAATTTAAAATTTAAGAATCATCATCATTGGAAAAATCGTCTTCAGATTCAATATTCTCGTCCTTGTCAGTTTAGGAATAAGAATCAATTAACTAGCAAGACTGAGTTGCTTAATTTTATATCTATTTATTTTTTTCTAAGCTTTGAATGCTAGGTTATTAAGATTTTTTTATAGGCTAATTTTCACTAGCATTAAAATTGCTAATAGAGAAAGGCTTAGTGCCAATATTAGTTTCTGAGAAGCTATTAGATGCACTTGATTTAGTTCTTTTTGGTGTTCTCATTGCTTTTATTTTTTACTTTTAAACTTCTTGCTTTTCTCCTGAGCTTTAAAAGTCCAAAGACTGTGTTTTATCATATTACTTCTTTTTATGGTTCTACTTCTTAAAGTGAACATACTTACTAGTTTAAACCTCTTTTTCTAATAAATTTGAATAATTATTAGCTGAATCATTGCTATTATTCTTTTAATTGATAAATATTTCTTCTTCATTTTAATTTTCATGATCAATATTACTAGCCTATTGCTATTCATTTTAAAATAGTTTTTATTGTTCTTTTTAATATTATAAATTCTGTTCAATATCATCTTCATCTATTTAATCTTCCACCTCATACAAATTTTTTGTCTCACCTTCTTCAGAATCTTCTTCATCAAGCTACTCTGATTATTCTTGTCCACTTGTTTCATTTAATTGAATATTCTATTGTTATTTTCGATTTTCTTAAAGTTTTGAGCTTTATTTTAGATTCAATTAATCTTAAGTGATGTATTTGTCTTAATTTTTTTATTCTTCTTAATCGCTTAAATCACTTTCATCTTTTTATCTTTAATCAATATTTTCTTGCTTGATTACTTTTAAACTACTTATTTTTTTTTAATTGCTCTCTTATTGCTATTATTTCTAAATTATATTTTAAGAATTTTAATGCTTAGACTTTTCATTTTAATATTATAAATAATTTACTTCTCTTTCTGGTAGCTGATATTGAGAATGCTTAGGATTTAATATTTTTTGAGTTTCAGAAGCTTTCTTTGTAATCTTAAGCTAGTTAACTAATTTAGAAGATTAGTTGTCTTAATCGTAATCTTATTCAGTATTGTCATCTTCTTAATTTGAAATATCTTCACTTTCGAATCTTTGTTTAAGAGCTTGCAATCTTTTTGAAGGGCTTGTTTAGTTTGAGTTAGATTTCTTCTTAGTTAGATTTCTACTAGATTAATCTGATTATTTATTTAAAGATTGCTATGACTTGCTTATTTATTCTGATATATTATAGAACTTATTTTTTTCAGGGTTTTTAAACTAGATTCTAAGATTAAGTTCTACCTGATTATCATATTGTTCATTTAAATTTTATTAATTACTATCTTATTCTCTTTAGCTATTTTTAATTGCGATGCTTTAATTAAATTATTATTCTTAATAGTTAGGTTCTTATTTAGTATGTGTTTCTTTTTTATTCTTGTTTGAAGTCTTATTTAATTATCTATCATCTTAATTATGTCTTTGATTTTATTAAGATTCCCCTAATGTGCTTTTTTTAAATAAATATTTTAAGATTAATTAGGTAAATTTTGAATTAAATTATTTTATTGTTATTCTGAAAATGAAAAAAAATTTTTTTACTTTATTAGTGGAGATTTATTAGGCTAATCATCATCATCATGGTAAGAACCTAAATTGGAGGTTATCTGCTATACAGATGATTATTAAGATCCATGCTAACTATTTTTAGGGAAATTACCAAATGTGAGCTATTAATTGTAGATTGTTTATAACTAGTCTTGAATATGTTCATCATAATTACTACTGTTTAAAGTATGTTTCGAATTTTAGGATTTAAATTTATTTTATTCTATCTTATTTTATTAGGGTTTTTAAATTTATTCATTTTAAAATTATCCTTCTTCATCCTAAATTTAATCTTCTCTTTTGTAGAGCATCTCCTTATTTTCAATCATATTCATTTTATTATTTTATTTTGCCTACATTTTTAATTGTTTTTAATTAACTTCTTAATTCTAAGAAAAAATTATATTAGCTTTTTAAACTTTTTATTATTTTTCTTCATCTTCTCTTTCATCACTTTAGTTTTTATTTTCTTAATATTAATCAAAATCATTATTATTATTAAATTAGTTTTATTTATTTGAAATATAATCCAGCTATTCTTAACTATTCCTATAATTAATTTATGCTTGTTGCTATAGACAATCTGAGTCGTAAGATGGATAGTCGATTACTTGTGAAAGCTTTTACTTACTTGTCCTTTATTACTTAATTTATTTATTATTATTATTAATACTATCATCAGGCTCTTTCTCTTATTCTGTTTAAAAATTTTGTTATTATTTATTGTATAATTTTCTCTCAGTTTTGTATTCATTTTTATTTCTTTGGCCTTTTTATGATTATGCTTGGGCTTCTAATTATCTACTTTAGAAATTTTAAGGATCATTATCAGATGAAAAATCTTGTTCATTAAAATCTGTAGCAAATTGATTTGTATCAACAACTTTTCTAATTTTTGAGTCTCTTCCTTCATTTTCTTAATATTAAACAGGTGCTTAAACTTATTAATTTTATTTTAAATTCTTATTTAAGCCTTTTTAACTTTATGACGTTTTATTTTAAATATTTTAATTATAAAATTAAATTTAGTTATCCTCTAGATTTTGTTTTGAAGATTTCTTTGTATTAAGTTCTTCCCTTTGTTCATCAGCTTCTGTCAAAGAACTGTTAGACTAATTTTAATTTAAATTATCTTACTAAATAAATTTATTCTGCTAGATACTTTATTGTTTAAGTATGACATTATTTTCAGAATTTTCGTGTTATTTATTATTTTTTGATTTATTTTAAATATTTATAAATTAGTTATTATTATTATTTTAAGAATTTTGTATCTACTGTTTTCTAGTTTATTGAACTATATCCACTTCAAAATCATCATTCAAATTATCAACAATTTATTCATATTGATTGTCATTATTAACTCTTTAAGATGAAAAATCTAACTAGATTGAACCAAAATCCTCATTTAGTTCTTCTTCATCTTATTTACTTATTTTAGAATCCTAAAATAGATTATTTCTAATGATAATTTACTGATTGTAATTATTTGTTGGGCTTTAAAAATTATTATTTGATTAGTATTTATTTTAAGGAAATAGCTATTATGGATTGATATTTGAAGTTAAATCATATTATTAGTTAATTTAATAATTTTAGAATTACTTGTTATTATCTAAATAATTTTAAGAACCATCAGCCGACATTTAGTTAATTTTACTTTACGAAGAATTTTAAATTGATTTTATGTGCTCTGTAAAAAGCCTTGTCCCTTATTAATTTAAGGAGTCAGAGTTCTGATAATATTGTTCGTTATTTTCTAAATAATTATTTCCTTGATATTTCTATTCTTACTAATGTGTATTTTATTATAAATTTTAAACTAGTTGCTATCTAAGCTCCTATAAAGTTTTAGTAGAAATTTTATGACTACGTTCTTATGCTTAAAGTGGTTTACTTTAATTCTATTGATCCAATCCTGATAATTTTTTCTTTTGAAGATCTTATTCAAGTTCTTCTTGCTTTTCTTTAAACACTCTCATGTTATCAATAGATTTTTACCTGCTTCGAGAAATAATTTCTTCTACTTCTTTCATCTTATCTTAAAGTTGCTTTGAAATTCTCTTTGATGAAATGCTAGATTTCGGTGTGTGTTACTGAATATTCTTTTCAGATTTCATAATTTCACTTTCTATATACCTTTTTTGCTCTTCATTTTTTCTCAGTAGCTGCTATTTGGAGTTTTACAATTCCTTCTCAATATCAACAAAATTAGATTGTATTCTTCTGTGTGAATTTTACGATTGTTATTCGCTCACAAACTCATCAATTTAATTTTTATTTTCAGAATACTCGTTTCCATAAGGATGTAAAAATTAATGGTGACTTTGATAATATTTTTAGCGTTTAGACCCACTATTATTAGAATATTGTGTTTGGTATTGTTCAGGTGAATTAAATGAATTCTTAGAGTAGTTTAAAGAAATTAAATTCAACTAGTCATCTTACTTCTTTTTCAATAAATCTCTCTTTAATTCTTAAACTTCAGCAATCAAAGCTTCTAAGTGAAGTTTCTTCAAATCTTATGATGATTCTAATGATTACCTTTAAGTATTTTACTGATTTTAAGGATTAATTTAAAGTACTTGCAATAAGGACTAACCTGTAAAATCAGGTACTTTACGTTGAGTTTAGGTGTTTTCGTACGAACTACGATTCTAAATTCCACTCATTTAGCTATCAATAAATTATTAATTTTTAGTATCAAATAATGCAGGAATATTTTATTTTTTAATTTATTCGTGCTATTCTATTCTATTTTTATCTTAGTCTTAAACTTTTTTAGTTGAATATTATGTGTATTAATCTTATTTATTTCTTTTCATATTATCTAAATATTCATCGCTTTCATATTACTCAAAAGAATTTTCTTGTTTTTTATTTTATTATTGATATTTTTCAATGTTTTTAACTTATTCTACCCCTTACTATTTTTCAAATTTATTATTTTAATTGGTCTGTCTTTGATTTAAATTCTTTTCTTTCTATAAATCTCTCTCAATAATTTCAGGTTTATTTAATGGTTTTTATGATTGGCGTGGTGTTACTTAATCATCTTAATCAGTTTAAACTGATTAATCATGAATCTTAACAACATGGATATGCTAACTGTATTTGCAATTTGGGTCTTAGCAGTTTACTTACAAATTATTATTATGACTTTAGTGATAAATATTATGGTGTTATTTAATATAACTAATATCTGAATAATTTCTTTATGTAAATGTGTTGTCTTCTGATTCAGTTTAAACTTAAATACTTTTTCTTTTGTTCATTTCTTCATATGTATTTGATGAATTATTTTGCTGATTCCTTTAGTTTGTAAGTTACTATTTATATTGTTATTACTAATTTGCTTTTCCTTTGATTCCTAAATTTTAACTTTATGAGGAATCTTCTTATTCTTAAATGTCTTCTTAGTCACTTGAACTATTATTTTTTAAGTGTTTTTAATCAACCTAGTTTATATTACCTTTCTGCTTAATATTTTTAATATAATTCTAATATAATTAATGCCTTTCTGATTTTTATAAATTATAATCTTCTTCTTCGTCTTTTATTGATTTTTTATTTTTTTAATCTTAAAAATTAATATGTCTTAAACCTTACTGCTGCTACTTCTAAAAAGTCATATCTTATCCCTTTTAATCTTCGTAGTTTAATTCTTCATCACTGTTTTAACTTCTAAAATGTCTAATATTTTTTTCAGATTTCTCATGCTAATTCAGCTAATTGTGCTTCTAGGTGTCTTAAATGTTACTAGCTTATTATAAATTATAATTCTAAAAAGATGTTTAGCTTGTGTTGTTAGCATTGCTCAACCTATCTAAAATAGAATCTAGCTTCTTTGAGACATTTTATTTAAACTAAGTATCTTCTTAATTAATTGAATTTCTTGCTGTTTCCAATACATAAGGACTTCCAATTTTAGATTAAATAGATCCTCGACTTTTTGTTTAGTCGTGGTATACTTTTGAGCTATTATCAACCTGATATTATTATTCATTATACTCTTTTACATTAACTCTTTCTTTTATTATTATTGTATCTTTATTTACTCTAGTTAAATTATTTTAAGATTAGAATTGACTCTAAGGTGATGATTCATAGCTCTCTCTTTAGCTTTTGAAATTTTTATTGAGTAGACATGCTTTACGAAGCTTTTCTTCTAGAAGCTATTATTGTATATTTAATCTCTTTATATTAGTATCATAGACATCATACATACTTCCATTGTAACGATATTCAGATCCATATTCATAATAATCATTTTAATTTTAAATAAATTCTGATTATTCAGTTGCATTAGAGTAGAATGGTAGCTTATTAGTAGGGCTCTATTTAGGTATTGTGCTTGTTCCTGTCAGCGTTCTCATTTAAGATTGATTGCTATAAATATTATGGGTTTTTATATTTTAAGATTATTTACTAAGGTCGTTTTGATTCTCCATTTATTCTGATTCTTTTTAATATATAATATAATTTGAATCTTAATTTTAAGTTTTGTTTCTCAAGGTTTGATTATAATAAGGGCTTTTTAGAAGAGCTTCTTTAGCTTCAAAAGTTTAAAAGTTAGAGTCTTTAATAGGCCATAATTCCATATTTTCATCATCTCTCCTATAGCTAACTGATTTAGGAGATTTTATTATTGAAGAAGAAAATTAATATTTGTTGGTTTAATTTTAAGGAGATGTTTATGTATAGAATTTAATTTTATAATCTTAGTCAGAACGTGGTAGTTGATCTTAATCTGTAATATTGTTCAAATTTTAAGGTTGATTAAAAATATTTGGATTTTTTTATTCTTTTTAAGCTTTTAGGGCCTCTTTTTGCTATCCTTTTAATTTTGTCTTTTTTCCATCTTTTTAAAGTCTTTAAGTGACCTTATCTTAATTTAATGAATCCAAAGAACTATTTGACATCAATTATTTAATACCTCCTTTATTTTATGAATTCTTTTGATTGACTTAACTGTTTGAACTATTATTTGTAATTTATTTCTCATTTAATGTAGTTTAAGTGTTAGACTATTGAGATTTTTAACTTTTTTTGGTCTTTATTTTATTGTTTTCAGTTTTTTATTTATTTTGAATAAAAGGACCTTCTTAGTATTTTAAGCTTATGTTTGTTTCAGATTAATCAGTCTAAGTTTTAAAGTTTTCATTTGGAAAGACTGTTGGTATTTTATTTAATAAAGATTTTTATTATTTATTTATCATACCTTATAATTTATATGAAGCATCATTTAAAGGATTGTCTATCTTTTTTACAGGTTCATAGCCCTCAAGTAAATTTGAAATGCTATTTTCACTTTACTTTTGCTTTTTTATTTAATTACTGGGCTTTTATTAATTCTATTAAGTATTTTAAAAATTTTGCGACTACTATTATTATTAAGCCCCTAATATTTTATTAGATTGCTACTAAACTGTTTACTTGCTTAATTTTGCATTTTTTAATTACTTCTTTTCACTTTTTTTAGGATCTTCTTTTATATGTAATAACTACTGATAATGCTATTCATTTTTATCAGTTTTTTTCTTTGCTGCTACTTTATTATTACTTGTCTTTGGCTTATTTTATTTCTTTATTTTTTATTTTCTATCAGGTAATTATTGCGAAGAGTTATCTAAAGAAAGACTATTGCTCTATTTATTAGGAGATAGCGATAAACTATTTTTAGAATCTTATTTACTATCGTTTTAACTGAAGCTGTCACTTGAATTTGATGATAAATCTTCAGATTAGCTCCTGTCGCTCTTACTGGAAGATAAATTACTATTTTTTTTGCTAACATTTTTTATATTCTAATCTTTTAATTAATTAATAAGGCCTTATTTTTAGTCTATAAGTTTGTGATTCTCATACCTGAGTTCCTTATTTTATTTGTGTAAATTTTACCTCTATATACTCGAAAGCAAATGTTTCTTATTATGCTCTTCTTGAGAATCTCTAATAGAATTAGATAAATTTGAAGAACTATTTTGTTCAGTTTGATTATGACTATCTGCTAATTACTTTTAATATTAATTCTATGAAATATTATTTTTAATAGCTTAGTTTAGAGTGCTTTTTTATCCATATTATTGTAAGAAGCGCTCATTTTCTCTTGTAGCTAACTCAATTTGTTGCATTTACTCCTAAATTCTTGAAATATTGAAAGATTATTCTTCTTCTTCATTGTTTTAGTATGAAGAAGATAAAGACGATTTTTAATAACTCATTGTCTTATAAGCAATATTTTATTGATTATTTAAAAATTTGTAATTTTTTTTTATTATAAAAACAATAGTATATTGATTAAGATAATAAATAAATAATTGATCAGCGATAAAAAATAAATTTTTGAATATAATAAATACAACATTATTAAAATATCTAAATCTTAAAAACATTAAAATTTTCTACTTTTAAATATTATTCATATAAAAATGATAAGAATTTCTTGTTAAAAATTATTGTTTTACAAAAAGTAAGCTATAAAAATAAAATTTACAAAAAAAGTCAAAAAGAATCTATAAATGTTTCAACATAATATATTAAATATTTCTAAAAGATATTTAAAACAATAATAATTTAAAATTCATAAATAAATATAGCATAATTGATTTATTAAAAACAAACACACACAAACAACTTTGAAAGTCTTTCGCTCCAATTTTTACTTTTTAATTCATAAAAAGTTGATTGAAAAATGTTTATAAATATAAAATTAGCATGAAAAAATTTATAACTATGATACCAAATTTTTAAAATTAAAAAAAAATAAAAGATTTAACTAATTTTAGCAAATTAATTTCTTAAGTTAAAATAGCATTATTAGTTTTTTAAATATTTTTAAAATTAAAAACTTTTTTGAAATTTGAAATTAAATTGCTTAGTTTTAATTTATTAATGCATATAGATTAATATAGCTTTAGTTTTAACCTAAGTAATTAAAACTCAATGAGGAAATTTTAGTTAAAAAGATATTTTTTTATTAATTGAAATCAGTATTTAAGCATTAAAAAAAATAATTTAAATTGCAATAATTATTTTATATTCAATGTTTATAAAATTTGGATTTATTGAAATACAAACAAATAAGTAAATAATTTCTACTATTTAAAAGTTTAATTTAAATTTTATAAATAAATTGTTTTAATTAATTTTATCAGTTTGCTTTTTGTTTACTTGCAGCTTTTTGAGCATATGATGAAGATTTAGTTGAAGTCGTTGTGGTAGTTTTAGTCGGAGTGGATTTAGCTACTGTAGATTATGCAAGTGTCTTTTTACTTTCTTCTACTTTAGATTTATTCAGAGTTGAAGAGTTAAGAGTTGAGTTAGAATTAGCAAGTTTAGGTACTATAGTAGAGCTTTTAGTTTATGTCCTTGTTACAGCTGTTGCTGATGTTGGCTTTTATGAAGCACCGCTTGCTCTTAACTAGCTGTAAGAATTTTGCTTTTACTCAGTAATAGAGGTATTATTTTAATTTACTGATAAAGTAGATTTATTAGCTAACTAACTTTTATTTAGATTACTTTAACTACCAATATTTAGAGATTGTTAGGACTTAAGCTTTGAATCAGCTTTTACTTGTGCTGAAGCTTAGTTAGAAGGCTCAGTTTTACTCTTTTCTGCTACTTTTTAGTTGGTAGATTATATTTATTTTTTTTATAAATATGAAGTAACTTTTGGTTATGATTAAGCTACAGGAACTTTTGAAGCAGTAGATTGTAATGAGCTCAGCTTTTTGTTATCACTTCTTTGAATTTATTATGAATTAGATGATGAGTTAACTGATTTTGATGCTGCAGCTGACTTTAATTGAGTCATTATTTTTGATTTAACAACATTTTTTAACAGCTAAGTAGGTTTTTAATTTGAGACTTATGGAGAATCTTTAGGAGTAGCCTATTACTGATTAGGAGAAGACAAATCGTTTAAATTAGATAAATTTTCTTCAGGATCTTAAATCTAGTTTTAACAAAGTAGCTCATTTTCAATTCCAAGTTATGAAAAATCTTCTGACTAATTGTGGGCAATTTAGCTAATTGATTTATCTTTTTAATCATAGTTTCTTTTAGAAGTGACATCTTCCTAACTATTTAATTAGTTTGCTTAGCTAAAGGATAAGTTTAAATTAGGTTTTTACTATTCTATCTGCTATGTGAATATTGGTGGGCTATTATTAATTTGTTTAGTCTAAGGAGAAATTAAATTTGAATCATTATCTTTGATATTACTGAAAGCTAAGCTATCGTTTTATACTATGGCTTGGTTTTAATTTTTTTATTCAGCAGCTCTGCCGGTTTATTAACTATTCTCCTTTTCCTCCTAGATTGCTTCTATTTGAATATTAACTTACTAAATTATTGTTTTTTTCTTTTATTGCTTTTTCATTTCTAATAAATTATTTAATTGCTCAAGCTCGTCATTTAAGTTATCCTCAACAGCTTCTATCTTGCTAAAAGTTTATCCGTTTTGAATTTATTTGTTATTTTATTCAAATTTGTTTACTTCTTCCTTATTTCCATCGAGTAAATTTATTAATTTCTAATCTTCATCAACTGATTATTATAACTAAGTCTAACTTTTATCAACTGCTTTCATTTGTATGTCAGAAATCATTCTTTCAGAGGGTTAATTATTATGATTATCTGATTTAATACTTTTATCAGAATTTGTTTGGTTTTTATTTAGCTGTTATTCATACTATTTAGGGCTGATTGCTTTGACTTAATTAATTTATTACTAATCCTTTTCAGTTTATCTTAGTTACTATTTAGGACTAATATCTCTTGTCTATTAAATAATATCTGATTATCTTTGTTAAAAACTTTAAGATTTATTCGATTTGGGAGTTTAATTTCGAGGTTAGTTAGTGTCAGCTTAAAAGGGCTAAGTAAATTGTTTGTGCTTTTATACTTCTTAATTTACTAAGTCTGCAAAATTACCTATTTAAGAAATATTGAATTCAAAAAGATGTTTAATAAAAATATGATTCTTTAAAAAATTAACCAAAAAAATTAAAATCAAAATTAATTTGTGAGAAGTGCTATATTTTTTGTATGTATGATAATATTTATTTTTGAAGTAATTAAAAAGTCTATTGAGCATATTTTAGAATCTTCATAAAAGTAAGTAGTACAAGACTATAAAAGTATGTAAAATTATATACTATGAATACTAATAAATATAATGTGTATAGTAGTAGTAATAGTAAATTATATAATATATGTGAGTAAATTCTGACTCAATCTTTCTTTAATTTTCTTAATCAATCTAACTAAATAGGTATCTTTATTTATAACTTTCTTTCTTTCTTTCTTGCTATCTATCTATATATCAAATTAATTTAGTAGATCTATTAGCAAACTTAAATGAGTTTTCTTAAAAATAAACTTAGTAAGTGAATTCTATGGTTTTAGTTTTTGCTTTCTCAACTCATCTCTTTCACTCAAATAAGTAGTTTCATTTGCTAATTAGTGTTTATTTTAGGTTAACTGGGAAAAAAAAGTGATTGATTGGTAAGACTTGAGGTTTAATTAGAGGAATTATCATCTATCTATCTCAAGATTATAAAAGATTAAAGAAAGCGAATTTAAATTTAAAATAAAGAACATTAAAAGTTCGGTTTTTAGTAAGTATTCATAGTATATAATAAATTGTTTTAAGGGAGATTTTTGATTTTGAGTAAAAGTGTATGCTATTTATTCATATGTTCACTTGCTTGATTGATACATATGTTAGTTGAGTATTAGATTGAGTATGATGTAAACTATTTTGCTTATTTTATATAAATTTATTTGATGGTGTATTGATGGTAAAATACCTTTAGTTTAAGTAAAGCTTAGTAATTTTAAAGGATGCTTAGTATTATAAGAATTTGAATAAAATTATTTATTTTTTATTTGTTTAACAAGCATTCTCACTTTGCTTGTGCAAAAATATTATTGAACATACTTTAAAATTGTCTTGGAGCAGAAGATTTATCTGGATTAATGCTATTTTGAGATTTAGGTGTTTCACCACTCTATTTATGGATAGAAGCTTTCAATGTAGCAAAATTGCTTCTTTTCTTGTAATCAGAATCAACAGGCGAAACATCACTATTCTAAGAATTATTATCTGCTACACTCTCTGTAAATTTGCTTAAAACTTTTTCCCAGTTTTAATTGGCAACAACATTAGCACTATTCCTAGCACTCTTTGGAGTAGAGCCATTACTTCCTATCGAGTTTGATCTTTTTAAATATTCTTTTTGAACATCTTTAACATAGTTGCATCTGTTTTTTGTAACTTTCATGTAATCAGGAATTTTTTTACTAGACCCTGATTCAGAAGATTAAACCCTTTCATTGACTAGTAATTAGTCCTCTTAGATTTAAGGTTCTAGTTTTTAAAGAAGTTTATTTTGTTATTCTTATATCTCTCTTTACAATCTCCTCTCTTCTTCTTCTTACTTTTCTCTTTATCTTCTTCTATATTCTTCCTCTTCCTTTTCCTTCAAGAGTCTTCTTTCTTCTTCTTCTTTTTTTCTTAACCTTTCTTCTTCCTCTCTGATTTTTTGTTTTAACTTCTCTTCTTCATCTTTATACTGCTGAATTCTTCTTTCATATTCCTCTTTTTCTCTTCTTAGCCTTTCGAATTCTTCTTTTTCTATTTTTTGTTTACGAAGCAACTCTTCTTATTCTCTTTCAGCTTTTCTCCTTAAGTAGTCTTCTTATTGCCTTCTTAGCCTATCTGCTTCTTCCTAAGCTCTTCTTTAATTATCATCTTCTACTTTCTAACGGAGATTCTTAAGTTTACTTTCAAGGCCTTCTATTTAGCTTTCATACTCTTGCATTTTTAACATGGCTTCCTTATTTTATATATCTCTCAACTCAACTTAAAATTAGATTTTAGGCTTTTCTGGATAGTAATTTAGCAACCCAAATCTACTTTAAGTCGTACTTAATAATTAACTTGAAGCAAGTTGATCAGTTGTTAACTGTCCTTACTATGAGTTATTGAGTTTTAAATTAGATTAGATAAGCATAGGGTTATTTTAGATACTATTTTATTGAAGGGAACTAGTTTTGAGAAAGTTATTTTATGAAATGTTACCAGAATTATAAACACGTTATTCAAGCAACTTAATTAAATTTTCTCCAGTATATTGCTAGGAAGCATACTATGAGTTTCCAAAACTATTCGTTTAATTATAAATATTAGGACTGTTAGCATATTAAGTTCTACTTGAAGTCACTTTAGGTAGATTAATAGGAGATACTATAACATTGCTATTTGAGTATGATTTCTTGTGATTATTACTTTGATTTAAGGAAGAGGAGTAGTTTTAAGCATATAACTATGATGAAAAATCTGATCCAGTATTTCCATTTCCGTTAATTATTTCTAACATCATCCTGATAATTTAGAGTAAAACTATTTTATTTTTTTTAGACTATTTGAGTGTTTCAAGGAAGATTTGTTCATTTCCAAATTTTTATAAGAATGCAAATTTTGTAGAAGGATTTAATTAAATAGTATTTAAAAGTTGGAGAGCTTCTTCTTCTAATTCATTATCAACATTTGACGATTAATTGCTTCTATGCTTTGAATGATGGGTTTTACTCTTTTCTTCCTTTTAATTCCTTTATTTTATTTTGCTTTCTTTCTTAGATTGTTTAGAGCTTGAGTAATAGTAATCTTTTGAATTAATTGAAGAATTTCTAGAATCACTGTTATTATCTTGACTAATTTAACTAGAATTGCTTGCACTATTAAAACTACTACTGCTACTACTAAATTCACCAGCATCTTAATTATATTCATCAGAGTCTGTACTTTAGTATGATTTTTTAGGAGATTTTTTGTTTAAATATCTCTTTCTATTATTGTGTTTCTTGTCGTGGTTTCTATTAATTGATCTATCCTTAGTGTGACTTTCTCTAAAATCTCTCTATTTACTGTGATAATTTTCTTTTTTTTTATCATTTATTTTCTCGTATCCTTCAATTTTTTTCTAAATATTTAAATTTAGAAGTTATTATAAATTAAATACAAAAATTAATATTTCTTATTAGTAAATTTATAAGTCATTAAAGGTATTTACGAATATTTCTTGCATAGTTTAGCCAAGTTTAAGTACTTCATCTTTAATATTTTCTGTTTTTAGTGTTACTTTGCTCAAATCTTCATCTTTATTCCTATAGAAATTTAATATTTAGTGATTTTTGAATGTATATTAAAATAATTTTTTACAATCTTCTGTTTTACTCTTCATATTATTGATATGATTTGTTGCGCTCGTGTAAATTAGAGCTTGATTAGCAGCTCTATTTTCCATAATCGTTTTACTCAAATTAATCACTATATGGTTGAATTTTATTTTAGGATTGCTGTCTTTAATGATCAATTTATCTATCCTGCGCTGTAGTGCTTGTAAAGTTATGACTGCTTCCACTTTGAGATTGGCTTTATTTAAAATAAAATAATTACTTTTTTATCAAATAAAAGTCTAGATGTATTAATAAATTTTCTAAATACTTTTTATTGTCATTTGACTAGTACTATAACAGCAACTTTTTAAGATTATCCTTCTCCTTTTAAAGCTCTTCTATCTGTTAATTAGCCTTTTGAAGCTAAGAACTCTAAATTAAAGAATATAAAATAAATGATATTAAAACTCTTTATTTGGTGTGATTAAGTAAAATAGAAATTTAAAACATTTGATAGAAATTAATAATTACTTTCTCATGTTCTTGCTTTGAGTTATTTTTCTTCTTGTTGCTCATTCAAAGAGAAAAATGGCTTTAGTTTATTTAAGATAAATAAAGTAGCTATTTTAAATAAAATTTGATATTTTTTTATTTCTTCTGCTATTTATATTTTAAATAAAGTAAATTAAAAGTGAAATCTGATTGACACATAACCTACCTACGTACCAACCTATGTATTTTATCAAATAATTAATTCAAAGTTTTAATTGGCTGGTTAGCTTTAATTATTAATAAAATTTCATATTTTTTTATACTAGGCAGAATAGTTTATTAAAAACAAGTATAAATTTTATAAATAAAATTTATGTTAAATTTTAATCATTACACATATATTAAATTAATTGAGTAAAATACACTTTTTTATTCAAATAAATATGGCAAATATACTGGACAAAACTCTTCATTTTATTTTTTTTATTTATTTATATTTAATTTTAAATTATTTAAAAGCTGTGATTCTGGCTCAAGATTAAAATTAATTTTTTAAATAATTTGATTGAAGGCTAATATTTATAATTTAATAATAATAATAAAAATCATTTTATTTTTATGATTGATTTTTTTTATGGACTATTGTAATTAGTTGCAGAAGAATAGCTACTTCTACCATTTATTTATAAAGAATTTAACTAGTTAATATTTAATTAATTTTGGTTATGAGGATTAATATTATTAAATGCATTATTGGATGTTATGCTTATGCTATTTTATTTTTAAAGATATTAGCTATTGCTATTGTTATTGCTGTCATTATAGAAGTGAGACTTTAAGTGCTATACGTGAGCATGGTTTGTATGTGCTTTATCATAAGCTTTTAAACTGGATGTGCTGGAGCTTTATTGCACTATTATAAAATAAAAACATTTCAATATTTATATTTGTTAAATAGTACTTACGTTTTGGATTTTAGGCTGGTTGGTCAGAGTGATAACTATTAATAGAGATATTAGATAAATTGCCTTATGATTCACTACGCTCGTTATTATTTTATTACATTGATATTGAACGATTCTATAAATTTATTGGTCTATTTTTTTACATAAAAAATAAATTAAATTTTAAAAATACCAATTTTAATTAATTTACGGTAACTTTAATTCGTTGTCTTCTTTTGTATTTGAATGATGTATTTTTGGTATAACACTAGATTTTAACTGTTGTTGTTAGTTTATTTAATTATTTTTTATTATTATTTGCTCATGCTGTAATAAAGAACTTTTAAATTATTCATCATAGTTATTTTGAACGGATCTTCTTTTTTTAAACACATTTTCTTATGAGTTGGCTTGTAAGCTATCAAAGTTTAAATATTCTTATTAAAAACTAAATTTATGATGCATTTAGGGACTATTTTACTAACTGAGAGTGCTAATCTCTTTCACCTAAAAATTAGACTTTAATGTGGCTTTCTTTTTTCTATTTAATTCTTGATCTTTACTTTTACGAGAGTTTAATGAATTAGTAGAAGATTAACTATCTATCAATTATTGAAAAATTGGTTTTGTGTTTCTATTTTATATAGGGATATCAACTATCTAAGTCTGATTAATTGGGCAAGAACTTCTTGGCGAAAAAATAGCTTGCATTTACTTTTGATTTTTTTATGGAGTAACATTTTAAATAGCTTAACTATTGATTTTCTGGTCATTAAAAGCATTATAAGTATTTTTAAAGTTTATACTTTTTGCATTTTTTATTTTCTCGTGTGAAGGGGAGGCTTAAAAATTTTTTAATTCAAAATTTGCATTCAACTAACTTTTATTTTGTTTTTGTATTTTAAATTAATCATCGCCTCCTCCAATAGTTTTAATTGCTTAATTCGTATTTTTTAAATTGAAATTAGATTAGATTATTTCATCCCTATTGGTACTTTAGGGATTGCTACGCTCAGTAAGCATACTCTCTTCCTACTACTCATTTAATGTGTTCATTCTAAAATTCTAATTATTTTAATATTCTTAATTATCGTTTGTTTAGTTCATATAGTATTAATTGTAAAAGCTGATATTTCCTATATCATCTTTTTTATTTTATGGTGTAGATGTATTTGACTTGGCATATTATAAATTAACACTGCTTTTGCTATTCCTTCTTATATTAAAGCTTATTTTGGATGAGCTGCTCCTTTATATAAGGCTATCATTTTTTACTTACTAAATAGTGCGCTTATTTTAAGGCTACTTGAAAAAAATATTCTTATTCCCATTTGACTATAAAGGAGAATCGATTTAAGTTTCATTTATACTATTTTAAAGCTCATCTTATTACAATTAAATTGGTTAATTATTTTGAAGGTCATTTTAATTTTTTTTAGAATTATATTTTCTTATGTGGTATATTGATTATTTTTTAAGAAATTGCTAATTAGCACCTAAATCTGTACTCTTTTGGTTATTAAACTACCCATTTGAATTTGAGTCTACTGCATTTGATTTAGTTAACAATCCTTTGCTTACTCCTATTGGACTAATAACATCCTCATCAATTCCTATCTCTCCAACCTTCCTGCTTGAAATCATTTTAAATTCGTTCTAGCTTTAATTGTGGCTACTTCCACTTTTATGGCAAGAATTAGATTCATCTGTTGAGTTATTTAAATTTAATTTTTCATCAGCTTTTAGTTCTTTTGATTTTTTATAACTTTCTGAAACTTGATCTTTAAAAGTGAGACTCTTTTAATTAAAGTTGTATTTACTCTAAGACATTTTGACATTCAAAATATAATGTTCGTCATCAAACGTTTATTTACGCAATATTTTGCTTGATAGTTTACTACTTTAGTTATTATTTAACATAAATGAACTTGAGAATTTCTGTACTGACCTTTGATGTAATACGCTATCTTCTAGGTTAGCTGAATTAAAAGAAACTGATTTTTCTTTTACTTCTTACATATCTTCCATACTCTCATCCATCATATTTCTATTACTTTTTTCAACTGCAATCTCAATAATTTTTTATTCATAGAATCCTTTATTTTTTGATTGGTTTTTGATGTATTAGGTGAAAAGCAAAAGTTTAAAGATCTATTCAAATATAATATAATATAATTTATTAATATGTTAAAAAAACTATTTACTCTACTAAGAGTTTGGCAATTCTAAAAGCACTAAATTTAATCATGCATGGTTAAAGGTACAGAAAGATTACCTTCACCACTAATCCAAACATGTTTTAAGCACTAAGCTACATTCATTCTATCTTCTGCTACAATAGCAGCAGTTTTTAAAAAGAATTACCTAGCTTCTCTTTTATTGTTTTAATTAAATAAGGTTAAAATGTTAAGTTTAATCAAAAAATTATTTACTTATCCATGTTATCAGGGAATATCCACTAAGGATTCTTTAATTTGTTAAGAAATGTTTTTTTGTCATCTTTTTTTTCCCAAAGCGGATGTTTTCCCATAGTAAAAAGCATATATTAAATAATCCCAGTGCTCCATAGATCTACAGACTTAGAAAAATAAAAAAAGAATATTTAAAATGCTCAAAAAAATAATATTTTTTTTTACCCTTTAATACTGTCTGTTGAATGCAACTTCAGGAGCCATATAGATTAATGTCCCACAGTTATCACTTACAGTACCAACATTTTCATTTTTAAATGAAAGCCCAAAATCTATCACTTTAATATCAAACAATCCATTTTACTCTTTAATCAATATGTTGTCTTTTTTTGAATAAATAAAAATAAATTAATTAAAGATAAATAATTTTAGTTATTTAGTTAATTAGTTATAGAAAGATGGCACAAAAGGAAAATTATTCTTATTTATTTATTTATTTATTTATTTATAATTTATCACCTGGTTTTAAGTCTCTATGAATGATATCTAAAGAATGCATATGGCTGATTGCAAGTAGTATTTTTCTAACAATTCTTCTGATTTCGTTATTATTTAAAGGTTTGCTTCGATTTCTTAAGAATTAATTTAGTGAATTACCATCAAAGTACTCCATAACAATCATAAAAACTTTACTGGATTCGTGTGACTTTGATATTTAAAAAATATAATTAAGTTATTTAGTTTCTTTTTAAGTGTTGATATTTTTTATCTATTATAGTTAAAAAATAAATTTTTTTTTAGATTTATTTACATTTAGATATTTTATGATGTGTTAATGCTCTAATTGTTGTAATATTTTAGCTTCTTGATCTAGACCTTCAAATTTTTTAAGCTATTTTTTTTCTATTATCTAAACAATAAATATTTTAATAAACTAATTCATTTTATCTCAACAAAATTGATTTATTGATTGAAAATAGATTAAACGCTGATTTATTTACATTTTTGATAAAAAAGACAATCATAATATTATATTTTAATGAATTTAATGTAGAAAAGTTGTTTGGAATTAAAAGTTAAAATAACAAAATAAATTACTTTAATAGCCACTCTTTATTTATTAGACTTTTGTATTGCGCAAATAACTTATCCAAAAGCACCTCTTCCTATGATAAATTAGAATTCATACATATCTCCAAATTTTAAGGGGTTAGAATATTTTTCTGAATCAAAGCTAAGATGGTATTCATTTAAATCTTTAACATATCTTTTTACGCTTTTTCCTTCATCATCACATTTTTCATAAGAGTTACTATTTTAATGTATTGCTTCTGAATTATTTTTGTGTGAAATTGAATTGCTATCTATATTTTCTACTTAGTTATGGTCATTTCTACTAGTGATATTTTAACCTTCCCTATAAAATATTTGTTTTAGTTGTTATATAATTTTATTTATCATTAATGTTTGCTCAAAAAATAACTTAAAAAAAAAAATTCATATTCTTTATTTTTATTGATATTATAATTCTACTTATAATGTTGTAATTAATCCGTAATTTACCTGCTCATAATGAGGTAAAACAGGCAGATTCTATCTTATTTTATAGAGTTTATTGAAATTTATGCGTCCCTTTCAGTATATAGGGAGAATAAACTAAAATATTTCCAATAAAAAAATATTTGCTACTTTATAATAATTAACTATAAAAGTTCTCCCCTTATCCTTATTAATGTAATTAATTTTCTATTTATTACTACTTAAAAATATATTAAATTAATTTACAATTGAATTCATATAAAATTACAAATAAAAAAATTATATAAGTAAAGATCAATAACACAATCAGTAAAAGAACCACTATAAATAACTAACTAACTAAGTTTTCTTTCTATTTAATTGAGAATTAATTACTTACTTACTGGTATTCTTAGAAGAAAAAATGAGTAAATAACATTCTCAAATTTAAAAATTTTCCTTTTTACTTTAATAAAAAAAGATCCACCAAAAAAATAATTTTTGGACATTTCTTAAAGGCAAATGTAAATTTTGTTAAGATTATATATAAATAAATAAATAATTTTGAGACTATCATAATAGAATAAATAAATAATTAACAGTATTAGATATTATGAGGATAGACAAAAATAACAATATTATTTATTTAATCATAATTAAATCATATTTTTTTCATAAAAAATAATCAGGTATATTAGAAGATACCTTTTAGCCTGCGCCCTTGAGCTGTTCCTTTATTTAGAATAAAATTTTTTTTTAAAAGCAAAAAAAGATAAATTTCATATTAATAAAAATTATTACAGCTACTGCATCGAATGTCTTGAATTGAGGAGGGCTGCTTACTGATTTTATTTCCATTAAGGATGCTAAGTTTCCACATCTTTTATAATATTTATAATTAATTTTTAACTAAATATATATATATATATTTTTGAGTTGAATTTTAATAACCTGTAACAATAATTTGGTGCTGACCATACTGTAGTACAGCTGCTGTTATCCCAAATCTATCGATAGCCTTCCATAACTAATTAATGAGCGCGAACCAATTTATTCAAATTATTTTAATGCATAAAAGATTTAAATACGTCCTATCCAAAAGTTTTCCCTGTTCTTTTTGATTAATAAAAATAATTAATAACCAGCGTTTTCTTTTTTTATTGATAAATGTAATAGCCTCAAAGAAAATGTGCTTACCCTCTTTAATTCTCTTTAAATCCAGTATTTTCTTCATCAGGATCATTCCATAAAAGTTCGCACATTTCCCCTTTAATTATTAAAAAATAATTTATATCTAAAAAAATTTTATTCTTCATTTTATTTTTGCAATTTACCTTAAGAAGGGATTTCTTTGACTCTATCTAAGCAGCGAATCTTTATAAAAATTGAATAAATAAATTTTTAACTATTTTCTCTATTTAATGCTTTTAAAAGTTTACATCATCTAAATTTTTTATGTCAGAAGCGATACCACCATGTGCACAAAATATTTTATCATCAATAAGAGCAGAAAGTGTTAAATATTCAAATGTTTCTGTAATATACCTCCAAACATTTAAGCTTCCATATTTTCTTAAACATTCATCATATAACCCAAAAACCTAAGTTACAACTCTACTTTCATGATTTCCCCTTAAAAGTGTTATTCTATCCGGATACTTCACCTACATTCACATTAATATATATCAAAAAGATATTTGCTAAAAAATTAAAATATATACTTTTAATGCATAGAGTAGCAATATGCTTTCTATACTGTGGTGTCCTCTGTTAACATAGTCACCTATTAAATAAATTATCAAAATCTACTTATATTTATTTATATATAAATTATATATCAAATAAACAACTGTATTACCTAAAAATAAATAATTAACGTCAGGGCAGTTTCCTCCAACTTTAAAAAGTTCGAGTAAGTCATAGAATTATCCATGTATATCACCACAAATCTTTTTTTAAAATAGGAGTTTTTAAACATTTGAAAATGCTCTTCTTAAATCTATCTAAAATTTTGAGTATGTATTTAATCATTTTTATAATATTTATTTTTAATATCTGTTGAATAAAATTGATTTTTGTTAATATAAAATGGCAATGCGCTCTAATATGCTAACGATATTTTAATAGAATTAGTTAAAAAAACTATTAAATCTCATTCATAATAAAAATGTTTTCTTATGTTTAAAAATGAAGGATAAAGTTTTTTTTATTTTTAAAAATTCAATACCGTCACTGGACAATCAATTCTTTACACGTTACTTTCTTCTACAAATATTTCTCTTGCTCTTGCACAGAGTATTTTAATATCATTCTCTCTAAGTAACTCTCCATTTTTCAGGAGCTCAATTTACTTATCTAAATCATTTGCATTCATATTTTTTTTAAATGCTAAGTAACTTATTAGAATTGATTGAAAATACTACTTTTAGATATCAAAAATATTATTATCGCTAATATTAACTTAAAATATTGTTTTAAAAGTAAAGTTTTAATTGATAATAAAAAACACCTTTTAAAAAAAATAATATCTTTAATTCAAATTAATTGTTTTAAAAATGAATAAATGTATGAATCATTTTTACTTAAATAAAATAATTTTTGAAAATGATTAAAAATAGATAAATCAATTCTTATCTTAGATTATTTTCTCAACTGAAAAATCTATCAACACCAATTAATTACATTACAGTTAACCTCTACCAAAAAATATAAAAAATCAAAAGTTCTCAAATCAAAAGATTTTACCTAAATCGCTACAATACTTATTGATTAAAATATAAATTAATATTGAAATAGTGGTAATCTCACTCAAAAATTAAACATACAAAAATAGAAAAAATGAAAAATGAAAAAGAAAACAAATAAAGTAAATAGCCTTATCTAAAACTAAATGAAAAGCATGATAAAAAAGCTATGTCAAATTTCTAAAGAAATATTATGATTAAAATTGGATTTTGGCAATGTATAACAATTTTAGTTGTAGGGATTATGAATAATTTGATTGTATTTTTTTCTTTTGGACATATTAAATAAGTATCACAAGCTATATTTCTTGATAATGAATTGCTCGCTTTAACTTCATTGAATAATCAGCAAGCTAAAACAGTCTCTAACTAAGTACAAATGATTGTGACTGCCCTTCATTAATTAAATAAAGTTAATATTAGATAAATAAATTAAACTCCATAAAGCTCTAGCTTTATGCATTGTTATCCTTAAAGCTATTATAATTATGTTAAAACAACTCAAAATTTAAATTGCAAATGTACGCCTCCATCTAACTGTTAATATTCTCCATTTTTAAATAATCCAAACATAATAATTTGTCCAAACACAAATATTAATAGTCCTTATCCATGGTATGAAAATAATTTTTCAAGCTCTTACTCACAAAATCAATATTATTATTTTGCAGCTACAACTCCAAATTCAGATCCAATATTTAGTTAATAAGCTTATAACTAAGTAAGGTAATAATGTTATTAATTTTCAAGTAAATGTTTATATTAATTTGGTAAAAGTAAATTATATAAAAAAGTAAATAATTTAAACTTATATTAATTTTATTGAAAAATTTTTTAAATATTTAAAATTTAGGGTTGATATGTAATATTAATTTTAAGAGTTTTACACTATAGCTCGTTTGCAGTATAAATCAATGAAAAATTTTATTGATTATATAAAGATTACTCATCAATCCGGTGTTGAGATGTTTTATTCAGGTCAACCAGCTTCCTTTTATTAGTAAATTATTACTTATTAATAAACTATTGAAATAAAAAAAAATATATTTATTTTGTAAATAAAAAAAATTTAGATGTGACTATTCAACAAGAAACGATAAATTATTTTAGAAAGCAAGATAATATAGTAAATTATACTCTAAAGATCTAGTAGAATTTGTTTATATTGACTAAGCAACCAATGTTGCTAATGAAAAAATTAAATCAGTTTTTTGTTTAGTTTTGACTAATATGATTAACTGTGTTACATAAGCTGCTGATGTATAATGTGGCCAAATTTGTATCTAATCTTCTATTGCATACTCACAAATACAAGTGTTTTTTAATTTTACTATAAAATCTAAATAATTCTAATCATTTTTTTTATATTAAAAAGAAAATCTTAAGTAAAAACATAATTGTAGATTCTTAATAATATTTCTTGATTGGAAGCTAAGAACTGGATAATTATTAAGTTATTAATCAGCAAGTTAAAAACTCTCAAGGTGTTTTAACATCCTTCGCTTGGTTGTATACTGTTTTGTTTAATTATTTACCTACTTAGCCGGTTTCTTAGCTTGTGGTAGATTTCAGTAACAAATTTGGATAGTATTTTTACCCTTATTCTCCTAGTATCTCTAGAGCAGAGTACGAAATTTAAGATATGGGTTTTGGCGAGTATTATCAGTCTCAAACAGATACAGTATCTTTTGCATGGTCTTACATAAAAGTGGATTAAGATTATGAAGATCCTAATACTGATAAGATTGTTTTCACGTTAATGTCATAATTTAACCAAGATGATGCTATGGAAGTATTTTCTTCATATTTTGATAAAGAATCCAAATTAAACAGCAGCTGGATTTGGGTAGCGCTAGTAACTGTAGGAAGTATGATTTTATGTTATTGCTTTCTAAAATAATTTGCATCTTCTATTGCCAATCCTATTATAGAACTTACTCAAAAAGTCAAATAAATTAGAGAAGGCAACCTAGATATCAACTTATTAGTTGATTTTAAATGTAAATTGTTTATTTCATTTATAAATTTCAAAAAATGATTTTTAGCTAATCAACGAATAATCAGAATTCACAATATGTATGTTTCAGCTAAAAAAATTTTTAAATACTTATAATTAAAATTATATTATGATAAATAAATTAAATAAATTTAGTTAGCTTTGAAGAGTTAAACAATTTGTACGAAGAACTCGAAGATGTGAATCTCTAAATAAAATATAGTACTGATAATTTTTACAACGAAAAATCTGATGCTGAAAATCTAATTAATTTAACCAATGCTATTTGCCTCTACTAAAATTTAAAGAACTAAAAGATTCTTGGTATTTTATACAATAATTTAGGTATCTTTGATATATTTTTAGTTAATTTTATAAAATAATTATTTTTATTAAAAATAAAATAGGTAATATCTATGCAAGAAATCAAAAATATACTGAAGCAATTTCATGTTTTCGTAAAGCAGTGAAAATAGCTGAAAAAGAGTTGAGAAAATTAGTTAGATTTGATTATCCTGAGGTATTTTATAAAGCAAAGAGAATATCTGGATGGGAAGAATTTTTAAAAAGCAAAGAACCACCTTCTCCACTCGGATGGCTTGAGGAAGAAGAAAAAGCAATATATTTTAATAATAAAAAAATGGTAAGAGTGAATTCAAAATTAAAAAAAAAACTGGAAGAAGTATATTGCAATAGATTATTTTCTCTAGCTAATGTACTAATATTTTAAGGAGAGATTGAATAATAAAATAAAGACAAGCTCCTATACTTTGAGGAAGCTATAGATCATTTAAATCTAGTTGAGAAAGTAGATAAAAATTTAGATCATGCAAGAAGCAGATCAATTAAAATTCACTTTAAGCTATCATAGGCTTACATTAACAGAGCCAAACTAGTTCCATAGTTTGAAGAGGATTTATTTGAAGGAATTGAATCATGTGACAGAGCCTAAGTAAAAAATTTTTAAAGATATTTAAAATAATAATATTAATATATTTTTATTTTTATAGTCTAAATTCCCTTATTATGAAGTTGTGCACAACTTATTTAGAGTTGAAATCCTTAAAAGAAAGATGGAAAAAGATTTAAACGATGATAATGTATCAATAAGAAAGTCAACGAATTAATACAGTTCTATCAATTAAACTTAAAAAATTAATTTATTAACATAAGATTCATTGCAAAAGCATAGCAATAGAAGAAATAACCCTATGTAAATAAATATTTATTTAAACATTTATTTTTTTTTTTAAATAAAAAATTGATTTATAAATTTTTAGGCTGATAGAAATGTCTTAATTTTACTCTCCTGTCCTTAAAGAATCTCAATATAATAGAATTAAAAAAATTCCAAGTATGATTTAAGCATAATAACGATAATTAAATGATGAAGAAACAGATTTGGAAGTTATAGTTGATGATCCTCCAGAAATTTTGAAATCTGAGCTTGGTTTGGTGAAGGGATAAGTTTATTATGAAATAGGCTTATATGATATTGCGCTTGAATAATGTACTAAAGCTATTGAAGGAGGCAAGTATTTTAATCCAGATATAAGAAGAGAGTGTCTAAAAATAATATAAAATATATTCGAGTTGTAAATAAAGAAAAAACAAAAGAATTTAGAAAAAGAGTAAAAGGATGGCTAGGAGTACACAGCTCAAGATAAAATTATTCAAGATTTTTAAAAAGCATTAAAAGTAGTCAATCACATGATTTAGGATTGTGAAGTTAAGGGGAAAAAAGATGTAGTATTCTTAATGGACATATCAGGTAAATTTTAAATATTTATTTATTTATTGTTTTTTATTTAATTATTTTTCTAAAATAAAAGAAACCATGTGTCAAAGTAAATATAAAGCTATTGATTCTTTTGTTAGCATAAGAGAAAACTACATCAAGTAATTTGATAGACTTGCATTAATTTCCTTCAATCATAATGTAAATGTATGCTTTGAACTTTAAGTCAGTGGCAAAAATGATAAATTTATAGACAAGTATTTTAAAGATGCTAAGAATTTGGCTTGTACAGGAGATAAAGCTCTCTATAATGCAATTTATGATGGAATCAAGCTATTTAAGTAAATTTATATCAAAAATTTTTCAACTAAAATTATTATATTATTTTAGAAAAACTGAGCCTTAACCAAATTCAAGATGGTTAGTAGCAATAACAGATAATGTTGATAATTATAGTCGTATAGATGAAGAATAGCTTAAACCTCTATTCTTTTAAAATAATGTTAAATTAATACTCATTGGTTTAAATCTAAAAGTAAATATAAAATTTTCTAAATCATTTTTTAAAATTATTTTTAAAAGTCTAATGCAAAAGAAGTATATCTAAAGCTATGTAAAAATACAGGTGGAACCTTTATTGAAAATCCTGATTCAATGGATCTTAATGTTGCCTTTTAATCTATTACTAATTTATAATTCGCTACTTATCAGCAAGCTAATTATGTTGATGAAAAGTTTGACTGATATTGAATAATCCCTAATAGATTAATTTGAAATTTTTAATAAATTTTATGATTTTTTCCATATTTACAATATCAAATTTATATATTATCTAAATTAATTAAAACTAAAATTTATTTTCATTTATATATATCTCTAAATTTAAATTTCTCAAAAAGTTTCTACAAAACTTTAAAAGATTTTTAACAATGTAAGACATTTAAATGAACCTATCAATAGACTATGCACTTTATTACTAAAATATTGAGTGTAAGAGGATGAAAAATTAAATCAAAATAAATTATTTCAATGAAAATTAAAATATTATTAATTATATATACATTATAGCTAAGGAATATAATTTTAAAATAACATAATTATTATAAATAATCTATGAATTTCGACTATGTAAATTTGATTATTATAAATTAATAATTTTTTACATTAGTTAAATTTAATCTTAATAATTCAAAATAATATCAAATTAAATTCTTTTTGCAAAAGTTAAAAATAATTAATAAATAAAATGTTATTTTTAATTAAATTAGAGTATTAAATGCTATATATTTTTTTGTTTTTTTTCAAATTAATTTAACTAACTTAATAATTTAATTTGTAAACTTAAAATAAAGAAGTAAAATATATCAAATTATTTTTTTAAATTTAAAATAGGAAAAAATTTTGATAATAAACTATAATTTGTAATTATTTTACATCTAATCATTTAAAATTATCAGAAAAACTTTAATTAATTAATTAATTTTTTTTTTTTCGAATTAATTTAACTAAATTTAATAATTTATAAATTTAAAATAAAGAAGTAAAATATATTTACATATAATTGTTTTTATTAATTTTAAATAAGAATAATTTTTTTAATAATCAGTTTTTACTTGCATTTAATTTATATTTATCAAAATTTTCATCCTAAATCTGTTCTTCATTTTCTACCTAATATTATTTGTTTTTAAATTATATTATTAATATTTTTTAAAATTAAATGAGTTTATTTACTTATTTTTTTAAAGAATTAAAAACCTGGGTTAAAAATCGAGTAGG